CTAACCCTAACCCTAACCCTAACCCTAACCCTAACCCTAACCCTAACCCTAACCCTAACCCTAACCCTAACCCTAACCCTAACCCTAACCCTAACCCTAACCCTAACCCTAACCCTAACCCTAACCCTAACCACCAACGACTACCTATTGACATCCTAATGCTGCTCCCACACGATCGAATCCAAATCAATACCCTCCTGATGCCATCGCCTGTCGATGTACTAGTAATAGATTTTGCAGAGGTTTGACTACCCCCATTACTGTAGGTAGGTCATAGACATGAACAGCGTATGCGTTGGTGATTGAGACCGAAAATGCACGGTCTGTTCATGGAACGTCCCGCCCACGGATTCCAACACACATCTCCTCGCACAAAATCACGCGGACGAGCCGTTAATGCATTTCCGCCATTAAGGTCGCATGGATGTGCTTCTCCTCTCTCGGCGAACATTCCCATTCGAGTAATTCCAATTCCCGTTCCCAACGGCAATCCTTACACATGTCCGTCGCAACTGCCGTGAACTTCGAATGCGGGTGATCCGAAGTGCGGGGTGCACGTGCATGACCCGCACCGGCAGTTCTCGTGAAACTCGCGTACCTCCTCGTAGCGAGAATTCGCTTGGAGTTAACGAGACCTACGCGATATGAATGGGGTATGTCTCGGGCAAGCGAGGCTCAGCAGTTACAGTGAAGATGAGTGGAGGGAGGGGAGAGTTTGGCTAAAGTGCGGGGCCGACGATTGGCGTTCGTCGGGTTAAGCTTGATGAGGATTCATGAGGAAAGCTTAAATACCGGGCCGTGTCTCCTCGAGCATTCTGTCTTCACAGCAGCTGTTCTCGACAGGGAGTACCAAGCCCACGAACGACATCACTTCTATCCTCTTATCACCGCCAATCAACACCAATCTTAAGCCACAGCGAACGACCGCTGACTCAGTCACTCATCATGGACAACCCCTCCAAACGCTCCACCCCCATCTCCAATGATCCAACCCTCTCCGAAAAACCCCACGGTCACCACATCGAGATGGCCCTCGACGCGTCCGAGTCCGGCATCCGTGACCCCGTCGCCGAGAGGCGTCTCATCCGCCGCGTCGACTGGCGCCTCATGCCAACCATTTGCGTCCTCTACGCCCTCTCCCTCATCGACCGTACCAACATCGGTGCCGCCCGCGTGGACGGCATGGCCCGCGACCTCAAAATGATCGGAAACGACCACTACTCCATCGCCCTCCTCGTCTTCTTCCCAGGCTACTTCCTCATGGAACTCCCCTCAAACCTCATCATCCGTAAAGCCGGAACCGCAAACTGGTTATCCTTCATCATCCTCGTATGGGGCGCAATCACAGTCGGTATGGGCTTCACCGAGTCCTGGGTGACCATGTCAATCTGCCGCGCTCTTCTCGGGATCTTCGAAGCGGGTCTCTTTCCAGGCTGCGTGTACCTCATCTCCTGCTGGTACCAACGCTACGAAGTCCAAAAGCGTCTTTCAATCTTCTACATGTCCTCCGTCCTCGCATCCGGATTCGCCGGTATCCTCGCCTACGGACTCGGCCGCCTCAACGGCCGCCACGGCATCGAAGGCTGGCGCTGGATCTTCATCGTCGAAGGCGCAATCACCATGGCCGCCGCAATATTCGCATGGTTCTTCATCGTCGATTTCCCCCAAAAAGCCAAGTTCCTCACCGAACACGAACGCGCACTCATCGATGCCCGGATGAACGACGACCGTGGTGATGCCGTTCCGGAATCCTTGACTGCCGCCCTCGTCATGTCGCACCTCGCCGATTGGCAGATGTGGGCGTACTCCCTTATGTTCATGTGCAACACCGCCGCCGCATACTCCCTCGCCTACTTCATCCCCGTCATCCTCAAAGGCCTCGGCTACTCCACCGCTCTATCCCAAATCCTCACTGCGCCGCCCTACATCCTCGCCATCATGTTGTCCCTCTTCACCTCCTGGTGGTCCGACAAAACTCGTACACGTGTTCCGTATATCCTCTTTCAAGCCGTGCTTTCGATTTTGGGATACACACTCGTTTGGGTCGCTCCCAACACTGGCGGAAAATTGGTCGGAACTTTCCTTGCTGTTGCGGGTGTCCAGCCGAATCAGCCCAACATCATCACTTGGATGCAAAACAATGTTCGCGGAACCTCGAAGCGCGCCGTCGGAGCCGCTATGCAAGCAGCCATGGGCGCAATTGGTGGTATCGCTGCGAGTACCGTGTTCAGGGAGAAAGATGCACCGGGTTACCACAACGGGTTGTTGGCGATCATGATCTTTCAGGTTGGTGTTATGGGGTTGACGGTCTTCTTGTATATGTACAATCGTGCTCAGAACAAGAAATTGGATCGGGAGTTGGGAGAGGGTGTTGGGTTTAGGTACACGTTGTGATTTGGTTGTGCAGCTGTAATGTCTTTTTGGCTGTGTACGATAGTATACCCCTTCTAATTTGCTTCGACTTGATGGCCCTTTTTATGACCTGTGTCCATGCGAGTTATCAGGCTTCACGGAACCTCCTTAGAGCTCAAGGCAAAGGTATCCGTGGGTTGTCGAGAACCCGGCCGAACGCGTACGACGTTTGGCAGACATTTGCCTGCGACCGGCCTATGATTTCCTCGGCCCCAGCAGCCTGAGAAACGCCCTTCAGAGGAACCATTGGGTCAGTCGTAATATGAACCGCCATCCTTCCCCCCTCACGACACATGTCGCAATTTGTCGCCATTCGTCGCAATCACACATGTAACGTAGACGTCCACGCCTTTCCCGTTTCGGCACACAACCGCACCCGTCCTCCCCATCCCCTATATATACCTCTCCCCACCTACCCATCATTCAACCCCTCCGCCTCTTCACCCGCTCATTCACCTACATCCCCCTTGGCATGCCCACCGCAAAACCCCTCCGCGCCGAAACCCTCGCCGCCATGGTCCGCTCAGACCCCACCCCCTCCTCCCTCCGCATCATCGACGTCCGCGACGACGACTTCGAAGGCGGACATATCCACGCCGCGACAAATGTGCCCTCATCTGAGTTGACGGGTCGGTTGGGCGAGTTGGTTGATGAGTTGAAGGGGGTGGAGAAAGTCGTGTTTCATTGCGCGCTGAGTCAAGTCCGGGGACCGAAAGCTGCGAGACTATATCTCGAGGCCAAAGATCTGTTGTCAGAAGGAAAGAAGGAGCATGATCTACAGGGTCACGCTACGGATACGACTGAATCGAAGGAGGAGGGGAAGGAGCAGGAGGTGTATGTGTTGGTCGGTGGATTCTATGAGTGGCAGAAGCGGTATGGACAGGAGAAGGATTTGACGGAGGAGTGGGAGCCTGAGATGTGGAAGAACTATCAAGGTTGATATGGAAGTCGACTTAAGGTGAGTGGAGTTTGAAGGAGGCAGGGATGTCTTGGAGAATTCAAAACATGACGCACGTCTGGCTGTGAGGTCGGATCCGCAAGGATCTTCAACCAGGGAGGCAGTTTGTGTGTAACTGACGATGTTTAGACAAGAACAAGCGTAAGAAATATAATTTCATTCGAAGTTGACCGATACACCCATCCTGCAATACATAACGCGGATTACTAGAAAAACGAATGACATGAGCACGACAAAGGACACAGAGTCCGTACTTACTCCCACAGGAACAAGCACATCTTCCGTGCCCTTCTTTGGCTATTCCCGCCCTACTTGCGCTGCCCACCGCCGTCTCCGCTGCCAGCTTTCCCCCCTTGCTGCCCTCCACCCCCCGACTGCCCTCCGCCTCCTCCTCCTCCTCCACCGCACTGGCCGGAGTTGGCGTTACGGTCGCCCGCGCTCTGGGCACGGGCAGCAAAGCCGGGATTGTTGCCGGACTTCGCCTAGACAAGAGGTTAGCAATGAAGATAGTGCAATTGATGGTCGAGAGTGGTGGCAGACTTGGCTAGACTGAATACGGGAAGCATCGGATTGAGACATTTTGCCAGACATCTTTGCTGTTATTGGGTTCGGGTGTTGTGGATGAAGTCTTCGAGTTGATGTTGACGAGAAATCCTCCCACAGTGACGGAAACGGTGCCTTCTTATACCCAGCAGTCGGAAGGCGGAAGCACCGAACTGTCCGTCTTTATCACACCACCATCTTGACATGGCGTGCGGGATCAGGTCTTGTGATGTCTATGCACAATCATCTCGCGTCTGCCCTCGAGGCTGCCCCACTCTTCGTGTACGTATTAACTTGGCATGCACGTTTATAGGGTTATATATGCTTGGTAGGAGCTTCACAGGAATTCACTTCTCGTTCACGGCTGGTGTCGAGGATGACGTTTGTGCGCACAACCTTAACCCCTCCTCCAAACTCACCACCAACTGACCAACCTCGATGTTCGTATACCCGCTCCTACGACGAGCAGCCAACTGCAAACCACAATGCCTTATCCGCTGCCTCACAACCAACAGAATCAGCTCCCCCGTCCCACCACCAGACAACGCAAAAGCACGAGAAGCAATGGCACCCCTAGTCACAAAGAAACCCGACATCAAATTCAAAGAAGACGAATACGACGAGGTAAGAGAACCTTGAAATATTTGCACCTAAGTGCGACTCACTAACGGTTGTCTTACAGGACCTCGACGACGAAGAACTCGCCGCAAAACAAATGAAAGCATACTGCCTCATGGTCGACCACACCGGGAAAATATCCCGTATATCCGGGCCCTTCGACCGCGCAAAGCTCATCGAGGAACACGAAATCGAACCCCGCGATCTCCGGAAAATCGATACGGACGTACACAACATCATCCCCTCCATCACCATCCGACATAAAAGCGTGATCGTGAGCACACTCGCCCTACGAGCCCTCATCAACGCAAAAGCAACATACTTCTACGTCCCGGACGCGAGCCTACAGGATGACATTACACTACCAACCATGGCAGCCGTAACCCAACCCCTCCAACTAAACCCCTCCGACACCACACCCCCCGAACTCCGCTCCCACACCTCCCGCACAAAACCAAAGAGATCCCTCCTCCCCGAAACCCAAGAAAAAATCCTCGAACGCCACGCAGAAGCAACAGAACTAGCCAACACAGCATCCCGCCTCCTCCGCCGCCGCTGCCGTCGAATCATCTCCCACGGCGGTCCCGCGGGGTTACGTCCCATGCCAAAATCCGAATTCGAGATGTTGGCACTCGAGGCGACATTAGTAAGCGTGATGAAACTACTCGAGAGAAGCTTGGGGAATCTGAGGCGGGATATGGAAGCGCTGATTGAGGATCTCGAGGAGGATGTCGATCCGGAGGGATTGTTTAGCATGTTGTCGATGAGCAAACGCGTACTCGCTTTCAGCCGACGAACGAAACTCCTCCAATCAGCCCTCGCGAACGTCCTCCACCGCGACCTCGCCCAAACCGCCTCCAAACACAAATATAATGAGCTTTTCGACACCGAAGAATCCCTCCGCCGCGCACAGCTTTTGATCGAAACCTATTTAAAACGCATCGACGAAATCGTCGAAGGCGCAGAATCCCTAACATCCGAATCCCGCAACACAGAAACAAACGTAAACCTCGTCATGGACACGATGCGGAACAACCTCCTCGCGCTCGATACCTCCATCTCGATCCTCACGCTCGCGATATCATCCTCCGCACTCGTCGCAGGGTTGTTGGGGATGAATTTGACCAACTATTGGGAGGGGAGTCAGGATGCGTTTTTGTGGGCTTGTTCGGTTGCTGTTGCGTTAGTTGTAGGGATTGGGAAGGGAGGGATGGGGGTGTTGAGGGGGATGAGTCGGGCGAGGTTGATGAGGAGGTTGGGACAGGGCGTTAGGCATTCGCGAAGGCAAATGCTGGATTAAGTAGATAGCATACCATACATTACCCATGACCTTCATCACATAGTATGTGATCGTCAAATTAATCACACAAAAAGCTACTACACCAAGAAAACCGCACCTTCTCAAGCAAGCAAAACACAAAGCTATCTACTTACTCCCACCCAACATACCCCTTCCCAATAACCCTCCAAATCCTAACCTCCCCACTCTTCAAATCCCCCAACTTATAACTAACCTTCTCAACCTTCTTCCCCTCCCTTCCCTGTTCCCAAGCCCTAACCTTCTTCTTCGTGCCATCCCACTCAAAGACAATAGCGACATGTTCCGGTTTCCCGACTTCCATGGCATACTTGGTGTGTAAACCCCCCTTATGTCCCTGGAATTTGGTGTTCCGGAAGGTGATGATATCGCCCGCCCTGATCTCATCATGCTGAATGACACTCGCGTTCGCTAGGTTTGCGTAAACCAACGCACCCCAACTCCTCGTACCCGGACTTCGCAACGCATCAGGAATCTTCGCGACGACGTCACGAACGAAGGTAAACGCATCACCAGCCCCCACGACTTTCCCCGCAAACCCCGCCGCAGCCTCCTGAACCCTCGCTCCGAACCTCGCCCACGCATCCTCGAGTGCCATTTGTGATAGTTGCGGCGGTGGGGGTTTATGCGTCTGCGATAACTCGACCTGACTCGGATTCTGCGCATCAAACTGTGCCGAAACGACGGTCTGGGAATAATCTTGGAACAAGACATACACATCCTTCGTCACGATCGAATGCCCACCCCGCCTCGTCTGCGTCGACTCATCGATTTCAAAGATCAAGTCCTTCGGTCTGTTCTGGAAGACGGGTGGTGGCGTGTTAGGCTGCGTCCACCACATACTCATCCGGCCCAAATCGACTTCACGGGCAATATGCGCATTCGGACCACCACCATAATCAAGCGACCGTCTCGACTGGGTATTGGCGCGGTTGAGCCCGATGGAAGGTGTGTAGCTCACCTCCGTACTCGTCCGATAATCACCGGTGGGGATCCGCTCTATCGCCGAAGGCATAGGCGATAACGATTCCTGCGGGGCAGCAGGAGGTGCCATCACCGGTGGTGGTGCCGGCATGTCCCTCACGGGAGGCGGAGAGAGCGGCGGAGGAGGAGGTGCTGCCCGGGTATGAGGCGCATCGATCATCATAGATGGAGGCGGTGGAGGGGGAACATCCCTTTGGGGCAATCCCGACGGTGGTGGAGGTGGCGGCGCACGAATAGCACCCTGCTGCACTGCCTGAGGCGGGGGAACCAGCTCCTCTTCCTCCTCCTCCTCTTCTTCATCCTCCTCAACCTCCTCATATTCTTCCTCATCCTTCGCAGGTACCGGCGGCGCAACCGGTGGAAGCGGAGGCACTCTTCTCATAGCTCCAGGCGGTGGAGGAGGAACACCCCTAGGCGCCTCCATAGACGCCTGCCGAGGAAACGTCGGGCTAACAGGAGACGTAGACAACGGCTCACCCAAATCCAAAGCCTTGCTCAAAATATTCGCATGCTTCGCAGCAGAGATCAACTCCGGATCCTCGATGACGTAACTCTCAGTAGACTCTGTTGGTCCAGTGATACCCAAACCAGCACCATCCGTGTGATCAGCCAGCTTATACTGCTCCTCGTGCTGCGTTGGCTGAGGAGGTAAGTTGGCAGGAAGGGGCGGCGACATCGGAGCCGAAGTCTTGGTGGCGGGAGGCGACATGGGGATCGCTGGCCTCATACCACTACCACCAACATACGACAGCCTCTTCGAAGCCGCAGTCGGAGGAGACATCGGAGGTGGGCTGGTAACACCATCTTCACTGTCCTCCGTGATACGCGTAGGCACAGGCGGAACGGCGATAGGCGCCGGTGGCGCAGCCGCACGATTAGGCGGCGGCGGTGCCACTACCTCGGGCTCGACTTCACGGCTCGGCGAAGGAGGAGCAGGTGCTCGTGCTGGGGGCATAAGGGCAGCAAGTGGAGCCGCAGCGGCAGCAGCAGCAACAGGAACAGGAGGCAACCCCAAGTCCACAACCTCCTCCTCCTCCTCATGGACAGGCGCACCAGACGGCATAGCCGGGTGCAAGTCCTCCACATCCCTGACCTCGTCGGCCGGGATCTCCCTTATCCTCTCACCTTCCTCCTCATTTTCCTCTTCCTCCTCCTCCCGCTCAACCTCAGCCTCGTGTTGAACAACATGCGGCGCAGCAATCTTTGCCGGCGGCGGTCCCATACCCGGCAAGATCGGCACTGGTGCCATACTCCGATCATCAACATCCTCCTCGTGTCTCTCGACATGCTCTAGTGCATGCTTGGGCTTCGACTTGACAGCGGGGGGTGGCGGCGGCATACCCAATGCCATACCCATCATGCCCATTCCACCACTCATCTTCGCCATACGCTCTCTGAGGGCGATACGCCTCGCAACTTCCGGATCGACGTCTTCCTCTATTTCCTCTTGCTCCTCTGCTTCTTCCTCCTCGTGCTGCACTGTCTCCTCCTCGGCATGAGCGGGAGAATGCGCAGGCGCCTCGAGATCAGGATGCGAGGTATGCGACTCAACCTTCTCCACCGGCGCAGCAGTCCCAGGCACCATCACTTCCTCCCCAACTTCCTCCGGCTCTTCGCTAATGGCGCTCTCCTCCCTCTCCCCCGTAAAACTCGGCCGTTCCTTCCCCGGCGTCCCCAGCGTACTCTTCCGACTCTCACTCGACATCCTCCTCGGGACCTCCTCCATCGAGCCCTTCCTCTCACTATCAACACTCTCCCTCGGCGTAGGCTTCGCAGCCGGCTTGGGTTTCGGAGGTGGAGGCCCACCCATTGGATTCAAGCGACTCTGCTGCAACGCCGCGATTCTATCCCGTAAACTACCAGCCTTTGGCGCATCCTCCTCCTTCGCCTCCATACTACTCGTCCGACTCAAACTCGACGAAGCATCGTGTGCTGCCTCCCTCTCCACCACGGGGGCCGGCGGCGGGGGATGAACGACCTCATGCTTCCTCAACTGTTCCGGTTTGGGAACGGCGGGGGTGGAGGTGTAGGCTGCAGCACTCGGCGGCGGCGGCACGAATGGCTTCTTGACGAAACTGCTCGGTTTCTGCATCGGTTTGGGGGCGATGGGGGCGTCGGCGCTCTTATTGAACGCGGCGATACGATCACGGAAACTCGAACCTCCACCAGTCGAGGGGGAGGGCTTATCCGAGGTTGCGGAGGGTGGGTTTGATTTGGGGGTTGAGGGAAGGTTGGTGGTAATCGTTGGTAAAGGTGCAGGCTTTGTGGCAGCGGCGACGGGTGGTGGGGCGGCGACGGGTGTTGGCTCGGACACCGGCGGTGGAGGGGAAGCTGCCCTAATGAGCTCTTCCTGAGCAGCTATATCAGCGGCTTTGGGCCCAGCAGGTTTAACTGGAGCCGCGACAACTTCTTCTTCTTCCTCATCTTCCTCCTCGGGTTCAGGGTCATGTACCTCCTCCCTGATAGGCTCGGCTACCTCCTCCTCCTCCTCCTCCTGTGCTTCTTCCTCCACTTCGCCCACAAAATTCTTCGGAAACATTCCCTCCCTCCCCCCAACCTTTCCAAAATACCACTCCTCATCCTCAATACTCGTAACAGTGATCACGTCACCCGCATCAAACGTAAGGTCGTCATCATGATCTGACGTATAGGCATGAAGCGCACGCACTGAGAACGGCGGCGATGGAGCCATGGAACTGTCGATATGTTTAATGAATGCTGATGGCGGCAGGATACGTGCGTTCTTGGTGTAGTGTTTCGCTGGATATTGACGTGCGGGAGATTCGTGCGGCTTCCGGCTTGGCCCGCGCATCTGAGTGGTGATGACGACCGGCACGTGATCGGCTCTTGCACGCAGACCTTTCTCAGTTCGAGTCGCTATCGATTGCAAATATCGTAACATTTAACATTAGTTCTTGTGACGGTAACGAAATCGATGTCGGCGTCGATATGTCACGGTTCAGCGAATTTCCCACGCATACGTGCACGCATATCCATCACTCGCAACGATTCAGACTGCAATGGCCTGGCCAAGTGTTGCTTTATTCCCATTAGCATCACAGTTGAGCACGGAGCATTGACGATTCCCATGATCATTTGGAGAATCACACATGCACATACTCGTACGCACCGAACAAGGATAAGCAATTATTGCAATGAACTGATAGCAAAACACCCAAACTCCATCCCTAATACCGAACCCACGCCCTCCCTACTCCCCATTCCCATTAGCATTCCACTCCCCACCCCTCAACTCAGGGTATTCTTTCACCACCTCCCTCCACCCCCCAACCAAATCCCGCACCAACTCCCCCCCCTCCTCACACCCAACACTAACCCTCACCACCCCCCCTTTCACCCCCGCCTCCGGCACAGAAGCATGCGTCATCGCACTCGGTACAGATACGAGTGATTCAACGCCACCAAGAGACTCCGCGAGCGTGAAGAGTTTTAGGTGTGAGATGAAGAGTTTGGCTGCGGCGGCTGCGGCGGGGGAGGAACTCGATGTGGAGGAAGCCCCATGGGGAGGAAGGGTGAGATCGATGGAGAGAAGGGGCCCGGGGTGGCGGGATTGGGTGTTGGAGAGTGCGTGGTGGCGGTGTGTCGGCAGTCCAGGATAGATAACCGGACACCCCAACCCATCCAGCGTCCTTGCAATCACCGACGCCGTCTCACACGCTTTCTCCATCCGGAGCGCAAGTGTCTTAATCCCCCGCGTAACGAGATACGTATCCCACGGACTCGGCACCCCCCCCAACGTATTCGCCAAAAACCCCAACCTCGTACCAATTTCCTCAGAATTAGTGACCGCAGCCCCCAATAACGCATCCGAATGTCCACCGAGATGTTTCGTGGCAGAGTGTACCGCGATCGTCGCGCCGAGGAGGAGAGGACGTTGGAGGTAGGGTGAGAGGAAGGTGTTGTCGACGACTAGGATTGTGGAGGGGGAGTGTTGTGTGAGGAGGGAGGAGATTAGAGGGATATCGATGATGTTTAGGAGGGGGTTTGATGGGGTTTCGAGCCAGATCATGCCTAAGCCCTCAACGAGGTGCGGGAGGAGTCGTGCTGTAACCTCCTCTTCCGAGCCCGAGAGGTCGACGAAGGTGACGTCGTACCCATTAACCTCCCGCCCGACTTTCGTCAAATACCGCCTCGTCCCGCCATACACATCCGCCGAACACACAATCCTCCCCCCACCGCCAGGTTTCACAAGCTGCGTTACAGCATTAACAACCGCAACTCCACTACTAAACACAACCCCCCACTCCGCTTTCTCCAACGCACAAATCTGCTCCACCAACGCCGTCCGCGTGGGATTCCCGCCGCGGGCGTATGAATAATCCGATATCTGCACGCCTGGAGCACTGTGCGCGAATGTGGTGGTGAGTGAGAGAGGTGGGATTACGGCGCCGGTAAGTGGGTCGGGGGCTTGTCCGGCGTGGATTGCGAGGGTGGAGAAGTCGGCGTAGGAGGGGTCTGGGCGAACTTTGATGGGTTCGACTGCTGGGACGGTCGATCCATTTGGACTGCTTGTTGGGCCGGATTTGAGTTGAGTCATGCTTGATGATAGGGAGAGGCTGAGGGGGTAAGAGCGGTTTATATAGGGCTCGCGATCGGTGGGGGGGAGGGGGGGGGGGGGGGCAGCCAGAGAGGCCCGGCAAGCACGCAATCGATTCGGTTGAGGTGGGTGGCAGACTTCTCCCGTGTATTTGGTGCGGATGACATTTGCGGGTAACTTGACTCTTCACTTTATTGAAAAAGAATCAACAGTATCAATATCGTACGAAGAACTTCCTTCACACACCCGCAAACCAGCAAACAGAATATCTCAAACAAAAGAACACCTCCACCCTACCTCCCCCTACAACCCATACCCCATAGCCTTCATCCCCTCAATCCCACCCAACCTCTCCAAATCCCCCCTCGTCCCGCGCCCAACATGCCCACTCTCCCCCTTCCCACCCGGGAAATCCGGCGGCGGGACACCCCCCTCAAACGCCTCCCTCTGCCTCTCCAAATACGCACGATTCAACCCACAATCCGGCGCAGCAGGGATATAGAGAACCGAAGAATCCGAGGTACCCGTGTGTGAGGAATCGACGGCATGGATCGCGTCACAGTGCCACGCGACGTACGAGCCTGGTCGGACACGGGGGATATGCGTCATCGTCTCCCCAAGACGTAGGTGTGGATGTAACTCCTTCGTCAACTCTTGCGCCATACCCGGGGTCGCACCATGTAACGCACTCTCCTCCCCCCCCACAAACCTCCAATCCCTCAACCCCGACCTCGAAGATCGTGGAGCAAAAAATGGACGGAGGATGAAGTATGCCGTAACCTCCCTCAACAACGGCAACAACAACAACGTTCCCTCGCGTGCCCCGACATCAGACATGCTCATCCACCCCTGCCACATCCGAAACATCGAGCACGCACCCGCTCCATCGTACATATCCATCCTCACACCCAACCTCGCCCTCGCATTAAACGGGTCGTACGCTTCCCAGTTGCCCGAGAGGATAGGGGCGTAGAGTGAGCGATACCCGGGGTCTTCCCAGCGTTCGACGCCGCCGCCGTCGATGTGGGGACCGAGGGCGAAGGAGGTGTCGCCGGGGGTGCGGATACGGAGGCGGTCGAGGTAGGTTAGGGGTTGGGTTGTATCCAAGTGGTCCTGGGAGGAGGACGAAGAGGATGTGGAGTCCCAGAGACCTAACAGGAATTTCTGGGTTTGGAGGAGGTTGGGATGCGACCTCGCCGCGATCTGCGCCTGCGAGTGGTAGAGTTCGTAGACCTGGGGGTCATGTGCCGGGAAGGCTTTGGTGGAGGGGTTCGCCTTGATGTAGCCTTTGATGTCGGATTTGTATTTGAGCGCTTGGGATGGTTCGATGACATTGTGGATCACGACACTCCCGCGTTTCTTGATCTCCTCAACAACATCCTTCGAAACTTCAGACGCCTCAAGATCAGCGAACTCGAGCTCAGGAATGACAGAAGATCCCCGGGCTATGATTTCCTCGAGACCCTGGTCGAGGCGATTGATGAGGCGGTGCCAGGACTGTTCGAGGGCATCGCGTTGTTCGGGGGAGGAGCCAACGATTTGTTCTTTGAGAGTTGCGAACCGTTCTGGGAGGGGTTTGGCTGGACCTCCGGATAGAGAAGCGAAGACGGAGGAGATATCGCCTTCTTTCTTGGCCATGGTGGAGGTGGTAGCCATTTGCATAGACCGCTTCCCGCCCCCGTTCAAAACCGAAGTCAATGTAGCGTTATTGAATCTCGTAACTCTGTACATCTCTTCAAGAAACCAATTGTAATAGTCATCTCCATCTTTCAAAGGATGTTCCCCACTCTTATACCCACGGGGCCCTCACTCCGATCCACCGGTTCCGCGCGCCGAGTTGCGCACCGCTAGCGGGTCGGACCAGAAAACGTTAACGCAAAAACAACCAACCATCTGAACGGAAAAATGATTGGAGTCATTGGAGCTTCTCAAAGTCAAGTCGACGACAAGAAACGGAAGAGAGCGAGTGAGGCATGTGACGCATGTCGTCGCAAACGGGTATGTCTTGTCGTGGTTGATCTGGGTGGACGGAGGCGCTGACATGGGTCGCGACCACAGAAACGTTGCGAACCTCCCGAGCGCGACGGTGAAGGCTGTCCCCGCTGCCGGAAAGAAGGCTCAACGTGCAGGTTTGTTCATCACTCCTTCCGGATCATCCATCCGATCAAGTCCTAACGCGTGAAAAAGTTTTACGGAACCGACGTCTGCGTCGGCCACACCCTACCGCACGCACGACCACGCACCGACCCCACGTCCCGTCCCAGCACCCGCCGTATACCATACCCCGACATCCTACAGCCATCACCCTACGGGCAATGGTCCGGAGGGTCTCCCATCCGTGAACGATACTGCCCGCCTCGTCGGCTCGAGCGCGACCCGCGCCTCAAAGGCTTGCGATACATGTAAAGCTAAGAAGGTTCGTCCACTCCTCCTGTTCTCTTCTCTATCTTATAATCATCGTACTAACAACTGCCCAAGAAACGCTGCGATCAAGGCCCCATCCCAGGCGGCGCCTGCGCCCGCTGCGGACAAGAAGGCATCACATGCTCCTTCACCCGAAACGAATACCTCGTCTTCCCACCCCATTATGGTCACCACTCACCCATGCCTCACCCTGGCCCACAACCACCGCCTCATAGTATGACGGTGCATGCCCACGGACACCAGCATCATCTACCGCCACCCCCGGGCCCGCACCCTTCGCAACTCGCGACTCGATTCATCGGTGATCTGAATCCGGAGTCGCAGTTGTTGCAATTGGACAAGACACGATCGAATGGACCTAGTATGCCTGCATCTCGACGAAATAGTTTTGGACATGGGAGGAGTGTTGGCGGGAATAATGGTGATGTTGGCGTTTGGGTTACGGGTCGGAGTGGGAGTGGGAGAGGGAAGCCTGCGCAAGCGGACACGAAGAATGAAGACACAAAAAATGGCGGGGATGGTAAAGACGAGCACATCCAAAACGAAGCAGAGCTAATGCGAGCCGCATTGGAGAACCTTCGCCAGAAGGTATCGTTTCTCTCCGAGGTCATTCTTCCGTCAAAGGACTCCCTTGATGCATTACTCGATATCTACTTCCGCTCCGTCAACCTCTTCCTCCCAATCGTTGACGAAACCACCTTCCGGCGCGCTTACACCGAAGACCCCACCACCGTCTCAAAACCACTTATCCTAGCCATGACCCTCGTCGCCTCAAAACACGACGACGCAATTCCCTACCTCACCGACCGCCCCCGCAACTTCGGTGCTCGAGTCTACGAACAACTCACAGCCCTCCTCGCAGCAGGCTACGAACGCGATAAAGTCACGCTCATCAAAATCCTCGCCCTGGCGAGTCTTCATGCGGAGGGAAGCGAAGGCGGTGTGGAAGCGAGCATGATGATAGCAAAATGCGTTCATCACGTTCAAACTCTCGGACTCCACCTCCCCCGCGTCACGGCTGGACATGGACACGGACACGGTCCCGGTGACGAGAGTGTGCAGAGACTCTTTTGGGCGGTGTGGACGTTGGATAGGTTCCACGCCGTACTCAGCGGTCGCCCGATTTTACTACATGCGGCTGATATGGGGATCGCTGATCCACCTCGCCTTCCTGGCGCGTTTGGTGTTTGGTTGAGGATCACGGGATTGTTGGATCGTGTCATTGCGTTCTACCGTCCCCGACTCGATGGGCGGATTAGTGGTGGCTGGGAAGAGGGATTCCCGTCCTTTGAGGATGTGATTGGGGAGGAAGAAGTCGGGGTGGGTAACGAGATGGTCACCTTGTTGGAGGTGTATTATCATGCGGTTAGTATGTTGACACATCGGAGCCGGTTGGTGGTCGCGTCTGGGGCTACGCCGAGCAGTACGCGGCAAAGTCTCAGCGCGTACCGCATTCTGCAAATGGACATGACCGGCCTCGCACCCCTCCCGATCATCCCATACACCGCAACCCTCGCCATGACAGTCTTCTACCGACAATTCAGAATGGCGAAGTTGACCACCCTCCGAGCTCGCGCTCGGGCAGATTGGGAACGGGCACAGAAAGTGTTGGAGGGATTGGGTGATCGATGGTGGAGTGCCGAGGCGATGGGTAACTTGGGACGGAGCGCGATGGAAAAGGTGGAGAAGAGGGATCATCCCCCGCCACCACCAGTACAGACCAGACCCGTCAGTGCTGAAGCGAATCTGCATTTGTTGGTGCATGCTGCCGCTGGCGGTGCTGATGCCGATTTACCCCAGTTCGAGACGCAGGCGAATGGACATGGGATGGGTGATGGGGGTCAAGGCATGGGAGGAAGCCCTTGGAGTGTATCGAGTGGGTTGGAGAATTTAGATACGTTCTTGTTGGATACGTTCCCGGACCCGTGTTTCCCAACCGAGTTTTTGGACCCGGCGACTTAGGGGCTGGGCCATGTGATGTAGGTGGGATTTCTAGGGATTACTACTGTGAGGGTCATGAGTTACGAAGATGGCATTCGACTGAATGGGATGGTATGGTTATGGCGTGATAATAGTCTCTGTTTTTCCGGTGTGTATACGTAAGTGTAATGTGTTAGCTTTCAGTTTAATCTCAGTTTGTCCAATCTTTGCAATGAACTTTCATATCAATCGCGGATGAGGCATGCTCATATGTTATTCGGATTCTCTGAACAGTATTATACTGTAGGGCCAGCCGCGGAGTGGAGTATACAGCTCGTCCTGCGGGTCAGATTCCCACGAAAACGGCGAGTAATTGCAGGAATTTACGAGGTCATTGTGATAATCAAGCCGTCGTGGTCTTCAGAAAAATGCATGCATTAAGATATTTCGCTAATCGAGATACGACGACCACTTAGACTGTCAATTTACTTCTGCAACGGCTCCCCACCCCTCGGCCATGCCTCCTCAACCGCCTTCAAAACGTCATACCCATACAACCACTCACCCCAAACACCATCCCTCCACCTGTTCGGATCACCCTCAAAGGGATTCAAACTACCACCAACACCGGCCTCCATCGCCTTCATCTTCTCATCTCTCTTCACCTGCTCAGCACCATCGTGCATGTGGAAGAGCGTGCGCTGGTTAGTAGATCCCTGGACCACACGCGTCGTCCGAGGCTTGCGGAGACGCTCGTAGATGGCGAGGGCGGTAGGCAACTCTTCCACGGACCGGACACGGCCGAGGAGTTCACCGAGCGCGACACCATCCTCGACAGCGATAGCTGCACCGGAGGCGAGGTATGGGAGGGTGGGGTGGATAGCGTCACCCAACAACGCGAACCGTCCGCCTTCGTGCACCCACTTTGGCGCTTCCTCGCGGTTCATCAACTTCCACTTCACCACCGTAGGACTCGTATCCAACTTCAACATCCTCGTCAACTTCGGATCCCACTGCTCAAACAAACTCAACATCTCCGCCGCATCGCCCTTTTCCGTCTTCGCATTCGGATCGGACAACGTATCGGGACACAAAAGGACGATGTTGTACAAACCTCCACCGCGGAGGAGGTACCCGACGACATGGCAATCAGGTCCGAGCCAGAAGTTGATAGCGGGGGCGTTGACGAATTCGGCGAGTTCGGGGATATCCTTCATCTTGTCCGCGGGGACAATAAGCCTGTACGCCAAATCACCAGTAGGCGTAGGCGGATCCGGACCCAACAAACACTCCCTCGTCTTCGAATTAACACCATCCGCACCAATGATCAAATCGGCCTCATAAGGCTCATCCAGGCGCGCAGCCGTATAGCACTTTCCATTCTCGAAATCGACCTTTGTGACAAACGCTCCCGTGACCAACTCCGCACCCAACTCGACACACGCATCAAGCAACAACTTGTGATAATCCGCACGGTGAACGTGGTAATACGGCGCTCCGAACCTCTCCACGAAAGAAGGGTACAACGGTGCGACATTCAACACCGAACCATCCGCGAACCGGCGCATGGTACAAGTCTGCGGCAAAGTCGACACGGCGTTCATCCTCTCGTCCAAGCCCCAGTGCTGGAGCAATCGGGACGCATTCGGAGGAACCTGGATACCCGCACCAATCTCCCCAATCGCGGGGGCCTGCTCGAGGATAGTGACCTTGTGTCCATTCTCAAGGATCGAGATCGCGGCGGCCAATCCACCTAATCCCGCACCGACGATGATGGTCGAGAGGGGCGTATCCGTCAATGGTGTTTTCTTCTGAAGAGTCATCGTTATCGTCGTATTCGTCGTTGTGTATACCGAATCAAGACAATTCGGAGGTCGATGAGAGGGTATTTATTACCTTCTATTGGCCTGGACAACCTTCGGGTCATATTTTGCGCGCGGCGGAGAAACGAACTGCCGAACGGCCTGCAGTGCCGAAAACGCGGAGATGGGAGATGAGCTGGAAAGTTCGGCAATGGAAAGGGGATGGATTTGTATATGCGGTATAGTTATGGAGATATTCTAGTTCCGTGATGGTATATTGTCCGTCATTGAGATTGGGCTCTTATTCTCTGGATGATTTCTGAGCCATCCTTCGCCCCGGTGCTTCAACAGTTGGCCATGGCCATGGGCTGCCTAAAGTCGCACTCCTCCATGTTTGCCTTTGAACTTGTCTGCCGTGTCACGAACGACTGCCATCCGCAGCGTAGTCCGCATGCGATCGGCTTCATATCCGACTCGTAACGAGCCAGCCTCGCCGGGTATCAACTGCAAACAATCCTAAGCCGAGTATTGGCCTCTCCTCGGCCTCCAAAACCATGAAGCCTTCGTGTCCTTATTCTTCATTCGGAAGAAAAATGGAATGGAATGGAAAGACCATCCTGCTCGTCGCTGGTCCGTTTCGATCTGAGGTAACCTCGCCCTCTCCCAGGTCCACTGCCGCCCTCAGCACCAATCCCTGCCCGTTGACGTCCTCCGAGCGTACGAATCTGTCCGTGCATCCAATTGCTAGCGCTACCACAGTCGGCGCTGCACTCCCTGCTTTTTGCTTCAATCCCCACCCCCCCGTAAAAACTCCACACACGTCTCATACACCACAAACGTAACACAAGTCGCCGGCGTAACCCTAACAACATTCGGTGCCAAGCCCTTATAGAAGCCCGCTATGCCCTCTGCTCGCCATGTTCGTCTGATGACGTCGAGAATGCCTTTATACGCTTCCTCCTTCTTCACACCCGCGACCGTAGCCGCTGCTGACACAGACACCGACGACGGGGTAGCCCCAGGAGGGGGTTGGGGTTGGGGTTGGTAGGGCTGCGACTGAATCCGACTCTTGACGACCTGGTAGGGATACGTCACGACACTCGCAACGATCTTACTCGTCGCGCTCATCCATAAATAACTCCACGTGCTCCCCTTGCCACCTTTCCCATTCCCTTTGCCGGCTCCGTCACTATTCCGCACGTTTTCCCAGTTTTTGAGTTTCTCGTACGCGGCGAATTGTACAGCGCCATGACTGACCCCAAAGAGCGCCGGTACTAGACCGCGGTAATAGCCTCTTATCCCTTCTTCGCGCCAGATCCGGCGGAGGGCGTCAGGGAGGGAGCGATACCCAACCACCGCCGTCGACCCTGGAGGTGCAGAGGACGCTGATGGTGGAAGGGCGTGTACGATCATCCTCGTCTTGATGACCCAGATCGGGTTGGTGAGCAACGTCGTGAACGCCCCCGCCCCCGCCGCCGCAAGCAGATACTCAACACTCCCCAACCCCCCCTCCCCCCTCCATTTCTCCACCTCCACCTTCAACCCCGTATACACCCAAAAATAAATCCCCCAAGCACTCATACTCCCCACCAAATTCGGCGTCCATCCGCGATAAACACCCCGCACCCCTCCCTCTTCGCGCCATATTCGGCGGAGGAGGTTGATGGAGGTACCGAGGTGGTTGGGTTTTGTGGTTGGGTCGACTTGGAGGCGGGTTTTGAGGAGGTCGAGGGGGTGGAGGAGGGTTGTGCTTGTTGCGCCGGCGAGGAGGCCGGAGAGGGCGTGGTGGAGGGGGGAGGAGTCGTTTGGCATGCCTGGTGAGAGGAGCGGCCGGCGCAGCTGATGTGGAGAAGGAAACGGATCAAGGCTGGGGATTGACAAAGAACGAACCGTTCGCCTTTTTCTTGTCGGGACGGGCGAGTGTGGCTCGAGCTCGAGGTGTGGCACAGCAGGGCCTCCAGACAAAAAGTCGGTCGGTTCGTATCGATAAGAAAGTCAGAAACAAGTCGACACCGGCGAAACTTCCGTCGCTATTCTATTCCAGTTGCAAAGATGAAGGTCTACACCTCCGACGAACTCGGCCAGCTCAAAGGTCTGGTTGCGATGCACGTGGCCGTGAGGATCTCGCTAACAATCAAACAGCCATCGAATTCACCCGAGGAACAATCACCTCCGATCCCGACACCCCAAAGCCGACAATCAACATCCTCATCAAGCCCACCAAGGTTCCTATACAGCGCTTAACGGCATGTACCTACAATGACGCGATCGACACCCCAGTCATCGGCCTCCCCGGCGGAATCGTCAAAGTGGTCGACAAAGAAACCGGTGAAATCCTACAAGAGTGGAAAGATGCACGGGTACAAGACGAGACGGATAAATGTATCGGCCTAGCCTACGCACACGGACACATTATCTCGTGCACAGCATCCGGCTACTTCACCGCACGATCCCTCACTTCCGACGCTGCTGAAGTCACCACCACACACACCCTCCCAGCCCCTCTCTCATTCCTCCGAACTCACCCAACCGAAGCCGGAACAATCATCTTTGGCGGAAAAGACCGCGACGTCGAAATCTGGGCCCGACAACAGGGCGAAAAGAAGAAGGACGACGACACGAAACCTTTCGCCGGGTTAAAACAAGTTTTTAAAGCCAAAAACGTCAAAAACGACGAACTAGACCTCACCGTCCCAATCTGGCCCACCGACGCCGTCTTTCTTCCCACCTCCGACTCAGCACCAGAAGAAAAGCCCCAAAGCGGCAACCGCTACGCCCGTACCCCTCCCAACGGACCCACCTACAAATTCGCCACCATAACCCGTTTCCGCCACATCCGCCTCTACTCCACCCCCCTCGCCCGCCGTCCCCTCTGGTCCACCCAACTCGGCCCTCAACCCCTCCACTCGCTCACCCTCCACCCCTCAAAACCCGATGATGAAGTCATCTTCGCCGATAACCATTCCCGGATAACCTCATTCTCACTCTCCACTCGCCTTTCGACTGGCTCGTACCTCCGTCCCACGGGCGCCCCGATGGGGTTGGAGTGTAAGGGCCGCGTGGTGGCGAGTGTTGGGTTGGATAGGTATTTGTGGGTTTGGGATGCGCGGACGAGGGAGGTGTTGGGGAAGGTTTTCTTGAAGGTTAAGCCGACTGCGGTGTGGGTTGTTGATGATGAGGATGTTGGGGATGGGGTTAAGGTTGAGAGTGAGGATGAGGATGAGGATGGGGAGGGGGATGTTTGGGAGGGGTTGGAGGAGGTTAAGAGTGAGAGTGAGGGTGAGAAGGGGGAGGGTGAGGAGGGGAAGCGGGTGAAGAGGAGGAGGAGGGTGTAGATGGTGGAAGGTGGAGGATAGAGTTAGTTGAGCATTGTGGCAAATGGTGAAGCATATGAGAGACAGTATGAGAAATCCATTTTTGACCCTAATAACCAAACCCGAACCAAACCCCAAAACAGTAACTCGTCGCCGTTCTAAGTCCTCAATCGCATCGTAAATTGCGATCAAACTCCTCAAAACACCCGACCACTTCTTCCTCATCTTCGAAGCCATCCGTCGCGACGGTATACTCCATCTGGGTGAGCCGTTAGCTACCGTTCCTAAACCAAAAAGCTAAAAGCAAACAACATCCTCTTCCTCCCTCCACCAACGCCAACACCATCACCCATCCTCAAACGAACGACCCCGAACTCACGCCGAACGACAACTCTTCACCATCTCCTAGTCTAAAGTTAAGGTAAAACGACTAGGCTATACTCACCATGTTGTATCGAGTTGTGTGAAGAACTCACAGTCCAGCGTCTGGGGACCGCGTCTGATATACCATACCAGCGCCCAAAGTCACATCAACGCTAACGTCTTTCCTTTCGTCCCTCACCGCGGACCGGATCGGATCAGACGGCACAATTAAACTTCCTTCCCGTTGAGATTGGGCCGGGTGGGCGGTGGAAGCAAAACAGGTGATCTCAATTGGCAGGGGTGGCCGTTAGTGCGTAGCGTTAGCGTGGGAACAAAAGCTGGCTGACTCCTCAAGCTTCGCAAATACGTCATGGGAACAACACCGTCGTGCTCGTCAATCCTCAACGATTGCTCGGATACAGCTTTGGTCTAGTATACCCGTTCAGAAGCAAGCTCAACTACACGCTAGCGTTCACGCGAATGAACGTGACTCTCGACACCGCACAGGGTGGAGTACGCAATAACACATACTATTCAAATATGAAAAGGTGATGCCACATCAAACTGCAACAAGCATTCACACAACCTCCCGTCCCTGATATGCAAACGACAACCTTCCCCGAAAGTAAAATACTCAGAAACAGTACACCCAAATCTCCCCCTAACGTACACTCAATTCGACCCAGACAACTCTCAAAAGCTATCCTCCAACAAACTCCTCCCCCTCCTCCTAACCTCCCTCGCCTTCTCCTTCAACCCCTCCTCCCTCTCCTCCAACATCTCCGCCCTCTCATCCGCAACCCTCTCCACAGCCTCAAACAGCGCCGCCTTTGCTCGCCGATGCGCAATAATCTTCTGGATAAACGTATAAGCCCTTTGCGCGATCGCGAGGCCTGCTGCTTCCCATTCTTCGAGGGTCATGGAGGCGGAGGAGAAGGAGGTTTCGGTGGGGGTGAAGTCAGTTGGGAGGGGTGGGGGGTTTGGGAGGGATGTTGCGGATGCGTACGTTGGCTGGGGGGGTTTGGAGGAGGCGGTGCGTTGGTGGTGCGTGGTGGGTTGAGCGGGGGGAGCGGGAGCAGGAACGGAGCTCTGAACATGAGCTTGAGCCTGAGTGAACTGCTGGGACTGCTGCTGATGGTGTTGATGCCCATGATACCCACTCATCGAAACCGACTGCGCTTGACCCGGACCGTGTCCCATCGACATCGACATCGACTCCATCCTCTGATGCGGCTGTTGATGTCCCGGTCCCGCCATCGCCGGAAGCCCACTCCCACCGCCGCTAACATTCAACGGCTCAACACTCCCAGCATACATACCCATCCCATCCCCTCCAGCAAATTTCTCACCCGGCGTGACATCCGCACTCCCCAGCTCCTCATCCGTCCAGATACCGTCCTTTTCTTTCGCTCCGGCACCAGCGCCCAACGGCATCGGCGGCCCAGGAATCATCGCCTCGACCTGTTTATCGAACTCTGCTTCATCGAACTCCGAGTCTTCATCGAATTCCATATCCAAGTTTCCCTCTCCCTGTGCGCCCAGAATCTGACTCGCCGTGGTAGGGGCAATGGTGGTGGTGAGGGGGTTGAGTGGGACGCCGTACTCTGTCTTGACTTTCGCGATAGTAGTTGGGGCAAGATAGGATTGAGCGTGCGTCGTGGCGAGCGTTGTGGAGTCATCGAGGTTGGGGTCGAAGTCGGATGAGAGGGGAGCCGAGGAGAAAGTGGGGTGGTTGACCGTGTGTCTATCATGCCAAAGAGTCAGCATACACTCCCTAAACCATAGCATACACCCCCTTAAACCCACTCAAAAACTCACCCCTGAACCTTTTCAATCTTCTCTTGCTTGATCTTCACTTCACCCTCCCCTTTCTCCATCTTCACCGTACCCTCATCACTCTCCGAATCACCCGCGTGCTCCCCACCGCGTCCCATAACTTCATCGACCTTCTCCAACTTGACCCTCAACAAATTCGCGTCACTAGCATCGGGGGCCTGCTGTTTTGCCGTCACCACTGTCGTATTACTCGCCTGAGCCGGCTGGGGAAACAAAAACTGGCGATTCGCACGAGTTCCGAAAGCGGGACCAGCAGCTGCTGTGGTGCTGTCAATCGATGGACGCGGTGCATTCGTCGGACCAGAAGAAGAAGATGTGGGTGCTTGAGGTTTATAGGAAAACTTGGCCCCAAACAACCCCGGCATACGCCCGTTAACAAAGTTCTTGACACCCTGACCAGCTGTACTGTTGTTATTCGACGGCATTCTCGTCTCGTCTTCGTGTGTGTGCAAAATGAGATTCAAGTCAGAAAAGAGCTTTAGAAGTCAAAGTTCAAGCAAAGGTCCAAGTCGGTTGGTTGCTGGTTGCTGGTTGCAATGGTTGTGGGTGTATGCGGATAAAGGAGTCAAGAGCGACTCGAACTCACCGTAGCCGCCCACCGCGGGGTTGCACTGCCACACCAGCCACCATACGTTCACCTTCCCCATACAGCGAGCGTTACACACATTCGACTGGCAGATCTTCGCAGTCTGCGATCCATTATTTGTTCAATATCGAGGTTGACCCTTAAATAAACAGTGTCGCAAATGGACTACGGCTCCGCAACCCTCTCCTTCGCAAACCCACGTCCGTCCCACTCTCACTCCCTCCTCCCATTCCCCCCTTCCCTTCCTACTAACATTCCATCATAAAGTCCCGGTCCAACTCCTCCCAACAGAAACCCTCCTCCACCTCACCCGCAACGCCCTAAAAATATCCGAAAACCTCGTCCTCGCAACCTTAAACCTCGGACAACTATGCCGGGATGTGAGAAATTTGGTGGTTGGGGTCGTTGGGGTGGGGGTTTTGTGCAGGGTTTGGGAGGTGTGGTATAGGGAGAAGCAGAGGAGGAAGGGGGTGCCGTGAGGATGCGAATGGGGTTTTCAGATTGTTGCGACATAACACGCATGGCGATACTGGGATGGAGACCCGGCCGGGTGCTGCGACTACACCTTTGCGCCGCCGTATGGCGTGTGGAAGTCCAAGATTACTGAAAGGGTGTCACGGAGGATTGGAAACCATGGCAGACGGAGATCAGACGGTAAGAGAAGTCTAGCTACTTGTGACTCCCACATGCCGCCGCGTAAGGGACGGGATCGGCAAGATTGAATCCACTGCTCTGGTTTACTCGTGTATGTTTCCATTAAATTGCATATGCTCATCATGTCTTGTTTTCGCATGATCTGCCTTCTTGTCCCCTTGTAAATAGTGTGAGCGTCCGTAGTCGTACCATCCCGTATGCAAATCATTTGTCCTCCTTTCGTCTCGGCTTTTCTGTCCACCAAAGAGACCCATATCCCAATTCCTCCTCATACCCCATTATCCCCATTCTCCATCCCTTTCCGCCCCCTCCCAACCTGCACCCCCCTCCAATCCCCAAAAACCCCAAGCACATCAACCCCCTCCCGCTCCTCCAGCCCTCCCAGCTCACCTTCCACTCCCTCCCCATGGCCATCACCCACACACTCCACGAAATGAACATACTCAAACCCTCCACTTTTAGCTGGTCTCGAGCGGATGGAGTCGATAGTTAGTGATGGTGGGAGGGAAGCGAGGAGAGCGTGTATTGGTGCGTGGACGCGGATGAGGGTGCGTTGGGTGGGGGCGGGCGTTGGGTATGGTGATGCGGGGTGTGGTGAGAGGATGAGGAAGCGTGTCGTATTATCTATTACACACACACACATTCAAATCAGCACCACTCACGAAAAGGGGAAAGAGGAAGCATACCATCATTATCCTGAATATCCCTCGCCAAAACCCCAACCCCAAACATATCCCCACAAATCTCCCCCGCAATCCCCACCGTCTCCTCCCCCTCCTCCTTCGCCAACTCCGCAGCCCGCGAGGTCGAGGACACTGCGATACGTTCCACGCCCTTCAAATGTTTTGTGAGGAATTGCTCGCATTGGCCGAAGGCTTGTGCGTGGCTGTAGATTCGTCGAACGGATTTTAAGTCTCCATTTCCTAATAGTGTATGCCGTACTCGGAGATATTTCTCGGCGACGACTCGAAGACGGCCGGAGGAGGTGGAGGATGAGAGAGGGAGGTCGCGGAGGAGGTCGAGGGTTGGTACGACTGATCCGTTCGTCGAGTTTTCGTACGGAATGACGGCGTGGGTACACCCTTTTGACGGATCACGTATCGTGGAGAAGAGATCTGGGATTGCGGTACAGGGGACGTATGTCGCACTTGCTCCAAAGACTTCGCGGGCGGCCTATTTAACGTGTTAATCGCCAGTTTCCTCACTCCTCTCAACGGGATCAAGGCAAACCTGGTAGGTAAAGGTTCCGGGTGGAGCGAGGTATGCTACCGTTGGTGATGATGTAGGCTGGCCGTTTCCCTGGGTCATGGTGGTTAAGCTGGATTTCTCGTGCTCGAGGTCGAGGTCGAGGTCGGTTTGCGAGCCGACGTATATTTCGGGGGAGCTACTAAATTTGGGTGCTAGGCAGGGCGCTCGCATACCGCACAAATCCGTGTGAGGAGAGGAGCGCGGAGGGATCAGCTGGTCGATGGGAGTGAAGTGCTTAGGAATGATGAGTAAGGACTGTGCTGAGTCAGAGCCCCATTAATGACTAATACTATGTGTGCAACGGCCTGTAGCCGAAGCAAGTAACCCGAAAACGCCAATGTCCAAGCCGCGGCGCCCCAACCAATTCTCATTCTAACCATTCCTCATATAACCGCAGATGATGATCTCAAAGGCGTGCCCCTACACACGAATCCACTGGATCGCGCTCATCTGTTCGCCCTCCTCAAAACTTCGCCCACATCGAAGCAAGAGCCTTCACGCTCATCTGCTCCCCCTCATCCATCTTCGCCAACACCGGGTTCTCCTCCCCACCAGTCCTTCTCAGATTAGCAGCACGCCTCCCCTTTCTGACGTCGTGCATCTCCTTCTCGGACTGCTCCTTTAGCCTCTTGGTCTCTGCGTGGTACCCGTACCAGAGGGAATCGCAGTCCAACCCATCGGCCTCGAAGATCTTCTCCGTGCGGTGCCAGATGGCAGAGTCCTCGTAATGGTCCTGCAGAGCGGGGAGGGGAGTGACCGCCCTCCACCCTGCAATGTACGGAGGACACGGAGCTTGTCCGATCTTGCTGCTTTCCTCCAAAGCAGACACGGAGATCTTGCTCTCATCGGTAAACTCCCGGTACCGAAGAGCATCACGGAACCTGTCCTCCATGGCAGGGTTCCAATCATCGACGATACCGTACTCGGAGTTGTTCATGGCCATATCCTCCTCATACCTGTTCTGGTATGCCTCGTCATATCCAGTCAACAGGTACGCGGACTGCTTATACTCCTCCTCCGCCTCCTCGAGCTCCTCCTCTTCCTCCTCAGGCGCCGGCCTAGTGTTGGCCTCAATCAACGCCCACAAATACCGGATCTCATAATCATCATCCCCATCCGTCGTAACATCACTCATCCTCATCTCAGCCTTCTTCGTTTCCAACCTTTGCTCCCTCAAGCGCTCCACACGTCTCTTTTCTCTCTTCTCTTTTTGTTGCGCGACCCAGAGCTGGTGGTACTTGAGCGGAGAGTAGTCCGGGTTGTTGTAGATGGGCATGAGGGGTGGGGGAGGCACGCTCTCATCCGTATCCGGGACGGTAATCTCCGTCTCGACTGACTCGTTCCCAATGGAGTCATCATCACTCTCCTCGCTGCTATCACTCGAGTTGTCCTCATCCTTGGGCGACGGCGCTGGCGCTGGCGCGGAGGCTAGGACGTGGAGCTCGGTGTTAGCATCCACCAAACGCGCCTGGCGATCAGCAAGCATGTCTGCAAGTTTGAGCTCCATGAGCTTCGTAGTCGCACCCCAGATACGGAACTCGTAGTCCTCATCTTCGGCAGTAGGGGTGGGCGGGGTGATGATGATCTCGCACGCCTCGATGTGCTTTTCATCCTCCTTGGGGATACGGAGGTCCAAGGACGACGCCTTCTCGGTAGGGGTGACCGGAGGCAACGGAATAGAGCACGGCGCGATAGGGGTGGTAGGGATCTCGAGCGCGAGGGATGCCTCCTCCGTAGGGGTGGCTGTCTGCAAAGCGACAGAGCACAGAGTTGGCTTCGCAGGGATATCGATGGAAGGATAACGATCGTGAGCGTCGAGCGTTCCTCGACCTGAGTCTCGTCACACCCGGACAAACCGGGCTTTTCCTCTTCCTGAGGTCCAGTATACCCATACTTGGCGGTGAAACGAGCCTCGAGGGCAGCGAGCTTGGTGTACGCGAGGTAGGCGCCAGCGACGACGGTGGTGGTTTTGTAAATAATATTGCCGAACATTCTGATGGTAGTTGTTGTGGGAGGTAGTAGAGAGTGATAGAGATACTGTATAGCTGGAGGAATGCTGTGATAGTATGTCGAGTACCAAGCGAAAGTTGACAAGATGGAGAGTCGGACTTGGGGGGGAGGGAAGGCTCCTTTTTATCATAGAGGGTCCCAACCGCGTTTGCCCTCGAACTCCCCGACCCCGATCGCTACGGCCAGAATCAATGACTTCATGACCATTTGCGGCAGTTGTTCAGATTGCCTATTCCGTCACTAGTCTCGCCTTCGTTATTATCGCCCCCCCTAATTTCACAGCATCTCGCGCTATCTAAGGTTGGCGCGAAAAGACGTTGTGGTTTAGCGTGCTCGGCTGCTTCAGAATTTCACGGATTAGGCAGGTATGCAAGAGAAATCTGAAGGCCTGCATAAGCAAGCGGGCACGAGTGAAGATGGTTTCGATCATGAAGATTTTCGTAAAGTGACTAGACGGTCGCGGATTAACGCGTAACAGCGCCTCACACCAAACGCGTAAGTTCCCTGATGGAACACGTCCTGGAAGATTAACTCGCACGCTTTTACGCGAGCGTGCCGGATTCGACAGGTCAGACCGCTGAGCGAAGATTAAGAGTGCGACAGATAGAAGGAAGACTTTTTGTTATAATACATCATCATAGGAGTGCTTACTTTCTGCCTTTTGAATTTTGCCGTATAATGACTTCAGGCGTGGCCGCAGCACTCCAACTCAATACGGATATGACCGCATCCGGCTTTCTCACGGTGAATTGGTAACCTTTTGCGCACAGAAAGGCAAGGAAATCCCATAGCAATGCAACATTATCCTCCTGAAACTGCTTAGGGCTTCTTCATCATCAGATTGCCCTTCTTTTCTAACGCTGTTCCGGACATTATTCCCACGCCCTACATCGGATGCAGCGACAGCGCATATAGACCGTCCGCGCACAACAGCTGGTTGGCCGCGACTCTACCGATAAAATCTCCTCTGGACTTGCAGAGCCTGGACGGCAGGGATGGTGTGAACTCCCGGGATGTGCAGCACAATCTCGCATGTGGGCAAGAGCTGCTGCATCGTGTTGTGTCAAGGTTTTGTGTTTTTCGTTTTTTGGGGTTGAGTGTTCGCCGTTCGGGAAGACACTCGGCGACGAAAATGAGATGTGCAAACCCTCATCCGGAACCAGCTATGAACCGAGAAGTTCGTGATTTTGTAGACTACAGTGTTCTGGCGAAGAGATCTATTCCAAGTGTACGCGCCTATGTAAACTACCAGAAGCCCACGCGATATTTCATATACCAAACAGTCCCCTATTCCCAACCCACATTCTCCACCCCTTCCCTCCCCTATAACACTTTTCTTTACCTTAATCCATCTCCTCGACCAACTCACTCATCTCACTCAACCCATACCCACTATCCCCAACAACACTCATCTCCCCCAGCCCCCCCAACACATCCTCCGTCCTCAACCCCCTCAACTCCACCTTTCCCCCCGCCATACTCTTCCTCAAATGCTCGATATCCATCCCTCTCGCGCCCACACCGGTACCACTATTCTGACGCACGAAATCCCGGATTGGGGCGAGGACTGCGTTACGGCAAAGTTCTTTGACATCGGAACCGGAGAGGCCGGCGGTGCGGGACGTGATTGTGGAGAAGGAGAAGGCGGGGTCGAGTTTGGTGTCTTCCAGTAGGAGTCGGAGGATTTTTTCGCGTTGTGCGGCGTCGGGGAGACGGACTGCGAATCGTTTTGGCATGCGGCGGAGGATTGCTGCATCGATATCATTTGGCCGATTCGTTGCGCCCAACACAATAATCCGGCTGTCTGTGGTGGAGGACAGAAGCCCATCCCACAGCGTCATGAACTCCGCCTTAATCATGCCCATAGCCTCATGCTCCCCCTCCCCTCCCCTCATCTTCAGAAACGCGTCAATTTCGTCGATGAAGATGATCGCCGGCTGTACCTTATTTGCGAGCCCGAAGAGTGCCTTCACCAATTTATTCGACTCCCCGAACCACTTGTTTGTCAAGGTGGAGATATGGACATTGATGAATGTCGCACCGCTCTCCTTCGCCAGGGCGCGGCCGAGCATGGTTTTGCCGCAGCCGGGGGGACCGTAAAGGAGGACGCCCTTCGGGGCTGCGGAGAGGGGGGAGGAGGCGGAGGTTGTTTGAAAGAGTTCGGGGAAGGTCAAGGGGTAGATTACGCTTTCTCTCAGGCTTGCGACGATATCATCCAAACCGCCAATATCTACATCCAACCCATATTAGCAAGTCAGAGGAAGAGTAAAGGAATGGAAGGGGCAAAGAAGTACCGTCGAATGTTACGTTGATATCCTCCGGCGCAATAACCTCCGTAGCAATAACCTCCTCCCACTCATCCAACTCCATATCCTTCCTCCATCCCAACTTCTCCTTAATCTTCGCCGCTTTTTTCTTTGATTGTTGTCGTGCGGCGACTTGAGGATCGATGAAGGGGAGGAGACGTTGGAAGACGAAGTAGAACGCGACGGCGCCGAGGATTGTACCTGCAATTGACGGTATTTTCGCCTTTAGGTGCTCTGCGACAGAGGGCATGGTCGCAAATGGTGGTGGGGTTGCTGGGAATTGGAGCAGGGATTTGGTGGTCAGGACGGGAATACGAGGACGTACGTGGATGCGGGTTGCTGTCGAGCCTTGCAGCCAGCTGCTTGATGTACGAAACACTACACCAAACCATCAGAGCATACAATCAGCATACAACCAAGCATCCAGCGGGACAATAACCTTGAAATCAACCGACAATGTCAAACGCTCACAGACCCACCTTCGACCCCGCTCGTGGCCGCTCCGATCAAGCCCCGACACGTATCTATGCATCGCGAATGTTGCCGAATCATACTCAACTTAAGTTCAGGTTCGTTCATTCAAGATGACCCCTAGAGATCTGCTTGCTAATTTGAGTATGGGCGGACAGAAAACAGGGACAAGGTTCCTCGACAGAGCTGCAACAGAAAGATTTGAAGGCGGAGTTGTTGAGGGCGGAGGAGGAGGCGAAAGCGAAAAAGAGTGGAAAGGCACTTCCCGTGGATGATCCCGCACCAGCACTCGCGATTGCGCAATCAGGGACGGAGAAGCATGCCTTAACGGAAGGAGACGAGGAGGAAGAATCACCAGAAGCCAAGAGAAGACGGATATTGGAGGAGTCGAAAGACCTCGATGCGGATGATTCGGACGAGGAAAAGGACGATGAGGATGACGAACACGATAGCGACGAAGACAGCGACGACGACGACGACGAAGACGAGACAGCAGCCCTCCTCGCCGAACTCGCCAAAATCAAAGCCGAACGCGCCGCCGCCGCCCAAAAACTCGCTTCTGAAAACGCCGCAGCCGAAGATGACGCTCGTGTCGAATCCATCGCGCTCGGAAACCCTCTCCTCAACCCCGATAGTTTTAAAGTCAAGAAAAGGTGGGACGAAGATGTCATTTTTAGGAATCAGGCAAGAGGGGCGGATTTGGATGGGAGGGGAGGGAAGAAGGGGTTCGTCAATGATTTGTTGAGGAGTGAGTTTCATAGGAAGTTTATGGGGAAGTATATCCATTAGGCGGGTGGGATTTGAAAGGGAAGAAGGAGGTTGAATGGTGTTGGCTGTCAGCACATGTTGGACATGCCATACCGGTACTTCGGCTTGGACCTGACGGAAATTACAGGAAACACTTGTCATGTCTGTACGTTATTCAATGGAATGGTATGAAGAATACACACTTATCAAACAACTCATCCAATCTCCGCAGCTTAGGGCTTCCCAAACCCTCCTACCCGTGGCGCGTGCGTGGCCGTGCACAGGCTCGGCGCGCAAACTTTGTTCAGACGGCATCTCGACGAATTGGTGGAACTCTGTCCGACTTACTCCTCCGTTTCGACCAAGTTTAACCAGCAGACAAAATGGTATGTGCCATTGCTGCGGCGCTCCTCAGGCCTCCTGCTTTGTCCGCAATCGCATCACTCCTCCGAGCGACGTGCACGATGACTAACAACACCCCCAGGGCCGTGTCCGTACGAAGACCGTCAAGCGCGCTTCCCGCGTCCTCATCGAGAAGTACTACCCCCGTCTTACTCTCGACTTCCACACCAACAAGCGCACCTGCGATGAGGTCGCCATCATCGCCTCCAAGCGTCTCCGTAACAAGATCGCCGGTTTCACCACCCACTTGATGAAGCGTATTCAGCGCGGACCCGTCCGTGGTATCTCCTTCAAGTTGCAGGAGGAGGAGCGCGAGAGGAAGGGTGCGTATTTATCGCCCCTCCGAGTTCTTGTCTTCGTCTCTGTCTGTGTTGGAACACATGGATAGGGTTGAGGGCGGGGACTCGTTTGTGGATTGTCCCACAACTCTCAAACTTTTCGGATGCTGATGTAAGTTCTAATTAGACCAGTACACTCCTGACGTCTCTGCCCTCGACACCTCCGCCACTGGTGGTCTTGAGGTCGACCCTGACACCAAGGAGTTGTTGAAGCAGATGGGTTTCGACAACATCCCCGTCACCGTTCAGGCCGTTTCCCAGCACCAGCAGCAGGAGCGTCCTTTCCGCCGTCAGCGCCGCGACTAAATTTCCTCTCAACAATCTCAGTAGAATGATCAATTGATGGGGGGAAATTGGGTGGAAGTAAAATGATGGATTTATCTCTGTGCAGCTTGGTTGTGAATTTCTCGGTTGTCGGGGAGCACTAATGTCTGTCTGTTTTTGGTCGATAACCGCTCTACGGAACGGTTCGAGTAGGAGCAAGAATGAAAGCCGTTTTGCCCATATTGATCCTGTTCACTTTAATTGTTCTCTAAGTCGCGCATACGTAAGTGATTTATGCTCTACCTTGCCAATCCATATTGTCGTCGTCCTCATTATTCACTTTCAGCCTTTCGAATTCACTTCTGAACCCCTCAATGGCCCCCACACCAGCTTGCTCGCCCTCCGCTTCCTCCCTAACCTCACTCACCTCCCTCGTCTCCCTAATCTCCAACGGGCCCACCAAACTGGGCACCCCAGCCGCCCACCCCTCCACCATTTCCCTAACAAACTCCTCCCTAACCCTCTCCCCACTCTTCTCTACTACCTCCCCCCTCTCCTCCTTCTCCTTCTTCTCCCTCTGCGCCGCAACCATCTCCTCATATAACTCGATACCGCGTTCCCACTTTCCTTCTCCTTCGGGGATTTTGTCGAGTTGGCGGAGGTAGAGCGGTTCGTCGTCCAGTTGGCGGCGGAACCAGGATGCTTTTATTGCGCAGAGTTCGGAGTGGAAGCCTTCTGGGATTGGGCCTTTCTTTGAGACGGGGTTGATGATCATGCTGTTTCGTGAGCGGCGGGGGGATTGTGTGGAGGATGTAGGGTTGAGAGATTGGGGACAGAGTGGGTATCCGCAGAGTTTCTCCAATTTGCGTTCGAGCATCGCGTCTGAGAAATCCTGTGGTCTCAAATACCGTGCCTATCTATCTGTAAGCCAACCTCACACCCCTCGCACAGAGTTCGGAAGAGATGGAAACTTACCGACATCTTCAACGTCGCCTCATCAACCCCATCCAACAACTTCTCAACCCATTCCAACACCAACGTCTCCGCCCTCGCCCTCGCAATCAACGCAGACTTCGCCGCAACCTCCGCATTGACTTTGGGTATCGTGTCAAGCGTAACCGTGCTTTTCCCTTCTTGGGGTTTGTATTCCTCGCCTTTTGCGGTTGCTGCTCGTTTCGCTGCTGAGACGGGGCGTTTTGGAGCTCGTGTTGTAGGCCGTGGGGAAGATGGCGGGGAGTTTGGGTCCATGGCTGTCAGGATCGAACCAGACGAGGTCGTTAGGGAGTGGTATGGTGGAGAGGTTTTTTTTGGCGGTGAGTGGTTGTAGGCGTGACTTGCATCGAATATACGACGGAAGCACAACACCATCAAGATCACACCCATTCCTAACACCCACATCATGTCCTCTGAAAACAGGTACGAAGATATTGGTCTTTGTGCTACGGACACGCTTACATTCCTCGTACAGCTCAATAACCTCCTACTTCTGCCTCTGCGCTCAGCACACCTTAACAACGCCTCTCCCCCTCTCCTCCCTTCCCCGGCGACCACACGACAAATCTTATGTCCTACCACCTCGGTCGTCGTTTCCCTATCGATTTTTTGCAAGAAGATCTAATGAATCAAAGGTGTTGAGGCGAGAAGATGGTTACGAGAAGAGAGTTGATTGGAAATGCGAGAGATGTGAGCTACTGGTCGCGTATGAGCTCGTTAGGGAAGAAGAGGAAGAGGAGAGTCAACATGTGTACGTGCTCGATGGTGCGTTGGAAGAGCGCCAAGTTTAGTGCGAAGATGCTGAAGACAGCGCCGAGCTTCTGAAGAGATCGAAGGCAAGCTCTTCACGGAGGAACATGGCGAGCAATACTCTCGATACGGAGATACAGCGGCGACCAATACCAGCTCGTCGGTGGCGATGCAGAAGAAATGAAACGGCAACAGAAATGACCATGGCTGGGCTATGGCAACAGAGATGACCATGACTGTTGCCATAGCGATTGAAGAAACCAGTTCCCAGAATCCATGTCCATGCCGATACCAGCACGCAAAAACGGTCACGTTTAGACAGGCAATACCCATGACAGAAGTCTGGCTAACACCATTAAGAATTATCTAAGCTATCCCAATCATACCTAAATGTTAATCACGTACTCTCTACCCTACCCATCCTGGTAAAACGCCGGTGTCCAAAACTCCATCCTCTTCCTCACTCCACTCAAGCCTGCTCCTGTTTCTCCGGAACCGGCTGCCCCAACCTAACCATCATCTCCTTCTTATTCGCATCAACCCTCATCCCAAACCTCCTCAACTCAACCCCAATCGACACCGGCAAAATCGCATAATTCAACACCGCCCACGCAATAAGTACCCCAAAATTCAAGCCCAACTCATCCTTTGTTCCGAAGATGAGGTGATTACTCGCCTTGACGATATGGAAAAACGGCCACGCAATTCCCCAGCGATAAAAATTGGATAAGAGCTCGATGGGAAGGAAGCCCGTGGAGACATTCGAGATGACCCAGAAGATGAGGAATGTGGGCGTCCAGGGTGGCCCGAAGAAGTTATTGATGTTCTCGATTGCGACACCGAGGGCCGTCATGCCAACCCAAGCCAACATCCAATAAACCACAAACCCACCCCTCCCACCATGCGTCTCCAAATGAATTTCCCAAGCGCGGGAAAGAACGGCGTAGAAAAGCGAGAGAAAGAAGTAGGAAACGATGGGAATCGTCATACGGTACACCCAGTACGATACCGGACGGAGTTTACCGGCGAATGTCATGTGCATTTGACCGAAGAAGAGGACGGAGAAGAAGGCTAGGATGATGAGGTAAATTAGACCGATTTCTGTTGCGGCGGAACCTTGGACGGGGAGGTAGGGGTTGAGGTTTTCGAGGGCGTAGGATGCTGGGATAGGGAGTTGAAGGGCGCGAACGAGATCGGTGGTTGTAGTGAGGGACTGAGCGAGGGAGGCGGTCTTGTTCTGAGCGAAAGACTCGGTGAAAGCGCGGAGGGTTGGGATGAGGAACGGAATCAGCAACTCATCGACCGCGATTGCGTTGCGAGCTTCTTGATACACCACCCTGATCGCTCCACTCGGCAGATAATCCTCCGGCGCAAGAGTGCCGTCATATACCGCATTCATGTTGGCGGATGCACCGGGCATAGCCACGATCGCAACCCACATATCCTCATGCCTGACACTCTTAACGACCTCCTCATACGAACTGTAAGAGTGATCCCACCCACACGTCCCAGGAAGCGTATACCCCAACGGTACCAACCCCTCCAAACTCCCCTCCTCAACCTTAGTCGCAACCCACGCATCACCCTCCCTCGCACCTCTGAACCACGTCGTCATGCTCTGTCCAATCTCCCCATCATCGAGATCGATGAGGCCGATTGTGAGGGCGGGGATGTTGGGGAGAACGGAGTGGAGGGCACCCCAGTAGATGGAAAGGATACCGAGGATGATCGCGATGAGAAGTACTTCGGATTTTGCAATGAGCTTTAGGGCGGCTTTACGTTCGTTGGCGACGAAGGGTGAGAAGAAGCCTGGTAAGACTGCCTGTCCTTCACCAGCCGGTTGAGCGGCAGCTGCTTGCTTTTCGGGCATGTCTGCTGATGAAGATGTCGCCTGCGATGATGACATTCTCGTATCTTGAATTTGTCTAGAAACAAGAAGACGACGGTGTATTTGAGCTCGAGGGTCTTTGAACTTTTCTCGGTGTTTTTCAAGAGACCGATTCGCCGCTCGTGCCGAGTAGACCGAGTTATAGCGTCATTTTGCGCTCATCTCGACGGGAGGGGAAAATCAAACGTTATTTTGGGCTTGAATCTCGATTTGAACGTTTTGAGAACAGAATCGGATGTAGAGTTGAACCACGGCCGAGACGCCAGCTGGACGTGCGACGAGCGACGATTTTGCACAATTGTGAAGGAGGGATCGGAGCTGAGCAGCAGTGCCCTGGATAAGCAGTGCATGCTCGCTTCATTTGACCGCACGTTTCCGACAGATAATTAGCCGATCGCTGTCAAAAGCTCGGAACGTGTGCATCATACCGACGCCGGTTCATATTTGGAATTGGATCCTCATCGGCTGTGCTAGCGCTGTCGGCGTCCGGTTTGTAGCATGATCAGCTCCTGAATGTGGTGTCACTGCCGGTACATCGTAAGTATCTCCCGGCGTTGACGAACCATCGAATAATTGGAAGGGACGGTGTTCAGAGCCGTCTCATTTGTTTCATCAGTAGCCGAGTGCACAGTTCACAATCATACGAATTAACATGCTCACACAAAAGTTTCTCGTGTGTATACGCCAATACGTGCCCATGGTATTCAAGGTAAACTTGTTCGTCCATCTCCCCTTCAACAACAATCACAGCATCAACAAATCCCCCTGCGGATAGCTCGAACTCTCAAACCCCTGTCCACCCCCATTCTGCGTAACCACATCATGCTGATACCCGCCCATCCCCCCATTCGCAAACGTCGCATACGGATTCGTCGCCCCCGCCATATTCATCCCCGCAAACCCATTTACCATATCCTGATACCCACCCTGACTCTCCCACGTCCCTACCTCCCCATCCTCCTCCTCCATGACTCTTCGTCTCCTCAGCGCAGGCGAAGCTTGCAACTTCCTCCCCTTCGCCCCCCGCACAAACTGCTGCGGCAACTTATGATACACACTCGCCAACATCCCCACATTCAACACCAACTCCTCCAGGACTTCTTGTCCCAATTCTTCCGTAATCCGAATGCGTGGTTTTTCAGATGTGACGACATGTTTTGCGGAGGCGGGGTCGGTCGAGAGAAGGCGCCAGTACATGTAGCCTCGGTCGCGGAGGTCTGGGTTATTTGCGTCCTCCGTGGCCCATTTCAATACTTTGGGTACCAAATCTCCTCCCTTTGCGGGCCGTGCGATAAACAACTTGACCGTCGCCGTTAATAACGCCAACTGAACCTCAACAGGCTCCTCAGACCAAGTATACAAAAAGTCCTCAAGTAACTCATCCGCATTCTCGATTCGATCAGCATACTCCCCAACAACCCAAATCATCGCCGCCTTCGCCTCAGGTTCATCCAACGAATCCAGATTCGAGCATAATGTCGCAATGATGCTCTCATACTCCCCCGGATACTTCCGGAAAATATCTTTAATGACGACAGTCGCTTCCTGGACGACATAACTCACTTTCGTACTCACCAAATCCAGGAGCGCGGCAGTACACTTCTTCGCAGCACTCTCCAACTTGACCGCCAGCCGCCCGATGAGGCGCACGCTCTTTCGCACGAAATCGACATCGATTTCGGTTGCGTATTCTTTCAATTCTGTCAGGACTTGATCAATCGTCTCCTCTGTGGCAAGTTTGACGATCATCTCCAGCTTCGCCAACTTGACATATATCGGATCATTATACTTGCAGAAAAACACCCTGATCTCACCCTTCAACACCTCCGGCCTCTGCGCAACAATCAACTGCGCATTTCTCAACGCAACAAACTGCACCTCCGGGCCCTTTGCCCCCAGCAGTGTTATGAGCGGCGGACTCAATTTCCGACACAACGCCGTAATCTCAGCCTCAGACGCCATATAATTCATCAAATACAATATAACCTTCGTACACGCCAACACAACCGCCGAATTCGCATGCTGTAACCTCGGACTAATCCTCTCCGCCAAAATCGCCGCATCAGCCGGGTCTTGTGGGATATACGACATAATCGCCTCGAGCGTGTACGTCTGACTCCACTCCGAGCAATCACTCAACACGCTCACCAACCTACTCGCAATCGTGAAATTGATCTTTACCCCGCTGAGGAGCTCGGTACTCGTATCGCCGCTTCGTGCTGCGATATCCCCCAAAGCGCAGATTGCGGAGGCGACGACGGTGGGATTGGTGTCGGCGAGCATGGAGCGGAGGATATCGATGCATCCCGAGGCTTCGACTTCGCGTCGGGAGAATGCGTAGAGTTTCGCGACGGCGAGGGCTGCGGTTTTCCGGACATAGGGATCCGCATCGCGTAACAACCCCCCCGAATTCCGTAAGTACGGGAGGAGTGCCGTAACGAAACCCTGTAACGGTATATAACTCAACGTCCTCAGCGTGAGTGCTCTGATTAGAGGATTGTGATTTCTCAAGTCCTCCGTCAACGCGCCAACGGATTGTTGTGACGTCTCAGGCTTCAACCGCGCATAATTAATCAAAAACAGAAAACACATCTTCTTTATCTCGATATCGGGGATCGAGAGACAATTTATGATATCCGGGAAGAGGGCAGACATGTCGTTTGACATGGTCATGTTTGCGACGATTTTTTTGAGGACGGTTTTCTTGCGGGTGTGGTTTTTGTCTTTTTTGTCGGAGAGGAGTTCGGTGCGGAGTTCTTGGACTTTGCCCTGTGGTTCATGAAGAGTTAGAAATTTTGTATCGAGAGACAGACAAGTTGATGTGACATACCCTTGCGAAGAAGCGTGCGTCACTCATGACGTAACAACTCCTCTGTTGAGGTCAATTGAACGGCGGTAAAGAGGCCAATGGCAGAGCGCGATGATCCAAGCAGTCCCTTGAGCAACGAACGATGTTCCCTTTGGCCGTAGGGAGGATATTTTTGGTGTTGCTGTTTGGTTGTTACGACTCGCGGCCGGCCCGACCCAGGCTTTCTGCAAGGTACGCCCCCCCGCCCGCAATAGGAAATAAGTCTACGTTACATCCCCCAATCCAGCGGCATCCTTGCCTCACGTTTCTCTCCAACCTACATCTGCACAGCCCTGTCCCCCCTCCTCCTCTCCCCAATCCTGTCCCCTTCCTCATCCCACGCCCCCCTAACTCCCGCCCCAACCAAATCAACAACCCCCCACATCTGTCCAAGCACCCACACCATCCCAACCGCCCACCCAAAATTCGCATTCCCACTCCCCCGCCCCAACCACAACTCCCCAAACACCGGTAACAGAATCGACGAGAATAGGAGTGTGAGAAGCGTGAGGAAGGGGTGGGTTAGGTAGGGTAGGAGGGCGGGGGAGAGGGCGAGGAGGGAGAGGGGGAGGGCGGTGTGGGATGGGGAGGGGTATGTTCCGAATGCGGCGACGATGCCTGCGAGTGCTGTGGGGAGGATCATTGGTTGCTGGCGCGATTGGTGTGTGTTACCGAATTTGATGCATAGTGGAATGACGTAGATGAGAAGGTGGAGAGACGAAACCCAAGTGAAGAAGTCTCGAAAAGCGTCGAATATTTGGATGTTGAAGTACCACCAAAGGCCTGTATCGGGGCTCGTGTCGACATTTGAGGTGAGTGGGGCGATAAGGACGTTGGTGAGGTAACCCGGGAAAACATTATGCTGGATAAGTGCTCCAGCAAGCATGAACGCCACCAAAAAGAATCCCATGAACAACCGCCAATTCGGGGTGGTGAGTATAATCGTCGTCGGCACAACGATCAGCGCAGCATGAAACCCACCACCCATCAACACCGTCCCAACACACGCCAGCACAGCCTCAAATGAGATCGAATGTTGTAAATCGAGTGCGTAATACAGTGTTGTAAGTATCAACGCATTGATGAGTGACGACGACGAATGTGCGAGGTTCGTGAGCACAACATAGGGATTCAGCAGGTACGCCGCACCAACAACCAAATCCATCCCCCGCACATCTCTCTCGCGTCGTCCCAACCGCAACGAGCGCGAGATCTTAACCATCATCCAACCTCCCCAAAAATCAATCCCCGCCCAAAGCCCACTCTCCCACCATCGCCCACCCAGTATCCGACCCAGCGCAGAGTATGCGAGCACAACCCCGGGCGCATGATGACACATATCACCATCGTAGAGCTCCAACCCGTGATTCCACATCCACGCACACTCCCTCAGCCGTGAGATACTCGTTAATGGCGTACTCAACTCATGCCGGGTCTCGAAATATGGTGATGGGATCAGTAGTCGTAGAATAATTGACGCGATGAACAGGAGTGGTAGATGGGATGGCTTCGAAGGTATTGATGATTGAGAATTTGGAGCGCCAGAGACCATTGTCTTTTGTCGGGTATGTGTGTGAAGGTTGGTAATGGACGACGTATGACATGCACCGCCCTGCAGGAAACGTCCCCCGCGATAGGAAAAGTCCAAATGTCTACGTTACACGCCCCGGCCGGCCCCATACAACCAACCACTCCATCCAATATGCAACCCTTCATTTTCGATCCCCCTCCACCACCTCCCCCAAAGGCCTCGGGCACTGTCGACCAGCAGCAGAGCTTGCAGAATCATCCAGCAGCCGCAGCCGGTGAGCAGGACACCTCGCAGCGAGGGAGAGGACGGGGCAGAGGTGGTGGTAGGGGCGCTGGACAGCGGGGTGGAGGAGGAGGGAGAGGGAAGGGAAGAGTTAGGGGAGGAAATCTGGACTATGGTCAGCCCACAGCTGCTGCTTCGTCTGATCTCCTCGTGGCCCAGCAAGCAGCAACACCAAACATCCCGCCAATGACGTTAAATTCCTATTACCAAGGCTACACCCCCGACGCAAGCATTCTCTCAAATCCTTATGGACAATCACCCAGTTCGTCTATAACCACAGCAGCTCCTGGGCTGGGCTATGAGTCAGCGATTTATAACGCCGACGGTTACGCTCTGAGCAGCACGGCGCTATTCCAGTTCCCCTCCACTACCCCAACCCCAACTCCAGCTCCACCACGCCCCCCAAACACCTCCGCCACCCATGAACCCGACGACCTCGACGAAGAAGCCGCCTCATCCACCACACTCCGCGCATCCGGCGTCACAATCCCCGGCACAACGATCTCCCTCGACACACCCGAAGACATCGCAGCCTGGATCGCGGAGCGAAAGAAGAAATGGCCGTCTGCGTCTCGTGTTGCTGAGAAAGACGCTGAAAGACAACAAATGGTGGAGGCGCGGAAGAGGAAGGCGGAGGAGGAGGGGGTGGATGGTGCGGGTGGTGGAGGCGGTGATGAGGAGAGTGGTGGAGGAGCGAAGAAAGCGAGGGATGAACGAGTGTGTGTTTTTTTCCAACGGGGACGGTGTCGCAAAGGTCGGCACTGCCACTACAAACACGAACGTGGTGGGCAAAATCCCAACCCGACCTCCTCCGGCCCGAATAAAGGACAAGGGCCGAATCAATCCGGTGGTAAGGTGGAGGCATTTAGGAAGGGAGGAAGGAAATCGCTGTATGAGAGGTTGTTGGAGCAAGATCGGGAGAGGGAGAATGGGTTGTTGTTACAGGCGATATGTTTTCTGGTTGATAATGGGTTTACGAAGAATTAATAGCGGTATGATCTATGCTTGATCGATGCTCATTCCTCTCTTCGTGAGTTTGAATCCTCGGTGGATGCACGTGCACGGTCCCCGCCCAGCAGGTTCAACCCCGCACGTCGGACACCCTGAGCCGAAACGCAATATGACCTACCCATTCTCTTTTGATCTGTCTTTTGCTCGCCTTTTGCTGCTTTTCAACAACGTTCAGAATCTCCTCCTGGACTTGAGCATATCTTACTCACGCGGTTTCGTCATTTCCCCACAATGCTCCTCGACCTCCCCAAATCACCATACGCCCTCCTCTCCCTCCCCCAACCTCAAACCCTCCTCGTTACGCTCTCCCGCCCACACGCCCTAAACTCCCTCCCCTCGGCCGCCCACCACGACCTCGCCTCCATCTTCGCCTGGTACGACGCCGAACCCTCTCTCCGCTGCTGTATCATCACCGGCGCGGGCGATAAAGCGTTTTGTGCGGGCGCGGATTTGAAGGAGTGGTTGGAGCAGGTTGAGGGTGGTGTGAGGAGGGTCATGCCACCCGAGGGGTTCGGTGGGCTGAGTCGGAGGCGGGGGAAGAAGCCTGTTGTTGCGGCTGTGAATGGGGTTGCGATGGGTGGTGGGATGGAGATGTTGGCCAATTGGTACAAAGACCGCCCAGAGTTATGCAGACAAAGCTGATATCGGGATGTTTTTGTACAGTGATATCGTCATCGCGGCACAACACGCTACATTCGCTCTACCAGAGGTCAAACGCGGCGTAATCGCCCTCGCCGGCGCCCTCCCCCGCCTAACCCACACCCTCGGCCTTCATCACACCTCCCTTCTCGCCCTCACTGGCCGTACCCTCCCCGCAGACTCCCCCCTCCTCCGCCCTCTCATCGCGCAAATCGTCCCCGCCTCCAAACTCCTGCCTACAGCTCTTGGGATCGCAAAGGAGATTTGTGGGAATAGTCCGGATAGTGTTATCGTTACGCGTATGGGGATACGGAGTGCGTGGGAGGCGGGAGGGGTTGAGGAGGGGACGGAGAAGGTTATGAGGGGGGAAGCGTATGGGAGGTTGGTGGAGGGTGAGAATCATAGGGAGGGCTTGAGGGCTTTCAAGGAGAAGAGGAGGGTGAGGTGGGTTGATAGTAAGTTGTGAGTTGGTATCTATCTTAGCACGAATCGGTATCGTTTATGGAATCTCGGTCCGCATAAGTTCGCTATCAAAGCGCTGGACTCCACATAGGGTACAGGCCGCTGCACTTCATTTCACGAGCTCCTAACAGATCCGTCCGAAACTGCTAGCGATTCCGAAATTGAGAACAGATCACAAAGGACTGAGAGCCCGCTTGCTTTGTCAGCTCAAACCACGGCAGTACAGCATGATCTCCTATCGCGGTTTTTCAGCTCAGGTCCTCTGCGGCAGTATTCCACTTACGGAATACCAAATTCAGTACGATGAGGAGGGCAGGACTGTGACGTGCTTCATCGAATCAGAACCTGGGAAGGAGTATAGTGTGAAGTCATCCTGGCAGGGTTTGGATCCGGACCATAAGCACCATGACGCTATTGCTCGCCTATACGTCGATGGGATCAAGATTACGCCTGGCAAGTACCTACACTTTACCCCAAACTCTTGCCGTTCCTGGTTAGGTGAACAAGTTAACCCACAACAGTCAGGGCTTTCGTTTTCTCGAAAGTTTGTACAACAGGTTCGTTTATATTTCTGGCCGTCATAGGGGCGTCAGCATTCAGAGTCTTCCTGACATGATGATAGATGATCGAGACCACTGTGAGACTAATGTTGCTCGTGTCGAGAATCTTGGCACGATCAAAGTCCTGTTGTACCATTGTACCGAGACAGTACCAGACCCGGTGGTGAATTATACGGATTTCGATGCCACAAAGCCTATTGACGAGAGGAAGATGAAAGCGATAAAAGTGCCCGAACATTGTACCGAGTGAGTTTCAGATACATCGTACAATATTGGATCCATTAGCTGATGCAAGTATGAAGGTATGGTCCTTAAAGGGTTGCTCCAAAAGAATTCCGGTTTGCCTGTACTGTGCATGATCGGCATCCTTACGTGACCTTCGTTTTCAAGTATCGTTCCAGAGGTCAGTACTGACACGCGCCAGTAGCTTCTTGATTTTGGAAAAACGCTGACTAGGGCTGTCTAGACTTCTTGGAGATCAAAGGCATAATTCCTGGTATGCTTTTCCGCTACGCGTGGAGCGTGGACCAAGGTTAACGGCTTCCTCGCAGGTTTCAATGCCGAATTGCAAGCCCTTGCTCCCAATCACAAGCGCGAACGCTCCGGAACCTTGACCGGTGAAGAGGAAGTTGAGGTCATCCGGCGTCAGGTTCGCAAGCTTGAGGTGAACCCTAGTCACTCACAACGTATGTCGAAGATGCTGATTGAAGTCTACAGGCGGAAAAGGCTCGTATGAAGGAAAGGGAGATAAGGTTGCGTGGGGAGATCCGATGTGACCTCACGGGTGAAGCTCCGGTTGAGAAGACCGTGCCCGCGGCTGAGAAGGTGTGCGATATCGTCGATCTTACGGAGGACGATTAAATGCGCTCAGGATTGTGAAGAAACGCAGAGAGGTGATATGGCTTATGCAAATGGTGATTTAATGCTAGGACGTTTTACGCACCGTTTTTACTTTCACTCCCACGCTCCCTGCGAGAACCCACCTTAGCGTGTTTCGGGCCACGCACAACACTCATTCTGCTTACATGTATCCGTCACTACTTCGCCTCATCGCAATTTAACCTTAGTGATGCGTGCAAGAACATTCTTCTGTGCTCGAGATATAAATTCGAGGGCGGTCTGCACGGACTTCTTGATTCACGATCGAGTACTGATCAGTCCCAAAGTTCTTTTTAGAGGTAACCGCCCGATTGATCGAACAGACGGACAATTGGATTCCGAGAGCTGGCCACAAACATTTGAAGAAAATTCACAACAATGTTTCCTTTCTGTAATGAGGAAATCCGTCGTGGTCTCAATGATGTTATCGACAAGGTTTTCATGACGCCTCCGGCTACCAGACCTACCACAGCTCTCTCGCCCAGTGCATTTGGGATTGACGTTCAATTCCATCCATACCGCCGCCGTCAAGTTTCCACTGGAGTCGGGCCATCAGCAGCGTGTGAACGACCGATCACGCCACCGTGGACGAGGCCGCAGAAGAGGGCGAAGGGTACTTCGACGAGATTTGTGCCCCATGAGGAAATCCATCAACCAGGACTACTATCTCCCAGCAGACACTCCCAAACCGCATCGATCAAACCATACTCGAGACTCGAACTCGAAATCATGGACCTAGGAATTACGCCCGCACACACCCCGTGTCCCAACACGAGCCGCCCGTCAACTCCCTCGACCAGTCTCTCCACGCGCTACGACACCATTTTCGAGCCTCGACCAGCAACTCCTTATGTTGTTAATCCCCTCTCTGTCCTCGCCTCCGTCGCCGACGCTGAACGTTTTCGTACAGAGAAGGACATCATCAACGATTTCCCCGTCAAGAGGGACGATGATGTCGAGGGGGCTGAAGATGTACTCATGGAAGGGATCATGTACTCTAGCTCGCCTTTGACTTTCCTGTCCGACGAGCTCGAAGGATTGGTGGAGCCGGTCATGATTAGGAGGATTGAGGCACCGAAAATGAGGAGGTCACTATACTTTGAATGTCAGCCCGATGAGCAAAAAGGGAAGGTCAGGCTAAATACTCCGCAACCTGAAGATATTGACCACGGATACGTGGCTGTGGAGGGCGAGTCCCACTGTGCGTTTCCCTGGTTGAGTAGTCCGCCTGCAGCACCATGGGAGAGAAGGGAGGATGTACCGATCTCCCCGGCCACCTCACACAAGACCTCGAACCACGCAGCTGACTTCCAGATTTATGAAGATCGGGAGGAGTACGAAGGAGGATTCACGGAGTACGAAGGTTGTGGAGGAGGGGAGACATGTATTTTCAACAACGAGAACTGTGCAATCCATCTCCCTTCCCACGACTTCCGCGCGGCGTCTTCCTCACCTTGTCCTGTTCGCGAGGAAGATGGTGGTAGCGAGGACGATGAAAGAGGAGAGGAGGATGTGATGGGGGAAGGTGGTGTCTGTGATGTTTGTGGGTGGGAGTTGGGTGTATGGAAGCCTGAGCCGAGGAAGTCGGTTGAGACGTGCTGTTCGAGGGGGTGGTAAAACCTGAGCGAAGAAATGCGATGAGAGGAGACCGATGATCATGAAAGTGAAAACAAAATGGGAAAGACGTACCCCGAGGATAACATACATATACGATACAGCTGCCAAGATGAAAAAGAAAAGATACAGAGGAGGCAAAGGGAGAATGACATATAGACGCTACTTGGAAGAATATAGAAGAAAGCAGAACTCGCAAACCTCTCAAATCATTACATTCACCATTGCCAACTGTTGCAGGTATTGGATAAACATGGCATTATACTTTGAACTCCACGTAATAAAGACAACGTAACCCCAAACTCCTTCCTTTCGATAATTGACCGAAAAACCCGGGACGCCAGGAGGTTTACATTCTCTCCTTTCAATCCCCATCCCATAGGGCACAGATTCCCTTCCTCAGCGCTCCTTGCTGAATCTCATTTTCCAATCTGCCCCTCATAGCCATTCTTCCTCCTCATCTTCCTCCAACACATTAACATCCACCTTCGTCCCCAACGCTTCCTTTCCCTCCCTAATCAACCTCCGTATCTGCTCATCCATCCTCCCAAGCTGCTTCTCCTCCTTTCGTTCTCGTTCCTTGAAGACGAATCCTCCTCCTCCAGCGGAGCTATTGTTGCGAGGTGGTGTTATCTGAACAGCCGGGCGTGCACGGTGGTGGGTAAGCACTGGTCGTCTCGGTTTCCGGCGAACAGTTGTGGTTGTAGTAGTGAAGTTCGTGGACGGTGTCAGCTGAATAGGGGAAGAGAACGTCATGGAATGCGTATCCGAGTTCGGCGTGGGAGGTAGGTTCATCGGGGTGTATGCTGCCCACGAGGACTTTTGAGGGTGGGAATTCGGTGGTGTATGCGGTCGACCACTTGTTGTATGCCCAAATCCGACGAATGGGAGTTGATCAAACTCAAAAATTGGTTGAACATTCGTGGTAAATGCTGGGAATTGCAGGGGTTGCTGTGGGAGAACCGGGTTGGAGCTTGTGGATAACGAGAGGTCCACCTCCCTCTCCCCGGACCCGTCTGCATCGAACCCATACCCCCGCCGTCTTATACCGTAAAACTCTTGCTTCTGAGGTAGCATTGTCCACATCTCTGTCCCTTTCTCCTCTTCACCGCGCTCACAGCTCCTTTCCTCCGACTCGTGTCCAGCAAGTCCGCCTACCCAGCGCCAAACCCGCTCCAACACACCTCCACTACCATTCTTCGCCATCCGCCTTCTCTTTCCAGGTCGACTGTCGATGACTACCTCCCCATCAACGGATGTCAATGCCCTTTTCCGGGATGTATGCGCTCCGCTCACCCCCGGGACACCCGAGGACGTACCGGTGAACGGCAGCTCGAACGGGATAAGGCGACGGATGGAGTCAAGAAACGACAAGTATTGATGATCTGACATGACGTTGGACTTGCATACAGTGTTTGCTTCAGACATTGGAAGTTCGTTCTCAGTGCTTCGGCCTCCTAACCTGAATCCTGGGGCCCCGCTGGAAGCAGGCACAATCAGGCGGCTCACGACCGGCCGTGCGAAAGAGGTTCACGAATTCAGCATACAAACCAAATCCATACCTGGGAAGTTCCATTTTTCATAATAGATAATTGATATTAAGCATTATGCTATAGCTACCATAAAGTTCAAATAAGTACACGAAGACCATAGCATTAACCTGTCCCTTTAATAAGATAACTCCATACCCCATACACATGTATCGTTTCACCTTTTACAATGCATCTCACGTCTCACATCTCAAACCTTCCTCCTCGTGGTCCTCCTAGCAGGAGCAGGTTCATCTTCCTCCATAACCTCCGCTTTCCTCTTCGACGAGCGGGTAGCTTTCCTGGGCTCCTCTTCCACCGACTCCTCCTCAGGAATGGGTTCCTCCGTGGCGAAAGACTTCGCCGCACGTCCGCGACGTGCAGGCTTAGCATTCGTGTCGACGTCCGCAAGCGATGAAGCCGGAGCGTCGGTGCTGTCAAGCTCGCTAGGAGCTGCACTAGCGCCGCGAGTACGACGAGTCTTGGGAGCAGGAGCCTCCGACGGAGCCGCTGAAGCAGCCCTCTTTCCGCGACCCTTTGCCGGCGCAACCTCCTCGGCAGCTTCGGGCTCGACAGTGGCTGCCCGAGAGCGAGTACCCCTAGTCTTCTTTGCAGGCGCGGCGGCCTCGGAGGCGGGCTCCTCGGCGCCGATGGGAACATTCTCCTTCGCGTTGCGACCCCTGCGTGCGGGTTTGGGAGGCGAAGCGGGCACTTCGACAGCAACAGCGACCTCCACAGCGTCATCGGCCTTGCCCCTGCGAGATCCGCGAGTGGGCTTCATGGGCTTCTCCTCAGGTTTTTCGATGACAACAGCAGGAGCCTCCAAATAAGTGATGTTGGTGCGAGCCCTGCGAGTAAATTTGGTGGGCCCCTCTGCGGGTTCCTCAACAACAGCAGGCTCTTCCTCCTGTGCTTGAGCCTTGGCACCACGACCACGACGTACCATAGGCTTCTCTTCAACGGCTTCAGGAGTTTCAGATGCATTGACTTCATCCACTTCGTCTTTGGCAGCACGGGCACGGCGGGTAGTTCTGGTTGCCTTGCCAACAGGGGCCTCCTCGGCAGCGACAGATTCTCCCTCCTGGACGGGTTCCTCTGAGGGTTCCGTGATGGTCCTCGACCTCCCTTTGCGACCCCGAGTAGGCTGAGCAGCGGCAGCCTCGGCAGTAGGAGCCTCGGCAGCAGGCTCTTCAGTTGCTGCCCTGCGAGAGCGGCGCGTAGCAGGCGTGGCCTCCTCCTCCTCCGCAACTTCGCCGTCGGGGGTCGTTTCAGACCCAGCGTCTTTGATAGTAGCAGCAGCCTTGCGACCACGGCGAGCGGCAGGTTCACTTTCCTCCACTGCCTCAATGGCAGGCTCGGACGGAACGACTTCCTCAGCCTTTGAACGAGTACTACGCTTCGTCTTGGGAGGAGGCGTAGAGATCTCAACAACAAAGTTGGGCGCTGGAGAAGACATAACGACAGACTCTGGTTCGGGCTCAGGTGTGCGCCCACGGCGGGTGCGCTTAGTCCTGATCGGCTTGAGAGGAGACAGCGGGGCAGAAGGTTCTTCCTGTTCTTCGGCAGAGGGCTCCTCAACGGGTGCTTCTTGCTCAAGCTCGGACTCGGCAGTACGAGTCCTGCGAGTGCGTTTTGTCTTGATGGGCTTGAGGGGAGACAGAGGTGCCTTACTTTCCTCGGAATTGACCTCCTCAGGCTGTTCTGTAGACTCAGCTTCGGCTTCGATCTCCTCGGCTTGCACGACGGGCTCGACGACATTAGCTTCAGCAGACACTTCGGCATCAGCGGCCTCGTGAGCAATCTCCTGAGCGGCAACCTCAGCATCAGCCTCACCCGGAGTAGGGACAGCGTCACCAATTTCCGCATCATCAGAGGCGGCCATTTCGGTGGCGACTCCCTCAACGACAATCTCAGGAAGTGAGTCAACCGTTTCCTGAGTCTCCGCCACCTCAGCAACAGTTTCCATTTCGGCGTCCGGAGCCTCGTCGAGTACAGGAGCGTCCTCCGCAATGGACTCTTCCAAAGCAGCCTCTGCTACCTGTTCGTCAGTAGCCACCTCCTCCTGGACGGTCTCCGAAGCAGCAACCTCAACAGTTTCCTCGGACGCCTGCTTGTCAACAACATTTTCGGCGACAACAGCTAGCTCGGCAGCGACGTCAGCTACAGCATCATGGAAAACAGCAGAGAAATCGGCAATGGATGCGTCAGCCATGGAGACGTCAGCCTGCTCCACCACCTCCGCTTCCTCCGGCTGAGCAGAGACAATGGCATCCTCGAAGACAGCTTCAGCGCCAGCGTCATCCTGAAGCATGGACTCATGAACGACAACGTCAGAAGCATCCTCAAAGACCACTTCAACCTCGGCGAAAAGCTCAGCCTCGGGTTCAACAGGCGGTTCAACAGCATCCTCGAACTCCTCGACAGTTGCCCACCTCTCAAGAACGGGCTGCTCGGCCGCCTGTTCCTCAACAGCCGCTACCTCAGAAACCTCAACGGTCTGAGGCACAGGAGCAACCTCACCCTCAACCTCCTTAGCAAGCTCAGCGATCTCCTGCTCCTCAGTGGTCTCGTCCTTCTCAACCTCGGCAGTCATGTCAACAATCGCAGCCTCCTGCTCTGATGTCTCCTTCGCAACCTCCTCGGCAAGGTCCTCGAGAGCGTCGGTTACGACCTCATTGACGAACTCCTGCATGAGATCCGCAGCGATGGCATCAGCATCCGCGAGAGCAGCAGTGGCCTCGATGACCTCTGCCTCCGCTGCTGCGGCGGCCTCAGCAAAAGCAACGGGAACATCATCCATGAGAGTGTCAAGGTCACCAATGTTGATTTCCGGCAAATCAGCAACTGTAGCAAACCCATCAGGGAGAGCGTTGCCTAGCTGAATCTCTTGGGCAGCAGACTCAACAGAAGCCTTGTCCGGCTGAGTGGTCTCAAATTCGTCAACCTTGACCTGCGCAGCATCGACTCGCTCGCCGTCCTCAATCTGCTCCTCCAAGACCTCGTCAACCTCCTTCTCCTCTTGCTGCTGTTCTTCCGCAGCCTCGTCAACTGCCAACTCGTCCACCGCTTCCTCGAGAACCTCAACTGCATCAGTAGCGTAAACATCGGCTTGGACTTCAACCTCTTCATGCTCGTCGGCCTGATCCTCAACCTCGGCTTCAACCTCCTCTGTCTCACTCGCAAACTCTTCATCATAAAACACAACCTCCTCCCCATCAACCCCCCTCCAAACAACCTCATACTCATCCTCCTCCTCCTCCTCCGTCATAACCCTCCTCCTCTTGCCCAATCTCTCACCGCCCTCAGCATCTTCCTCCTCATCAGCATACTTCGTCGGAAACTTCCGCTTCGTGCCGCGCATGAGCTTGCCGACGGGTCTGCTTTGAGCACCGAGACGCATCTTCTTAGCGGGGCCCGTTGCGCGCCATTTACCGGGTGAGTGGGTCTTGACGGGTGTCAACTCCGAACCAGGGAGGAGGTGAGCAGGAAGGATTCGGCCAGGCTGTTCACCAGACAAGCGTCTCTTCTCAACCGGCTCAGCAGGCAACTCCTCCAACCCTTCCTCCACCAACTCTTCCTCTGGTTGCTCCTCATCGACGCGCATCGACTCCCCATCCTCAAACACCTCAATCTTCTCTTGCTCCTGCTCCTCCTCCACCTCGTCCTCTCCATCAGCCGCCTCAGTCGAGTCAAGTCCCAAAAGCACCCTCTCGCTCTCACTCAACCCAACCAAAAACTCCTCCGGTGTCTTCCCCTCCTGCACACCGACCCTGACCTTCCTCTGCCCTTCTGCCGCAACACCATGAGAATGCATATGCGGCTCGACACGCTCGATTCCAGCGGCGGTGGAGTAAGATGGATTGTTGAGGACTGCCGCGGCGGAGAAGGCATTCGCTGTTTGTGCAGCGGAAGGACGGGGTGCAGACATGGGTGCTGCGCGTGGGAGGTCGCGGTCGAGCCATTTGCGGGACTTGTCGGGGGCTGGGGTAAATGCCTTTTTCGAGAGCGGGATAGCGCGTTTCGAAGAGGGACCCGCAACAGGGGTGTTGATCGCAGGTTGAGGAGCAGCTCTAGGCGTGGCAGAGACAAGAACCTCCACCTCCATTTCCGCTGCCGTCACGGGTTCATCAAACACCGCCTCCTGCATCTCCTCCTTGATCTCAACTTCCTCTTCCTCTTCCGACTTCTGTTCCTCCTCCTCAACCCTCTTAACCACAGGCGATCCCTGTCTCAACACACTAGGAACCATAGCCGGCAACCGAACCGGACTCTCCTCCTTCATCTCCTCCATAACCCTCCTCTTCGGTTTCGCCGGACTAAACAAATTTAACAACGCCGGACTCGGGCTCGGAGGCGCGAAGCGTGCGCGGGCGATTGAGGTGGGGATAGTGATGGGTGGATTAGCACGTAATGGGGTGCCGGGAGCAGCGATAGGTGCCGGAGGCGGTGGGGAAGGTGATGCAGGCTTGGTGAAGAGTGGGGCTGGAGTGACCTTGACGAGTCCTTCAGGTGATGGGGAGTTAGAGATATCCCTCAACATCCTTGCCCCCTCAGCATACATTCCAACTTCCTGCGTCTTCAGCTCTCCAACCTCCTCCATCTTGGCAGGTTCCGGGCTCCCAATCAACAGCGCCACATCCTCCTCCTTCCTCGCCAACGGACTCTGCCACCCAGCATAAACATCATCCTGCCCAGACGCCGGACTCGCACTCGCACGATGCGGGGTAGTGGTAATTGGACTCCTCGCCTTAATCGGACTCTCGAACCTAGTCTGCTTAACCGGACTCACATTCCGCCCAGGCGTCCGTCCCTTAACCGCACTCCTCAACAAACTACCCATTCCACTGAATAGCCCTCTCGAAGCAGTAGCTGGGCGAGCGGGGGTATCGATGATGGGTGGGGAGTCGATGGTGGAGGTTGAGGGGTACGCGCCGTAAATCCACTGGAATTGGTTTCCGAGGACTTCGAATACGTCGCCGTCTTCGAGTGCGGTCTTTTTTGTCAGTGCGGCGCCGTTCAGCGTGGTCCCATGTGTTCCGGTATTGCTGATCCACGCCCGTCTCCCAGACGCGGCTGTGTTGGACTTCGCTGGTGTGGACGGCGCCGAGGCATCCCGGAACGCGATGACACAATGTGTCCGCGAAACGTCCCTATCGTGAATGCGCACATCACATGAGATATTCCGTCCAATTTTAATCTCCTCCTTCAACACCGGAAACGGCGAAATCCGGTTACTGTCATCATGCGCCGGAATCAACAACGTCCCGAGAACTTTCGCCATTGTCGGGAGTGTATGCGTATTAAAGGAAAGTGTAGAGCTTGTCGATTGTCGATACTCGAGATGTTCTTGTCGGTCGTCGTTTGTCGTCGTAATGGGGAGGTTCGTTGTCGTGTGTGTCGTCGGCCTTGGATTCTTTTGTTTTGATTTCCGCGTTTGTTGTGATGCAGGGCATGACAGGAAACGTGACCTCACCGCGGTGTAGTGTGTCGAACCACACTACGGATTCTACAGGTACGTCGTACCTGGTTTTAATTCTATTGAGTACCGGCTCCGTTGGGGAACGGCTCCCTAGAAGCCGTTACCGAACTTTACTATATAAAGGGGAGGTTTTGGTAGCTTTATTTCTTCATTCGAAAAACAATCACTTCTTACTACTCCATCCGTTACACTTGGTAGCATCGGAGTACATCCTCATTCTTAGGATCAGAAAAAGAAAAAAAAAAAAAGGAATACCTTTACAATGGCAACCCCTCATGGATTGAAGCTCAGGCTTCCTGAGTCCTACAACGGCAAACGCGACTTGATGGTGATTGAGAACTGGTGTTTCTCAGTTGATCAGTACCTCAGTCTCGCCGAGGATATCAGAGCCGAGAAACATTCAGCGTTTGTCGGAACGTTGCTTGCTGGGAATGCATTGTCATGGTATCGCGCGCAGCTCAGGGCTTAGGAAGCCGAGGGCAAGGACCCTGCGGCATTGACTTGGGACAGCATCAAGCGTGGTCTCATGAAGTACTTTGCCCCTGTGAACGCTGCAAGAGCACTCAGAGACGAGTGGCATGGCTCTCGTCAGACGACATCGGTTGGCGAATACGTTACTCGACTCAACAACCTTCGCATTCAAATCCCGGAGATCCGTGACATCGAATTCCTCGACAAGTTCATCCATGGTTTGAAGCCAAAGGTCAGGTTGGAACTCGAACTTCGCAACCCTCAGACTCTGGACGAAGCCATCATGATTGCGGATCGATACGACAGTATTACATTCAGCAACAGGATTCTCAACTAGGGCCGGCAGAACTTCACGACCTACGGAAACGCTCAACCTCGTTATGGTTCGAGCGATGGTCGCTCTGGAGGGGACGACCCCATGGAGATTGATGCCGTGCGTTTCAACAAAGGATATCGCAAACCGTTTGTTAGGGGAAACGCCCGCGATTTCAGGACCGATATCAGCACAAGGAAGTGTTACAACTGTGGACGTTTTGGTCATTATGCTCGAGACTGTGAGATGCAAAAGCATAACAACACCAACAACAACAGGAGTCAAAACACAACAAGGCAGGCGGGAAAAGGTCAGGGTCAGTAGGGTGGGGTTTACCTACTGATCAGAAAGAGGGCCCCGTGCTGGCGATGCGTGCTGTGGAATTGGAAGAAAAGGATATGGCCGAAGGTGCCTTTGGAAATATAGAAATCGACATAGTTACCCAAGCGCCTGGTATTGCGCCGACTATCCCCACAGTCGATCAGGTTGAAGCGTCTTGGAGGAATACATCAAGAAATGACTTGATATGGAAAGGAGTGTCCAATCGTCTGGCAGAAACAGGATGCGATATGGCCAGTGACGACAATGGAACTACCAACAGCGATGCCGAGGACAAAATGCCGGATCGCAAGAGAACCCCCCATGTGTTGGGGATTGCAAACCGTACACCAGGTGTGATGATACTCGACACTGGTGCAGAAACTTATATGATATCGCGAGGATACGCTGAGAAAGCAGGTATCAAGACTCGCGCGATTCAACCTATGCCAATCAGGACGGCAACCACAACAGCAGACGATAAGAAACAGTTTGTCAGTGAAGTCACTGAAGCTGTTGAGTTACAGATTGGGAGCATACGAATGCGGAAAGCTTTCTATGTTGCAGATGCAGAACATTATGATATGTTGTTGGGTGCACCTTTCTTCACCCAATTCAATCCTACTTTTGATTGGGCTCATCAAACAGTAACTTTGGCGGATGGATCAAGGAGTGATATTCTTCCACTGTTTGATGATGAGAGTGACCCAGAAGAAGAACACCCTATTGAGATAGATATGATTGGACGTTCGGGATTCAAGAAGGCAGTTCGAACCTTGACATCTGAAGAAGTTATGGTCATGTTTCTGGTGGAAACTCCTTCGACAAAACCGAAACCAAATGTTGGCAGTCCCAACTTCATCATGAGAGACTTCGGTGATGTTTTCCCTGCAGATCTACCAGCGGGAGAGCCAATGGATCGACATGTGGTTCATCACATCGATGAAGTTCAGGGAGCTACACCACAGTACAGGGGCATATATCGGTTGTCCAAACCGGAATTGGATGAATTATATGCCCAGATACAAGCTCTGCTCGAAAACGGCAAAATACAACCATCTGTGAGTCCTTATGGTGCGCCAGTCCTTTTCGTCAAAAAGAAGGATGGCAAACTCAGGATGTGCATTGACTTCCGAGCACTGAACTCTCAGACAATTCGGAATCGTCATGCTCTTCCTCGAATTAATGAAATCACAGATAGGTATCACGGAGCTTGTTGGTTTTCAAAGATCGACCTAAAGTCGGGATATTACCAAATCATGATTCACCACAAAGATCGATTCAAGACTGCATTCAACACACGCTATGGTCATTATGAATGGATTGTGATGCCATTTGGATTGACAAATGCGCCAGCAACTTTCCAGACCCTCATGAATGACATTTTCAGAGATGTGTTGGATAAGTTCTTCGTGGTCTACTTGGATGATATCATGATATACTCTCGCTCCAAGGAGGAACATGAGGAACACTTGCGCTTTGTGCTCAACAAGTTGAGAGAACACAAGTTGTACGCCAATGCTGACAAGTGCGAGTTCTTCAAGACAGAGGTTGGGTTGGGTTGGTACTTGGGGCATATGATCAGTGCTGAAGGGGTACAACCTACTGAAGCCCTTACAAAGGCTATTACGAAATTTCCACAACCAAAGACGATGAAACAACTACAGTCCTTTGTTGGTTTGGCGAACTATTACAGGACCTTTGTGGAAGGATATTCAGGGATGGTTGAACCGTTGACTGCACACTGTTCGTCCAGTCTCCGGACAACTGTTCTTACCTGGACGATGGAGATGCAACATGCCTTTGAGAAGGTCAAGGTTGCACTGTCAACCAGACCTGTTCTCAAGATCCCAGACCCAGAGGAGGACTTTGAGGTTTATGCAGATGCCTCTGAAGATGCAAAAGCAATTGGAGCAGTGTTGATGCAAAAGGGTCAGCCTGTTGCCTATGAGTCCAGGAAGCTCAACATACATGAGTTGAACTACCCTGTACATGACAAGGAGATGTGTGCTATACAGCATGCTTTTACGAAGTGGCGACATTTCCTGTTGGGAAAACCATTTAAGGTATACACTGATCATCGGTCATTGGTATACTTCAAAACTCAAAAGCACCGGAATCAAAGACAACTAAGGTGGCAAGAAAAAGCAGCAGACTACGACTGTGAAATCCTCTACAAACCAGGCAAAACCAATGTTGTTGCCGATGCTTTGTCCAGGATTCAGATCGATCAGATACACATCGATCCACAATGTCCGCTACCTACAGAAGAACTGAAGACAAAACTGCGCAAGGACTATCTTTCAAGAGGCAAAGATGCTGTTAAAGATATCTTCAAAAGCGTGGATGAAAAGGGCGGCGAAACCGATCGATGGTTGATTGACGACGGTTTGCTCTATTTCCGAACTGATGAGATCAGTCCTTGGAGATTGTGCCTACCAGAAGGCCCATTCAGGAAATCGGTCCTACATGATTGCCATGATGCACCATTTGCTGGGCATCCTGGGATTAACAGGACTTATTCCTTGATCGCACGGGCATATTATTGGCCTGAGAAACGTACGATCAAAACACTGGAACATATGATTCGTCCTTATGTTCAGGACCATGATTGGGATAAAGTCCTACCGTGATTGGAGTTTGCATACAACAACTCAAAACATGGTACGACAAATATGACACCATTCTATATGAACTACGGTTATCACCCTATTGGACCGAACCGGACGAACGACAGCAATGTTCAAGCAGCACAGGAACTTCTCGAAAAGTTGACCGACATACACACCGCGGCGAAAGATACGATCCATGGAAACCAGATGAAACAGAAACATCATGCTGACAAACGTCGATCTGTACCTACCGATTTCAACAAAGGAGACTGGGTCTTGGTCCTGAAAAGCAATCAGGACAAGTTAGGAAAACTAGAAAGCCGTTATGCAGGACCTTATAGAGTTCTGGAGCGACTCAGCGACAATGCAGTTCGGCTAGAGTTACCCGCTGGTTCACAGGCTCACCCAACTTTCAACATTTCGCGATTGAAAAAATATTACATGGCAGAGGATGAACGACAAAACAATGTACCAGTGAACCCGGCATTGCCTGCTGGAAGTTCTGTCCCTCGAGAAAAACAAGAGGTTGAACGCATTATTGCATCTCGCAGAGATGGAAATACCGGCACACAGGAGTATCTGGTTCGATGGAAAGGAACAAACTTACATGACAACTCCTGGGAGCCAGCCAACAGCATACTTGCTGACAAAGTTGGAAAGTTCGAAAACGGGCCAAACCCACTTCGTTTGCCCAAGTTACCTCACCAGAATTAATCACGATTATTAAATCAACCAAAAACAAGCGGATTAAATATCAGTTATTATCGCTCTTCGAAAATATCGCAAAAATCAACAAAAAATGCAACGTCATAATCTTGTTCCTGGATTCTGGATCGTTACCGTCTTGGAAAACATGTATAAAGATGAGATCTGAGTAAGTCTGTCAATGAAACAGAGGCTGCGTGGACCCTGCGTCGGTTCTGTGCGTCAGCCTCATGGCGCGTTTATAGGGACCCTGCATAAAGCCGCATACTCGGACGCGGTTGAGCGTCTGGAGAGTACACACGGATACCTCAGCAGCACAACAATGAAAATACCTCAGATAAGGTCGGATCGAGCTGAGGATTGGTGAAAACGCATAACAAAACCATACGATTACGATTACAAAATCGTTTCAGTGATCTGACGCCTGGATCAGTACTATACAAACGTTCACGGGTTTTTTCAAATTGGACGCTACGGAGACGGGAAAGAGTGCAATCGATGCGCCTGAGTGAGACAAATCGAATGGTACTACTCCCATTGCCGTACGACGTCATACGCTTGAGATATCGTGGGAAAATCGAAACGTCGGACGCGGACATCATAGGATGAGATACACATGCAATCAAACTCAAACTCTGCTGAGAGTGAGAGTGAGCCATATGTGAAGACTAGCTACGTCTTCAACCTACGTTGATTTCAGCCCTATCTCTTGGAAGGTACATAAGGGGGGGGAGAACCACCCTTCTCTGAGATCCTCAGACAGCAGACAGCAGACAGCAGACTACAAGACAACAACAAGTACAACAGCAATGGACGACTTGGGTGATCTTTTTGGTATCAATGACACTGTCTGAGGAGACTTGGACAACATCTTGTGGGATGATTTCCTTAGGAGCGACAACCCTGAACAACCACTCCAACCTGAATGGAATGTGATGGAAATGGAATTACACAACGCCTCAACAACTTTCCAGAACACCTTTGCCGAATTCAATGATGGTACCATCACCACCTCGGTCCTGACACCTGTTGAACCCCCCATGACCGCTGAATCGGATGTTCCAGTTAGGTCGGGCTATTACAGGATGCATGGCCACCAACGCAAGTGGAAGAAGCCCAAGAATCGATGCCCCAAGGGTGATGTGTTTGAGCAATACGGTTTTTTTGGGAGGAAGAAGGAGCTGAGGAAGGTGTACTTGCAAACGCGTCCATGGCAGGAGGATCACCTACTCCAAGTTACCTCACAAGAATTAATCACGATTATTAATTATGGCAGGAGGATCACCTACTATGAGGTGGAATGGGAGAGTGAAAAAGGCAAGCCTGATTCGTCGTGGGAGAGTTGGAAAAGGCTGCACAAGTGCGCTGAGGCAAAACACTTGTACAGGATCGGCAACAGGTTTTGAAGAACCTACCTCCTTTCTTTCTGTTGGTACGAGTTTTTTATTGCTGTTAGTACCGTTTAGAGGGGGGAGAGTGTAGTGTGTCGAACCACACTACGGATTCTACAGGTACGTCGTACCTGGTTTTAATTCTATTGAGTACCGGCTCCGTTGGGGAACGGCTCCCTTGAAGCTGTTACAGAACTTTACTATATAAAGGGGAGGCTTTGGTAGCTTTATTTCTTCATTCGAATAACAATCACTTCTTACTACTCCATCCGTTACACGCGGGGTCCTGATCGTACCACACCCCCGCGCCCACACCCTGGACCAAACTGGGCAGATCAGTCAGCAGAAAAGCAGCTGTGGGTTACACAACAATGGATCCTCCACCTGATGCTTCATTTCCTACAAGGAAAGAGCTAGGGCTCTATGCACAGGCCTGGGCTAAGCCTAGAGGCTATGCCATCTCAGTCCAACGCTCTAAACCGAACAAAGTCTGGCTATAATGCAATTGTGGCGGCCAATACAGAAACCGTCTCAATCTTGACAGCACTTCTCGCCAGCAAAAGACAAGCTCCAAGGCCAGCGGCTGTCCCTTCAGACCTGTGGGCAAGCTTTCTGGACCGACAGGAGATTGGGAGTTATCAACAATGGTTGGCAAACACAATCATGATCCGTCAGACCGCCCTTCCGCACACCCCCAGCACAGAAAGCTCACCACTGGGCAAATCCAACAGCTGGAAAGGATGACTAATGCTGGTGCGCCACCCAGAATCATTGCTATGACTTTGCGAGATGACCGAGACGGCAACCCCGACTTCCTACGCCGCGAGGTATACAATGCCAAGCGAGACATTAAAACGGCAAAACTTGCGGAACGCACACCAATTGTCGCCTGCTGAAGCCAACCAACAACTCTGTGATCCTCAAGTCTTCAACGAACGCTAGAGGACGCCCGAGGGGCTCTCAAAACCGATGATCCCTTCCTTCGAAACCTTATCAGCAACAGTGAATATATCCTGTTCGCAATCCTTAATAAAGCACAAAGGAAATCAAGTCAGAAAACGAACCTAACCCAACCGAAGAGGATAAAAAGAACTCGAATGGATACCCTGTTCCCCTTCTTCAGTTAAGCAATCATAATCACGGCCAATTCGGAGGAACCTGAATGGATATCGGATGGATCTAGTTTCCCCTCCATGGTCAGCAGTAGTCCGTTTGAAATAGAACGATGCAGGAAAAACTTTAATCATGTGGACTTCAAATGCGGGAACGGTCTGTCTCATTCCTCTCGTCAGCCAATGCCTAGGTGGGAGAGGTATGATCAAAGTAGAGGAATCTAACCTTATTAGAGAGAATCGACTGCAGCTGTAGGACCGTCAGCCTGTTTGCATCATTGCAGAAAGCTTAGCACCTACCTCTGATGATATAACGGGAGAGCATGTGAATGAGCTGACGTAAACAGGGAGGTCAAGGACGGTTCGTATGCGGAACTGAACAAGTGATGACTTGGTTGCAGGATACTTGAAGTGGCAAAGACGAACACGATACCCAAGAGGTGAAGGAACCTACTTGAGCTGGTGAGGTAGTAAGGTCTTGGTTTTCTCAAGGACTCTTGTTGCTAACTGAAGAACTAGAGAAGGGGGGAGGGAACCCCCCTTTATATACTAATCCAGACTAAGTTCCGCCAAGGCCTTCCCTCCATCGCGCCGCCCAGGCGCTGTTCCAGGTACCATTAAATGACTCACTGAAAATGACTCAACAATCAGACCACTCATATGCAGAACTAAGACATAAACATAATACATAATAATAAAACATATACATGATCGTACATAGACGCTGCATGATCACAATAAGAGTGTGGGAAACCAGAGCTCATGAAGCCATTCGTGACACGGGGCACGAGTCGGGCGGGGTCTTTCCAGTGACAGATACTGAAGACTGACATGACGTAATCGAGGTTGAGAGATGATGTGGACGCCAGTAAGATCATGCCCAATACCAAGACTGACACATAGACGAAGACAAGAGGTTGAAGGCTGTTTGTACTATCAAAGACCAGCGACTTGGTTGTACGTAACTCGAGATGGTGAGAACGGGCTGTCTACCAATCAAGAGGTTAGGGAACCAGATGAGTTGTTGAGCTAGGAAGGTCTTGATATTTGCAAAGCCTCTTGCAGCTAACTAAAAAACTAAGTAGGAGGGAGGGAACCCCCCTTTAAATACTCTTAGCGCTACGCTTATCTGCATACCCTAGATAAGGCGCGCAGCCACCAAGCCACGACGCATCAGACCAGAAGTGCATAATCTAAAGACATAACTATAACACATAATCATAAGACATATACATGAACGTACGGTGACGTTGCATGATCACAATAAGAGTATGGGAACTCGGAGGTCATGAAATCATCCATGACAATACCTGAGACGTAGGGGAGTCTGATATCGAAAGATAATGATGGATGTCCTGTGTGAACGAGTCACTGCATTCATGATGGTTCAACAATCGCTTTTCATACATTGATAGGTAATGAGGAGGTATGATAGCAGTACCAAATTCGACACAATTGATTTCCCGCCTTCCTTTCCCATTGATGTCATGCATCTCATCTATCAAGGTCTTGTTCCCATCATAATGGATCATTGGCAGGGAGGATTTCTGAAGAAAGCGGATCTTGCAGAACCATGGTTCCCTGAGCTAACGGCGCTGCGAAGACCACACTTTCTGTCTTTGGACGATAGTGAATTTTTGTAACCATGGAGAGGGACGTGCGAAGTAAGATGAACATGGTGCATCTGCTGTGTGGTTCTTTTTGTGTGTCTTACTGTGATGGGACACCATTGCACATCAGATGGAACAGACAAAGCGATCGTGATGGAGCAGCGAATAGCTAGGCATATACATCTAGTAAGTATATGTCGAATCTACCGGACCCTTCCGCTTACCGCCTTTTCCCAAACATGATCTCCCTCAAAACAAAAAAAGACCAAAAACAGGCAGGGGAAAGAGAAGACATGTGTACATTCACGCCAGACTTCTCAACGGAAGTTTACAACATTGGCCTGATGGAGGTTTTTTCGTAACCATAGAAGGGGATATGTGTCGTGAGGACAAGTGGTCTGATCTGTCATCCTTGTAGTTTGGTGTCTCCTGTGACTTCCCTGTGACTGTGTGTGTGTTTTCCTGTGATGGGACTTTCTTCCCCCTTACCTTGTCGATTGGTGGTGGTTGGCCCAACACCACTTGACTGCGGAGGATGGGGTGCACAGTTCTCTTTTTTTCATCTTCCTACTCCTGTATTTTATCATTCCTTCTCGTTATTGCCCAGTCGCGCTTATAGCTCATCCGGATCAAGCCGACACCCGGGCCCCAATGCGATGAATGGAATTGGAAGGGGGTTTGCGTTGCATGGGGTGGAGAGTGAACACGAGGACGATGCTGGTCGCCTTGTGCTAGTGGACACTTCAAACGAGGTAAGAGCGAGCATCCACGTTGCCTATCTCAGGAATTCGATAGGGTATCGGTCCGAGCGAGGACCGCGTGGGGATTTATCCAGGCGACATAGTAAACGGCAACGGTCATATAATTTGAAGGAACATCATGCATTACGAAGAAGTAAAAACGTCTTCCTTATACCGCAAAATCCATCCTAATCATGCACTTAAGCAGACTTGCCGTTGATAGCCAACAACTCAACATCGAAAATCAAAGTAGCGTTAGGAGGAATCAATCCAGGGTACCCACGCTGACCATAAGCGTAATCACCAGTAATAGTCAACTTGGCCTTCTCGCCCAAGCTCATCTGAGGAACACCCTCATCCCATCCGCGGATGACCTGTCCGACACCGATACGGCACTTGAAGGGCTGACCACGGTCAACGGAGGAGTCGAACTTCTTGCCGGACTCGAGGGTACCGGTGTAGTGCATGGTAACCTCGTCACCGACATTGGGACGGTTGGTCTCGTCTCCGGGGGAAATAACGTCGCGGGAAACGCCCATTGTGATTTGAGTGGTAGAGAAAAGACTACGCGGGACAAATCGTTAGTAAATTGGGTAAAGGATAGGAAAAGGAGGAGGACGGAGAAGACATACCGGGTTTGTCTGGTAAAAGTTGTACGGAGGGCCGTGCGGAACATCTTGGTTGAGATTAATGTGACGGAAAGCCCCGTACGCTGATTTCAGGGCCAAGCCATGACCAGGTGGGTGGTCTTGCCATTGTTTATGCATGGTAAACATCGTCGTACTTTGTCAAAGACATTCAACAAGGAATTGAAATTGTCCAAACAGACGCGCTATCAGTCTTGAGCTGGACCCTGCCATGCGGGGCAGCGGCAATGCAGCCCGGCGGTACCCCCGGAAAGCCCCAGACCCAATTCCTCGACGCTCATTCACCCTCCCCTCCCTCCTTCTTCCCTATACCCCTAATGCGATCCTCAATACCACGGAGCCCGCTCTCTGCCTCCCTCCTTCTCCGCAGATCACACAGCGGAATCTGTTCGCTATGCGCCCGCCCAGCTCTGCGGCATTCGCCTTCCATTGCCGCCGGTAGGGCATTGGTCGGTATGGGTTTGGCTAGACGAGGAATGGCTACGGAGGCACTGTCGAGTATGGACGTCGGAAGGGCAGCGAACTGGAATGGATCGGATGACCAAGGACCGCTGGATCGGTATAACGCATTATCAAAGCGTGGGTTGATCAAGAATGATGAGTATCAAAGAGGTGTGTGCTTTTAGTGCTCCGTGTGTACAACCATCTAACCGGGTGCATGCCCAGGCATCGTTACTCGCCTCCAAACTCTCCACGACGTTCTGAAATCCTATAGCCCGCCACCAGTCGTCCACCCCTCTCTGTCTTCCCTCAAGCCCTCCGGCGGCTCGATCCTCCAACGGATCTTCGGTCCCAAGCCAGAAGTACCAAAAGACCACCGACCTGAAGGCACGCCAAAGGGAATGTACCTCTACGGCGACGTCGGTTGCGGAAAGACATTCCTGATGGACATGTTTTACGAAACCCTCCCTGCGAACATTACCTCCAAAGCACGAATGCACTTCCACGCCTTCATGCTCGACGTGCACAAGCGCTCGTTCGAGCTGAAGCAACAACACGGCTCCGCATTCGACGCAATCCCTTTCGTAGCAGCCGATATCGCACAATCCGCCCGTGTCCTCTGCTTCGACGAATTCCAGGTAACAGACATCGTTGACGCCATGATCCTCCGCCGACTCTTCGGGGCTCTGATCAGCCACGGTGTTGTGGTCGTGACCACCTCCAACCGCCACCCTACCGAACTTTACAAGAACGGAATCCAGCGCTCGAGTTTCATCCCCTGTATCGAACTCCTCCAAGAAGATCTCGAGGTGGTGTGCCTCGACTCACCAACCGACTACCGCAAACTCCCCAGAAAAGTGAGTTCAGTCTACCACCACCCTCTCGACTCCCACGCCCCCGAACACGCCCAAGCCTGGTTCGAACACCTCGGTGACTTCAAAAACGACCCACCAAAACCCGCACACGTCACAATCTGGGGCCGACAAGTCCACGTACCTCAAGCGTCGGGGAAGTGTGCGAAATTCACGTTCAAGGAGATCTGCGGAATGCCAATGTCAGCCTCAGACTACCTCGAACTCTGCCGAAACTTTAATGCGTTTGTCATTACCGGCGTCCCCCAAATGACCATGCGCGAAAAAGACCTCGCACGGCGTCTGATCACGTTCATCGATGCAGTGTACGACTCACGGGCGAAACTGGTCTGTACCTCCGCCGCGCCCATCGCACAGATTTTCTCAGGCGAAGACTCAGTCAGTAAGAAGATGAACCTTGACGAGGGTGAAATGGAAATTGAACCGGCTATGAGGGCTTTGATGGATGATTTGGGGTTGGATGCCAAGACGTTGATGTCGAGTTCGATTTTTACGGGTGATGAGGAGAGGTTTGCGTTTCAGAGGTGTATTTCTAGGTTGGTGCAGATGGGTACGCAGGAATGGGTTGGCCAGTGAACAAATGAGCAGCAGGAGCAGGGGCAGGATCATTTAAGTTATGAGAGAGATGAGAGAGCTGGGCTCGGATGATGCACTGGTGGCATAGATGATATTATTCATGACCACAGACTAAACCTACGAACGTTATCAATACAGCGTCGCAAGAATGACAGACACCCCGCGCCTTCTTGGCTCACACTCAAATTCCGGTGCCAATCAAGATCTTGATATGCTTATCCTTATTGGCAACCAACTCCTCAAACCCTCCCTTGACCCCATCCTTCAACGCAACCTTCTTCGTAATCATCTTCCTCGCCTCGTCAATCTCGATCCTCCCATCCCTCATCGCCTCAATAACCTCCCTAATGTCCTTCGGCGTATAACAAATCGCACCCAAATACCTCTTCTCAGCCAACAACAGCTCGTTCGGGTTAAAGCGGACTTCAGTTTCCCAGATAGCGATATTCATAGCCGTTCCACCCGAACGGACGGCGCGGATCGCAGTTTGAGCGGTGACTTGGAGGCCGGAGCAGTCAAAGGTGACGTGCGGGCCTACGCCGTCGCAGATTTTTTTGGATTCGGCGATGACGTCGGTTTGGGTGGGATCGAGGACGTTGTCTGCGCCGAAGGATTTAGCCATGGCTTTCCTGCTGTTGGAAACCTCCGAGACGAGGATGCGGCCTTGTCCTCCTGCACTGCGTTTATGAGCTTTGAGCGAGAGGAGGGTAGCGAGACCAATCGGTCCAGCTCCGAGAATGAGGGCATCCTGTCCGGGCTGGAAACCGCTCAGGGCAACAGCATGCCAAGCAACACTGATCGGCTCAATTAAGGCCCCAACATCTGTGTCAATCTCATCAGGAAGCGGGTAGACCCTATCGGCAGGGACATTAACAGCCTCACTCAACCCTCCTCCGGCACCGCTCAAGCCCATGAACCCAAGCTGTTCGCAAGCGTTCGGTGCGGAGCGTTGCGTGCACATATAGCACGATTTGTCCGCGATGACCGGATCAATGAAGACTTTCTGCCCAACCTGGAGATCATTGACAGAAGATCCGACAGACGTGATACGACCCGCGAACTCATGCCCAAACGTCAAAGGCGGTTCCTCTCCCGTCAACGGGTGCGGCTTCCCAGGTGCGGGCGCGAGGACGGGACCAACGAGATATTCTGTATCCGAGTCAATCAGCCTCATATCAAAGACATATGCAAGAACTGGGAGACACCATGCAAATCGGATCCACAGATCCCGCACCACTCAGGAGCGATCTGAACTTCGTTCTCACCAGGATTCTTAGGGCGTGGGATCGTGTCGATGCGAAGGTCTTTGGCGGCGTGCCAACGGAGGGCTTGCATGGTGTCCTTGGCGTTAGGCATTGTGGTTTTGTGGTGAGTAAGGGTCTACCCTGGTGGTGAACTCCAGGGTTTATAAAGGATCGGTGGAGACGACCCCCTCACATCACTCCCCACCCGTGAGTCGTCCCGTGCTCCTCCCGGCATCAAGGGGATTGTACACCCGGGCACATGTCCGGTCATAGTGTTTGGAGACAACAGCTGATTTGAAGGTGTAACTTGGGATCAATCAACCTGTGCAGGGTTTACCCCTCTTCCATACGGGACACGTGCCGTCGGTTGCAGACTGGCTGTCGGGAAGCGTGGAAACTTCATTGGAAGATTTACCTGGCGTGGTTATGGCCAGAATTACGGACACCAGCGTAAATCCCAATACCTTCAAGACTGTGCCGCTCTGGAAAGAATGATGATGATGGCAGAATTCGATACGCCCGTTCCCAGGCATGCAACTGTACCCCGCTGCGCTGTCGTGCACTGCGACGCCCTGCGAAGCTGGTCACCAACACGTACAGCCTCCAGCAGCCTCAGCGGTATATTTCGCCCTCGCCTCTTCCTCGACCATATCGACACCCTCCGACCCTTTCAGCAGCTGTTCCAACCTCTAGCAAAATGGCGATCTATCCTTTCGACGTTTCCCTCTCCTCCCCGCCTCCTCCGGCTGCAGTATCCGTTATGGACTCCATCGCCACCGTGGTCGACACCGAACTCCGCATCCCCATTTCTGAACCCCTCACACCTCCCAGGACTCCTGCTAGGAAGGTAAAGGTTGTGCATGAACGCTCCACGCTACGCCGCCGTGAGTTGCTGCTGCAAGGCAAAGAAGGTTCCCGCGCTCGCCGCCGCTTCGAGAACTCGTTGTTGTTGAATAACCCCTGGGCCACGCCACCGAGCAGGCAAGATTGGGTCCCGACCCCCGATTCCTCGAGAAGGTTCCGGAGGGTTGAGTGGAGCCTGGTTGAGAGGATGGAGGCACTGAACGTGGGGAGTAAGGGAGGGAAGAATAGGGAACAGGTACGGAGTGGGGTCGAGGGTGTGACGAAGGGGCTGAAGGCGCGGGTCAAGAAAGGTGGGTTTCTGTAAGATGTGGTGGAGCACCGAGCTGACTAAGGATGACCCACAGCACATGTCCCAACGGACCTTATCCGCTCCATTGAGGCTGAGCTTCGAAAGCTGCTGGAGTTCACGACTTGTCCGAACCTCGACAAACCCTCACCCCCGGTACCAACCACGGTGGAAGAGGAGATCCTCTTTACACCCCGCCGAAAATCCACCACCTCTCCCTCACTCTCCACAACCCCCTCCCCCAACTCCACCACACCACCAACTCCCCCGATCGAACTAGAATTCCCCCTCGCCAACATCCCCGAACCAGAAGCCTCCTACCACCGCTGGATCCTCCACCAAATCTGCACATATTACAACGTAAAATCATGGTCGAAGGATGTGGGCAAGAGAAGAGTCGCGGTGTTACGGCCTGAGGCGGGAGATGGGCGGAGGGTTCTGAAGGATAGGTGGTTTTGGGAGGTTGTTGGGGAGGCATAAGCTGTAGAGGAGAGTGTTAGACGGGTGGCGTGGACGGTGAGAGTGATTGGGCACGTTAGGATGGATATGGGAACCATATCGCTGGCACACAGTTATATCTTATGCACAGATGATAAACTTGCTGCCGTTCCACCGCCTATTTGACCTCTATCGAAGCAGCTGTCAAGGACCGGCCCGTTGCAATTGCGTACGGCAGGTATGGGCCCGCGATGGACTGATCAGCTGACGTAGGGAGCCATTGACCCCACAATTGCACAACGGAGCCTATCTGCAGACATCAACTGCAACTGAATCGATCGTTGTCCACTCAACATTCGAATCATCGTAAACAGCTTCGAATCATGTTCTCCCTCCAGTTCCTTCTCTTGGCGCTAGTCGTGATGAACCTCGCCCTCAACTCCCACGGTCAAACCATCCTCAACGCCCCGGACACCGATATCCAATGCGGCGGTACCTTTCTCTTTCTACTTCCCATGCTCGAGTAGCTGACTGCTAACAACCCCTCCTCGCCACAGACTCCGACCTAACCCCCTCCGCCCTCCTCTCCGCCGCTCAATCCTGCCTCTCCCACATCCTCTCCGGCACAACCGTCGGCCGCGACAACTACCCCCACGCTTACAAAGACTACGAAGGTATCACCTTCCCATCCGGATGCTCCGGGCACTACTACGAGTATCCGGTCTTAAACGACGATAACGACCCCTACGCCACGGGTCCGCCGGGGGCGATTAGGGTTATTGTTGGAGGGGTTGATATAGAGAAGGGGACCGGGGCTTATTGTGGGGTTATTACGCATGAGGGGGCGAGGGCGCATAATGGGTTTGTTAGTTGTCAGGTTGAGGATCAGCCGGATGCGCCGGAGGGGAGGAGGAGTGAGAGGTTGCTTGATTTGGAGCCGAAGGTGCGAGAGAGGGAGTTGTAATCTAATGTCTTGCCTTGCAAATGATGAAAGGGGTGGGTATTGTACGTCAATATGTGTCTGATCATGAGTATATCGTTCATAAACCATTTGCTTCGCTCTTCTACGAGTCTTGAGAATGTATCGACGTAAACTAACCGAAGTCAAAAACTACCAGCACCTAATGCCGGGACACCAACCTTTGATCACGACTGAAACGTTCTTGATTCCTTATTCTCCGCGTCTTTTATTCTTTCTTGCCACCTTTTTTTACTGCTTATTACCCCACTCCAAAGGCCTCGTCCCATCCATAAAAGTCTTGACCAAATCATCCGTAACAGCCTTCTTCTTCTCCCTAAACTCACCAACCATCCCCTGCAAACACTCAATACACATCTTTTTCAGCTCACCCGTCATCAACTCCCCACCCCGATACGCAACCCGAATACGCTCCAACTCTTCATCATCATCAAAGAAAAACGACAAATACTGAAACGAAACATCAACATCCGGGTTTCCGCCCAAACGACGCTGTTCCTCAAGTGTCGTCTGCCCACCCGAGAAAGCGTACTTGTTGATTTTGTTTTTGATTTGCGCGTCAGTGTCGGACATGAAGATCGCGGAGGTGTCGACGGAGGCGGACATCTTTGTTTGTGAGCCCTGGAGGGCCGGGAAGAATTTTGCATGGAGGAGCGCGGGTTTGGGGTACTTAAGCTTGACTGCGACATCACGCGTAAGACGGAAGTACGGGTCTTGATCGATTGCACAGGGGATGAGACAAGGAATATCCTTCTTCCCACCGAAAATCTGGGGGAAAGAGTTGGAGAAGGATGGTGCGGCTTGGATGGAGACGAAGTGCAATTTTCCGATGTTGTCGGAGTCGTTGAATCCGAATGTTGCTTTTGACTGGTTCATCGTGATCGAACGCGCGATTCTGACGACGTTGTGGTAGAAGGCTCCACCAACATAATCCAAATTCGAGAAAATAAACGTCTTTCTGGGGTCGAAGCCGACGGCGATGATATCCTTCGCATTATCAAACGCGAACTTGTGGGCTTGCTCCAACGTAAGCGAAGGCTTGAACAGGAATTTCTCGTCGTCGGTAAGCTGGATAACGAGAGGAACATCAAAGACATCCTGCAACCATTTGCAAAACATGAAAGGAATCATGTGTCCCAAGTGCATCGACGCACTACTCGGTCCACGGCCAGTATACAGAAAGAAAGGCTTTCCAGCCTCCTTGCGGTCCAAGATATTCTTCAAATCACGATGCGAGAAGAAGATTCCGCGACGAAGGAATCGATGAGGTTTATGTCCCGTAACAGCCTCGAACCTCACAAGCAATTCGGCATCAATTCGCTTCGTGCCAAATTGCTCGATCAACTTATCGTAGTCGACGGCTTGCTCCTTACCGTCTACCACGGCTCCATTGACATCCCACGGCGTAATCAACTGCTCGGTCTTTTTGGCCTCCTGAGCGTTTTTCTTTTGGTCTTCGAGGGAAAGCGTTTCCACGGGGATCAAGGACGCTTGTGCGACGGGTTTCTGCTCGTCGGCCATTGTGGTTACCAAGATCGAAAGAGGAATCCAGGTGAGAGAGCTTGAGCGGTGTAGCGTTTGATGTCGTACAAAGGGTCAGGTCAGGGGTTGGATGAAGTTAAATGGGAAGAAAAGCTAATCTTCATATGAATTTCTAAATAGAACAATGCGAGTATTATGGGCGCCCTTCGAGAACGTTTTGGGATTGCGTACAATATGGAGCTGGATTGGACGGAGGGCCGGGGCCTGCGGGCTTGGAGAAGAAGGCATGTCCGTGGTTGTGTCTGAATTTTAGATTATGCTATTGTTCGTGTATGTCTATTTGGAAGGGACGGCGGCTTGGGCTTTGTTCACAGTGTCCCTCAAGAGCTTGATCACCTCGGCGGGGTCAGTGGCTCCAAAGACGGAAGTACCAGCGACAATAACATTGGCTCCAGCGTCAGCAGCCTGACCAATGGTCTTGGGACCGAGACCACCGTCGACCTCGATGTCCATATCAGGGTATCGCTCACGGAGCTCCTTGACCTGTGTAGAAACTTAGTCATCAAAGTGTAACTGATCAGATTAGAGATCAAACATACCTTGGGCATCATGTCAGGCATGAAGGATTGACCACCAGCTCCAGGCTCAACAGTCATAACCAAGATCTGTAGGGAGCATGTCAACATTGATCCAAGATCACTGTATACTTTGACCGCCTACCATGTCCAACTTCTCCGCAAAAGGGAACAACACACTGGCCGGCGTCTTGGGCTTAATCGCACACCCAACTTTCATCCCAGCCTTCCTAACCTGCTCAATCAACGCCTCGGGGTCCTTCGTTGCCTCATAGTGGAAACAATACAGCGAGCCACCAGCATCCGCAAATGGCTGAACCCACTGCTCAGGGTTCGCAACCATCATGTGACAATCAAAGAATCCAATCTCCTTAGACACGGCTTTGCGCATACAGGTGACAACAGGAGGACCAATTGTGATGTTGGGAACGAAGTGGCCGTCCATGATGTCGACGTGGAGCCAGTCAGAGCCGTTCTCGATCATGCGCTTGCATTCATGGCCAAGTTGGGAGAAGTCTCCAGCGAGGAGGGAGGGTGCGATCTTGGCCTCAGGCATTTTCTTTTGTTTCGGTTTGTGGTGTTGAGTTTCGGCGATTTCTCGGAAGTGACGTGCGGGACGTGAAGATCCTTGAGGAACGAGCTAACCCTGAAAGGGAAATACATGTATGCCATCAGTGCTAACCCACAATCAGGTATTTTGAGGGTTACCCTAAGGCCGTATGTCTTGAATGCTCCTTATTCCATATCTTCCTCTTTCTTGACCACCTGCGGTTTCTCCTCATCCTCTTCCTCCTTTGTAATTTCCTCCCCAAGACCCTCTATGACATCCACATCTTCCTGAGACTCCTCATCCTCCACCACAACATTCCTCGCCGAAGGAATCCTATCACTCTCCACCACTGTCTCAATCGTATGCTCCATAACATCACCCTCAGGCAACGTATCAATATCCACCTTCCTCCCCAAGATCTTCTTGAGAATAACTCCAGCACCTGCCTTGGAAGTGATGATATTTGCACCACGACACTGCGAACTAATCGTACACTCCGGACATCCTTCTTGGCAATTGCATACCTCCACTCTTTCGATCGCCCGGTGCAGTAGATGATCGATGAATTCGAATGCTTTCAGACTGATGCCCGCTCCGCTCCCTCTAGCATCGTAGAAGATTAACCTAGCTGGTCTCTTCCTCGACGTCTCCCGTTTGCTCAACTCCTTAGTAGGATCCTTACACTCCGTCCTAACCTCACCCGGCGTACTCATCACGAAACTCGGCAAAAGACTCAACACAGCATGTTCCGCAGCATGAATAGCAGCCGCAACATTCAAATGCTTCATCTTCAGAATCTCCAATGCCTCCTTCGGAACGTCAATCCACAACCCTTTCGTATCGATCACTATGGGTGGGTTATCAACCTCCACCGTATCAAGGATATTGTTCCTCCGATCGAGCTTGAAGAACCCAAACACGACAGCAGTCACCCTGATATGCCCATAAAACGCCCTCGACCGACTCCCCCTAATCCGCCGAATCATCTGCGTCTCAATCGGGTCAACATCAGTGAAATCCCGCGGTCTCGTAATCCAATCCACATTCGCCAATTGCACCTTCGCAATTTTCGAGTCGATATTGAGTTCTCGCACGATATACGAATACCCCTGATGCATAAAAATCGCACCCTCATAAATCGTGAAAATCGCTCTCGTGGGCTCGATTTCCTCCAACACGACATTTCTGTTGTTGGTGACGTCGACAACCGCAAACCCATCACTCTCCACATCCCGAATCGCGACATGTTTGCTCGGATAGGGCTTAAACCGCGGATGACAATGATAAAACCCCTCCCCATCCCTCATCATCCTCGCATCCGCCAACATCCCCAAATCATCCCCAAAATACGACTCATCCTCACCAACCCGAATCGGCATCTCAAACGCCGCACACTGACAATGGCCCTCCAAAATCATGGGGTTACTCAAATCAACCTGTGCAGCCGTATTCGGTTTTTCGAAGAGTTCATCCGGATTTTGCATATAATGCTGATCAATCGGGTACGGATCCGCCACCAAAACCGTGAGCGAATCCTTATTCCTCCGTCCCGCTCGTCCAGATTGTTGGCGGAGAGCGGAGATGGTCATCGGGAACCCGACACAAATAACCGCATCCAACGCCCCGATATCAACCCCCAACTCCAACGCATTCGTCGCAATAATCCCCACTAACCTCCCCTCAAACATCTCTTTCTCAATTCTCCTTCGGTCTTGGGGCGTATATCCACCTCGGTAAGACATAACCCGTTCCGCAACCTCCCCACGTCCCATATCCGTCAAAATAGATCTCACAGTCTTGACCAACACCTCACAAACCTTCCGGATCTTGCAAAACGCGATAACCCTGATCCCCCGGAGCACAAGATGAATAAACAATTTACTCGCCTCCGCAATCGTACTCACCCGTCCCGCGCTTGGATCCGCGGGATCAACGTACGGCGGATTCCAACACACAAACTCCTTCGCTCCACTCGGGCTCCCATCTTCCTCCACAAGGGTCACCTCCTCCAACCCAAAAATATGTTTCATGTGCTCGACAGGATTTTGTATCGTCGCTGTACACGAGATAAACTGTACCCGTCGATTCCCAACCGTCGCACACAATCTCCGTAGTCGTCTCATCACATACGCGACATGCGTCCCGAAAATTCCATTGTAGATGTGTAACTCATCAACAACAACATACCTCAACCCCTTCAAAAACATCCTCCAGTTCCCCTCATTCGGCAGAATCGTCATATGCAACATATCCGGATTCGTAAATATCACCCTCGCCTCATCCCTAATTCTATCACGTTCCTCCACGGGTGTATCCCCATCAAACGTCTCAGTCCGAACCCACTCCAACCCCTCCGTACAACTCAATAACTCATTCATCCCCCGTCTCTGATCCTGCGCCAAAGCCTTCGTCGGGAAAATATACATCGCCCTCACCCCCGAGTCCTCCTCAAGCGCATGCAGCGTCGGCACCTGATAAATTAAACTCTTTCCCGAGCTGGTCGGGGTACCGACGACGACACTCTCACCACGCCAAATCGCGTTCAGGGCTTCGGATTGGTGGGAGTAGAATGTGGAGGGTGTTATGGATTTCGTGGTGTAGAGTGCGTTTGCGAGGGATTGGGAGAGGGGTGTGGAGAGGGGTGCGTGGTGTGGGGGACGGGGGGGGATTGTGCGCCGGCCGTTTGGGACGATTTGGTTTTGGTAGGAGGGGCGGACGATCAGGCCGTCGATTATTGATTTGATTGTTGGGCGGTCGTCCGGGGAGGGCAGCTTGGGTGGTGGTTTCTTCGTAGTTTCGGGTTGGGGTTCTTGTGTCGAGGTTTCTTCGATTGGGACATGCGACTTGAACTCCGCCTGTAACCGTTCAATGGGCCCGACACCCAGGTTTTGGCTCTCGACGAGGAATGCAGAGACAGCGGAGATGAATTTCGCGTTGCGTTTGGAGATGAGTTTCGTCATTGCCGCCGCTGTAAACTCCGGTGCTTCTTTCACAACTCGCTTGCCTTTGACCACCCTCGTCGTGGTTTTCTTCAAATCGCCATCGAGATACTCGAACAGTAACACATTCTGTATAGGCCGTACTTCTGCTTCGTGGGTTTCGTCCGCAATGAGAGTGTTGGAGATAGCGGCTTCCGTGAGCGTAGAATAAGCCTCCTCCCGTGCCCTTGCCCTCTTCGACGGAAACTGCGCCGTCGTATCAGCGATATTAAGCGCGAGTTTATCCTGTTCCACGTAGTTAAAACTGATACTTCGTGGCAGAAAGAACTTGATCTGTGCGATATCCTCCACCGTAAGTGGCCTGTTCGACGTCTGTCAGCAAAATGCGCTCAGCACACCAATGTTCCAGCAAATCGAACCTGTTCGTGAGACCCTCTACACTCGTTTTTATGTTCTCGAACGTTGTTGCGAGGTGTTTTCGTGTACAGCAGAACGTGAAGACGGTGTTCAGACTCCTGTGCACCTTTTCCAAGGCTTTGAACTCTGCCGGCCAGTCCTCAACTTTGATAGCTGGCGGTGCAATACTAGATGCTGTAGATGCATGCGATGCTGTAGATGACGAACGCTCGAGTGCCGCTGCTTTCGCAACTGGCCTCCGTCTTCGTTTCGGTGTTGGCGGATCTGGTGGAAGGCCGTTCGCGGTCGTAGCCGCCGCCGCCGCTGCCGCTACCGCTGTTCGTTTCTTCGGCGGCATGTCAACTTCACCGTCTACTCAACGTCTTATTCAGTACTTGCTACTACTGTTGAAGCTCCGATCAAACCTTGAAGTTCCCCCGTCCTCGCTGTTCGCCCCCAGAATCTCGGCGTTTCGTACGACATGCGGTCCCTCACACTAGCGTCATACCTTATTTCCCTGTTCGTGAAAATTCAAGAACTCCAAGAAAAAAACAAAGTCCATTTCGACGAGAAGAGACGGAAAGTTTCGTCTGAAAGTGCTTGAGTGATAGGAAAGGGTGCAGGACACTTCTGGGTAGAAAGAACGGCCTTTTGAGAGCGTCTGGCAAAAGCAATTGGTCCTCGAAAAGAGCGGTGAAAGGAGGAGCAACCGACCGGTGATCGCCGAGAACAGGATCTCATTACAGATTACCAAAGATACTACCCGAGGTCGATCAGAAGGCTTTTCTGCATCAAGGGTGAGCGAGGCTATCATGGAAGGCGCCGAAAACCCAACTCTCCTCTCGTCCACCCCCTCACCAACATCCTCGAGCCCACCCTCCTCCTCCACCACAACAACCGCAGCTTCCACAGACCCCCTCACCTTCAAATGCCCCCTATGCTCCACCGACCTCCACCGCTTCGCCCTCAATCCCCAATCCTGCCTAACAATGTGCACAACCGCAACCTGCCCCTTCCCCTTCAACCTCCTCAAAGACGAATTTGACGCAAGATGGAGTCAGAATCCGAGGTTAGAGTGGAGGACTTATGCTGGGACGCTGTGTCCGGAGCTCCAACAACAACCCACCAATACTCAGACGCAGAGTGGAGGACAGACGGGGGTGGTAGGACAAGGGACAGGGGGGATGGCGGGGGTGACGCCAGGACCGGCGTATACATATACCCCACCCCAGCCCCTCATACCCCCCTTCCGCGCCTCCTCCGGCTACGTCGTGCGTATCCCTTCGTCCACCACCACCTCAAGCACCTCCTCCACAACCACCTCAACCCCCCATCTCCCAACCCGCCTCTCCCTCGACAACCGCATCCCAACAATCGGCTCCACAGCCGGTGCGCTTCCAAATCACCTCACCCCCCGAATCCTCGCCCAACCCTCTTTGCAGTTGCAGATGCCGAGACAGAGAGTGCCGGGTGCGTGGCCGGGGTATCGGCATGGGGGTGAGAGGAGTGGGAGTGTGAGTGTGAGTGCAAGGGTTAAGGCTGCGCCGATACCGGCTGCTACGGGTGGGGTAAAGACGTTGGTTATGAAGCCGATGCCGGAGAGGAGGGGGACGGCCGGGACGGCCGGAACAGGGAGTGGGAGTGGAGGTGGACAAAGACAAGGGGGGACAGGGGGAGGAGGGGGTGGAAGGATAACGGAGTTTGCGGTGCCGATTGTTGGGGGAGGGCCGCCTGGGGGAGGGCCGCCTGGGGGAAGGCCGGGCGGTGTACAAGGACAAGCACAACCACGAGCGCAAGGACAGGGTGCAGGGGCAGTGGGTGCGATTGGGCACGCGACATACAGTGGATTGGTACAGACAGGCGCACAACAGTCACAACAGCAACCGCGAGCACAAACATCACACAACATCGACGCAGAATTCACACGCCTAACAACAAACGCAAACGGCATGGTAACAGACGAAGAACTCCACCGCCTCCTCGCCAGTCCCGACATCGACGTCGACCTCGATGGCCCCTCCTCCTCCCTACCTTCCTTCCTCACCCCTCCGGCCTCCGAGCCATCACCCAAAAAATTGAAGGTTACACACACACACGACGAGCACGATAACTGGGAAGAAGAGGTGGGCGCGATGTGGGATGCCATGACAGCCTGTGGACAAGCACAAAGACAGGATGGAAGACCGACGAGTACGTGTTCTTCGCCGACGTCTAGGATGATGGAGGAGAGTCCGGCGAAGCATAAGAAAGTGAACTCGATTGGTGGATTGATTTTACCGGGGTTCGAACTGGCGCCAGCACCGATATCGCGGCCAGGGGCCACGAAGGATGTAGGTGAGGAGCCGGACGGGGTAGGTTCGGTATTGGAGGGTTTGGGTGTGGGAGGGGAAGAGAAGGCAGTGGAGTTCAATTTCGATGAATTGGGCTTGGGGGTCGGAGAGGGGGATGATGCAGGAGATTTTGATGGATTTGATGAGTTGGAGAAGGAGTTGGAGGGGTTGCTATGAAGCGGGAGATCAATCGACTACAGTTCAAGATCAAACGAAGGAAAACCGTCGCGATATCAGTATCAGCGTATCTTGCAATCCAGTTATGTATTCTCAACTTAACTTTAGATCTGCCAGATAGTCGACCTGTACTCCCATTTCTTGAAGTGCTTCGCCATTGGCCATAAGCTTCCTCCGCAATGATCCATTCACGTCCTCCGTGGGCGCTTTCGCCAGTAACGCACAGGATAAAGATGTAATCTCAGCCCAGAACTGGCATGCTACACCATTCGCCGCTGTGTTGGAGTATCGTCCGGCTGTCTGCGCAATGTCCAACCACGGCTTTCGCACACTATCCACATTCTCCAAAACGTTCAATAAGACACGCGCTTCAAGTATACCAATCTGAAGATCCGTGTCGGAGGAACCAGAGCTTCGGGAGGCTAGTTTCTTCAAGTCGGCCGAGACAAGGGCCCATCCGCCTTCATTCAGAAACACCTCCCGGCCATTCCTTTCACACACAACCCACTGCAAGGCACTGGTAACCCATCCCCGGTAATCTACACCGACACTTGCGCCTTCTTTGAACAACCCCAGGAACACGTCCACTATTCCTCCGGCAGTATGCCTTAACCCCTCATCTTCCTGCAGCCAGAGGGAAAGTGCCCGTACCGCAGAAACGATCATCACATCCCTCGCAATACCACCCTCTGATGAAGTATCCCAGCCAAGGGCCGGTAGTCCTTCGGCATCATCGCCACGCAGACCCATTGCACCGACTCGAGCTGCGTCCCACCTCTCTCGCAGAAAATCCATCGTTTCTGAAAAAGCATCGGTGATGGCCTTCTGCAGTTTCAGAAGGTCCGATGGCTCAAATAAGCACCCAACTTCATCTGGTGTAACCAGATAAGAGATTACGGCCACCAAAATGTCATAATCAGCGGCAAGTCGTGTAGCTGTTAACTGATATTCTGGAGATGCAAGATCCTTCATGAGGTCCGTCAGCGTCGCGCGGATATCTACGGCTGCTAAGTTGACAACAAGCATGGCAAACTTTGTGTCAAAGACGGTGCTTTGTTGTTCTGTGGCTGCTGTAGACGGGGGTAGTTGAAAGACAGAACCAAAGCCACGAATATTCATGACAGCAGCGAGGATCTGAGAAACCTGACCGCGGACTTTGGTGCCTACATTCTCAACGATTAGCGTCGTTCATAGTATATAACGAGGACGGCTCACCTTGCTTATTCAATGTCAACTGTCGAAGACCCAAGATCAATTCCCTCTGCCAGCTCAGCGACTCATCCGAAATCCAAAGGGTCGAAGGTAATGCCGTAAGGATATTGTAGAAGAAATCAAGCAGACATAACTGCACATCTTCTGCACGAGACCTGAAATCGGTGGCAAGAGTGACGAGCACATTGTCTATGACCGACGTCGAGGTGAATGTTGGTGACTCTGCCTTGGCAAATACCAGTTGCAATATTGGCAAGACCAAGCTGGTGTACTCTGTATGATCCGTCACCACTTGTGCCAACACATTGATGTATTCAGCTTCTGCGAGAGACGAGGCTCCGCTCCGTGTGCTTGAGATACGCTGCAAAAGCTCAAAGGTCAGTTTTGTCGTGGTTGGATTGCTTTCGTGGTATTAGCAATCCGTCATATAACCAGTTTCAGCAACAACATACCTGATTCTCAGGGTCTTGAATATTGTGGGCACTTGCGCAAGCATATGTCCATCCTCAGCAAGACCCGGATAAGTCGCGAATGAATGGAGGATCATGACCGCCAATTCATGCAAATCATTCGCTGAATTCTGTTCATCTGTACGAGACTCTAATGAAGTCAGCGTGGGACCAACTGTACTCAAGGCAGTCCACGCACTCGTTCTCAATAATCTGTCGATGAAGGAGTGACTCAAGGCAGCCCAGCAGACGGGAGCGAGGGACGGATCGCGCGATAAGATCGCAGGAATGATGGTCAAGGCGACGAATTTTGAAGTATCATCTGATGCTTTGAGAAGAGTCAAGCATTGCTGAAGGTCCTTTGCGTTGGTTGACGTTGACATAGGTGGGTCAATTGATATCTTATCGATATCGCGGTAATTCTCTGTCCCGCGGCCGGTGATCAGTGATCTCGAGGGATACCACGCGGTATCAGTAAATGTATCGGCGTAGGTATTATTTCACGGACGGATTAATTGATACTTGGTATCTTATCGTAATTTGATCCCCCGGTGAATTTCGGAACTTGACTTGGTCGAACGCAGGCATGGCTCCAAATGTTCGGTTGCGGTTGGCGTCATCGCGCTACTTACTAAGTTACCGGTCGAGCACCCCGGAAGGAATTACTCAACCCCCAATCACCAATCCCATATAGATTCCCTCAATTGATCCGTCCTTCAATTCAACAGATCAAACAACTACAATGTCCTTCTCACTACTCACCGATCTCCCCGCCTACTCCGACCTCCAGTCGCACTACCAGACCACCGGCAAGGGTCTCATTGTCAAGGACCTCTTCGCCCAGGATCCCAAGCGTTTCGAGAAGTTCTCGCACAGCTTTGACAAGATCGATGGATGCCCCATCTTGTTCGATTTCTCCAAGAACATCGTGAATGAGGAGACTGTGCAGTTGCTTGCTGAGTTGGCCCGCCAGGCTGGTGTTGAGAAGTTGAGGGATGGTTTGTTTTCTGGTGAGCACATTAACTTTACCGAAGACCGGTATGTACCTTTGGTCGATTCTCATGGCATGATTGCATTACTAACGATCTCCCGGGGTACAGCGCTGTCTTCCACCCTGCTCTCCGTAACCGCTCCAACGAGCCCATGAAGAACAATGGCGAGGATGTCATGCCTTCCATCAACAAGGTTCTCGACCACATGAAGGAATTCTCCGACTCCGTCCGTTCCGGCGAGTGGAAGGGTTATTCCGGCAAGACCATCAAGTCCATCGTCAACGTCGGTATCGGTGGTTCCGACCTCGGACCCGTCATGGTCACCGAGGCGCTCAAGCCTTACGCCAAGAGGGATTTGGAGATGCACTTTGTCTCCAACATTGACGGTACCCACATGGCTGAGACTTTGAAGGCTTGTGATCCCGAGACTACTCTTTTCTTGGTTGCGTCCAAGACTTTCACGACTGCTGAGACTTCTACGAACGCCAACACTGCCAAGGAGTGGTTCTTGCAGACTGCTAAGGATGAGAGCGCGATTGCTAAGCATTTTGTTGCTCTTTCCACTAACGAGAAGGAGGTCACCAAGTTCGGTATTGACGCTGCCAACATGTTCGAGTTCGGCGACTACGTTGGTGGACGTTACTCCGTCTGGTCCGCCATCGGTCTCTCCGTCGCTCTCTACATCGGTTTCGACAACTTTGCCGATTTCCTCGATGGAGCACACCAAATGGACAAGCACTTCCGCGAGACGCCTATCGAGTCAAACATCCCCATGCTCGGTGGTTTGTTGTCCGTGTGGTACTCCAACTTCTTCGGTGCGCAGACTCACCTCGTCGCGCCGTTCGACCAGTATCTCCACCGTTTCCCTGCGTACTTGCAGCAGCTCTCGATGGAGTCGAACGGAAAGTACGTCACCCGTACCGGTGCGCAGGTGTCTTACACCACTGGCCCAATCCTCTTCGGTGAGCCCTGTACCAACGCACAGCACTCCTTCTTCCAGCTCGTGCACCAGGGAACTAAGCTCATCCCCTCCGACTTCATCTTGGCCGTCGAGTCTCACAACCCTATTCAGGGTGGAAAGCACCAGCGTATGCTCGCTTCCAACTTCCTCGCCCAGTCTGAGGCTTTGATGGTTGGTAAGACGCCGGATGAGGTCAAGGCTGAGGGTGCGCCGGAGGAGTTGGTCTCCCACAAGACTTTCTTGGGAAACCGTCCCACTACCTCGATCGTCGCGCAGAAGATCACCCCTGCGGCGCTCGGAGCCTTGATTGCGTACTACGAGTGGTTGACCTTCACTGAGGGCGCTGTCTGGAACATCAACTCTTTCGACCAGTGGGGTGTTGAGTTGGGTAAGAAGCTCGCTGTTAAGATTTTGGGTGAGTTGGAGAGTGAGGGTGAGGCTGAGGGACATGATGCTTCTACGAATGGATTGGTGAACTACTTCAAGAAGATGGGTGGTGCTAAGTCTGAGTAAGGTATGGACAGTGTGATGTAGTGTTTTGAGGAGCGCAAAAATGGTATTATTAGAGGCGTTTGTATACTATCTAATTGAAGTGGCTACGGCCGTTTTGTTACAACTGCTCCGTCGTATCTTGTCGTGCGTGTGCCGTTCCGGTCTCCCGATCATTCTCACTTCTTCTCCTCCAGACTCATTCTGGGTACTTCTTTTACTCCACTGACATTGGCCACTTCATTCTCCAATCTTGCAATCTCGGCTTGCTTTGACGTCTGCGAATCTTTATTCTCCAACGACCACCAAAGAAGGTGCAGACCCTGGTAGACTGTGAAAGTCATCAAAAGTACTTTGCTCAGGGCCCTTCCATATGTTTTGTAGAAGCCGATCTGGCGGACGTTAGCAAGGAAGACCGGAAAGGGAATTTGAAGATGACGGCGTGGAGCATACATGTCTTGATGGTGGAGGTGGTGCGGCAGCTTCGAATTGTGGAGGATGCTTGGGTTGCGTGGAGTTGAATCGCCGCATAGTGTGTGGAGCCCTGAAGGCCCTTGTCGCGATCCGAGCAGCAAGCATCTTCGAGGTTGTTCTTGTTCCGAAGGTGGAGGAAGGTCGGGAGACGCTGGTGCCTGTAACGTAGACACGGGATTGAGTAGGGATCCCCGCCAAATCCAGTCTGCTCAAGCGGTCCCCAGGTGGTTGTCAACAGCTGCTGTTCAGCATGCACTCTCATCACTCTCACAGCGGCGACTACTGCCTTCACGGTACGGTTGTAAGCCTGCTTCAGAAGCCGCGGCTGACAATTCTACAGCGAAGGGACACCTCGAGGATGTCGTTAAAGAGGCTATCCGACAAGGCTTCAAGCTCTTCTGCATGACGGAGCACATGCCTAGAGACCAGAAAATGGATCTCTACCCCGAAGAAGTAGGTGTTCAATCACGTCTGGCCATTTGAAAGTCGACCTGGCTCACAGTCTGACAGTCCCACCTCACTCCCCAAGATCTCGAGGATACGTTCGCGAAATACTACCCCCACGCAAAGGCTCTCCAGAAAAAGTACGCCGACCAAATCGAAATCCTCGTCGGTTTCGAAATCGACTACATCCGTCCCTCCTCTCTCGCGCTCATTCAACGTATCCGCGAACAATACCCGCCCGAGATCATCATGGGCTCCGTCCACCACGCCTTCGAGATCCCCATCGACTTTTCCCAGGAACTCTGGAACAAGTGTTTAGAGAAAGCCGGGGGATCGGAGGAGAAGTTGTTTGAGAGGTATTTCGATGATCAGTATGAGATGCTCAAAGGCGTTAAACCAACCGTCGTCGGACACTTCGATCTCATCCGCCTATTCGCTCCAGACACGGCTGTACCCTTCGCGCAATACCCAACCGTCTGGTCCAAAATCGAGCGCAATATCGACTTGATCGTCGAATTGGACGCCATGGTCGAATTCAACTCTGCCGCGTTCCGAAAGGGGTGGGATGAAGCGTACCCACGACAAGACGTCTGCGAACTCATGATCGCCAAGGGCGTCAAGTTTTGTTTGTCGGATGATAGTCATGGGCCGCATCACGTTGGGCTGAATTATTGGAGGACGAGGGAGTATGTAAGGGAGTTGGGGTTGGAGAAGATTTGTTATTTGGGGAAAGATGGGGAGGGTAAGGTTGAGGTGCGGGAGATGGCTGTTGAGGAGGTGTGGCAGGATCCGTTTTGGGCTTTGAATGCTGAGGAGAAGAGGACGGCATAGACGTTGATGGGGGAGGGCGGATTAGACAGTTGTACTTTAAGAATAGGGGGTAGGATAGATCAAGAAGAAGACTTCACAATGACGCTGACGTGATCCGATTCGAGGTAACGCTCGCACCTATCATATAAAAAGAGTGATTACGGAGGCTTTGACTACCCCCAGCTGCGATAGGAACAACTGAAGACCCTGCAAACTCGCCCTTAAATTATTCTCAACACGACCTTCAGGCTATTTCTCATCTGCCAAGTTTTCCCAATCTACCATAGCCACCCCACTCCTTCGTTGATCCATTGTGTCTTTCCTACCACTCCTCCCCATGCTTCTCCCGAATATACGCCGCCAACGCCTCAATCGTAACCATCTTCATCCCCCACTCCCTCTTAAGCCTCCCACAATCATCCCGTCTCGCCATCTCCCCATCATCCTTCACGATCTCCGAGATAATCCCCACAGGCGCCAATCCCGCCAACCGACACAAATCGACAGCGGCTTCTGTATGTCCTGTGCGGCGGAGAACGCCCCCTTCGTGGTAGCGGAGAGGAAACATGTGGCCCGGTCGCGTAAAATCCAGGGGATCGGAGGAGGAAGCGAGTTTATTTGCCGTGAGTGCGCGGTCGCTGGCGGAGATTCCGGTCGTGGTGCCGTCTGCTGCATCACAAGATATCGTATACGCAGTCCTCATTCGGTCCGTGTTTTCGGGTACCATGAGTGGTAACTCGAGTTTATCCAGATCGTGGCCGAGCATTGGAACGCAGATCAGACCCGAGGTATGCCGGATCATGAAGGCCATTTTTTGGGGAGTGACGAGGGCGGCGGACATGATCAGATCGCCTTCGTTTTCGCGGGATTCGTCGTCCATCACAATGACAAACTCTCCGTTCTCTGCGATCCTCGTATGTTAGCACTCGTTCGTGATCCGCACAAGGTACAAGGAGGAGACAAAACGTACTGAAAGCAGCGATCGCATCCTCGACTGGGTCAAACATGTCTGTCATTTTGTATGGTTGCTGACTGTACTCCGCTCGGGACATCCGGCAGCGCGCGTGTGGCTGGGGATTGCGGTTGGCAACACGGTCGGTACATCGCGGGGTGCGGTACACCATGGCCTCGACGTCCACGGCGACGACCAGCTGTGTAGTATGTTAAGATCGAAGAAATGTCTCGTCACTGGCGGATCAAGGGGTCTTGGACTTGCTATCGCAAAACGATTCTCTGATGAAGGTGCCACGTGCATCCTCATGGCGAGGAACAGGGAGAAGCTCGAAGCTGCCAGGGAACAGCTGGCAACGGCCGCGGAAGATGGTGCGTTATTACGACACAATATAGTTGTTGGGGATGTGCAGGATTTTGCTTCGAAAGACTATGGGAAAGGAGTGCTTGATGATGTGGATGTGTTGGTAAATGCAGCAGGTATGGAGCTTTTTTGATTCCCAAGGTCACACACTAACTGGGTTCTGAAAGGCATAACACAGGTTTCCTTACTAGTGCGAACATCTCCCAATAGTATTAAATCACTTGTCCAGACAAATCTCCTGGGCACAATTTACGCTTCACAGGCATTCGCACGAAACTCCATCCGAGCACGTAAAGGTACGCGAAGCAATCTCGATCTTTCAGAGGATTTCCCTGACGCGTAGAGAACAGGTGGTGTAATCATCAATTTCTCATCAGCACTTGCACATCGACCTGTCCCCGGTTCCTCCATCTACACGGCTACAAAAGCCGCGGTCGAAGGCCTGACAAAGGCACTCGCTGTCGAGCTAGGCCCAGCAAACATTCGTGTCAACGCAATTTCGCCTGGCTACATTGAGACAGATATGACTTCAGCGATTTCGGAGAAGGCAAGGGAAAAGATGATGGACAGGGTTCCTGTGAAAAGGTTTGGAACCGTAGAAGAGGTAGCGGAGGTTGCGCTCATGTTGGCGATGAATGAGTTTATGACGGGAAGTGTTGTGAATGTGGATGGTGGGTGGAGTGTGTAGTAATCATGGGTTGTTGCGGCGGAAGAGGACGAAGACAGGCTTACAATGCGGATGTCTTGAGCGGTTTATGTCCAAGGATGTTTTTGACACTTGTGACATCAGCCTCGGTTGTATGGTGTAGCTGTCAACACTTTCGGTTTTGAGCGTTTCTTGGCGACAAGTCCCTGAACGTTAACACTCAGCGTGGGATCTTCCTCGAGTTTTAGGAATAGTCGATGCAAACCCCGACGAAGGCCTGTAGTTCATCGCCCTTATCCAACCGATACATCTTCGATCTTTGCACTTTACCCCTCCGCTTCAGACGCCGAAGAGTAGAGGATGCATAAACATCCTTGGGTGAGTGTGAACTAGACGGTTGTACGTCAAGAATAGAGGGTATGATAGACCATGGCGAAGCCTTCAAAATGGCACTAGAATCAACGCCAATTGGAATCATCACTGCTTGTGTCACTGCTCGTATCCGAGGCCGTTCTTTGTTTCCATACATCTTCCAGTAACACGTTCTCCTCGAACTCTCGGAATAGTCGATATACACCCCGACAGTATTCCTGCAGTTCATCACTCTTATCCAACTGATACATCTTCGACCTTCGCACCCTCACGTCTTCAGTAGGCACTCTGCCAGCTTGTATTGCCTCCATGTACGCATCGTTGAATTCACCCGCAACCAGGTATGCTCGTCTGTAGTGAACTCCTATCAGATACGCCATGTAAGGTCTATTCCGATAACACGGCGCATCCTCCAATCCCTCCCTTAACAACCACTCCTTCCAAGAATGAGCACTCATCAATAGCCTCCCAAACTCCTGCGCCAATGCCTCACCAACCCCGTACTCCACCAAATCAACCGCACTAACAGACACCAACGGCGGTCTCGAACCGCGCTCATACCGTCGAACCTGACCTTGTGTTGTGCAGAGATATTGTCGTCTATCAACCCACGGCGCCAGAAAACCGCCCGGGAGGAGGTCAAGTGAGGGTGAGTGACGGAGGAGGAAGGAGAGGAGATTATGAAGGGCGTGTAGTGAACAGGATTGGAGATCGCGCTGGAGGAGTAGGGAGGTGGTTATGGTGATTCTGTTGGTGAGAGTATTTGATCGTAGAGCGCCTTTCCGTGGTGTTTCCGCGGCTGAACGGCGTCGTGGAGGTGTAGTTGGTGACTGTTGTACCGAGGATGTTTCAGACTCCGCCTGAGTGCCAGGTTCGTGTATCTCTCCAGCCTTCGCATCCCATTCTGGCTCCGGAACCTCATGATACAGTGACCGTGTATCGAATGACACCGCTGATCTTGCTGTTTCTTCTTCCATCTTCTCTCCTGCTGACCACCTCGCATTGAAGCCCGCCTCCAACGCAAGTTCCAGCTCCTCGAGCTTCATTTCCGCCTTTGACTGCTCCTCCTCTACGTCCTCCACCCTCCCGTGCCATACCCTCGTGATCTCCCTCATTGCCGTGTAAACCTGTCGCATTGCACCAAACTCGCTGACAAACGCCTGTCGATTCCGAGCCAGAGGTGCCGCGTTGAGCTCGTAACGCAGAGCGGGCAAGGTATCTTGCCATCTCTTATCACCATTATAGTCCACGGGGCGAAGATTATTGAGCAGTTCGTCAAGATTTTCGGCGGCTTCATTCGTCACCCTAAGCTTCTGCAGCGTAATCCCAGCCCAGTTACAGATGAGAGAAGGTAAAATCAACCTCTCTTTGTCAGCTTTTCGTGGCTTGAACATGGCTGGTGAAGTAGTGGCGGTTTGTTTCCTGTGTTCCAGGAATTCGAAGTCGGTGTGTAACGTAGTCTCACTACCTCCCATTCCGGGAGTACGCGTGAGAAATGCGAGATACCGTCCGAACAATACGACAGAATCTGTGTATAAAAGACTGTTATGTTGTCTAAGATTAGGTATAGCAGACCTACCAAAGGCCGAGAAGAACCCCCAAACTCCCGCAACCTCACCCCCAGCAAAACTCCCGTATATATCCCTATCCTCTATCGTCCCTCCTTTCTTGCCCCTACATCTACCAGTATCTAGATACTTTCTCACGACGCTTACTTCGGCGTCCCCCCGGGCGTCCGACTTCTCGTAACCATCCTCCCACTCGGCGTCTCCAACCCCTCCCCCTCCACCTTCTTCTTCTGCCCATTCCATTCCTCCGGCAACAAACTCCTAACAAGTATCACCGTCCTCTCAAGCCACTTACCCACTGCACCCCCCACACTCCTCGGAACTGACCCACGACTAACATTTCGGTCGATAGTGGGGAGGTATGTAAGGTGACCAACTGTCTCCACAGTCGGTAACAGCCCTGTCATCGCGGCTACAGTCGCCTCCTTCTCGTCCGCGAATGGTGCCTTGAACGGGATAGGCGTATCAGATACAAGACCATGAAGGTGGGAAAGTGCGCCAGTCGCCAGGGCACGGTCGGAGTATCCTCCCTCCATCACGCTCAACATACGTCCCCGACAGAACCTATCGGCGATCCTCCTCAAATCCTGCGTAAACTGTGCGTAGAACGCGGTGGGTAAAGACACGGCATGGCGCTGCATATGCGGCGTCTCGTACTCACTTCCGTCGAAGCCTGCGCTGATGAAGAGCATGCACTCCTCGCCCCGATTTGACTCGAAGAATTCTGCGCATTTCTCCAGTAGTACCACATACCGTTTTCTGTATAGAACATCAAACTCCGCCTCAGAAGTGTATGGTCCAAGATGAACATTCCAAATTGCCTGATCATGGTTCATCACACATAAACTTGCTTCTTTGACTTTCCTCTCCGCAGCTGGTGCTTCACACGGGAAACTTTGCACGTCGTGAAGACTGAAATAACCAGCCCTCACGACCTTTGATCCAGGTGGACCGGGTTGTCGCCAGTTGTATTCCCAGACGATGTCTTGTGTTCCATCACCGTGGTGGAGATCGAAGTCGACGACGGCCCAGCGGGTGATGCCATATTTCTTTGCGGCGTAGGACGCTGCGATAGCAACGTTGTTGATGAAGCAGAACCCCGAAGGGGCTTCGGGAGCGCAATGGTGACCAGGAGGTCGGATCAGGCAGAGCGCTTTGTTCGTGGAGGAGGTAGGAGCACAGACAGCGTCAACACCATCCATGACCGCACCAACGCATCCCTCCAGCGCACTCTGCGTACCAGCAGAAAGGTATAGATCTCCAGATGGCCAGCCACTCGGGACCTCAAGTTCGCCCTTCGCCAACAGGCCCGGCGCAGCGTGTATGTGGTTATGCAAGATCGTGGGATAACCATCTCCATGAATGTCGGTTACGCACTCATGCGACAATCTTTCTGATCGACTCGAGGGTTTGATGCTGAATTTCGGGGTGTCGGGGTAGAGGGAGTGAAGGGCGCATACACCGATCAGCGCGGCGCGAAGACGTTCGGGGCGTTCTACGATGGATTTGAGGTAGCGTGCCGAGACATCGCGGGAGAATTTGTGAGCGTAGGAGGCGTTCTGGATAATCACTGTGGCTTCTGTTTCTGCACTCTTATCACTCAGAGACAGGTTCTCGAGGGGCGGTAATGGTACTGTTGACGGTGTCTTTGGCGTCGCGGTCGGAACGAGGATACGCGCAGCTGCGACGGATCTCGGTGTTGCTTGGATAGTCTGAAATATTCTTTGTGTAGTAGGAGCTGTATGCACGACTGAAGGAGTTTGGGGTACACCAGGTAACACTCCGCCGGAGCTCCCTGGTCTCGACGGCGTATCGAGTACCGTGGGCCTCGGGCCAGCAGCAGGTGTGGGAGTCGCGTGCGGAGGAGGAGAGGGAGTCGCAGTAGGTGATTTGTTCGCAAGGGAAAGTGAGACGAGGATGTCCGCAATATCGTCGGTCGTTGGAGCTGACATGGCGGTGTTGATGGTCGGCGAGAGTCGAGGATGGTGGAGGAGTTCGAGAATGTTTTGGTCATTGAGCAGCATGCCGGTTGAGGCAGGGTCCGTGTGACCTTATTCTACAGTCGTCCTTGAGCGGAGGGAATGGGAGATGAAGCGTTGTAATGAATAGAGAATACATTTGAAAAGTCTTTGGTCGCATCTTCGATGTTTTCGAGGTAACTTTTGAACCAGCAGGTGACCACTCCTACGCTACACGTCGCCGGCCCCCGAGACGTACGGCATACAGCGCACGGACAGCACCGCACAAACATTCCCCTATACTCTCCTATACGCCTGACCGAGCATCCCATCAACGAGATACAGACTCAATTGCTCGATATCAGGACGTCATTGTCGTCCACGCACCTTACACCTTCTAACTGTCGAGATCGATTGGATCAAGCACAAACACCATGAAGCTCGACATCACCCGCCAACTCTTCCAACGCTCCGACCGTGTTAAGGCTGTTGACCTCCACCCTACGGAACCCTGGGTCATCGCATCTCTCTACACCGGAACCGTCACAATCTGGAACTACGCACTCGGCACCACCGTCAAGTCTTTCGAAGTTACCGACGTCCCTATCCGCGCTGTCAGATTCATCCCCCGCAAATCCCAATTCATCTGTGGTGCGGATGATTTCCATGTGAGAGTTTACAACTACTCGACCGGAGCAAAGGTCGCCGGATGGGAGGCTCACCCGGATTATATTCGCGTGTTAGCGGTACACCCAACCCTGCCGTACGTGTTGTCCGCGGGTGATGACATGACGATCAAGCTCTGGAACTGGGACGACGGATGGAGATGTGAGCGTGTCTATGAGGGCCACGCACATTACGTGATGTCCCTCGCATGGAACCCCAAGGACGCCAACGTGTTCGCGTCAGCCTGTCTTGACCGTACCGTGAAGGTCTGGTCTCTCGGCTCCTCTACGGCTAACTTCACCATCGAAGCACACCAGCGCGGTGTCAACTACGTCGATTACTACCACGGAGGCGACAAACCATACCTCCTCACCTCCTCTGACGACGGACAAATCCGCGTCTGGGACTACCAAACAAAAGGCCTCGTCTCCTCCCTCTCCGGACACACCTCCAACGTCTCTTTCGCCATCTTCCACCCATCTCTTCCTATCATTTTGTCCGGCTCCGAGGACGGAAGTATTAAGATCTGGCATTCTTCCACGTACAGGTTGTTGCAGACCCTCAACTACGGATTGGAGCGCGCATGGTGTATCTCCTACCTCAAATCCACCAACTCCATTGCTCTCGGTTTCGACGAAGGTGTGGTCGTATCCAAACTTGGACGCGAAGGCCCTGTGGGCTCTATGGACCAGAGTGGCAAGATCATCTTCGCCCGTAACACCCAGATTCTCGGCGCAGCTATTCGTGATACGGACGTTGCGGAGAAGAAGGACGGTGAGAAGATCTTGTTGCAGACGAGGGAGCTTGGGATGTCGGAAGTTTATCCGGGGAAGCTTACGCATTCTCCGAATGGACGTTTCGTGACCTTGACTGGTGATGGGGAGTATATTATCTACACTGCCCTCGCATGGCGTAACAAGGCTTTCGGCTCGGCTCTTGACTTTGTTTGGGCTCGTGACTCAAACGGATATGCTATTCGTGAGGCTTCTGGATCCATCAGAGTTTACAAGGCATTCAAGGAGAGGGCTGGATGGGCTTCCAACGTGACCTGGGAGGCTGACGGTTTGTGGGGTGGTGAGCTCCTCGCTGTCGGTGGAAAGGAGTGGGTTGGGCTCTTCGACTGGGAAAGCGGAGCGCTGGTCCGGAGAATCGATGTTGCTGCCCGCGATATTTGGTGGTCCGAATCCGGAGAACTTTTGGTCATCGCTACTGACGAGTCCTTCTACGTTCTCCGTTTCCACCGCGAGCTCTACGCCGAGGCTGTTGAGAACGGTAACGTCGATGCTGATGAGGGCGTTGAGGATGCGTTTGAGGTCATTGCGGAGGTGAGTGAGGCTGTGAGATCTGGTGAATGGATTGGTGACTGTTTCGTTTACACCAATACTGCGAACCGTTTGAATTACCTCGTTGGTGATCAGACTCATACTATCTCGCACTTTGATTCGGGGATGTATATGCTTGGTTACATTCCTCGCGATGGACGTGTTTACTTGGCGGATAAGGATGTCAATGTCGTTTCTTACCAGTTGAGTTTGGGTGTGGTTGAGTATCAGACCTTGGTCCTCAGGGGCGACATGGACGCCGCGGCAGAATTGCTTCCCACCATCCCTGAAGAACAGGTCGGCAAACTCTCACGGTTCTTGGAGGGTCAGGGATTCAAGGAGCTCGCACTCGATATCGCTACCGACCCCGAACAAAGATTCGACCTCGCATTGCAGTTGGCGAGATTGGATGTCGCTATCGAGATCGCTCGTGCGCAGGATTTGGAGGCCAAGTGGAAGACAGTGGGTGATGCTGCGCTGCTAAGCTGGGATTTGGCGTTGGCAGAGGAGTGTTATGTGAATGCTAAGGACTTGGGGTCGCTGTTATTGCTGTACTCTTCTACTGGTGACAGCGAGGGTATGCGCAAGGTTGCGGAGTTGGCTGTTGAGGGTGGAGCTAACAACGTGGCTTTTGCGGCTTTGCTGTCTACCGGCGAGACCAATGGTTGTGTGGACTTATTGACGAAGACCGGCAGAGTAGGCGAGGCGGCTTTGTTCGCTAAGACTTACGTGCCGAGTCGTCTCCCTGGCGTCGTGGATCAGTGGAAGGAAGACCTTGGCAAGAAGGAGAGGAAGAGGCTGGCAGAGATGATCGCGAACCCAAGAGATGACGAGGAGCTCTTCGAGGACTGGAAGGAGGTCCTGGACCGGGAAGCGCAGGTTGCGAAGGGTGAGAATCTGATCGACATTTCCGAAGTCCAGGCACCAGAGGCTGAGACCGAACAGGAGGTTACTGAGGAGACCGTGGAGGGTGATGCTATTGCATCGGAGGATGTTACTGCTATGGAGGTCGAGGAGACAAATGGTGATGGTGCTGTTGAGGCAGATGAGGAGGATGACAACGAATCAGAAGGCAAAAAGGACGAGTAGACTTCGCAGATATATCTGATCTAGGAAGGAGTACGAGTAATATACCATTCATTCGGTTTCGCAAGCAGGGGGCTGATCCCGTTTCCCACCCCCGGTTACCCTTGGCAACTGTCAGACCCTGCATGATTGTTTACCTCGTACATTATGGTCGAACCCCCCTAAACTCCAGACATTCGCATTCATCCAGGAAACCTCCTTCTTGACTAACACAATCTACATCCAAAATGGTACGTCCGAATGCCTTTTCGCGCTCGTTACGCTCTCGATAACGCCCTTGATGTTAACCGCTATCCTTCGCACAGGCTGACCAACAACAATACCGCGACGCATTCGCCCTGTTCGACAAGCACGGCAACGGCCACATCGAGCCTTCCCGTCTCCCTGACCTTCTGCGCGCTTGCGGACAGAACCCTACCCAGGCTGAGTGCGACGACGTTGTTGAGAGCGTCAAGGGTGAAGGTGTGCATTACATTCTTCCACATTCGTGTTTGAGGGGTGAATGCTCACATACTATGTTATAGTTGACTACCCAACCTTCCTCGAAATCCTTAACAGACCAGATGGATTCCGTCCCATCGGCGAAGCCTCGGATTTCGTTCGCGGATTCCAGGTGTTTGACAAGGAGGGTACTGGCATGATTGGTGTCGGTGAGCTTCGTTACGTGTTGACGCAGCTGGGTGACAAGCTTACGGATGAGGAGGTTGATGAGCTGTTGAAGGGTGTTGCGGTTAGGGACGGGAATGTTGATTATACGGAGTTTGTAAAGATGGTGCTGTCGTCATAAATGCGTGCAACGGTAGGAGTGAAGGATAACGGATGACGAGGGAAAGAGGAGGAATGTGACATTGTTATACCCGGCGTGGTGCTTTTGCTTTACCCTTAGGAGTTCTACGGTGCAATGGATACAAACGGAATACACCATCGATTCGCTTTGAAGATTGGAGATGAACAACGTATCACTACCTAATCGTACACAACCCCCTTTTAGCTATTCCCAATCTCATACCCAAGATATTGACTCATTGAAAATGCGAATTAAACCCAGTAAATACCAACTTAACACCAGTAACACCCACTTACACCGAATCAGCCGGCGACGAAGTCCCCTTCCTCTCAAGCTCCCGCACATCTCCCTTCATCTTATGCATGTCATCCGGCGTCCTCTGCCTCTCATTCATCTCCCTCTCCTCCGCCCTCTCCCTAACCCTCCTCATCACCTTCTCATGTGCATTCCACGGCCTCATTCCCTTGCCAAACAAATAGTCCATATCCTCAAGCGGCACACTCTTCGTCTCCGGAATCAAGAAGTACACGTACGGAATACTCAAAATCATCAACGATGCGAAAAACATGTACACCCCGAATCCCATGGAGTTGAACATCTGCGGCGTGAAGCGCGCGATGATAAAGTTGAAGAACCAGTTTGAGGAGGCACAGACGGCTTGGGTTAAGCCGCGGAGACCTTGGTCGAAGATTTCGGCGTTGATGACCCAGGGACCGCCGTTCCAGGTTGGGGTGTAGAATACGGTCCACATGTAGAAGAAGAACATGGCTGCGATACCGCCAGGGGGGACGGTGGCGGATGGATTCTTGGAGGGGTTTGCGATGGCGATGTAGGCGCCGACCGCGTACATACAGATCGCACCACCGAATGAACCGATAAGGAGGAGACGACGGCGACCGACGATATCGATGAGGTAGAGAATCCAGATAATTGTGACGGTAGTCTTGATTACACCAAAGATTCCGGTGGAGAAGAGACCGGTGTTGGTTCCGGTCAACCCGATGGACTTAAAGACGGTGGGGGAGTAGTAGTTGATCGCGTTGATACCGGTTCCGTTTTGCCAGGCGAACAAGGAGGCACCGAGGAGGAGACGGTTGCGGATGTGAGAGTTGCGCCAGATACAACGGAAAGGAGCCCAGAAATCGAGACCAATGGATTGGCGCTGGGATTCCTTCTGTGCTTCCATCATTGCGAGTTCTTCCTGGACGTAGCGCTCACCTTCGCCCAAGTTACGGATCCAGCAGAGGTTGCGAATAGCTTCCTCCGAACGACCACGGTTGAGCAACCAACGAGGAGACTCACGGAGCCAGAAACTTCCAATCAACATAATCGCGCCAGGGATGATCTGCACGATGAATGGAATGAGCCATTGGATGTGGCTGATCTCCATGGTGGTAGAGACACCGTAGTTGATCCAGAACCCGACAAGACCACCAATCTGCCATCCCATCTCGTAGAAACCGACCAAACGACCACGAATAGCAGGAGGGGCGATCTCAGTAACGTAAGCCGGAACAATGTTGGACGCCATACCGATTCCGAAACCAGCGATGACACGTCCAGCGTAGATGGGTCCAAATCCAATTGATCCCTTAGCAACACACTGAATTACAGCACCAACCAAGAAAATCGCAGAAGCCAAAAAGATACCAAGCTTGCGTCCCATAAGGGTAGAGACGGGGTACCCTCCAATAGCTCCAAAGAAACACCCGGCTTGGTAGGTAGAAACGATGTTGGCGGACAAGAAGGCGACATCGGTGGTCGAAAGTTTGTCGAGACCGAATTCAGTTCTGAAGGAGGTGAGGGCGATGGTACCGCCGATGAAGGCGGAGTCGTAGCCGATCATGACGGCGGCGAAGGAGGCAAGAGCTGCGGAGAGGTAGACGCGGTAGTTATACACCTCCTTTGGCGTTGGCCGGTCTTCGACTTTGGCGAGGATGCCCATTGTGGTTGTTGTATAAGTGATCTAGTGATCAAGAATATTCAATTGATTGATGTGAGGTGTAGTAGATGGTATGCCGATAGTCGCGTCGTCACACAAAGAAACACCTCAATGATACAATCCTGACTTGACGAAGGAAATCGAAAGAGCGGACGACAGCCAATTGATATACAGCCCAGGCGCAAGTACTTTATCCCTTGCTCCTCCCGGATCTCCGCACCGTTTGGTTGGTCGTCTTTAACGGAGGATGAATTTCCGTCGCACTTTTTTGAGTTTGCGCCTCGGAGGAATTTTAGCGCGTTGAGATGCCCGACCCCGCAAAATCTGGGGTAGACGAATGGCAGGACGAGTATGGACGGAGGACGGTAGATGCACGGGGAATTCTCAAGGTGTTATAGGGAGTTGTTAGGCAGTCAATGGCAGTCAATGGGCAGGCAGGTGCTCTCTTTTTAGCACTCACAGGGTTCAAGGCCGACCTGGGGCTTCCCTTCCTTTCCCTTTCCCCGGACGCCCCCGTTAGCTAAACAGTTCTAGATCAAAGAGACTATTAAGCAGGCTACCATTGAGGCTCAGATATAGCAGCACGAGCCGTTTCTCTGGTCTGATACTGTTCGTTTCTGTCAGTTCCCGTCAATAGTCTCCTCCCATGCGTTCGGTCAATTGTCCGTGCGGGGTCCCCACACTCATTGACGGTTCTTCGGCAATCCCCGGGATCGAATTTGATGCTTTTAAATACCGGGTCGCGTGATCATGAGCTCTCGGTAGTTCAATTTGCGCCCTTGAGAGTTTCTCCGGCGGATGGGTTTGTTGCAGTTGCACGATGTATAGCAAGACCGTCCTGAAAATACGGCGGCCGACGGCAATCCAAGTTAGGTATCTATGTCGTGGGTAGTTCGTTCCGGCGGCGGGTGTGCGGTCATTGACGAAATGAACAGTAGGCCTCCCGTCGAGTCGTACTGCACGTAATAGGCTGCTTCCTCTTGATTAAGGCCCTTCTCATGACTTTCCCTCGGCCCTCAATAATACAGTGGTCTCACGAATACAACTCCTCCTCCATAGCCTCATCCTTATGTAACTCCCTCTACCCTGCCTTCACCTCCCTCCTCTTCTTCCTCCTCAAGATTCGCCCAAACTTCCTCATCAACGTCCAACCCCTCCTCCCTTTCCTTCCAAAACACGGTCTTTCTGAGTTCTTCCGGCAAATACTCCTGCTTCACCTCTCCCGCCACAAACCCCGGATTATATTTATACCCCTTCCCATACCCAACCTCCTTCATCAACCTCGTCGGCGCATTCCTAATATGCAACGGAATCTGCGCAGACGCCGCACCAGGTGTCGAGCGAAGGTGTGCGACGACCCGTTTGTACGATTTATACACCGCGACGGATTTCGGGGCGCGGGCGAGGTATGTCGCGCAGTGTGCGAGGATGACGTCGCATTCTGGCATACCGATTTCTTTGACGGCGGATTGTGCGCTGATAGCAAGGGTTAGGGCGTTGTTATCTGCTATCCCGACGTCTTCGCTTGCGATTCGGATCATGCGGCGGGCGACGTAGAGGGGGTCTTCGCCGCTTTCGAGCATGCGGCCCAGGTAGTAGAGGGTTGCGTTCACGTCTGAACCGCGGACGGATTTGTGGAATGCGGAAATGGTGTCGTAGTGCGCATCGCCGACCCGGTCATAAACGTGTGAAGTCCTCTTCAGCGCACTCCTGACCATCTCGATCGTCGGTGGCACATCGGACGAAAGGCTCAATATCAAATCCAGGATGTTCAGCGAAGTCCGTGCATCGCCGTCTGCGAGACCAGCGATGTATTCGATGACTTCGGGACTGAGTTCGTGACGGATAGTGTCGGGCGGGAGAAGAGAGAGTGCCCGGGTAAGGATTGCGGAGACGGCAGATTGGGAGAGGGGTCTTAGGATGAAGACGCGGCAGCGGGAAAGGAGTGCGTTGTTGACCTTGAAACTTGGGTTTTCTGTCGTTGCTCCGATTCTATTATCTACGTCAGCTTTCCAATAAATTGAAGAGGAGTAGGGCGACGTACAGTGTGATAGTTCCTCTCTCCACCTGCGGCAAAAAGATGTCCTGCTGTGCCTTATTGAACCGGTGCACCTCATCCACAAATACATACGTCCTCTTCCCAAACTTCAAAAGATTGGCCGCTTCTTCAAAAATCTTCCGACACTCCGCAACTGTCACGCTCGTTGCACTGATCTCCAAAAACCGACTCTCGGTAGACTTCGCAATGACTCTGGCCAGCGTGGTCTTTCCCGTGCCAGAGGGGCCCCAGAGAATTAGGGAGGGGATCTTGTCGGAGAGGATGAGCGGGCGGAGGAGGGAGAGGAGTTCGGGTTGACCGAGGTAGGAGTCTAGCGAGGTAGGGCGGACGCGTTCGGCAAGAGGCATGGCTGCTTCTGCTGCATCGGATATCTTGAACCTCTTTCGGGGAGGTTCCTCGGTGTCCCTGGCTGGTGCCGCGGAAGGGGGCGGCGGTGGTCGTGCTTGTGTTTGCGGAACCGAAGGGTTCTTGCGCAGTTTGAGCTGTCCACTCGGTTGCCTGAAGAAAGGACTAGTCCCCATCTCATGCCTCATCGCCGTAGGCGACCTGGGAGCCGGAGCGGCGTTCTGCGCGTGGTCATCCTGCTCCGTCTTCACCGGACTCGTCTCCGTCCCTGGAACCTTGCACTCTCTGTCAAGGTGGTGGTTGATCCGCTCCATTGGCACTTGCACTGAGCATACTGGACATTCCACCGTCTCCAATACTGGCTCTCCAGCTCCTTGATCCATCTTCGTCGCTTGACGTCCTAAATTCGAATATACGTTCGGTTAAGGTTCGGCTTCTTCGGGATCCTGCAGCGTACACGTGCGGCAGCCGGCACGTCAAAAAAAGTTAACGAAGGGAATTCGCGACTGATCACCGAGAAGAACGATTTCGAAGTCTATATTCGCTTCAGGTGAGGTGGAGCCGTTCGCCGAACAAGAACCTCGTTGACAAGGCTTGCACAGATCAAATCTGGGAGACCTCGAACGTCGACGTACACCCGCTCTAAAATGATTGTCCGGGGCCTACGACCACGGTCACCGCTCCAGATCACTGGACAGAAACGACATCTGACATGTCTCGCCATCGAAACCAGCTGTGATGATACCTGTGTCGCACTCCTCCGCCAGCCAACACCTGACTCACCCTGTGAAATCATCTCAAACCTTACACACCGCTCCCTCCACCTCCACGAGCAGTATGGTGGACTCCACCCCCTTGTTTCCGTTCATTCGCATATCCAGAACTTGTCTCGTCTGATACGGCAAACTGTTGATGCCCATATACGCGGTCCAGATGGAATCAAGGTTGATTTGGTAGCTGTTACGCGGGGGCCAGGAATGCAGGGTTGTCTTGCGGTTGGGATGAGTCATGCACGTGCACTGGCAGCAGCATGGGGCTGCAAGTATATTGGTGTTCATCATATGCAAGCGCATGCCTTGACTCCACGGCTTGTTTCGTCTGGTAAGGGACCCGAGTTTCCCTACTTCACTTTGTTGCTCTCGGGTGGTCATACGCAACTTGTACACTCAAAATCCTTGACGGATCATACAGTGTTAACGGATGCCTACATCAGTAACAGTCTCTCCATTGGCTGTCTCTTTGACCGGACCGCAAAGGCGCTGGAGGTGAAGTGGGATGGCAAGATGCCTGGTGCAGCACTGGAAAAGTGGTCATGGGGCACAGACCCCGATCCAGAGTATCCGATGACCGAGGAAGAAGCAAAGTGGAAGATCACACCTCCGCTGAATAAGCCCAAACACACATCAAGAAAGGGTCAGGAGTTCAGTCTTACGGGGATTGAAGCTTGGTTGTTTCGGTTATTAAAGAGACGGAGGGAGGCTGCGGTGGCTGAAGGGCTGGAGCCGCAACCACTGGAACTGGAAGAGGGGAAAGGTATGGCACGCGCCATTCAGCGCACCGCATTCAAACACGTCATGACACAAGTCCTGCTACGTCTAGAAGAAGTTACCCCAACACCCACCTCAATGGTTGTTTCCGGCGGTGTGGCTTCCAATATGTTTCTTCGTACCTACCTTCGACAATCCCTTGATGCTGCTGGATTCAAGGAGGTCCAGTTGGTCTTCCCACCAGTAAACCTGTGCACGGATAATGCTCCGATGATTGGATGGGCGGGGATGGAGATGTGGAGAGATGGGTGGCGAATGGAGGAGGCTGCGTTACAGAAGCCGAAGTGGAGCTTGGAGCGGCTTTTGGAAGAGGACATAGATGCAGGTGGATATACGAGGGTTGAGCCCAGTGCCGGTGAGCCAGCTGCTGCCGGTTGGATACACAAGTAACGTTGAGCGTGCAATGATATCGACGGTGCAATTAATGAATTAATGCTGAGCGTGGGAATAGCATGGCCCCAATACTACCAACCTTGCTTGAAACAAAGATTTGCATAAAAAAACAATCTCTCAGATCTTATTTAGTTAGAAGTTATACGACATTGAGTTTCACTGTAAATTCCTACAATTTGTGCAGATCACCACATGAAACTTCCTGAGATGCAGCTGTCCGCGTTTACGGTCAGCAACATTTTGAACTCCAAAAAACGGTGAAGACGGGAAGAAAAGTCGGCCGGAGCTTTTCTGTACCGATACATTTTATCAACAGTCTTTGCTGTACCCTCCTTCACCTCCCCGAATTCTCCGGTAGTCCTTACTGCGCCGATCAGCCGGTGCATCAACTTTCGTCTTCGTTACACCTAGTCACCATGGCCTCCACGAGAGAGTTCAGGACTCTCATGCGTCAATCCCGCTTTGCGGCAATGCCTCGACCTTTGGTCAGGGACGCGGATTCTAGGATGAATAAATCACCCTACCCAACTCATCAGGTTCTCGCTACTCCCTCAGCCTCCCAACACAGAGGTGACTGGGGTCTCAAGCGTACAATCCCCGGTATCAGGACCAAGTACCTCACCGTCAAGCAGAACGATACTTGGACCCACCAAACGCCTTGGGAATCCGCCGAAGGCAGCGTCACGCAGCGTCAGAAATTCCACGAGATGGGAATGACCCTCGACTACATCCCCCCGGGTTCGAACTCGTCGTTCTCTACTCCGTTCTATTCGCCTGCTCGGCCACTTTCTCCCATCGGTCCTGAGGCGTTGAGGGCTTCTGCCCGTAACAGCAAGACGGAGGTGTGGAAGGAAAACATGTCGCCCTTGCAATGGAAGAAGTACTGCAGGAAGCTTCGCAGACGACGTTCAGACTTCCTCGCTCTTCATGGATATCTGGCTGAGGCTACTGATGCTGCAGAGACTACAGAAGCTGCAGATGCCGCTGAAGCCACAGAGGCTGTCGAAGTGGCAGAGACCGCTGAAGCCGCAGAGGCCAGAGAAGCCAGAGAGGCCGCTGAGGCCGCTGAAGCCGCGGAGGCCAGAGAGGCCATGAAGGCCGCAGAGACTGCTGAAGCCACAGCGGCCAGAGAGGCCAGAGAGGCCGTTGAGGCCCTTAATGAGGACCCATTCGCAACAGAGGAATCTGAGAGCCTGGACAGGAAGGTTGAGAAATTCCTCGGTATTGACCGCTTTGTCGAACACTCCGCCATCCACCCAACCGTCGGTCTCGCCTACGGACCCCCCGGGTTCATGGACAACTCCCTCCAAGGACCCCTCGTCGAGACCCCTATCCTCGGACGTCCCCTCAACGGTGTTCGCAACGCTGCCCAATGGAAGAGTAACGGCACCAACGTCGCTGTCGGAGGCTGGGTCGCACAATCCTCCAAGACCAGTATCCCCCGCCACGTCGCCCACGAACGCGTCGTTGAATCCGTCTACTTTTTCCAGAACGCGCATGTCACGAAGGACGGTGCCATCAAGATCCAGGTCGTCAACGAATCCGCACGAAAGGGTGACCAGGACTTCCTCAATATCCCGACAGAGGGTTTAGGACGTTTGTCGATGGCTGCCGGTGACCGCTTTATCGGCTCCAGGGACGGTAGTGGTAAGCCCAAGGAGAACCAGACGATTACGCAGTTGTTGGATGTGCTAGCTTCTTCCCCCGTCAAGTCCTCGAAGCCTTCGTTTGATTCGCTTTGGAGTTCTCCCTCCTTGTCAGGAAGGAGTGGACCCAGGATTGTTCCTAGGCCCGGAAACGCAATGTACGCTACCGACGCTGAGGATGTTGAGACCAAGAGGAGGGAGGAATAAGTTCATCATGGAGGGAGAAGGTTAGCATATGGAGGAGTAGAGGTTTGTTGATATGCTTGAAAAAATGGTACACCGCACGTACCGCTGGCGTTGAAGGATTCTGCTTATAGATAGCATTTTTTGTACAATAACACCACCACTCATGGGTATGGGCATTTAAACATGACACTGAACAGCTGCTTGCAGCAAAAACCAGCTTGCATTTCTTCCTGGTTCACCAAAAGCAGATAACTTAAAAGATGCAAGGTCCTACAGTCGAGCTCATCCTCATCTTCCCATATCCATAACCCAGAAACCTCAACGCCCATCGAATACCAATTCCAGCTTCTCTTCTCTCACATCATGCCAACGACCATCCCCAATCTCATGACACTCTACCCAATAACACTTCTCCCCCCACCCCCAACAACACTCCCAACCCCCCCTCCCGGGACAAAACTCCACCCCGCAAACTGCCTCTGCACAGTCTCGCTCAACCTCGAATCCTCAACAACACTATCCATCGGAACCTCACTCGTAAATTCCGGATCAAAGTTAGATGCCTCCTCGCCCTTCGATGCATGGATTCCCTTGTCTGGGGGTTCAGGCTCGGTACATCTGAGGACGGAGTACAAACCCGCTTCCACGCCGATCACGATCGAGGATTTCGATTTGTTGAAGGTTGTTGGGAAGGGATCTTTCGGGAAAGTGATGCAAGTCCGAAAACGTGACACCAGTCGGATTTATGCGTTGAAGACCCTTCGAAAGGCACATATTGTTGCGAGGAGTGAGGTTGTGCATACACTCGCCGAACGCACGGTCTTGGCACAGATCAATAACCCGTTTATCGTCCCTCTCAAGTTCTCGTTCCAGTCGCCAGAGAAGTTGTATCTCGTTCTCGCGTTCGTTAATGGTGGAGAGCTGTTCCATCATTTACAACGCGAAGGACGGTTCAGCGTCGAACGCGCACGATTCTACGCAGCAGAGTTGTTGTTGGCGCTTGAATGCTTGCACGACTACAACGTCATCTACCGCGACCTCAAACCCGAAAACATCCTCCTCGACTACACCGGCCACATCGCTCTCTGCGACTTCGGCCTCTGTAAACTCAATATGTCACCCACCTCCAAAACGAACACATTCTGCGGCACACCCGAGTACCTCGCGCCTGAACTCTTGCTGGGGCAGGGATATACGAAGGCTGTCGATTGGTGGACGTTGGGGGTGTTGTTGTATGAGATGTTGAGTGGCTTGCCGCCGTTTTATGATGAGAATACGAATGAGATGTATCGGAGGATTTTGCAGGATCCGTTGAGGTTTGGGGATGAGATTGGAAGGGATGCGAGGGATTTGCTCACGAAGGTTTGTCCTCTCGCAGCGTGGATTCGAGGTGCAGATGCTAATTATCACGTATGTAGTTGTTGAACCGCGACCCAGTCCACCGCCTCGGCACAGGCCCAACCGGCGCCCAAGAAATCAAATCCCACCCTTTCTTCGCCTCCCACATCGACTTCCGCAAACTCTACCAAAAGAAAATCCAACCACCCTTCAAACCCTCCGTCGAATCCGCCGTCGACAAGGAGAAATGGGGGGTTAGTTGACATCCACCGAGATAGATATCACGGGACATGTCTTTCGCGCCATGGCCAGCATTCAAGCGACTGGTACTCCTCAACGACGCCGAAGTCCCCGTCGCAGTACTCGGCCGGGCACTCGAGGGTCTTCCGGTTTGCCTCAGGTATACGTGCATGGACAACGACCCCGAACTTCTCGAGACATCGAAATTCGTGGAATAAGCCCATGTCGGCGCACTAATCCCCGACGCCAGTCCATGCTCGGGAGGATGTGCGTATAAAGCATCAACAATGATCTCGTTCTTATCAAACTCAAGCACTACGTATGGGAGGTACCACACCGGTTTCCGTGGTCCCAGGGACTGCCGTTTGTTACTGGCCTCAGACCTCGAGGTCGGTGCAGACCAGGGATTCGTACCATGCGTTTCTAGGGCGTGGGCGACTTCGATGGGGAGTTGGGTTGCGGGAGGGAGTGAGATGTCTTTTCCTTCTGTCAAGTACACACGCAACAATCCTGGACGCGGTTGCATGGAGGATGATTGTTGGGGAAGGGGGGAGTGTTGGGTTGGTAGCGGCGTTGGCTTGATTTCGGAAGGGATTTGGGAGGGAACGATGGGTGCTGGAGCATGGATCGGGGTTGGAGTGTGAGAGGGAGAAGGAGTTGCCGTTGCTGAGTGGGATGGCACGGGAGCGGGTGTCCGTTCTGGGGTTGTGCTCGAGTGGGTTGTCCCCAGTAGGGAGTTTAACTCTGCAAGGATATCAGCATGAGAGACGAGACACGAGAAGGCAAGACCGACTCTTTCCAATCTTCCAGGTCGACATGGTGGTTGGGTTTGTTGGTCGGGGGTGTATGCTGGACTCTCCGTACTCCAGGCTGTACTCCAAGCCAGCCAGAGCCAAACGAGTGACGTTCCCGTACCAGCAGCTGTGCCTCAAACGCGCGCAATACCAGGAGGTCTCCTGCAGTCACAGACAAGCAGTGGAGATTGGGGAATGAATGGAAACGGCCAAAAAGCAGGAAGGAATTATTGGATGACCTCTTTCGGTCTGCCAGCCTGTCATTGTGACTTTTGGGGGAGTTCACGTGACCGGTTCCCAATTTCGGCAAAATTACCCTCCGTCGGCGTGGGTGCCCAGGGCTGGCCATCTTATCTTACCAGTACCGCCCACGTGGCATTGGATCAAATGTTTGTGGATTGGCGGCCCGTTGCGATCTTCACAGCTTTGTCTCCCCCTCACTGCAACCGCACATGCCAAGCTTTCGACGTCACTCTGATCCCATTGCCAGTTGGCCTGATCTGAGCCAGCGTCCCCCCGTCGTCTTATAAAGACCCAGTCATCTCAAATCCTTACAGTAACAACAATCAACATGTCTTTCCTTGGAAACCTCTTTGGGCACAATGACGCCCAGAACTATCATCAGGACATCTACTCTCAGGACTACCAACCCGAGCAGCACCAGTCGTCCTGGACTCATGAAGGTAAGTCCTCCTCCCCCTTTCTATCCCTTACCCTCTGGGAAAAAACGATCACAGTGAGCTCGGGAACTGACGTTCCTCGCTCGCAGCAATCGCCGCAGCAGCCGGCTTCGAAGCAATGAAAGCCTACGAAAACCATCTCCGCAACCAAGGCGGCCCAGTCTCCCACCCCGTCATGAAAGAACTCCTCGCTTCCTTCGCCGCCGCCGAAGTCGATAAACTCGTCGAAACAAAGGGACTGGACTACATTGATCGTGAGCGTGCGAAGCGACAGGCGGTGGAGCAGGCGAGGAGTTTGGCAGAGGAGAGGTATGGGAGTGGGAATACGGGGTGGGAGGCTGTGCAGGGTGGGGGGGCGTTTGGGGGTGGGTATCAGGGGAGTCAGTATCAGAGTGGGTACGATCAAGGCATGGGCGGTGGTGGACCTCCCGGTGGCCAGTTCATGGGCGGAGGCGGTGGTGGATATGACCAGGGCGGTTACGGACAGCAAGGTGGCTACGGACAGCAAGGTGGCTACGGACAGCAAGGTGGCTACGGCGGACAGCAGCAGTACGGAGGAGGAGGACAGGGTTACGGCGGACAGCAGCAGTACGGAGGAGGAGGACAGGGTTACGGAGGTGGTATGGGCGGTGGAGGAGGTTACGACCAGGGCTTCGGTGGACCCCCTCCTGGTGAGGGACATCACAACCACCATCACAGGGAGGATTATTAAGCCAATGCTTGAGTTGGGATGGAAGTGTATGATATGCTCGTATGAGTTGGCCAGTTTGACACCAGTGATAGTACCGTGAATATACCATATGTCAAAGATGACAGGTTGTTCGAGCTTCGATCGAGCGTGTAGACTGAAACTTGTCGCATGATTCGTTTCAATCATCGCAATTCATGCGTTACAAGATACAGCTCTTGTAGCTGCTCAAGCATCCTATAACACATCGCTATGCAGGAGTTACTCCATTTCGACGTCCGGAGGATGCAATCCCTGCATCCGTTGTATCGCCTTCTCCGCCCTCCTCGCCTAAATCCGCTTCTTAAGCTGCTCCCACGCCCCCAAATACTTCACATACCAACGACCCTCTTTTTCTTTTTTCACTTCAACCCAATGCAGGATTCGCGCGATCATCCCCACGAACCGCAGAGATCCTTTCGAGTACGTGAACCGTGAGTTCTGCAGCCGTGTCTGGTGGAAGTCGTTGACGAGCGCCGTTAACCCCGCTCTTGTAATGAAACAATGAGCCATCAGCAGAGGGAGATCCATGAAACCTAGCCGCAAATTTAACTCACTTGGTTTGTTACTCATCTCCCGCCCCACCAAACTGACAGATTCCATCCATCCCTCGCTGCCAGGTTCCACTACTGCGCCTTCGTTCGTGGTTATGATCAAGATTGCGTCGAGTTGTCGAGTTAGGCGCCTAATTCGTCCGCCGTATCATCCAAGGGTTCCGCGAGCTCAAGTGTAACACCACTAGCTGGAGTATTTCTTAGCCTTGCGATTGTCGAGCCGGTCGCCTAAGTAGTCCATCAAGACGTCAAGATGCTTCAGGTCTGTTGGAATATATCTTTTCGCCATCGGGCTCAAACTTTACCTTGGCCTGCCCGCCTCGCAGCTTGCAGTTCCTCAACTTTTGCCAAGGCCTTTGCCATTGCCCTTTCCGTAGCTGCTTGCTTGACAGCTTTCTTCGCCTCCATCTCATCCTCCATCGCCTTCTCCGCAACTTCAATCCACTTGCCTTCACTGCCCCACTCCGTCCAGCTCCTGACGAACGCGCGCTCTTCTCCATGAGCAGCCTCCATCAGCTTCGTCGCCGGCACGAGAACGTCATCTGTCATTCGACAGATGTCATTCAGAGACAATATCCACGCTGGCACTTGCACATTTGGATCGGTATGTAGTTCGCGTGCCCAACCCTCAATGGCCTCCCGAAGCTGCGTGAACTTTCCACAATAGCCAGCGGGATAACGCGCGGATAAAATATTGCTGAGGCTCAATCCGAGGAGCGCGTGGTGCTTGACAAGCCTTCCCCTATTGTGTTGCATATCCAGCTGCCACAGAGGGATACCAGCACTTGCTGAGATGGTTTTGTTCTTCCTCTTCTTCGCTGAAGCGGGGTCGGCCACGTCAGGTATCTCGCGCCACTTCCCGTTACCACGCTTATCAGGCCATTTCCTGAACATTGCAGTTTGATCAGAGATTGTTCGGGGTGCTACCATTACCAGACCGTCGATGTCTTTCAGCATGGCGGCAATATTTTCGTCGACGGCTCGGTCAAGCTCGGATAGATCGAGCACATAGGGCGGAGGACTCTTTAGCGTAGGATTCCTTATCATCTCATCCTTCCATAACTTCACCCGTCTTCCGAGGGCATCAATGCGCTTGACGAGCTCTGGCTGAACAGTATTCACGGTTCTCAAGTAATCCGCCAAGCGAAATACGAGGTTGGCATGATGCTCCGCAGTCGCCAGTCGCTCATCATGCTCAAATTCTTCCTCACGAATGTCCTCGCGCGATTTCGTGGCAACCGTTTGGCGAGCTTGTTTCACCTCGTACATCATCTGTTTCTTCTCAATATATGCTGCTTTTCGGCGCAGCTTCGCAACTCGCCTTGCTTTCTGCTCTTCCTCGAGCGCCTCATCGCGATCAAGATCCATTTTCTCGCATGTTTCCTTATCTTCTGACGTGAACTGCTCACCGAATACTTCTTCGACCAGATCATCGACTTTCACAAGATTCTTCCCGGCTTCCCGAACGATCGCGGTGTTCCACGGATGTCCAATCCTCTTCTCCGTATTCCAGACAGAATTCTTGCATTCGGCCTTGTCTTCACGAAGATACTTGAAAGCACGATCTTCCAGAACACGCAAGACAGCGACGACTCTTGATTCCAACCTCTGCGTCAAGGACACGACTTCGTCCACATGTCCTTCACCAAACTTTGCCTTCTTGTTTGCACTCGTATTCCCTACACTGGACGTCTCGGCGAACGGTCTTTTCAAGACCGGACTTGACATACCGGCTTGATCAGAAGTCGAGGACTCTTCCCACGGACTGCTAGTTGCGAAGATTTATTTCGTACCGGTTGGTCGAGAAAGCTGGTAAGGGCCCATGGAACGAACTGACAGAACAACCTGAGTATATGCCTTGCGGTGCAACTCCTCTCCGTATCGCCCGGCTTACAGATGGAGGCGGCGCAGTCTGGGCGCAGCAGGGGTTAAATTAAGGTTTTTGTACCGAATCACCGAAACACCTACACATTTTCTTAAACATCCTCGATCCGATCTCCACCGTTCCCTCCACCTTCCCAGAACCCTCGTCGCGGACGTCCACATTCGGCGGTATCTTCATCTGCATCTCCATCGTCATCTCCCCATCCAACAACCATGCCAATCGACCTCGGCTTCCTCGAACCCATCGACGACACCTTCGACTTCTCCGACATAACCCTCTCCCGCCTCGGTGGCCTCCCCCAATGGCTCAACCCCACCTCCCCACCCACCGTCGACCGCATCCGCTGTGGCGAATGTAATCAGCCCATGCGCCAGCTATTCCAGATGTATGCGCCTGACGACGAGGTCGAGGGTGCGTATGAGAGGTTATTGCATGTTTTCGTGTGTGGGACTGCGGGGGCGTGTCAGAGGGCTGGGTGGACGAAATCTGTAAAGGTATTGAGGGCACAGTGTGCGGAGGCTCTGGAGAGGGAGAGAGGGGAGGGGAAGGAGTCTTGTGTTGTTTGTGGGAGTAAGGCGCCTTTTAGATGTGCGCAGTGTTCGAAGGCGAGTTACTGCTCGAAGGAGCACCAGGCGCTGGATTGGAAGGAGGGTGGGCATAAGGGCGCTTGCAACTCCAACTCCGACGGCACAGCAACCGAAACGAGACAAAAGTTCATGTTCCCGCTCATGGAAGTGGTATCCGACGCCGAACCAACAGAAGACAAGCCATTAAAGAACGTCAAAATCGAAGAAATCCCGCAAACAATGGACGAATCCGAACTCGCTCAAATGGGGATCAAACCCTCAAAAGAAACATATCAAAAAACCGAAGGCGATCGCTTCTTTCTCAAATTCCAACGAAGGCTGGAGAGGGATCCTGATCAAATTCTCCGATACACGCGAAACGTTGAGGAAGGGGAGGGTGATGTCACGTTATGGCTGAGCGAGCACAACAGACTGGAAAAGAAGGACGTGAAGAATTGTGAGGGGTGTGGAGGGGAGAGAACATTGGAGTTGCAGTTGTTGCCGACGGTGTTGAGTCATTTGGGGGAGTGGGGATTGTATAACGATTGGGGACTCATCAACATTTATTCTTGTGACAAGACGTGTGAGGAGTCGTTGAAGGATGGGTATGCGGAGGAGTTGGTGTGGCATCAGGAGGTGTCGAAGGAGGGTGTTGGATATGCGACGGATAAGCCAGAGCCACCAAAGAAGCAAGCAGAGCAGAAGGAGGAGGACGAGGACGAAGAGTAATAGAAGCCGCGCCCGATCATACTCCGCGCCAAGTTAGGGTATAATGCCATCTGGATCCCACCTCCACACGGCACACCCTTCCCTTCATCTATAAGAAATCCTCCGACTTCGCCCCATGACCGACCGGGATCCGAATGTGTGGAAAAACACGTGCACACTTTTGAATACCTAGGCGTAACTACCCTGCTCATTTCTAACAGAAGAAAATGAGAAGCTGGCACCTTCGACGATAAGCAAGGTAACATTTCAACTTCGTACACAACGAATTGATCGGCTTGTTTCCTGATTAACTTTCGGATTATGTGGATTAAGGTTGGAGCAGTCAGGCCCCGCCCCGCCTTGCGTTGGCCATGGCTGAGTTCCGCCGTGCGCCCTCGAACATCACCACCATAGACTTTCCATTCGCGCCGATTTATACAGTCGTACATGTCAGACTCCATCAGCCCCGACGGGGCGAATGGTTCCGATCTCGCAAGCCGGCAGTTCCAGCAGGGAAAGTACACGTACAAGACAGCCGCGAGTCTATGTCTTGCTGGCATTGTCCGGCATGCGACGGCTTTGCAGAGGTCTTTGGACAACGGAGACGAAGCACTATCGTCGGTTGACAGCTTTTGTATTGATCAAGCCAATGAGCTGATCAGCCAATCTAACTTCCTCCTCTCCATTCTCTCCAAGGCACACGAACACCGGCCCAGCCCCCCAATACCACCAACACCCCTCAACACCAGTGCTTCACACCTCCCCCCAACTACAGCAACGGCTATCGACCTTCCGCTAATCCCAACCTCCCCACTCACCCGTCAGCTCCTCGAATCCCGCACAGCCCTCTCCACAACCCTCACCAAGATCTCCTCCCTCTCCTCCCGCGCATCCGGCACGACCCACCGCCGTCTTCTCGAAGACCGGTCCGTCTACACGTCCCGAATCTCGATCTTAGAGGCACGGATTGAGAAGGCGGAGGGGTTGGCGTGGGGCAAGGTTGATACGGAGGGGGTGGTGCTGGGAATGTTGAGGATATGGGAGAAGTGTGGGGATGAGGAGAGGAAGAGGGATTGGGTATGGTATGTGCGGGGGTGGGTTCCGCATGCTATTGTGTTGGCTGCGAACGCTTCTAGGGAGAAGGGCGTCGCGGCGATTGAGAGGGTTGTGCAGGTTTCGGAGGTACTGACAGGGCAGGGTGAAGAAACCCTGGCTGATGCTGTTCTGGACGCCCTTCACAGCGAAGTCGTGAAAGCACTTGAGCCAATGTGGAAGGCACTACCCAAGAAACTCGTCAAACGCCTCGACGACCTCAAGAAAGGCAAGGGCAAGACATCTGCTTCCCACAACCTCGACACCGGACGCAGACGAACTCAGGAAGACGAAGAAGTTGAGCATTGGCTACTAACCCGCGCCTACATCCCCGAATACTCACCAGCAGCACTCACGTCAGAAGACACAACGCAGTCTGAAACCCCAGAAGCTGGGCCTGTGTCTATGCCTATGACTCCAACGCTTGGCTCCTCCGACAAAATCGCACAAACAGCGACCGACGACGCCCTCGACCGACTGGGAGCCATCGTCGCTAAGCTGCGTACGCCGTCTAGGCTGTATGTCGATCACGAACAGGGACAGGAACATGGGACGGAGATGGAGGCGTACGCGTTCCCCTCTGCCCCAACGACTGCGCTGAGGATTGCAATGGAGGAGGCGCAAGCAAGCTTTGATTCGAATGCAGGGTTGTTCGAGCAATCCCCGGAGCGGTGGTTAGGCGAGGCGAACACGGACTCGGGCTCAGGCTCGGGCGGTGAGGAAGCGGAGGATGTAGAGTGGCTCGTTCGGGAGGCCGAGGCCGAGGCCGAGGAGGAGGAACAGAGTCAGGGTAGTGACAGTGACAGTGACGACGAGGATGGAGATGAGGAAATGAAGAAGTTCAGGGAGGACACGAAGAGGAGGATTGCGAAGGCGGTCAAAGACATGAGGAAGCAGAATGCTCATGAAGATGCATCCGACGTCGCTGCTCGTGAATTAATCCCCGAGGACGTCCGCGATGAAACGGAAGCAGCGCCCGTCGCAGTCGACGAAACAGCCGTGGACGACGTCATTGGTCGAGCAATGCAAGAACTCCACATGGAAGACACCAACATCTCATCCGTTATCGGCGGGACGATACCTCGTGTGCTGTCATTGTCGGATCTCCCCGCAGCCGGTGGAGCCGATTCCGAGTCGGAGTCTCCACCCGATGTTGCGCAGAACTATACGAGTCTGGAGGGGGTGAAGGATGGAGTTCTGATTGCGTCGGAATCTCGTGCAGTCACGGGTCAGGGTGAGTCGTCGTTGACGAAAGTTGAGAATCGGAGATTGGGAAATGTGACGATTACGATGGGGGAGGATACGAAGGGGAAGTCGGATTTAGGGAGTAGTGTGAGGGTGCGGGAGGATAATGATGAAAGAGAGAGCTACGATCGTGAGCGAGAAGCTGCGGCGAAGGTTGGGGTACCGGAGGAGGAGGAGGGGAAGGCACGGATTGAGGAAGGTCGTGATCAGCCGGGAAAAGCTGAAGAAAAGCGCAGCCTTGAAGGTCCTGAGGAGCCCGAAACCAGGCGACCTCTCACGATGGAGAATCGACCTGTTGAGAAGCAGGTCTTTGATGAAACTGTCTCAGACGACATGGCTCAAGAATCTGATACTGCTGATCCCGCGTTATCATCCGGGGATGGAGATGAAGCTTTGAAGGAAGGATGCGCGCAAGAAGCGCCTTCACTCGTCAAATTAGAAGGCAACAGAAGGCGCGGCAAGGGCAAGAGAGGCAAGGGAAATAGGAGGGGAAGGTGAAAGTAGGTAGATGACATCGTGATACCCTTTTTACCCACGACCACCATTGTCACCAAATACATGGACCACACCGGCGAGATCCAAGTAACTTCAATACAAATATTAAGGAGATAATCTGACAGCTTTATCAACCTTTTTGCATTTTAACGTATGCATCGGCCAGGTGTGCTGCAGGTTTGTGCATCCCGCCAAAAAGTCCGGAGAACGTACGTCTCGGACGAAAACACCAAAAGGCCGATAGATCAGCGATGGCAGCACCAAGACGAGCACTGCTGCGTCTATCGCAAGCACCAAGAGCACCATGTCTCGCTCAGCAACGGGCTACCTTTGCTTCTACTCCAGTAGTCGCTAGGTCCGACTACGCCGCGAAGCACGCACAAGCCCAGAAGCTGCTCAGGCAGCAGCAGGGAGGCAAGCTCACCAAACAGAAGGCTGGTAGTAAGGGAAAGGAGTCCGCGAAGGATGCCATCCCGTCTTTAATGGACGCCATCAGCGCGCCCGCACGACAGGTGAACCTGCCCAACTTGGAGCCCGCTGTCCTTCTTAACGGGGATGCCGTCGGTACTGTGTACAAATACTCTAAAGACACCCTTGCGAAGCTAAATGCCTTGGACTCCGTCGAGCTCCTCGGAAAGGAGTACTTCGCCCACACCGCATGCGTGATCCGCGTGCAATCCACCGAGATCGCCAAGATCCTCGAAGGCGATGCATCAAGCGAAAACAGACGTATCCTCCTCCACGGACCCATTGGATCTGGAAAGACTTCGCTCTTGATGCAAGCCCAGGCTTACGCTTTCGAGAGCGGATGGGTCGTGATTCACATCCCTAAGGCAGTGGGGTTGGTCGACAACACCACCGCATACTCCTACTCCAGCAAACGCGAACTTTACTTCCAACCCGACATGGCCGCTATCGTCCTCAAACGCGCCTCCGATGCAAACGCCAAGCTTCTCTCCTCCCTCAAGGTCTCCAAACCCTGGAACTTCGACCGCCACACCATCCGCGCAAACTCTTCCCTGGCGGACCTCTGCAAAGCCGGTATCATGGATCCCCTCGTCGCCCCCCACGTCCTCGAGGCCCTCCTCTCCGAGTTGAATGTAGACGGACGTCCACCAACGCTCTTCACCCTCGACCACTTTAACGCAATCTGCCAACCAACAAAATATATGTCCCCGCAACCCCCTCACGCCCCCCTCCACCCCCAGGACTTCCACATCGCGCATACCTTCGCCTCTTACCTTTCCAACACCCAAACCCTCAAACATGGCGCCGTTATCGCCGCTACCTCATCCCGCGTGTCCCCCTCCCGCGCTCTCACCTGCGCCCTGAAGCTCGCAACTCAAAACCCCTACGAAAAACTCGACACCCGCATCGAGCCCATCGTCTCCTCGGCCAAGGCCATCGAGGTCCCTAACTACACCCGTGCGGAGGCAAAGTCGATGTTATCGTACTACGCCAAGACCGGACTCATCCAAGCATCGCAGGAAACCGAAATTGAGGAGGTCCCTGTAGACTTCGAGACGGAGAAGTGGATGGTCACGGCGGGGAATGCGGAGAAGTTGTTTAGGGCTTGTTTGAAGTCGATGCCGTTTATTAAGATGCCGTGGAATTGGGGACGGAAGGTTGATTATGGATCGGGGTTGTAAGCGTGAGGTGACGAGTACGATATCAAAAAGAGAAAGATGATGTACATAGAAGTGAGGGTTTCATATCCATACCCCGCTTTGCATTGCAATTCCCGCCAGATAATAAAATAAGGTATATTTGGGTATCTCTCACTAACGCCGTAGCTTCCATAAATGTCCGCCTCTGGTATATTAGCCCAGCTACTTAACATCTCGCTCACCACACCCTCATAACCGGCAACCTCCCCCCATTCCCATCAGTAGCCTCAATCCCAACCTCAATAGATCCCGCAGAAACAGCCAACCTCACGACCCCCAAACAGAACTCCTCCCAATTCACGCCTTCCTGCATCCGACTAACCCACGTTCCACCAACCGCTCCATCCTCACCACGGCCCCGCAGGAGTGCTATTGTCTTGTTGATCTTGCCCACAACTTCCCAGTTATCGGAGAAGGTGGTTGTCTTTGCCTGGGTTGGACGGGAGACTTCGTCGTCTTCGATAATGTATTCGTGCACGCCGGAAGTGTTGTATTCTGCACAGACACTTTGGATATCGGTAGGTAGTGTGACATGGAGGTCATGGACCATGTCTTTACTGACAGTAGACTCGAGCGGTAGGCTTGATGTCTGCGTACGCTGAATAGCGACAACCGGCGGCGCAGCGAAAGCAGAAGACGGCTCCTCGACCGGCGAATCTTCTTTATTGAACACGGGCGGAGGTCGGTCTATCGGACGAGGAGGCTCAAAGGCCGGGAAACTTAGACGTCCTTGAGGTCTATCAACACGCACTGCCGGAATAGGAACATCCAGCTCCGCCACCTCAACCGGAACCTGGGAAGAAAGTGCCGCCGTCGCCGTCCTCCTCCGATTCTCATGCGGCGAAGAACTCGGTCCCACATCCCTCGGACGCACGAAAGCTTCCATGACACCGACATCGTCATCATTCTGTGCCATTCTTCTCCGCTTCTGTTGTTGGTTTCTCGGAAGTTCGTTTTCGTAGGCTTCATCATCCACAACAGCTCGGCAGAGCGGACGAGGAGGCTGCGGTGGAAGGAACTCATCCTCATCGCCATCCTGCATCACAGGCACCCCACGGGTCGGCCTGCTCGTAGGCTGCTTTGCTGTGGGCCGTCCACCCATCCACGCATCCAAACTCGAAGTACCCTTCTCGACAGGCTGTACCCTCGCCGGACATATCTCACTCTGCGGAGGCGTGGGTTGCCCGTATGGTATAGCAACATTCTGCACCTCCGTGAACGGCCTACGCTCAGAAGCGGCCGCTGGTGTCGCCGGCTCATCCGTGCGTGGTAATGGGACGCGAGAATTCATCTTGGCTAGTGTCCAAGGGTTCTGGGGGACGACGGGGCCCACATCCTCCTCTGCCTCATCGATTAGAACGTTAGTATCCGGAGGCGCAACTCCGGGTACTGGGGCGGTTTTGCGAGGCGGCTCATCGTTGTCTGAGATTTCGTCTGCGTCGTACATGGAAAACTTCCACACGACACTCTCTTTCCGCTGCATAGGCTGCCGCATTTCCTGCGCGTTAGCAGCCCCAACCCAGATTTGTACCCCCATCGCAACGGTTGATGTCACATCTGCCTCAGCTAACGGAAGCTCAGGTAGCCTCTCTCCAGCAACGGTCTCCGCAGATGCGGGCACGCCAACGGGACTCGACAAATCTTCCTTGACGCCGCCGCCAATTTCCAGCACATATTCCTCCTCCTCCTCGACAACTTGCTCTTGCTCCTCCTCCCGCTCAAGCGCATTGATCCCATTGCTATTCATCAACAACCCAAACGCACCCCTCCCTCCCGAAATTACTCCCGTAGTTCTCACAGCCGGTGTATTCGTTTGTTTCACAACCTTCTCCTGCTCTGGTCGCTCCCCATAAACCCCTACCAACACTTTTTCAACAATCCCAATAACCTCCGCAGAATCCCCAAACATGACCCTATCCTTCGCAGGCTCCAAGTTTGGATCATAATACCCTGGCGGACAAATAATATTCATCCACACAAACGGATCAGCAGCCGTCGCTGCTCCGATATTGAAGTAAGATTTCACGAGTGCGATGATCGTTTTTGAATCACCGCGGGTCGAGGAAACAGGGCGTGAGTCGATGTACAGAAAGTGACCTTTCCCACCGACCACGCTTCGATTGGCTTCACGTTTGGGTAGGAGGGCTTGTATGCGAACACCAGAAGCAGCATCCTCTTCTTCGAGCCACACACAATCCTTTACAACCCCTTTACCCAGAACCTTGCCCACAACCTCCTCCACACTCCTACTCGCACTAACAACCCAATCACCCCCCGTCCCTCTCTTCCCCTTATTCCGCAGCTGCAACCCGAACCTGATGGTGGGGTATGCGAGTGCGTAGGTCGTGAGGAGTTTCTTGACGGAGGCGGGCGTGGATGAAGCGCGTTTTTGCATTGTTTGCCGGCGGACGGGGAGGTGGGTGAAGAGGTTTTGGAGGAGGATTTGCGTGCCGGTATCAGCTGCGATGGGTTTTTCGCTGCATACAGCCGCTTTCATCAGCATACATTCCCTACTGGGTACCGCACTTTTCGCATACCTCTTTATCTTGCCCTGCTTGTCAATCTCGCATATAGTAGCCACAGGATCCTTCTTCGTACGCGTCGTGATGGTAAGTTGACCAGCCTGAGCACAACTTGCCAACGCCTCCCCTCTAAACCCCATCGTCCGAACGCCCCTCAAGTCCTCAAAACTCCTCAACTTACTCGTATGATACCTCAACGCCATACTCTCCCTGTCCTCCTTGGGTATACCGTGTCCATTATCTTTGACCACGATAGCGTTTAGGCCGTTATTGTCGAGGGTTACTGTTATGGAGGTTGCAGAGGCGTCGATAGAGTTTTCGATGAGTTCTTTGAGGATGGAGGGGATGTCGATGGCGACTTGGCCAGAGGTGATGAGTCGGACGGTGGAGGAGTCAAGTTGTCTATATGCACCCATTAGACGTCTCCCTTATACACTATTTCCGAGAACATACGTGATCATGGTAGCATTTGTAGCAAGGTGTATGCGAACGCGAAAGCAATCAAAAGGTTAGTTGTTGGACAGGGAGGCGACGCGTGTGGAAGAGGTTCTTTGGGAAACGCGTACCACGCAGCCACGACGCGCAAATCTGCAGCTGGGCGGCCGTGAGCTTGGGAATTCGAAGGCGATCCCGAAGAACACGGAGCCGTGTACGGTCAAGTCAAGTGATACCGCTGGTGATAACCAAATACAAAAGATACAGCACCCGAGTATTCCCAGCTGGTCTCCCACGCTAGTACTGACTGGGCCCTATGATGCTTAACTTAGGAGATCGGACGGGATCCTGTGCTTTCATCATGGTATGGCCGTATCTGACATTTTGGCAATGTTGTGTCATATAACCAGTGCGCCGTTGACCGGTGTCGTTGCACTATGCTATGAAGATCAAACCTCTACCAGAGAAGTCTCAATCAAGATCTGTCTGTCTTCGAAGAAACCATGAACGTTGTAAAGTTCGGCACGTCGACTCCTTTCAAGCGACCCGGAGCCTTTTGTTCGCATGGCATGACACCAACAAGACCTGCCATTTCTCGTTTCAAACTTTCCCCTTGCAATTAGCCGGGCGTGCGATCACGCAATGTACGAAGCAGTGGGTCCACGGTAGCCAGTCGAAGGACGCTTGTTCCCGTCAGCTGCAATTTATTACCGTCATTATGCATCGGTAGGCCTAACTATGGACATCCGCGGCCGGCGTTTGTACGGTATGCGGTACACCCGTGGGAAAAATGAAATCTGTGAGACGTCGTGCACGTGCACGTGCACAACGGAGATGCAAAATAGGGTATATCTTGGTAAGTAATAAGAACGCCCCGGTCCATCCGCCGCCGCATACCATCCAGTGCAACCCTTACAACTCAATCAGATCCCCCACAACCGCCCCCCGATTCAACTTCCTAATCTTCCCCACCATCCACCCCACAGCATTCTCCACCCTCTGCGCCCCCGCAACCACGATACTCTCCGTACTCTGTCTCGACTCTTCTTCATCCCCCTCTGCTTCCCGCACCACCTCCACTTTCCGTCTCGCGGAGGGGAAATACCGAAGGCCGCCTGCGTCAATATCCTTGATTTCCACCTCCCCCACATTCCTGATCCACACCAATTTTCGCTCTCCTTCTAAGTTTGGGTCATCGGTATCGACGAGTCGAGCAGGTTGTGCGCCGATACTGCACTCGTCAATAGGAAGTGTGAGATATCGGGCCCCGCGTGCATGAAGACTATCCGTCGCCCACAACCTATTCGCGCGGCGAATGGAAGCGGGGAGGATACCGTACGCAAGTGATATAAATGGTAAAGTATCAGTATGACGTAGAGGATGCATATAAACCTTTATCGTTCGTTCTGGCGGTGAGGGTTGAGGTGTGTCGGAGTACTTTTGCCACGTGTAGGTTGCGTAGTGGGAGGAGGGTGTCGAGGCAGTCGAGACCGAACTCGTGGAGGTTGACCACGCCGCCTCTGCCGTTCCCGTTCCCGTTTCATTCGCCCCTGCTCTGGCCATGGAGTGTCGTTTGAGCTCATCCGCACTAACACTCCTCCCACCCGCAAACTCATCCCTCGGATCCCTCCTCCACTCAACACTATCCAACCTCCCCCTCCTCCTCCTTCTACTCCAGACCGAATACCCCTCCGTCCTGGTCCCCGCGCTCCCCATATCCCACTCGACATTCTGTACTTCAGGCGAAGAACTCTGTTTCAACGGATGCACCGTAACCGGAAAAAGGGGCGACGACAACGAACGTGACGAACGGGGGCGGATCTGAGACTGACTTGTATCGATGGTCATCGATAGGGCGGATGAGCGTGTCATGGCCTATCAGCAGAAGGAGTGGATGCTGAAGGCATAAGCAACGGTAACGGTGGTGGTTTGTTTGTTTGGACGGTCTCTCGTCTGTTTGGCGTGGTGTACCGGTACGTATACGACGCGGGGCGGGATTGGCGTTGCATGCGCATGGATGGCTGTGCTCCCCAGAGATTTACGGCAGGCATGCGAACCGACGAACAAGTCAAAGCATAAAGTTCAATTGCTGCAAAATATCTATGTGGTACCCCCCTAACAAATAATCGTACACCCACCCCTCCCTTCATTCCCCCAATCGCAATCTACTGAACAAACTTCTCATTCGGAATAACCTCCATCCTCGTCGTACACTTAACCTCCTCCTCAGGAAACTCGCCCCAAAACCCAACAACCCTCTTCATCGCCCCAAAATAGTTCTTCCCAGGCTGAATCTGTCCAATAATCCCCGGTTCCCGATTCTCCACCCTCTGCGGCACGATCAACGGGCGACCGACGAAGGCTTCGAGCGTCATCAACGCAAAGCCAAGGGCTTCTTTCGCGCCTGCTGGAATACCGATTTCGTCGATCATAGTGATACGCGTGTTGGGGAGTTGTTCGCGGAGGTAGTTGACGATGTTGGGGTTATACGAGCCGCCGCCGCCCATGTAGATCTCATCCACGCCGCCGGGGGGTCCGTACCTCTTATAATGCTCGACCAAGGATTGTGCGGTGATTCGGGTAATGGTGGCGACGCAGTCTTCCGGTGAGGCGCCCTTTGCGAGCATGCGTTTGCAAATGTTTTCGCCCCATGTGTCGCCGAAGGTTTCGCGACCGGTGGTTTTGGGGATGTCGTGGGTGAAGTAGTCTGTTGCGAGCATTTCGTCGACGATGGCTTGGTCGACGGTGCCTTTTGCTCCCATGGCGCCGTCTCTGTCGTATTCGAGTTCGCCGTTGGTGAAGTGACGAACAGCGGCGTCGATGAAGACATTACCCGGTCCGGTGTCAAAGTCGTAGCAACCCTCGACGTCGCCGGCGGGGAGGATGGAGAAGTTTGCGATTCCGCCGATGTTCTGGACGGCGCGGTTGAGGGTTGGGTGGCAGAGTAACAAAGAGTCGAGAGCGGCGAAGAGAGGGCAGCCTTGACGTCCGAGAGCCATGTCGCCAACGCGGAAGTTGCCGAGGGTTGTAACACCCGTCTGAGCGGCGATCACGGCGATTTCGGCCATGTCGAGATGCGCACGCTCCTGGTCACCCTCGAAGAGCTCGGGAAGGGGAAGATGCCAAATAGTCTGTCCCTGTCCTCCAATCAAATCAACCTCGCCCTTCCCACCCTGCGTACCCAACTTGAATCCTTCCCTCTCGGCAAACGTCAAAATCGCATTCCCGGTGTTCTCACCCAACTGCATGTTCACCTGCGCGATCTCCTCGGGAGTCGTGGCGTTGTCTTTGATGAGCTTCATCACGCGCTTCTTGAGTTTTTGGGGCATGGGTTCTTCGCCGTAGTTGAGGAGTTTCATCTTGAGTGGGGCGGAGGGGTGTTCTTGGGTGAAGTGGACGCGGACCATGTCGACACCGTCCATGGAGGTACCGGCGTTTGTGCCGATGACGATGAGGGAGAGGCCCTTGGAGCCGTAGGTGTTTTCGGCGGAAGGCATGTCGTTGTGCTGTGTTGAGGAAGAGAGGGAGTGTGAGTGACTTGATGCTGGACGTTGAGGGGGGGGGTTTATATAGACTGGAACTTGTCGTGAGAGACTACCCCAGACAACGCGGAGCCGGAGCCCGGAGCTCAACCCGGGGAACGAACGGGTCCTCTTTCCATCCTGGTTTGTGGGGAATCGGACATTGCGGCTCCGCGGGTTGTGGGGTTGGCGACAGCGCGACTGTGTGGGGAACATCCGCCCCGGGAGAGGTTGCCTTCCTTGGAGCGAGACGACCGAGACGACCGACCTGGCCGCACGTGACGTCGACCTCCAAGTCGAGCCATTCAACAGCATACCGGTACTCCCCACCAATGCCCCCATGACAGACCGTGCGCCCTCCCTCCCCTCTCCTCTCCTCCCCACAGATCGCCTCCCAACCCTCTCTCTCACCCAATCCCTCGCCAAATCCCTCACACCCACAACCCGCCTCCGCACCTCCTCCACTGCCCTCGACGAAGCCCTCGATGGAGGTATCCCGCGTGCTCAAATAACTGAAGTATGTGGACCTCCGGGAAGTGGGAAAACGACGCTGGGGATGCAGGTTGCTGTTGAGGCTGTTAGGGCGGGTGGGGAGGTTGTGTGGATGGGTATGTTTGATCCGTCGCGTGTTGGGTGTTTCTGGTGTGTGGTTGGCTAATTGGTGGCATGTTCATAGTTGCTGGACAACCTCCACCACTCACCCGTCTTCTCGCCATCGTCACCGCTTCCGCCTCCTCCGCCGACGACGAAGAGCCGGAATCCATCCTCCGCAAAATCCACATACTGCACACCCCAACCCTCCCCAACATCCTCTCAACCTTCCTCCACCCCCAAACCCACTTCTCCACAAGCTTCCCACCACCAAACACCTCCCTCATCATCATCGACGACCTCTCCACGCCCGTCTCCACATCCTTCCCCACCGGCATCGACGACCCACCACACGCACCTCCACCTGACGCACCGCACCCAAAACCCAGGGGCGAGAAACCGGAGACTATGCCTATGAAACGCGCACGAATCCTCGCGTCTCTGGGAGCGGGAATGGCACGTATTGCAGCAACCCAAAACACCGCAATCCTCATCATCTCACACATGACTTCACGAATCATCCGCGCTCCACTGTCTACCACACGAGGCGCAGTGCTCGTTCCGTATTTGGGGGAGAGTTGGACGGGGTCGTTGGGGGTGCGGATCACGTTATTTAGGAACGACATACCGACCAAGTTACTTACGCCAGCCCCAACCGCGGCTGGGATGGGGGATGAGGATGTTGGGATTGGGGTGAGGCATGCGTTTATCTCACGCTCGCCGTCGAATGGAAATTCTACGCAGAACAAAACGATCGTGTTTCGTATCACAGACTCAGGCCTCGCCGACCTCCCACTCATCGCTTCAAGCGAAGACCTCGACCAAGCCGCAGCAGCAAGCACCCTGAAACGAAAGAGGCAGATGACGGAGGAGGGGGATTATGGGTGGGTTGAGGAGGAGGAGGAGGGGTGTAGTCAGGTTTTGGAGGGGGTTGAGGAGGAGATTATGGCGACACAGAGGAAGGAGGAGGAGGGATATGATTGAGAGGAGGGCCGAGGGGTCTGTGGGGTACTCTCGACTCCGCCGTCAATTCGATGAAGAGGCGTGTCTCTCGATTCGGTCGATTCGATCGACCCCAGTGTCCGCCCGCAACGCGGTACATGGTGTCTCGGCCTATCTCAAGGCATGGTCTTCCCAGGTTCTCATCCACCTTCTCCTCCTTCGAGGGTTCTGCTCAATCGCGGATGGAAGGCAAGGAATTTTGAAAGGGAATCATGAATCATGGAGCGACAAAATGGCATTCTGCATGCAGAGCGTATGAAACTGTCCGACAACATCCTCGAAGATACTTCCGAAACCTGCCGGCCTGCCGCGGCCGTGAGAGTTCAAAAACGAGTCCAGGAGTACGAGGACTTCCCAAATATCCGCCGTCCATCCCAATTATGATCGCAATCGTGCAATGAGGGTTCATGTAAGTGTATCTTGTCTTTTCGAAATATCAGAAGCTAGTTTAGAATGCCAAAAACGCGTTGAAGCCCAAAAGAACGCCCATACCACCCAATGCCAATCCTCTCCTCGCGAGCGTTGAAGCCCTAACCTTATCTTGCATGTTTTTCTACTCCAGCTTAACAGCCCCTCTCATCGCATCAAACATCTTCACGACCATGCCCATCTCCTTCACATCGTGCACTCTAACGATATTCGCACCAGCCTGGACACTAGCACCAACGACCGCAGAAGTACTCCACTTCCTGTCACCCTCCTCGCCCGTCACACGACCGACAAACTTCTTCCTACTCGGACCAATCAACCAAGGCATTCCGACGAATGCGGGTCGAGAACGCAGTTCATCGAAGCGACGGATGAGTTCGAGGTTCTGCGACGCCGTCTTGGCAAATCCAAGACCAGGATCAAGAATGATATTCCACCTCTTCACTCCCGCCTCCTCTGCCTCCCTGACCCGGGCCTCGAGCTCCTGTCCAACAACATCTACCAAATCACCTTGGTACTTGGTCATAGAGTTCATCGTCTCCGGCGTCCCACGCATGTGCATCAAGCAAACCGGAACATCCAGCTCTGCCATCGTCTTGAACATATCCGGATCAAGCGTACCAGCGGAAACGTCATTAACGATATCCGCACCAGCCTCAACAGCAGCCTTAGCGACCTGCGCACGGTAAGTGTCAACACTGATAGGAACATCAATCCTCGCTGCACGAATCGCCTTGATTGCAGGAACGACCCTCTCGACCTCCTCCTCAACAGGTACCTCGACAGCACCAGGCTTAGACGTCTGTCCACCAACATCGATAATCCCCGCACCATCCTCAACCATCTGCTTCACAGTGCGAACAACATCCTCATCCTTCAACGAGTACTTCCCACCATCGGAGAACGAGTCAGGCGTCAAATTCAGAATCGCCATGACCGTCGTCGGTACCTCCCTCCTCAACGGATCCAATATCAGGACCCTTCCGCGAGGAAGGGGAAGGTAGGCCTCCATCTCATCCACGTCCTTTTTCGGGAGCGCGGACAAATGGGACGCGATCGTCGTGGATGTAAGTGGATGTGCGAGACCAGGAGCCAGATCCGCGAGCGGTTTTAGGACAAATCCTCGCTCGAGCATACCCTTGTGTGGCACGATCAGGTCATCCGTGCTCACGACCTCGTTTCCGAAGAGGACGATATCCAGATCCACGGTTCTAGGGCCCTTCTCTACGGTCTTTACACGTCCGCACTCATCCTCAACAGCCTTCAATTCCTTTAGCAGCTCGTGTGGAGTCATACCAGCCGGAACTGAAACCCTTGCGACGCCGTTCAGGAACGATGGTTGGTCAGTGACGTACATCGGCGCGGTCTCATAGAGCGACGACGTTTGCATGATCTTAATCCCTCTCTTCTCCAATGCCTTGAGCGCAGCGTTGATGTTGCTTGCCTTTTCCCCGATGTTTGCTCCAAGAGCAACGTAAACATCCTCTCTCCTCTCGTGTACTCCGCTTCCGTTGACGGCCTTGCTTCCCTCCTTCTCAGCAGACGCAAAGAACGAAGCTTCACGAGTGATGGTAACACCAGCAGCATAAGCAAACGTCAACGCGCTTGGTTTCTCTGCCGTGACCTTGATCTTTTGCACGCCGCAGTCCAAACACGCGATTTTTGCAATGGCCGTGACGAACGCCTCGACAGTCTTGTAGTCGGATTGTTCGATGTGATCGGTAATAGTGTGTACAGTCGTTCTGAAATCATACCCATGTCCAATCTTGCTGGTATCGCCGTTTAGCACCGGGATAGGCTTGTACAGCTCAAGCTGAATGAACACGTTCTGCTTCTCGACACGTTCCCATGGATTGACACCAATAATGGTGACCAGACGAAGGTTGTCAATGAAAACCATATCCTCACAATCCCTCTTCCCATCCTTCCTCCTCACAATTTCGAGACCCGCCGCATCCGCGCGCAACAACGCTCTCGGCTTCTCAACCCTCACCCTCACCCACTCAGCACCACATTCCTCCCCCAGGGTAACACCCGCAACCCCCTCCGCCAACGCTTCCAGATTCTTGAAATCCCCGTTTTCGACATAATCCGAAACCAATTTGCACATCGTTCCATAATGCAGGGAATACGGGAGGTGATCCGTTGACCCAGCGAGCGCGACGGAGGTCCGACATTCGATGGACAACGTCACCGGGGTCGGCTTCTGTCTCTGCCAATTATCCGGCCCAGTAATCGTCTTCAACGTCAAATTCTTCACATATACCACATCTTGCGGCAACGCGATCTTGTCGCTATTCATCGACATTGCTCTGGCTCCGTGTGCGTTTGCGTATGACCTCGCAGCGAACCCAAGATGGATAGAGGCAAGATAAACAGGTCGACGATACGATATATTTGGCAATAAAGAGGACAGCTGCGCCCTGCGAAAGCGGTTCATATAACGGTATTTTCTCGAGGGAATCGTTTCGCGCTGCCACCGACGCCGATGAGCTTTGGATGCGGTCAAGTCAGGCACCAGCATGGGAACCGGCAATTGCGGTTTTTCCGTGATTTTGTGCCGGGCGAGTTCTTATGGGATTCTTAGATGGATTCTTTCACATTCTTAAATAATTCAATCATGTGAAACGAGATTCATTCATCCCTACCTTTTGTGTTCAGTCTCCATACGGATATCTCACAAACTACTGCTCCTCTTGCACTTGCTCTATTTCTTCCAACTGCTGCTGCTGCTGTTGCTGTTGCTGTTGCGGCTGCTCCATCGCCTGCCCAATCTCCATATTCATATTCCTATCCAGACTCTCCTCCCTCCTCCTCTTATCCAATCTCGCACTAACCTCCCTAATCAACATCATCCCCTCATCGAACTTCGCCCGCGCACGCGCCAACATGCCCTCAAGGGTGTCCTCCCCGGCACCATCCACGCTTTCCGTGCGAGAGGAGTCGAAGCGCTGCACGGCGAATGTGCCAGCGCCTGGGGTTTTGGGGCTTCCAGACCCGCCGAGGGGTCGCCCGGTAGGACGGAACGTGGGGATTGGTCCGGTTTCGTCGATTCTCGTCCCACCCGGCGTGAGCACTCCCCCACCACCAGGCGTAGACATCTCCCCCTCCTCCCCCTCAACCCCAACCATCCTCTTAAACTTCCCCTCCCACAGACTATTCGCCCTCCCCCTTTCCTCAGCACTCAACTGCGTCGTAAAATAATTCGAAATCTTGGATTTGACTTTCCCGACATCCTCGATTCCCCAACGTGCGGCGAATTCGCGCATGAGGGCGTGGGAGCGCGCGCCGGTGGGGCGGATCATGCCCCGGGTCCAGAAGTAGTGGTGGAAGTCGGTTGACATGGGTTCGGTCCATTTGAGGTAGGGGACGGCTGAGCCAGAGCCTTTTGGGCGGCCGGGGCCGCGTTTCTGGGTTAGAGGGGTTTCGGGGTTCGGGGTGGTGTTGTCGACGGTTGTGTTAGATCGCGTTATGGGACCGGGGTGGGTAGTGTCGTGCTGATCCTCACCGGTGTGCTGCTCGGCGTCTTCGATTTCGAGGTTGCTGACCTTCCTCGGTCTTCCTCTCCCGCGCTTCGCAGGCGGTTCCTCGAGATCTTGCTCCTCATCCTCTGTCAAGAGCCGCGTCTCCCGATTCCCAGGCCTATCCTCCAACACCTGCCTCTGTGCCTGCTCATACTCCCTCAACACATCATCCTGACTCTGACTCCCTTGGATCGTGATGGAATCATCCCTGCTCGGAGCTTGTTGCGGCGCAGGCTGGAGCCCATGAGGAGGGAGCTGAGCCTGTGCCGCCATGGCGGCGGTCATGGCCTGGAACACAATCTGCTGATGGGTCTGGTTCTGCTGGGCTTGAGAGTTTAGCATTGCTTCGGCGAGCCTTGGGTCCATCGTGGGAGTTCGTGGAGAGGTGATTATTGGGGTTTGAGTTAAAAGGGAGGTTATCGAGCGTAGCACTATGCAGTGAGTTGCATGAAGACCTTCCAGGTGCATTTGTCGCTCCAAGACTTTCAATATAAAAAGTGGAGGTGATGACACGAGTTTTCGATTGAAATTTAGCAAATAAAACGTGCCTCAAGTTTCCCCTCCCAGCTCAGATGAACATGACTGGCGATGGCGTGCTCTCCTCTGCGGCCCCGGTCTCTGCTTATGCAGGTTGAGCCGCTGCTCATGATTTTTGGCCCGACGGTAAACTCCCCTCGATCTTTCCATCCACCAGGCGATCCGCCATCTATTACCCCTCCCTCCACTCTCTACAATGTCCTTCGCCGCATCCTCCCTCCGTCCCGCCACTCGCGCAGCCATTGCATCGGCCGTTCGCCATGCCTCTACCCACCACAAGATTGTCATCATCGGTGGCGGTACGGGTGGTATCAACATCGCAAACCAGCTTCTCGATACCTACGCTCGTGAAGCCAAGTCTTCCGGTACCCTGGCGTTGAAGAAGGATGATATCGCGATTGTCGACGGTGCCTCCGTTCACCACTACCAGCCCGGATGGACTTTGGTCGGTGCCGGTCTCGCCAACAAGACTGACTTGAACCGTCCCTTGGCTTCCCTCGTCCCCGCAGATGTCAAGCTCCACAACACTAATGTCGCCGAGATCGATGCCGCGGCGAACAAGATTACTACTGGGACGGGTGACTCGATTACCTACGACCACCTCATCGTCGCCGCCGGTTTGGACATCAAGTGGGGCGCCATTGCTGGACTCCCCGAGACCTTGGGCAAGAATGGTGTCTCCTCCATTTACAGCTACGACACCTGTGACGTCGCCCAAAACGACATCAAGGCCCTCAAGTGCGGAAAGGCGATCTTCACCCAGCCCGCTGGTGTCGTCAAGTGTGCCGGTGCGCCCCAGAAGGTGATGTGGATGGCGGAGGATGCATGGAGGAATGCAGGTGTTCGTGATGAGATTGACTTGGAGTTCAACACGGGCATGGGCGCAATGTTTGCCGTGCCTAAGTACGCCAAGGCACTCGAGCAACTCCGTGTCGACCGTGGCGTAAAGGGTGCATTCACCTCTGACCTCGTCGCAGTCGATGGTCAAGCCCATATCGCAACCTTCAAGCAAGCCGACGGCACCACCGTCGACAAAACCTTCGACCTCCTCCACGTCGTCCCCAAGATGGGTTCCCACGCTTTCGTTGCTAAATCTGCCTTGGCTGACGCAGCGGGTTTCGTCGACGTTCACTCCGCTACCCTCCAGAGCAAGAAGTTCGATAATGTGTGGTCGTTGGGTGACTCCTCCTCCCTTCCCACCTCCAAAACCGCCGCGGCAATCTTCTCTCAGACCCCCGTCCTTGCACACAACTTCCACCGCGTCGCGCACGGAAAGACCGCGAACGCATCCTACGACGGATACACCTCCTGCCCCCTCCTCGTCTCGTACGGCAAGTTGATTTTGGCGGAGTTCAAGTATGGTGGAGTGCCTGATGAGACTTTCGGCGGTAAGTTTGGTTTCGACCAGGCTAAGCCGGCGAGGTTCGCGTATCATTTGAAGAAGGATGTGTTCCCGTGGGCTTACTTTAATTATGGTGTGAAGGGACAGTGGTTTGGCCGTAACTCTTTCTTTAGGCCCACTTTCAACTGAGCGTGGAATGTGGAGCGTCGGAAGCAGTAATTGGTGAATTGGGATCATTCGGTATGGAGTTAATGGTAGACATATGTCATTCAATTTTGCAATAGAATCGCTTGTTAGACATTTTGTTGGTGCCGGATCATTGGAGGGCATGCTGGTAATGTTGTAGTGCCCCGAAGGATATCCTGCTGAACGGCAACAAAACGACCAACCTGGGACTCGAACCCAGAGCCTTCTCCTTAGGAGGGAGACGCGCTACCAAATTACGCCAGTCAGCCTCCGTTCTTTTTTCCTAAAACGTTAATCATCCATAAGTCATTTCCAGGAAATCAGCTATACTACTCACTACACTACCGGTCCTCTCCCTTACCACCCGCTCGTTTTCGGACCAAAGTGCCACAGTCGGCCCTCGTATCTGCTTCCTGGACAGCTCCTCGGACCGCTTTTGTTCTCGTCAATCCCCTGGCAGATATCAATGCTTGTTCGCACTCTTCTGATATCAGTTGTGTGAGGATGCTTTTTTAAATACTCAACTGGATCTGTGTAGTGGATACCACACATTCGGAGGTAGTCTTCTCGGTAAGGATGGTTGAGGTGCCGGGTCTTCAAGTACGTCGCTAGTTGGTGCCAAAGATTGCAACCCATTGATTTCCTATTGCCATTGTCTGACTTCCACCTCTCATAGTGGGCAGTAAAGACCGCCCCACCTTCAGGGTACCCGTAATTCAACCATTGATTGAGCAGCCAAAGTGCATCACCATGCTTAGGGGGATCCCTGTATTTGTCCAGATTCTTTTGTCCTGCTTTGGGTAACTCCTGACCGCGGGGTATGATGGGGTTAGGGGGGGGGGTTGTCGCTGTCGCTTGAGCACAGGTGGAATGAACCCGGCGGTGCCACTCGCTCGAGGCTTGTTGACAAGTGAGGGAAGCCTACCGGCGCTGGGAGCATCTGGGTCTGGACCCATCTTTGCACCCATGAAACCATATTGCTTTTGAGGCTGAGCTGTGTTTGCTGATGTAGCTCCATTGAACATCACTTCATCCCACAAAATGCGAAAGTCACCAGTGAGCCTCTCGTAAGGAAAATAGACCTTGTGCTTGTGATTTTGTGGTAACAATGACTGACCCTTGGCCTCTCTGATAACAACACTGTCCTTCGTAAAGTACAAAAACCGCGAATCCTGAGGAGTTTGGGGTATAGCTATGCCGTAGACTCGGGCACTCACTGCTGTCTAATTGGTGGGAGTTCTTTGCCAGTATAACGGAAACTGCCCACTGCTTCCTATGGAGACCTCCATCCCATTGAATGCACAGGTTTCCTGGTACTTGGCCTCCTCGCCTGATCTCCTGTTCCTTTGCTTCTCCGGCCCGAAATGATTCACAGGAAGCTGAGCCCGCATCTGTCTGTCAGCCTCTTTGCAGGCCAACTCCCGCTTCTCCTGGTCTTCCATCCAACTATCGTTCAAATTCGAAGACCCTGCTGGGGCAAACTGCCGAAGTAGGCGGTAAAAAGCAGCGGACCACTCACCCTCGCAACTGCGCATGACCCAGTGGATGACATGGCATAGGCCACACCTTCTCCCCGGGTATTGACCCATGAGAACTATTCATCACGAGACTCACGAGGAATGTGCCTGTGAAGGTCTGGCAAATTCAATCGCCAGAGTCATAATGGTTGCATGGTATGACTTTCACTGTTAGGTTTACCCTCCACCAAAAAGCTCCCAAATCTCAGTAGGTACTTCTGTCTTGGGCAAGTTGAGGAGGTTGAGCGGAGAAGGTAGTCCTAGGTTGGAGGAACAGATTTTGATCCTCATGATGCGAGAGATGACTGTCACAGGCGCCACCAGCTTGGCAATTGAGCAGCAAAGACTCATTGAACAGGGCGATCAGGACTTGCTCTCTGTGATCGACATGGACCTGGTGGTGCTGGTTCTTGTCAAAGCGTAACCTGGCTGAAGAAAACTCATAAAGTGTTGTCTGAACCGAAATCCTCGCACTTGCTTCTTCCATATTATCCTCCAGGTCCAGCTGTTGAAAGACTTCCGTAATTGTACCAGACGAACCTTCAAGCAAGGTGTTGGGTGCGCCCACAGTACTCTCAACCTCAGAACCATACTTCAACTCCATACAATTCAGGAATGCAGCAATAATACCAGTCCTGCGCCTCTTCACATCTTCCATATGGCGGTTCCAAGGCCTCTTCCCTTCTCCGCAAGTTTCAATAACTGAATACACATCCTCTCCTCATACTCCATCTTATGGTCCTGGATGTACTCAACCCAAAGCTTCATTTCCGCAAAGTGAAGGCCTTGTTTACACCAACCCTCCATGACCTTCTTCGAACCTTTTACCTCCACATTGAAAGACCCAAGGTAGAGGATCTGGCAGTCTTCATGAGGTGTAAGAGAAGTCTGGTTGGATTCCAACAAGGAAAACACCAACTTCAACTCATCATCAGTGACATGGAGGGGACGGGTCAAAAGCTTGTCAAAGACATCCATCCCAGCCTTAGTCTCATCCTTCCTCTGATTGCCATCTCCACTTTGCTGGTGTTCATTGCACACGGGCCTGGTGTTGGTGAAGCCATGTGCTTGCGCTTGGTATTCTGCCGTGGCGGACAGACACCTGGTCCGGAGTTCGGTCTCCTCAGATTCATTGCAAGTCACGGGTCGTAGATGTACTTCACGTAATCGACAGAGTGGAAGCGCACACGTATGCGACTCTGTACTTCACGAGTAGGCGATTGGTGACTCCGTACTTCACGGGTACGAAGCGTATGGCTTCACAACTTCACGGGTCGACGGTAGACAGTAGATGTACTTCACGTTTCCGACTGCGTACTTCGCGGGTTGGCAGATTAGATGTAGATGCGACTTTGACTCAACGTACTTCGGCACAAGGCTTCACTCACACTTGACGTACCTCTTTGAGTACCCTCGGGCCCCTCCCGTCTCTCCGCCCATGTGCTCGAGCCTCTCTCCGACTGGTACCGTTTCTGGCTGTCTGTTCTTTTGACATGGCTATGGACGAGCGTAGGGATTGCGATCAGTAGCTTTTTGGACTGTTTAATTCAGTCAGCGGGGAGGTGGACGTAGCGGGAGCGGTCCGTTGCATGATATGCGGAGAACCGAACGGCATTCGAAGCTGTACGATTGCGTCCCTAAAATGCTTCTGGGCAGGACACTACTAAGGACGTGAAGAGTTATGGAAAAGAGAATAGAGAAAAGGGAAAAAGGAAGGGAAGAAGAGAACACAACGGCTAGGGAGTAGATTGAGACATTGTTATCTTAAAAAGACATAGGAGCACAAAAAATAACTCAGGCTGACTGGCGTAATGGTAGCGCGTCCGCCTCCTAAGCGGAAGGTTCTGGGTTCGAGTCCCAGGTTGGTCGTCTTCAAACACTTTTTGGGCGGCCGCACGCTCGCCCACAACAATTTTGGGCCCGATTCTAACGGGACTCATTGAATGGTTGGATATTACTTAGCATGCCTTCGTGATACTTACTGACTTACGCATGGGAAATGCAATAATCGTCTTACACGCACGCACATCTGGGTCCTCACGTGATGCCCGGACGTATCGCTTTATTTCGAATTCAATTACTGGAGGAAGTTGAGATGCCCAAACAACGATTACGCAAATCGTACTTTTGCAATTCTCTGTTACTGCAAAGCCACACGACACTGCTCTAATGTCTTAATCTGCTTCCCATCCGCGTCAAAGTTCGTTGATTCAAGCCAAGTCACAAGCGCCTTCTCCAACCTCGCCCACTCGAAATCACAGAAAGCGAACCACGCTGTATCTCTATTCCTCCCCTTCACCACCATATGCTGCCTGAAAACACCTTCTTCCTTGAACCCGAATCGCAACGCCGCAGCCCGACTTCGGCTGTTACCATTATCGCACTTCCATTCAACACGGCGATTCCCGAGCTCGATAGCGTATCGCATAAGAAGGAACACTGCCTCTGTGCTCATTGGTGTTCGCTGCATCGCGCTGGTAAAGACGATGTGGCCAATTTCTGTGACGCCATATTCTGGCGTGATTCTCAGAAATGCGAAGAACCCGACAGCTCTCCCGGTTTGCTTATTGATCACAGCCCAGAAGAAAGGATCATTGTTTTGCGTATAGTCCCTGATCCATGCTTCAAAATCCTCCAATGACGAGAATGGTCCGTAAAACATGTAGTTCCATGTGAGCGGATCTGCTTTCGGGCCGGCAAGTGCTTCGTAAAGGTCTCGGGCGTGGGACGGACGCAGCGGTTCAATTCGTACAAAGGCGCCGATAAGGATTGTTCGCTCAGGTAGACGCGCAGGGCGCCAGTCTTCAAATGCCTCTACTTTTGACATAGCTGTGTATAGTTGTAGCAATTGCGATCACGGATTTGTTTCGCGCTGTCGCAAGCGATTGAGTCATGGCGCGGGAGCGGACCGTTAACCGATACGGGACCCGCCCGGCAGATGAAGCCGCAGCGCTGCGTTCCAAATTGCTTCGGGTAGAATCTCGGTAAATTACAGAGCTCCGTGTATGACCAGCTCATTTATAAAATCCAAGAAGAGCCTGCATCAGCGCCCCCGCAGGATTGTACAGATGGACCATGATGTCGGTAAGCGTGGGAAATAGAGGATCTATACGACGTTCATGTGCTATGAGACCGTAACCACGCCACGTGAAGTGCGTACTGATATGTGTGCAACCCCTCGAACGCATTTGTGCGTCCGTAGAGCAGCATATGATCAGGATGCTAGAGCTAGCTGTACTTCCTCACACTTTTCAGGTCGAACATTCCGATTGCCATGCACCATGTAAATTTGGCAGGAGCTGTAGGAGAAAAGCGCCGGTTGGTGAGACCACGACCGAAGCCGACGAGGAAGGGTCATAGGAGGATGACCTCCTGTCCGGATCCGTTGCGTTTTTTGCCGCGATAGAATGTGGGGTACCGTTTCCATACTTGGGATGGTGTTTCCATGAGCTCATCTTTTCAATATTTGATGAAACAAGATAGTGTCAGATACGGCCATACCATGATGAAAGCACAGGATCCCGTCCGATCTCCTAAGTTAAGCATCATAGGGCCCAGTCAGTACTAGCGTGGGAGACCAGCTGGGAATACTCGGGTGCTGTATCTTTTTGCTCCTGCTTGCTTGTGAGTTCTTTTGTCCACTGATACATAAATGAGACTTTGTCTCCCGTGTACGGCATGCCCCTTCAGTCAGCGGATAGAGAAGATGTCGTGAGTGTCTAGTGATGAGGAAGAGGCAACGGGTTCGCGCAGGGGAATGAGCCGGGGAAGTACGTCGTCACTATGATGAGATTGCTAAGATGAGGTAGACGTGGAAAATAATCGCACTTTCAAACTTTCCATTGCTAAACTCATCCAAGAAGTGAAGAATAACAATCCGCTAACGACATTTCCAAAAGCAAGGCCGTAGCCTAAAAATCTTATCTAGACATATCAAAACAATATCATGACAATCCCCTAACAAAACGCAAATCCACCTTAGTTGGCGGTAGCAGCAACAGCCTCAGCGTTGTGCTTGTGAGTCTTCGTCGCCTGATCACCCTGCCTCACGATCTTCTGACCCATGGTGTCCTTCGGGGGATCCACAGTCTTCCTCTCCCTCATCTCAGCCTCACGCATACTCTGCTTCCATATCTCGACTTCCATACCACCACGGACAACAGCGACACGCATGGTAGCGAGGAGGTTGTGAGCAGCGTTAGAGTGGTCGTAAACACCACCGTTGAAGGCAGAAGTCATATCCTTTCCGATACCAGAGCGGATAAGAGCAATACCTCCAGGGTGCTGATTAACGAACTCGGAAACATCGTGAACGACACCAGCGACGAGAACGAGTTTCTTGCCGGCCTTGGACTGCTCCTCAAAGTCGTCGTAGGACATGATGGGGAGGGTCTCGATGGGAATACCCCAATCGAGCACGGAACGGCGCTGGTCGAGCTTCTTCTGGGCTTGCATGACCAAACCCTGCTGAATTGCGTTCTCGTTGAACTGCTTCAAGTCGGACGCCAAACCAAGAACCTTACAAGTCCAGATAACCCACTTGGTGGGGTCGTACTGCCACCAGCGGATAGCGTTACGGTAGTCAGAGGGGAAGGTGTGATGGAAGTTGTGGTAACCCTCACCGAGAGTAACGAGAGCGGTAACGACGTGGTCACGGGGGGAGTGACGGTCATCGAAAGGCTGGTCACCGAGCCAGTGAGCGAGGGAGTTGACGCAGAAAGTAGCGTGGTGAACGAAGACCAAGCGGCAGATAGCAGCGTAGAAGAATCCACCCTTCCAGTCACCCCAGCAGAAACCAGCGACGACGGTAGGGAAGATAAATCCCATAACGAACAGGGTCTTGATGTAGTTCTTGTGCTGCCAGACGACGATGGGGTCGGCGTTAAGGTCGGAGATATCAGTACGGCCGATCTTCTTGGGGTTCTGCTTAAGGAGCATCCATCCCAAGTGAGAGTAAAGGAGACCCTTGCGAACGGAGTAAGGATCCTTCTCAGTGTCGGTAAAACGGTGGTGAGCACGGTGATCGCGGGACCACCACCTGATAGAACCCTCAACGGCACCGCCACCGACGGCGGCCAAGAAGAGACGCAGAGGGAACGAGGCGGAGTAGGACCTGTGTGCCCAGAGACGGTGGTAACCGGCGGTGATACCGAGACCGGTCATGAAGTAGTAGATGACGGCCCAGAGAGCGGTCTTCATGTGGATGGGAACGTAGAGGAGACCGTACAATCCGAGCAAAGGTGGGAGGGTAAGGACACCGACGTTCAGCCAGTTAAAATGCTGGTGCCAGTTATCCCGGGTCCATGGCTGGTCAATGATGTGAAGCTTCTCCTCAGACAAGACTGCGGTTCCGGGGGTGTCCGAAACGACAGTGGTGTTGCGAGAAGTGACCTTCGTGGCCGAAGGCGCAGACGAAGAAGAAGTTGCTGCAGACATGATTGACTGTAGTGTGGACTTCTCTGGATGTTGGTACGAACCGACGCTGTGAGTGGATCGAGTTGTTGCTTTATACGAAAGATAGGCGAGAAGGCAATTGAGACCGACTCAATTGGCTATGTATGACCACCCGGCGTAAAGCTGCGAAATGAACTCGGAAAAACGAAAGGACACCGGCTTGGGGCGGGAGTCTCTTGGCGAACTGTTGGGGGTGTGGGGGTATAGACCTGCTGATCCGGGTGACCTCACCGACAGAGTGAACGACAGACGGGTTGGGGATATCGCTGTGGGTGGGATCCTCGCGGGCTTCTTAATCCTCTGCGGGGGGGGGCGAAATCTCGTGTGGCACCGGGGAGGCCAGATTTTGTTGGGGCACTCGGAGACGCGCAGCGCGACCGAAAATGCGCAAGTTCCCTTGGTTGGGGGCAAAACAACCCGTAACTGGAGCTTATGCCCTGCTGGAACCCGACATGTGGGCAACGTCAAGCATAAATCTTCTGACGAAATCGTTGGAATCTGTATGGAAAGGGTCCAAGGCAAGGCAAGCCTTCGGTAAAGGCTCTGGTTTTGGTTAAGCTATGCATGTCGGCGGAGCGGGTGCGCAGTACCACGGACACTCGTTTGGACCCTGGGCAATTGCGCAATCGCCGGTCTTTGGAAGAGTGAGGAAGATAGTTCAATGCAATCGTATATCATTTTCTCTATCTATCGAACTGCCCAGCACAGAGCCATTCTCTCAGTAAAGCACAGCAGCCGTCAAGTTCGGTCAGATTCGCCACCCTAAATTGAGTCCCCCCGCACGTCCCGCAGGCGAGATTGATGCACGCCACACTTAAAGTCGAACCCCCATCGATTCAACCGCCCATGCAAACAAATCGCCACCATGACCTCGGCCAAGACCAAGACCAGATGTAGCCCCTGGTGAGGTTCATCTCTTTCGCCACAACGTCCCATCGCTCATGCCCATTAATCACCGCCTCCCGATCCTACTCCTGGTAGCAACATGTACGTGGTTTAGATCGCCTCCAACCCAGTATTCCGCACCTTCCTGTTCACAACTCCGCCCACTCCAAACGCCGGCAAAATCCGTCCTATTCGCGCAAATGTACTCTTGAGGTACAGCTGTGACATTTTTTGTAGTCGTTGGGAGGTTGGCATGGGCCCTGGTTCGTTGTACAATGACAATCCTACACAGCTCAAATTAGCACTCAACACGTCACTTCCCACAGCATGGGAGACATACCGAAGAGATGGAATGGCGTCGAGAGGAATTGTACAGCGCAAGGCGTGAGAAGTTGCGCGCATGTGAGACCACCGGGGGTGTATGGCGCGATCATGGCGGGAACGTTAAAGGAGGAGAAAACGGTTAGGGAGTCACGGGTTGTGAAGAGGACGTAAGCCATGGGTGGGAACCGGCGTTGTTGCGCCGCGGCGGCTGTGGACATATGTCGGGATATGGTTGAGGATATTTTCGAGGATGGTGGTTGTGGTCGTGTCGGTGCTGCTGTCTGAGGTGATGGTGACGCACCATGTGCTCCATACGCCTTCGTCAACTCCCGATCCTTAATCAACCCTAACCCGATATTCGCCGCAGTAGTAGCAACAAACTTCTCCACCCCACCGGCACCCACGAACCTATCCGTCTCCCCCCTCCACACTCCCATCCACGTATCAATCGAGTTCGCCGTCAAGTACGTACCCCCATACACCATGAACACGAGTCCGAACATCGGGTTGCGCATGAACTTAATGGGGGTTGTGAGGAATTGGCGGAGGGAAGAGGTGATGGAGGTTGTTAGCGGGGCACGGCCGGATGCGTTTTCGATAATTGCGCGGTCGATGATGTAGATTGCGGGGGAGATGATGAGGGCGGCGGACGCGGCAGCGGTTAGGTCGACGAAGCAGCGAGAGAGGAGGTTTGGCAGGGGACGGCGGGTCGTTGTTGTGGGTTTTGGTTGTGACATTTTGAGGTGTGGTGTCTAGAGTGCGGTTCTATCCGATCTAGATTGTGACAATGCTGTTGATCCAGGAAAAACGGATCAAATGTAGATACTTTCACGTACGCGTCGTCGTGATGTCGATGTGAGACTTGAGTAAACGATTGCAACTTTCTGGTGCTTTGGTACCGAGAGGAGGGGTACCTGTTCCGTCGACGAAAATCCGAAAGATGCCGAAATGAACGGCGAGTCGGGGCAGCTGAAAAGAAGGTAAACTTGAAGGTGAGTAACGTCAAGCGATCCTGCGCTTTGACCTGATGCGATACAGTATGCCTGGCTGAGGAAGAGCTCGGAGGAGGTGTCGTCTGTCTCTTCCAACTTTTTCCTCGATGCGATCGTTGATGGTTCAAAGTCTGACCTGAATCTGCAGGTGCATTTGGCGCGGGTAGGCTTACGAGATTTTGCGGAGAGAACCGAGAAGCTCCGGCCGGCAGCGAATGGGAGGAGTGACAATGTTAAGCTGGGCGTCATTCGAATCGATCTCTTTGAAAACTGTTACACAAATGAACATGATTGAAGCACCCCATTCGTCTGTTCAACCCAGCTAATCAGCCTCAGGACGGCCAGGGGTGGAGCCCTGGTCTAACGCATATGTGACGCAGTTGGGTCCCAGCACCCAGCAGCTGGTGCTCGCGATAGCAAACAAAACAAATCAGAACAGCACTACACCATGGATGAGGAATACGACGTTATCGTTCTAGGTGCGCAACTTCTTCTTAATCCATCTGGGTTCTTGCTTAACCTTTGCACAGGCACTGGTCTCACCGAATGTGTCCTCTCCGGCCTCCTTTCCGTTGAGGGCAAGAAGGTCTTGCACATGGATCGCAATGATTACTACGGAGGGTACGCCGTTCTACTGTCTTTTCGGGGAATGTGACTTATAGACGTCGTACAGAGCGAGTGCCTCGTTGAACCTGACCCAATTGTTTGCGAAGTTTAGGGACGGACAGCAACCCCCCACCAGCTTGGGACGAGACAGGTGCGTGCGCATACATTTCCGAGGGACCGTGGGCTGATTAGGGGATGTATGCAGAGATTGGGCTGTGGATCTTATCCCTAAGTTCCTCATGGCAAATGGAGAGTTGACCAACATGCTCGTCCACACTGATGTTACGCGTTACCTCGAGTTCAAGCAGATCGCTGGATCGTATGTTTACAAGGACGGAAAGATCGCTAAGGTTCCCTCGAACGAGATGGAGGTATAGAAAACGGCGACTCCATGGATAATGGAATGTTGACGGATTTTGTACAGGCTGTCAGGTCTTCCCTTATGGGTATCTTCGAGAAACGCCGTATGAAGAAGTTCTTCGAGTGGGTCGGTGCTTACAAGGAGAATGACCCTTCTACCCACCAAGGTTTGTTCTAATCCATCTCCGCTAGGATATTAGCTGACGTGATTTGAACAGGCCTCAACCTCTACAAGAACACCATGAACGAAGTCTACTACAAATTCGGTCTCGACAAAGGAACCCAGGACTTCATCGGCCACGCCATGGCCCTCCACCTCGACGACTCTTACAAGCCTAAGCCAGCAAAGGAGACGATTGACCGTATCCTTCTCTACCTCGGCTCCATGGCTCGGTATGGAAAGTCACCTTACATTTACCCTCTCTACGGTTTGGGCGAGTTACCTCAGGGCTTCGCGCGTTTGAGCGCGATTTACGGAGGAACTTACATGCTCGACAAGAAGATCGACGAAATCGTCTACGACGAGGAGGGTGTCGCGATCGGTGTCAAGAGTGAGGGCGAAGTAGCGAAGGGCAAGCTCATCATTGGTGACCCTTCGTATTTCCCTAACAAGGTCCGCAAGACTGGACGTGTTGTTCGTGCGATCTGTGTTTTGCAGCACCCGATCCCTAACACGGATAATGCCGATTCGGTGCAAATCGTCATCCCCCAGAACCAGATTGGTCGCAAGAATGGTGAACACCAATGATGCCCAGGATGATTGGATTGTTGCTGACATCATGTTCACAGATATCTACATCGCGGAAGTTTCCTCCACCCACAACGTCTGCGCAAAGGACCACTATCTGGCTATCGTCTCCACCATCGTCGAGACCGACAACCCACACGTCGAAATTGAACCCGGAATCAAGCTCCTCGGTCCCATCCTCGACAAATTCATCTATATCGCTGATATCATGGAACCCATCGAGGACGGAACGAAGGATAAGTGCTACATCTCAAAGGTTCACTCTCAAGGATGAATTCGTGTGAATTTGCATGCTAATGTTGAGGCGAACAGAGCTTTGATGCGACGAGTCATTTTGAGACGACGACGGATGATGTCATGAATATTTACAAGAGGATCGAGGGGAAGGAATTGGTGTTGAAGAAGAGACCGGCGCCTGGGGAGGAGGGGGATTTGGAGGGTATGTAAGTGGAATCATGGTAGGGAGGAGTAGAGAGGAATGTTTTGGGCGTTTTGAGTCTTGTTTGGGAGCGTTATTTTCTTTGTTAAAGCTGCAAATGCAAATGCCATTCATCATTACTCGCTATGAATTCCCCAAAAACCTGACATTAGATTACTCTATATCTCGTATTCCGTGAGACGCTGCTTTATGCTAATTAATACCGAGGTCTCTCTTGAAGTTTTCGACCTCTCCTGCCGTCTTGCACAAATCATAAAACGAGCTTTCCGAATCACCCAACAAATTAGCCGGCGTATCAAACTCCAATAACTTCCCATGATCAAGCACCATGACCCTATCATGCTTCACTGACAACCTATGCGCAATCGCAATGACCGTAGAATCCCGCAACTCCTCCCGAATCGTTTTCTGAATAATCGTGTCGGTCTGGAAGTCGATACTCGCCGTCGCTTCATCCATGATGACGATCTTGGAGCGTCGGAGGAGTGCACGGGCGAGGGCGACGAGTTGACGCTGTCCTTGACTGAGGTTGAGGCCGCCCTCGCTGATTGGAGACGAGAAATCTTCGAAGACGTTTCCGTCTTCTGTCTCCGAACCGGCGTCACCGATGAGTTGGACACGACGGAGGGCGTCGTACAGTTCGGCATCTGAGTACTCGTTGAATGCATCGAGGTTTGAGCGGACGGTACCCGTGAACAGGACAGGGTCTTGTGGGATGATTGTCAAACGACTACGGAGGTCGGAGAGTGAGATCTTGGAGATGTTCACGTCGTCGATGAAGATATCTCCACCAGCAGCCTCGAGGAAACGGAAGAGGCCGAGAGTGATGGTTGATTTTCCGGATCCTGTTCGGCCTACGAGACAGATTTTCTCGTTGCTCTTGATGTCGAAGGTCAAGCCTCTCAGTACCAAGGGTAAGTCAGCTGCGTACTTTGCCTCGTAGTTGCGGAAGCTGATGGCTCCGTGCTCTGGCCATGTCGCCGGGGGTGATGGTTGATCCTGAGGTTCCGTGGGCATGTTGGTGTACTCTGTCACACGCTCCACGGCGTTCATCGACAACTCCACATCAGTAATACGGCGAACCATCCAGAAGATGTACGTTTGGAAATCCAGAGCGAAGGACAGTGAGAAACCTGCTAAACCTGCGTCCACGCGGTTGATATTTATCAAGATAAGTGCTGCGGCGATGGTAGCGAAGAAACCGCCTAGGACATTAAAGCGGACAGACATCCACCTGTTGACAAGCCAGAGGTTGTATTGGACGTGGACAAGGATATTCATCTTTTCGAAAGATGCACGCAAGAAACGCTGAGAGGCGCCATATGCCCTGATGACCGATGTACCAGAAATAGTAGCCTGGAACAATTCAAAGATAGGCGACTTCGAGACCGAATCTAGACGCTTCAGCTCACGGGAAGCACGCATGTACACCCGACCGATGAAAACGGCAAACATGCACAACAACAGTGCAGCAATGAGGAAAGTTGGCGTAACGAAGATGCAGACAACCGTAACACTGATAGTACCAAGGGTGTTGATCGCCAGCCAAGCATTGTCATTCGCAACCTTGGAGTCAATGGTCTCAAAGTCCTTGCTGAATCTATTGAGCACTCTGCCCACTGGGGTAGTATCCAACCATCGCATGGGTGCATAGAGAACCGTATGAAGGAGACGGCGGTACATAACCCTGGAAGCTTGAATACTTCCATAGAAGGTAACTGCAAATCGAACGAGGCCCATGAGGATAGACACAACGGCAATGGCGACATAGATACCGAGGTAGTACTCGACAGAATGCTCTTCAGTTGCGCCCTTGAAGGTATGGAAGGCGAACTGTTGGGACGACACAGAGGCGATGGCTCGCTTAGCCAACATGGCTGCAGTTCTGCCTTTGTATGACGAAGACCAAAGCCTGAGCCAATAACTCTCAGCAACTTCAAGACCTTGCGCCGTAATGAATGCACCGATGATCATACACCAGAACAGCACACCTCCGTTAGCGAGGAAGTACGACGAGTAGACCTGAGTCTTTACAGCACCCCTCTCACGCGCCTCTTCCTCCACAAACTTCTTCGGCTTCTTCCCAAGATCGACCGATTTGGTCATTTCCTCGGGATCGCCATCGATCTCGTGCGCATCAGTCTTGTCGCCTGGTACAGCATCGCGTTCGATCTCTTCATCCTCTTCTTCGTCGAGAATGTGCTGCAGACTACCAGTACGCTTGAGCTCAGCAAGATAACCCGCATGCTCGATTCTGCCACCTTTGAGAGCCATGATGTAGTCAGCCCCGTTCATACAAAGCTTGACGTGATGCGTGACCAAAATCCTTGTTCGCTCCCTCATCAAGGGGCCCATCAAACACTTGTTCACAATGTGCGAGGACACATGAGCATCCAACGCACTCAGGACATCGTCACAGATCAAGACCTCCGCACGGGAATAGACGGCCCGGGCAAGCGAAACACGAGCCTTCTGTCCACCAGAGATGTTCAAACCCTTTGCGCCGATCTCAGTCAAGTCACCGTCCTCGAGGATCTCCAAATCACGAGTCAATGCACACGCATTGATGACTGCGTTGTATCGCTTCTCGTTGTATGGGAGACCGAATAGGATGTTGTTGCGAATACTGTCATTGAGAAGCCATGCAGTTTGCGGAACATACGCCTTCGCACCAGAAATAATCCACTTCGCTGGTGGGATGATATCTTCACCGTGCTCGAAAGCGTTACTGTCGGCAGGCGGCAAAGAAACGGTCCCGTCGGTCACATCCGCCTCTCCAAGCAGTCCAAGCAGCATCAAAGTCTTACCAGCTCCCGTGTGTCCAAATATTAACGACAAAGCTCCTCGAGGAAACTCTGCATTGATATCCTTGAGCGAGAACGTAGGAGTAGCATCTGTTACGCTCTCAAGCGTATTATCAGAAGGCCATGTGATCGTGGCATCTTTGACAACAATCGGCTCATGTGCAGCCCAAAACCGCTCGGGATTACTCCCCGAACTCGTATCATCGATCAACTTCTTATCATCAACCGGTGCATCCTCAATCTCAGCCGAATGCAAGAAACGCTGAATACGCTTCAACGAAGTCCACGCCTGAAGTGCCTCAACAACAGCCTCCGGAATGATATTCAATGCAAACCCGAGTTCCTTGAAGACACTCAACGTCGTAAAAGCCAGCGCAGGCGTCAAATCCTGTCCCTGCAACTTCGTATACGAGAAGAACGCCGAAACGGTAACCAAAATCGGACTCCCACTCCAGATCAAGTTGAAGCATACATCCAAGAACCAAACACGTCTCAGCTCCCTGACTTCCTCATCACGCATCTCGTTGACTTTCGCTTCCCAGTTTCGCTCCCATGCCATGAATTTCAGCTGTCGGATGCCCTGCAAGATCTCGGTCATGATTCCGACGCGACGATCACGGATCTTCATGAGGTTTGACTGGGATGAAGAGTATGACTTTGATGCCCATTGGTTGATGGGTAAGAGTACGATCATGACGCTGAAGCCGACGAAGGTAGACCATCCAAGTAGGTTGTAGAGGAAGAAGATGGCGACGGCGATTTGGAGAGGTGCGTCAGCCAACATCCAATCCCACGTCGAGTACGTCGCAACGCGGTCAGCGTCGACGGCCATGAGGTTAAGCACATTCTGTCGAGATCCACCGACTTCTTCATCACCTTTCTTGTCCTTCTTGCTTGCGTCATCATCGTCTTCTCCGTCATCCTTCTTCTCCGTGTTGACATCAACTCCGACGATGTCCTTGCGCTTCAGCGTCTTTGCGAAAATTGCCGTATTCAAGACACTGTTGACCTTTGTCTGTAGCACACACGCAGAGATATACCACACCTGAGCGTACAAAATCGCATAAGCCAGCTTCGCCGCACACATACCAGCGACGTAATACCATCCATACCACCACTCCACTTCACCTACCTTGTACATCTGCACGAACTGCAAAATCCTCAGGAGGAAAAATGTCGGAGCATACTGGAGGACAGACGACACGAGTCCCATACTCCATTGCAGGATAAATTGCCATTTGAAGGTGACGATGATACGGCGGAGGAGATGCCAGCCTTTACCGTCGCTATCGGCGAAGTGGCGGTGGAGGTTTTGGGCACGGAAGGTGGCGCGCTGTGCCCCAAGGTCTTCGACTTCGAGTCTGTTTTCTCGGACAGCTCTGTCATTAATCTCCTTCGTCCATGAGAATGTCAAGAAGGACCACAAGGAGGCATGGACTGCACCATCAACCATCTTCCCATCAAAAACAAGTCTCGGTCCTCTCGGAAAGACGAGCGTAACACCAAACAAAACAGTAGATGCCGTAAGTAGGATGGACGACAATGCAACATCCAGCTTCGTCAGCTTATCCTCCTCAAGAAAATACCGCCGAAGAAGCGCATCATGCAACCCCCACCCCGACCCACCCACAACAAACCCAGAAACAACAGCCAAATGCACAATATACCAAAACGCATATCTCGGCCGCCTCGTCGACCCGAACAAAATCACCAAGGCCGCGACAAACACCCACGACACAAACGTCAACCACCCAGCAACAGCAACGCCGGCATTACTTGTCAAATGATCATGATACGACATCCTCGCACCCGCCCAGAATCCGGAACTTAGGACACCGATGGCTGTACACAGAGCGATGAGAGCGCGGTGTACTGAAGTCGCGTAGTATGTCCCAGGCGCTGGATCACCCTCCTTCTCCGCTCTCTTGAGCTTTCGCGGCGCATACGTAGATTTACGGGTCGTGAGGAGGATGAGCGCGGATATGGCTATCGCTGGATAAGGCAGCAAGGATGGTAGCCATTCTGGTAGCTGACTTGCCATGGTGGAGGTTTGGTCGTGACTCAACGTTGAACTGTTGGACAATTTCGGCACAAAAATCGCGGACATGTGCATGACATAAATGCTGCACGTCGCCGGCAGGTACACACCTTAATTATGGGCAAGACGGATGAGATGGTTATGAAGGTTTATTTCGGTTTATTTTGCTGGGATTTGGCATGGAGGTAGCTACGAGGTTGTTCGCACGGCGGGGGTCGGGGATACGTCATGGCCGGCGCCGGGTACCCCCACGATTTTTCTCAAATTCGCTCCGAAACGAATACACCAACACCAACATCCGAATCCTAACACTTCGTCCCGGCGCAGTCGCTTCGACGAATTTCCACATGCAACGCGTCGGACATGATCAATCACAGCATGACGAGTTCTTCGAGGGGTGGGAGGAGGAGTATTATGGTTTGGGATCGGGAGTGAGATGAGGGGATGAAGAAATTCGTAGATCTCCATAAAGTCCCACGGTCCGATTGCGTCACATGCACTCAATCGATAAGACCAGGTTCCGGCCCGGAGTTCAACGTCACAGGCACCACCACCCTGCAGCAATCGCCAGCACCAACACATCTCCAATCTCAATCGATCTACCCATGTCTTCTCAATACACAGCCTACGCCTACACCCACCACGGCCCCCCTGCCACCGTCCTCAACACCACCCAGCTCCCCCTCCCCACAACCTCCGCCCTCTCCTCCACCCACCTTCTCATCCGCACAACCTCCCTCGCCCTCAACCCCATCGACCACAAATTCATGCTCAACACCGCCCTCGGCTGGACAGGCCTCATCACGAAACCCAGCGTACCCTGCGAAGACGTTAGTGGCGTCGTCGAGTGGGCTGGGGATGAGGTCAAGGAGGAGTTTGCGGTTGGGACGAAGGTTTGGGGGGTTGTTGATGCGCCGGATCAGATGAAGAGGGGTGGGACGTTGGGGGAGTATGCACTCCTTAACAGTGCCCATGCTATTCCTCTCCCCACTGAGGGACAAGTTGGATTAGTCGATGCGGGCGGTTTGGGATGTTCGAGTTTGACTGCATACCAGGCACTCGTACAAGATGGGGGCTTGAGGGAAGGACACAGGGTTTTCGTTAATGGGGCTTCTGGGGGTGTGGGTACCATGGCCATTCAAATCGCTAAACACATTGTTGGGCCGCGTGGGGTTGTTGTGGGTGCGTGTTCGGCGAAGAACGTCGAGTTGGTCATGGAGTTGGGCGCGGATGACGTCGTCGACTACACCGCCGGAGACCTCGGCAAACAGCTCGCGGTCAAGTATGGCAAGGAACCGTTCGATCTCGTCCTCGACACTGTCGGAATCGATGACCTCTACCACGCTTCCCCCAAATTCTTGAAGGCAGAGGGGGGCAAATTCGTCAACGTCGGCGCCGAAGTCACCTCTTTATCCGACATCCTCCGTCTCTCATCATCCATGATCCCCAAGCTCCTCCAACCGACCTGGCTGGGTGGGACACCCCGTCCGTATATCTTCTCCGCATTGAAAATCACCAAGGATAAGTTGGAAGCAGTTAATACGATGGTTAGGGATGGTGTGTTGAGGGTTATCGTTGATTCGAAGTGGGAGTTTGGGAAGAGGGAGAGTGTGATTGGGGCTTTTGAGAAGATTATGGGAAAGAGGACGAGGGGAAAGGTCTTGATTGTCGTTAGGGATGAGGAGTAAATGTTCGAGCCTTGAGCCCGGCTGCGGAGAAGGAGAAGGAGTGAAGGGTATTGGCCGTGGCTATGGAGGTATATGATAATGATAGTTTAAGGGTTCAACTGAATGTACCGGGTTTCTATGAAAATGGCTCAGAGCGACAGGGTCCTTCTCTTCTTGAGTGGGTGTATGCGTGCATGGAGAAATGGCTCAGTGTTCCCGCGGCGGTTGCAGTTGGCCAGCAGCTGGTGGAGCAGTAAAACAGCATACACTCACCAATCCCGACCCCTTGTCCGGAAATGCCTCACAGAACGCGGGTTCAGCTGTGCTTCGCCTCGCTTCGAAGCGAAATGACAAAAAGATGGGCGCTAATGCACACAGCCCCACAGAAAAGTGTGGGAACTCTACGCTGCCTCTCGCACGCCGTCGTCAAAGAAATCCCTCAGCTTCGAATGGCAAAGGTGGAATGAGCGCACTGCTGCTGCCGACAGCGATAGGTTGACCGCCTATATAGTCTGCCCTCGCTTCCTCCTCGAAAGGATCAGCAAGACAGCAAAGGACAGCTCAAGGACAACAGAGCAACAATGCAGGCTCTTCCTCAGTTCGACTATATCTTCGCCCTCGGGTTGATCTTCGCTTTCCTCGACGCCTACGGTATCGGTGCAAACGATGTCGCAAACTCCTTCGCTACCTCCGTCTCCTCTCGCTCCTTGACGCTCATGCAGGCATGTTTCTTGGCTGCTATTTGTGAGTTCTTGGGTGCGTTGCTGTTGGGTGCCCGTGTTACTAATACCATCAAGGATGGTATTATCAACATCGACATGTTCACGGAATCGCCTTCTGTTCTCATGTTGGCGATGTGGTGTGCCCTCGTTGGTTCCTCTTCGTGGGTTTTGCTGGCCACTCGTCTCGGTCTCCCTGTCTCGACTACTCACTCCATCATCGGTGCCATTGTTGGTGTTGGTATCGCCGCCAACGGTGGAAAGGGTGTCAAGTGGGGCTACGACGGTGTCGCCCGTATCGTCTCCTCCTGGGTCATCGCTCCATTCATCGCCGGTGCTTTCGCCTTGACCATCTTCATGCTCACCAAGTACTTTGTCCTCAAGCGTCAGGATCCCCTCAGGGCTGGTTTCATCGCTATCCCGATCTACTTTGGTTTCACTTCTGGTATCTTGACCATGATGATCGTCTGGAAGGGTGCCCCCGGTCTCGACCTTGACGAGTTGGGTGCGGGAACTATCATCGGTGCCGTCCTCGGTGTTGCTGGTGTCGTTGCCGCTATCTGTATCTTCTTCTTCGTTCCTTACCTCCACCGTCGTCTCGTTCGCGAGGACCCTACTGTCCGCTGGTACCACTTCTTCCTCGGCCCTTACCTCTGGAAGGCCGAGCGTCTTCCCTTCCCCGGAGCCGCCAACGCTGTTGCGATCAAGGATTACTTCAACGGTGGTCTCGTCGGCGAGAACAACCAGGGTGAAGCCCACGACCTCGCCAACGACCTCAAGGCTCAGGCTTCCGGTGACATGGAGCTCGGCAAGACCCAGCCCACCCCCTCCGCCGATGAGATCACTTCTTCTACCTCCAACGACGACGTCAACGCCGCCGCCGCCGCCCCCGCCGCCGGTGCTACCACCCTCGAAGACCTCGAGAAGCACGAGATCCGCGGTCCCTGGATTTTGCCTTCCAACATCTGGATCTTCTTGCGCTACCGTCTTCCCAAGCTCGCTCTCCGTGGTATGCAGGTGGACGTCGTCAACGAGCAGGCTCGTGCCCAGCACGCTGGTGACAAGGGTGCCATTCGCGTCGCTGAGATGCACGCTCGTGCTGCGCAGTATGATAACAAGACTGAGCACCTCTACTCTTTCTTGCAGGTTTTGACGGCTTGTACCGCGTCTTTCGCTCACGGTGCTAATGATGTCTCCAACGCTGTCGGTCCCCTTGTCGTTATCTACCAGGTTTGGAAGAGTGGTGTTGTTCCTGGCTCCAAGTCCGATGTCCCCGTCTGGATTCTCGCGTTCGGTGGTGCCGCCATCGTTATCGGTCTCTCTACCTACGGTTACAACATCATGCGTAACCTCGGAAACCGTCTCACCCCTCACTCCCCCACCCGTGGTTTCTCCATGGAGCTCGGTGCGGCTTTGACAGTCGTGTTGGCCACCCGTTTGAACATCCCCGTCTCTACTACGCACTCTATTACTGGTGCTACCGTGGCTGTTGGGATGGCGAATGGTGATTTGAAGGTGATTAACTGGAAGTTGTTGATTTGGATTTTTGGTGGATGGATCATTACTTTGCCCATTGCTGGTACTGTTGCGGGATGTCTGATGGCTATTATTGTTCATGCTCCTCGTTTCGGAATGGGGGTGTAAGCAACACATCTCCGTCGCGATTGAGAGGATGTATGTGGTGGTGCATAGGATGGTGATATGATACAGATTATTCGGAGTTCTTTTGGGTAGGTCGGTAGACGGGGTAATGTCGACCGACTGGTTTTGCTTTCTCTTATTTGCTTTTTTTCCTTCTTCGCTTTTAGACATATCCGTGCGCATATTGCAACGCAGAAAAAGGTACTTTTTTTCCGTGACTTCTTTCTCCTGCTCTAGCGAATTCTCTGATTCCATCTATATGATCTCGTCGTGATTTCTCCGCCAGCTGGTGGGGTGTTGAGGTGTCGTTGGTGAGGGAGGAGGTCTACGGGCCGTAATTTCCCACGCTTAGGCCGTGCAATCAAAGACTCAACTACCCTTCCGAAACCCACGAAGCGCTAGGTGACCTTTACAGATCCGCGTCCAGAGGTATCATTATGCTTCGGAGAAACTTCTTGAACAGTCTGTCCAAGCCTCGCTGCCATTGCGTCAATTCTACTCACTTTAATGTCGTACATACGCCGCACCCACGCCGTCCTCTTTCTGGCCCATACAGCGGCGGTAGCCCCAACACCTCCCGAGAGTGAAAGCGTATCCCTTCCGCCGTACCCTTCAGCCGTCTGTTCTGAACAACGTTTTGAGCTCTTTTTGCTCGCGAAAAGTTGGAGGGTGCGGAAGCATGTTTCCTACATCGGATAGCTGAAGTTCCGTTCGTGCGAAAGGCGAAGGGATGTGAGGTAAGCGTCAGATAGATACCCGATGCGTCCTGGGCGAGGACGGCCACGTCATCATGAGCATGGTCTGGCATAGGCATACGAGGGTGTTGGAGATGGGTTACGCGGGACTCAGGTGGTGTGCTTGATCATAAGGTCCAAACCTTACGCTTCTCATGACCACAAACCACGACGACTGCCTCACGTCAATTAGATCAGCCCACAGCAATAAGACAAGGGAGCTTGCTTTGTTTGCAGTGACATTACCCGACTCACTCTAGCTACCCCACACCTTCTCCCGAAATTTCCGGCGGAGGGATGAGGTATCCGGGGGTGGGACCTGATTTAGCCTTAAAGTTTAACCGGCGGGCCGAAGATGTGGGGCTGAGAGGTCCGTGCCAAAACGTCAAAGGATAAGGATATGAGGTGAAGCTTGTGATGGTTCGATTCGGGAAGATGATGGGGGTGTGTGGGGGAGATTGTGTTTGTAGTTTGAGTGCGCGTGAGGGGAACGTGTCCACGGCAGATGTGGGGGTTTAGGCTGTATGATAAGTTGAGACCGTATGGACCTGCTCGAGACGTGCTCAAGATAAGAACGAATCATGGTCATGGCCATGAGAGTTTGTCCGCCTCCCGAGCCGCGGCCGTGGAATGCCCCGGTACTTTTCTCACATGCTGCTAAAAAGGCCTCTTTGGGTGTTACGAAAGATTACGTTACCTCACCTCACCTCGCTTCCATCTCCACCTGACACTCCTCATCCACGTTCCTTCATCCGCCCGTACCTTCCCGTTCGTCCGTTGACTTCGCACCCTTAAGCATGCCACGCTTCACGCAATTGCAATCTACCTGAAGGCACATGTACACGTTTGCAATTGCATCATCGATGGTGTGATCAATTGACAGGTTGGGGATCACCTTCCCCAGATATGCTGGTGTGGAGAAGCTTAAACGGATCCGGGGTGGTTTGTCCCTGGGGAAGGATGAGATGTCGGAGGAGAGGCCGATGGTCTGGCCCATGCAGAGAAGCCAGGTGACGATCCAGACCAAAAACAAGCTAATCAGAAAGACTACGTACGCTATCCTATCTCATACTCTCGCGAGGATAAACTCGAGCACAATTGACGCGCGCTCCTCATGTCCGATGTCCGACGTCCGTCGGCAAAGGTGTTCCCAACTCCAAACGCACGCATGCGGGAAGAGTCGGACGATTCGATCGACAGGGCCGCGGGCTGACCTGGCAGAATGAAAAACAGCCATGATTTACGGGCTTTCGGGCGGTGGAAAGGAAGGAAGGGAAGGCTTATCTCGCTACCCTCGATGTACGATGTCGCAACATGAGGAAAAGGATGAGATCGTAGGAGGTGACTCACGATGCTCGAGGCTGAGTGATCCTGACAGCAAGTCGACCGCGGAACAGCCGCCGGAGCTTAACAAGCGTGGCCAGAATGTTCCGCTGTGGGAGGAGGAGGGACACCACAGTTGAGCCAATCGGAAGCCTGAATCAACCGCAAGCGCTGCAGCAGCGTATGTCCTACGGGGGACCCGCGCAAATTTCGGCGAGGGCAAACGAGAGTGACGAATTGAGCTAAAAATAGTTCGAAGTGCTGTTTGCTGAGCCATGGAGCCGGCCGGAGATCATGTCTCCGCGGTTGCAGTGTATGAAGCTTAAGCAACGGTTGTGGGGCACAGTGGAGTGGGAAAGAAGTGGAGAAGAAGCCTGTTGATCGGTGCCAAGAAGAACAGTCAGTTCGCAATTGCGGAGGCTGTGTAATGTTCAAAGGATCTGTAGAGGTTAGGTAAGCTTATGGGGCCGAGGACATGAAGTTCAATCTCGGAACGAATTCGGCCGAGCTTATTTTGGGTGATCCGGGGTATGTGGACATGGGAAAAGACGGAGTGACGGACGGCCATGGATGTGTGGGGGAAGACGGCAGGTAAATGGAAGGGTAGCAAATACAGTGGAGGTCGTTGTCGAATAGACGAGCTGAGCTTATCTGTTCATTCCGCTCCTCGGAGTCCGTTTTTACGCGCGTTCTGCCACTCGATGCGGGTCACGCACCAAATTTGCAAGCAGGCAGGCAGACAGGCCCCGGAAGGAACTCGGGGGGGCTCAACTCACAAAAGGGACAGCAACCCCACCTTACTGTAGGAAACCTTACCCCACACACGAGACCATCCACCACAACCACCAACCAGCACAAGCACTTCTCCGGTCAAACAGGACGGAGAAGACGAGAGATTAACATATATCGCTATCAACTTGACCGACTGTTCGAGTAGTTGATTGTTATCTCGCTGCTTCACTGCCTACTGGTTGCGCCCCTGCGGGAGTTTTTTCGCTCGCTTATCGTCTGCACGACCTCCAACAACACGCTCCTGTCGAACAGCGACCCCGTTTCGACGAGCATATATACCTGAATAATGCCAGATCAGCAAGTCTTGGACCCGGCTCTTCAGCCTGCGCCCGTTGATCCGGCTCTTCTACCCCACCAGCAAGGACAACAGGCGCCGTTGCCCGGCGTGGCGATTGTCGACCCTTCCCTTCAACCTCAGGGAATGCCAACGATTGATCCAGCTTTACATCCTCAATACGCGCAGTCTGTGCACGCATTGCCGCCTGGTGCTATCCCTGTTCACTCGATCCCTGTCGGACACCCCATGCAGGTCATGCCAGCGCAGTACGGTCAGCCCGCAATGCATTATCAGCAAGTGCAGCAAGTCGTCCCTGGCCAACCTACGGAACTTCCTCGCCCTTACAAGTGCCCTATGTGCTCAAAGGCCTTCCACCGTCTCGAACACCAGACCCGACACATCCGCACTCACACTGGTGAGAAGCCGCATGCATGCACTCACCCCGGGTGCTCCAAACGTTTTTCTAGGTCGGATGAGTTGACGCGTCACGCACGTATCCATTCGAACCCCAACTCAAGGAGAAATAACACGAAGAGTGCGGCTGTTGCGGCGTCTTATGCCGCAAGCTCTGCGCATGCGGCAATGCTGGCCCAGCATCTTCAGCACCAACAGGATGCGTTGATGATGCCTCCTCCTTCTCACCGCTCGAATTACACCACCCCTAATCAGTCTGCGCATTCATCCCCTGCCGTCTCGCCACCTCACCATTACGCGCGTACCGCTTATACCAACGGATCCTCTAACCCCGGCAACGAGAACGAAACGATGCATGTACTTGCTGCTGCTGCGGCCCACCAACTTGAACGCGAGCGTTCGCAGAGCACGGGAACGAGCAACTCCCCTGCAGCTCAAGGGTCGGGTGCGTCTTCTCCTGCTTCAGGATTGCACACTCACCCCGGGAGCGCAGGGTCCATGCCTACCAATGGCTATAGCTCACACCACTACCCCCCTCCTCCCTCCTACTCCGATGCTCACTTGAACCACAATCACAACCAGCACCACAACAACCACAGCCATACCCAACACCACCATTCGCACATGTCGCTACCACATTTGAATCACAACCACCATCGCCCCGCGCAGCATAGTCAGCTGAGTCCCTTTCCGCACGCACATTTCGGAGCGAGCAGAATACACTCCCAACCCATGAGTCGACAGCATTCGCACGAAGAGGAGGATCCGTATATGGCACATAGGCACGCGAAGAGGAGTAGACCCGGGAGTCCTGTCAGTACTGCGCCCCCGAGTCCGACGTTCTCGCATCATGGCGATTCGGCGAGTCCGACGCCTGATCACACTCCCCTCGCTACACCTGCGCATTCACCGAGGTTGCACCCGATGGATGTGCATCTTCCCAGTATCCGCTCTCTGAGTCTTCGTCATCACCCTCCACCCCTCGCACCTCTCGAAGTCGATCCCAGCCATTACAATGGTATCAAGGATTTACACGAGGCGTCGATTGGATCGAGGCTTGGTGATATTCTTGAGAAGCATTCTGGTGCTGAGAGAAAGTTGCCGATTCCGAAGGTCAGTGTTGCGGAGTTACTGGGTACTGGCTCCAGGCCCAGTTCCAGACCGGGGAGTGGAGCGAACACGCCCGCTGGGGGTCGTTCGCCTTCGCTTTCTAGTGCTACGTTGGGTGGAACCCCGCCTACTTTGCCGTCTGCCGATCGGTTTTCTTAAAAAATATCATATCGAGATGCTGTTGATGTTGTTAATCTTTGAAGGGTGTGCTGTTTGGGATTGGGCTATAGAATTTTGGACGAGATGTCGGGCGTTGGGTTTTAATTGTGGTATCGATTTTTCTTTTTCTTTCTTCTTTCGACTGTTGACGTCGTTTTTGCTTCTTATTGGTTGTGATTGGGTTACTTATAGAAAATGGGGGGGAATGGGTGCCTTTAGTTTGAACACATGTATTGCCTTTTGATCTCTGTTCTGAAGTCCTCGTAAATGATCTAGACTATTCTTGTGAACTTCTCTTCAGCAACTCTTGAGTGTGGGAGTTACTCGCAATTCAAGCCATAGCTACAGCTGACCACAGCAAACGTCATACGATAAACACCTTTCTACCCTTTGATCTAGCTCAAGCTTTGCCAAACACCGCCTTAACAACCTTCGACGTCCCCTCATCATTTAAATGCCGTACATTGCTAGTCAACGCACCCAACAATTCCGCACTACGTTCGGTTGACGACGAACTCTGTAGTATTCTAGCTGCTTGTCTTGTCTGTAACCCAAACATTAGCACCAATCACCGCAAACGAGAAGAAAAGGAGAGCGGCACATACGTTAATAGGCGATGACCGATGGAACGCCCCTTCTGGATCAGTGTTGTCGTATAGGATGATCGAGGCTACCAGGGCGCTCGAGAGCTCGTTGTTTCCTTTCATGGTTCCGTCTAGCGCTGTCATGCACCCATTTGCGCACTCTCTCAACACTCCCACGACTTGTTGCCCCGTTCTGCTCCCACTTCTTCCATACTCCTCGCACGCCCGTATTAAAGTGTTAAGCATGATGTATGCCTGCCCACTCCACAACGCCAACGTATCTGCTAACTGATCTTGTTCGAGTGTTTGTTTCATCGTTGAGATTGAGGGTGTAGTGGAGGAGGCTGTTTGCGGGGGTGAGCGGGAGAGTGAGCGGCGGTAGAAGGAGAAGTCGTTTTGGAGTTGTGGACGGTTGAGCTTCAAGATATCGAATTCGACTGCCCAAGCAACCACCGACAACAAATATCGTGTTATCTTGGGGTTCTCTAGCATCGCCTGCGATGCGGGTGTAGATCGTGTTGAGGTCAGGTGTGAGAGGAGAAGTGAGAGTGCGGCGGGGAGCGCTTCGCTAAGTTTGTACGCGTCGCCGAGGATGAAAACGGAAGGTTGTACGGCAGTCCATGCCCGTTGGAACTTTTCTTCGTCTTTACCGTTTGAGATTGCGTCCCGTACAAGGTCGGTGTTGCCTGGGTACGCTCGTAAGTCTTGGAGGATTCGTGTTCGCTCGGCGAGGATTGGGGGTAATCGTGATAGGATGTCGGTTTCTGTTGGTGTTGGTTCTGGCAGTGTAACTGTACGGAATAATTAATCAACTGTCATGCTATTGCAATGGTGTAGGGACGTACCTAAGGTAAAGAGCTCAAGTAGGGGTGATGCGACCAACGGCGCGGCGGCTGGATCATCCCGTCGCGGGCTCTTGAAGAGGGACAGAATGATGCCCATGACGCGCAATAGGCTCTTGTATCGACTGCAAAGTTATGCGTATGGACCGTTAACCTGCCTTGGTGACGTTGTAGGCGACTTGACTATGCTCGCGGTCGCAACTCAATTGACCGCGTCGTGCAATTGCAAAGAAAGGTACTCCAAGCACTGGCAATATTCAGTTTCAGGTTCCTCGTTGAACCGCGATTGCAATTGAATTTGTCGACTTCTCGGTCTCGAGGATGTTGTTTGTCCCGTCGCGGCCAGGGCTCATCCCTTGCATCGCACAGGCGGTTGAGTAGCGGATCCGCGCACAACGTTGCAGGTAGGGAACCCGGGGATGGTATGGCTATGGGAAGGACTGAACATACCTGGAATGTTGTTGAATCGATTATAAGCAGTCAGGTTGTCCGGGGTGCTTCAATGGAGCCAATGCCTTAAGCTTACACTCTTTCATTCAAGTAAATGCGGACAACTCCATTACTACCCTAAAACTAAGCGAAGGTCAACCCAGCTCATTCTCACCCCCTAAAATCCCTCAACATATCCCCCAACCTCATCGCCCCCCTCTGCAACCCATCCCTCAACCCCTCCAAATCCTGCCCCGTAACCTCCGCAACCTTCCTCGCCAACCCCTCGAACCCGTCTCCACCACCCATTCCATTTACGTCCTCCTCCTCATCATCCTCCTCACGACCGAAGTATTGGTTGGATGAGATGCCGGTTGCGCCCGAGAAATCCCGAAGACGCGATTGAGCTTCGGCTGCGGAGGCGGGGTCATAGGTTCCTCGGCCAAAGTATTGGTCGCTGGAGATGGATTTTTGGTTTGCGAATTTGTCGCGGGCGGTTGTGGGGGCGTCGTCGCGGACTGCGGATGTGGAGCCGAAGCCGGTCATTTTCTTTGGTGCTGACGAAGCGGCGGGGCCGGTTGATGCTGTTTGTCCGAAACCGAGGCGGGCGAATTGGGGGACTGGGTTAGAGGAGGAGGAGGGTGGTGCCGAGGTAGTTGCTGACTTAACCACCGGCGCAGCGCTCGAGGCCTTAGCCTTCGCCGCGGCCTCCGCCGCCTCCTTTTGTCTCCTCTCCTCCTCCAATCGCTCCTGTTCCGCATCATACCCTAACTTCGTAATCCGCTCTGCCTCCTCCCTCGCCGCACGCTCCGCAGCCTCGAAATCAATCTCCGCACCAACCTTCTTCGCGCCCAATTTCTGAGTTTTCCTAGCTCCAATGCCGGCTCCGATTCCGGATTTACGTGCGCCGCCGAGGGTTGAGGGACGGAGTGCGGAGGAGGTTGTGGTGCGGGATGCGGCAGGGGCGGGGGAGGAAGATGTGGAGGATGGGGAGGCGGTACGGCCGATTACTGGGGGGGTGGCGGTACGTGATGGTGGAGGTGTTGGTTTGTGAACGATGGGCTTGTCCCATGAGGAGAAGAAGTCGTCCTCGTCTTCCTTGGAGGCTTCTGGTACGGCGATTTCTTCGTCGTGGAAGATATCTGGGTGGCTGTACGCAACCATTAGCACTGCGCGACATAACAGTCAGATTGCACCACGTACATTTTGCCGTCATGTGCGGCACGCTTCTTGATTTCCTCCTTGTATTGCACTGCTTGACGGCTCTGGTACTTCGCCTTTCCATCTGTGGACTGCAATGCAGAGGCACCGCCATTCTTGGTGAAGTATTCCGTAGCAGCTGCGTTTCCGCCGACTTTGAAGAGGCGGAGTTGATCGTAGGACCAGGTATCGAGGTTAGTCGATCGTACAAAGGAGATGTGGACACCGAGGTTACGGTGGACGGAGGAGCAGTCAAGACCTGAAGAACAGTGTTAGAAGTTGAGATAGGTGAGATTCAATGGCAACGTACAGAGATAGATTCCAAAGGGAACGGACGTCCATGTGGGGTTATTCGCGCCGCAATCGAAACAGACCTGTACCAGTGATCTCGGTCAGCAGGTGCTAATAAACGTCGCGGGATATCTGGTACCTTATTCGCCCTCTGAGCCTTCAGCTTCTCGAAGAACTTCAAGCTCTCCTGCTTTGTCGCTTGTCCGCTCATCGTACAATGGCCGAGGAATGGTCTTTGGAGGGTATGGTGGTGTTGTTGACCCGTGGCATGTGCGTGCGTGCCCTGCGCCCGCGTGCCGTGCACTGGCAATGACGGCTACCATAGAGGATAGAGGCAGTGCAACAAGCAGCATATACCCACGATCAATCTCGACCAATTTGTTGGGCATAGCAAGGATGAGTTCTCAATCTTCGCGGCTACAGAGCGTGCCCGAGTACGTCCTCCTTTTCTGCCCACAATTGCGCTGTGCGCAGCCAAGACCATTCACTGACAGGGGTCGTAAACAGGTTCATCGAGACAACACCAACCGAATCCCTCCAATCTCGCACAGACTCCCTCGCCTCCTTCGGCTCCCTTGGTCCCCCTGACCTCGTCCACCTCAACAAAATCCACCTCAAGTCCCAATTGCGACAAGGATCTTACCATTTCGTGAGCGGAGTCGATGCGTCGAGTTCTGCGTCCATTGCGGCGTATATGAACTTGTTGACGTATGATTTGGGACGGAGTGAGGGGTGGTTCTCGGGTGGGAAGCAGACTTGGAAGATCGAGAGTGGGACTTATTGGTATGTCACCGAACAACAAGCCCTATATGCTTGGGCGAGGCTGATTGAGTCACAGTTGTTACAATGCGTTCTCCCGCGTCGACCTTCGCGTAGATGTCAGAATACCTGGAAGCGTCGAATCCTATGCCGTGGACTCCCGTGGCCAAAAACTCGAAGCGACGGCGGATCTGTGGACAGAAGCTTACTTGTGCGGAGTCATCCGCGCCCTCCTCTACTCCGACGAAGAAGCCTACAAAATTGTTGGCTACCGCAAACTCAACCCGGTCGACGGCATCGAAGCCGAACAGAAGTTCCTCGATGTCGCCGAGAAGTTGTTTTTCAAGGCTTGGACGTTGGGAAGCGAGCCAGAAGTCCAGATCGCGAACTCGATTACGAATTATTTGGTTAGCGCTTTACTCAAGTACGGCGAGATGAGCGGACAGTATTCCTCCCTCGTAAACCTGTTCGAAAAACTCCGAACGCGGGATCCAGAAGTCGCAGCCCTCCTCGCAAAAACATACATTGACATGGACGAAGAAGTCCGCGCCATAAAACTCCTGCACGAGACTATGCAACAACTCCCGAACTCTCACCAACTCCTCAACGTACAAGCTCAATTCCTCGTCAAGAAGGACCGGCGTGACCTCGCTCTCCTCTGCGCAAAACGCGCGGTGAATAACGCACCGAGTGAGTTCACAACTTGGGCACGATTGACAGAGATTTATATCTCATTGGGCGACTACGAATCCGCACTCCTAACCCTCAACAGCTGTCCGATGTTCACCTACCACGAACGTGACGCCCACCGGATGCCACCCCCCGCCCGGCAACACATGCCCGTACCCTCCGAAACCCTCCTCGACGAACTCGCCGAGCGGGATCCGAAAGCAAACGAGGTCGCGGATGCGGCGTTGTTACGACTTCCGGCACCGGGGTTGCGGGGAACGTTCATGGGCGCTTATGGTTTATTGACGAAGTTGGTTGGGAAGATTGGATGGGATGAGTTGTTGAGGACGAGGAGTACGGTTTTCGTGATGGAGGAGGAGTATCGGCATCAAAAGGAGGAGCCGGCGCCTGGGGATAGTGGGGTAGGGGAGGGAGAAGGGGAGGGCGTGGGAGAGGGTGTAGAGAATGGGGAGGAAGGTGGATTTGTGCCCGGTATTCCTACGATTAATATCCACGAACCTACGGATGGAGAAGCGACACCAGAAAACGGCGAAGTCGCCGAGGAGAGCGGGAAAGACAAGAAATTGAAAAAGTCGCCCTTCCAGCACAAACGCCTTTGCGAACGCTGGCTCGACAACCTCTTCATGGTCCTCTACGAGGACCTTCGCGTCTACACCATCTGGCGCGCCGAAATCACCCATTTCCGCCAACAACAACTCACGTATCGCAAAACCGCTGCCGAATGGGAAATCTTGGGTGATTTGGCGGCGAGACTCCAGCATAGGCCGGAGAGTGTCGAGGCATATCAGAAGTGTTTGGAGACGAAGTATAGTCCGAAGGCGTGGAGAGCGTTGTTGCAGTGGCAGTTGGAGAGGGGGGAGTGGAATCGGGCTGTGGTTAGTGTGATGAAGTTGGCGGTGTGGAGTGCGAGGTGGTATACTGAGGTGAATTCAAAAACCACAGGAATCTGCTCGATCAATTGCTAATGTGTTTGTGTTTTTACAGTTCTCCCCCGATTTGATCCGAGCGTTCCGATTGATCGTTGCGGCGGAAGGAGCAACGAAGGTCAACAGTGTCCTCAGTGCGATGAATTTGCCGAAGGATATCCGGACGTTTCTCAACAATTGTGATTTGTCGAGGCAGTATAAGAGTGTTGGGCATGACATGTAGCAGCTCGAGCTTCGACAGTACAAATCTTGGGAGAGATCATTTTTATCAAATATACCAGATACATGTTTCTATTCCTTTTCTCTCATAGTCGGTCAACACGGGTCATTTTCGCCGAGACAAGCGGGTACATCTAAGCGGGTTGAGATCATCGCGCGCGCATGCCGCAAGGGATATCGACATAGGTGCCGATTGCACCGAGTCCCTTATTACGAGTCAAGTACACCGCTGAATTCCACAAAGAACCGTCGGAAGGCCAAGAGAACGATAGAGAAGACAACAAATTAGACAGCATTCATCCAGCATACATTCAACCAAATGCGTCTCCGCGTCCGTGTTGGTGCTGACCTTCACTCCCTCGAGGTTGCACATGTGAATGACGAGACGAAGCCGACTGAGATTGACTCTGAGCATTTTGTCGGTCGCATCTTTGTCAGGATACGAGATTTCGGTATGCCTGTATCCATCTGTTTATCACAAGACGTAATACTGACAACCCGCATACAGAAGGAGTAGCTCCCCAAGGCTGCCAGCCCGTTCGCACGTCCGAATACTTCAACGGACGGAGTAGGAAGTTCCATATTCAGGTCGAGGGAAGGTTTAAGGGTGGTCCGTATAACGGAGACCAAGTGTACGTTAAACTCTACCTCCCTATATCCAAAGTCGACAGCTGACAAGGATTCCACAGGTGGTTCGGAACGCAGTTCGAAAAGATGGTCGCGATTCCGGAGCTGGCTTTTAACGCTGGTATGAAGGTCGCGAAGTATATCGACCCGGCCGTGTTCTACGAGAAGAAGGCTCCTCATCCATACGTCATGGTAGGTAGTCATTCTAAGCTACTTTCTTTGGAGGTGCTGACGAACCGCTTACAGTCCCCTTACCTCGCCTCGGTCAACACGCTCTCAGCATGGCCAGCTCCTCATAGAGAAGACCAGGCTGTAGTTGGACATCGACAATCAGCTGGTTTGGCAGAGTCAGACGACGAATATTGTTCCTCCGAGTCAGAAGAGGAGGATCTACCAACTACTCCGCCCCAGCCGAAGGCTCTCTCCGCACTCCCCGCGCATATGCAGAAAACGGACCTCGCGCGACCAGGGATGTCCCCGTCGTTTTACTCATTTAAGGGGTTCAGAGACGACCCTAAGTACAAGCGGGTTGTCTCTCCTACGTCTACGTCGGGATCGGGATCAAGCACCCCCATCACGCCCACGGAATGGACAGGTACTTTGGGTATGCACCAGAGGCCGGAGGAGCTAAGTCAGCTACCACCTTTCGAATTCGATTTCGACAGTGACGAGGAGGATGATACAGCATCATTCTTCACTGCCCGCGAAGGACCGGAGGAGGATCCCTTTGACGACGTTGTCGTGAGAACGTCGAGAGCGAGGGCGCCTTCTGTTCCCGCCGGGCCGGAAGATGAAGACGTCGTTATAGATGCGGTTGTGGCGGACGACACATCCATCAATGAAGGTGTGCATGAGCACAAAAAGCACCACTACCACATCCACCCGAAGAAGTCCGCGAAGAAGATCGCGAGGAAGTTGCACCTGATGAAACCAAAGGATCCTAACAAGGAAAAACACAAGGACGGGTCGAGTACGCCGGAGTCGCATACACCTGATGAGACACCGAGTCATTCGCCGAGACGAAGTTTGAGTTTGAAGAAGAAGGATAAGTCTGAGAAGACCAGTCCTCGGAACAGCGAGGATACGACTCGTTCAGGGCAGAGTACTCCCTCCACGGTCGTCGGTCCCCGAAGCAGTATGCACCTCCCCGCCACCGCCCGCGTAACGTCACCGCTTGCCGGACAACCTACTGAAGCACAAGTCCATGCTTCGAACTCATTCATCTCGACGCATCCCGGATCCTCGAGGAGTTTGTTGCAGATTGCGGAGCAGGCTCATCAGGCGCAGGTGTTGAGGGAGGATTCGAGGAAGGATTCAGGGTTGGGACTGATTAATGAAAATTTCAGAAAAGATGGGGATGAGATCCCGGAAACGGGAGTGAGGAAGGCGAAGACTGAGCCCATGGGTGAACCTTTAGGACTTCCGGGTCAGGTGGAAGGGCAAGGGTTGGTGACGCAGACTTCGATGCCCGTTGGTGGGGTCACGCAATGGTCAGGTGAGCCGCAGATTGTGAGTGGGGTTCAGAACATGACTACTGCGTCGCCTGAGCCGATGCCCGTGGCACCAGTCAAGGAACGACACCACCACCACAAACACAGCCACGAGCACCGGCACAAGTCATCTACGCCTAAATCCCCGCCGCCGCCTGATGATGGTTTGTCGCATAAATTCGACAGGGAACTCGGACCATGGAAGTTTAGGGATCCGAAGGTGGAGCCGATTGAGGATGCAGGGTTTGTCGGAGCTGATTTGCATACGGTGAAGGAGAGAAGGAAGTACTTTGCCGGCAGTGTGGAGAATCGGAAGAAGTTTGTGTTTGATCCGGATGTGGTTTACTGCGTACGTTGCCTTAACCCCCTTGCCAGTCACACCATACTAACATGAGACCCATAGATGTCCTTCTTCAGCCCACACATGAACTTCAACACATTCGATCTGAAAATCGGTCCAGTAAGTATCAACGTCCATAAATATTTGCAGGGAATGCCGGTGACGTATATGTGTCGTCACAGCGATGATGAGAATCTTGTCTTTTGGGTTGTGGAGTTTGATTTGGTTGATTAGGTATGGCCACGAGTAATGCGCGCGAGCCTGCAGCCGAGCGTCGATTTCTTTGTACGATATTGTGGGAGTTTTGGGCGCTTAAGCTTCATGGTGCTTTTTATGGGTTTCATGGGGATACGTACACGGCAAAAGCGTAAGATAGGTTTTGTTGAGCTTAATGATATGTTCGTAATTGCACTTGCTTGGAAACTCGCTTAAAAGTCGTCAAGGGGGTTCCGTTGAGTCGTGTCGAATGTTCAAAAGATCTCACGGTCACGTGCCTTTTGCACGTTTGCACTCTGCTGAGGAATCATTTCACAAGCAGAACAAGCTTGCAGACGACCTATATTTTTGACAAGTCATATGACGGCACTGTTAAATCGCTCGAGCGAGCTTTGCTTTGCTCACGTGCCTCCACGTAGTGGTGCTTTCGGCCCGTTTTCCAGCGGACCTGCGGCAACAACTTCACGGCCAAGTTACTCATCAAAGAGCGGATCGCTACAACTTGTCCGCACGGCCACCCGCTTTTTAACCTTTGGCTTTTGCGTATGCCGTCTCATCATAACATGCGTGCTTTTATGGTTGCAGGTAATGACAACCAATGACATGCAATCTGAGAAGGTGCCCATTCGTTGCCAGAGAGGTGTACGCAGCACAGCGTACCGAGTGCTGAGTCTCTAGGAAGCGTCGTCTTTATTTGTGCGATCAAGATGGGATGATGAAAATCCTTCGCAACTCCTAGCGCCTAGCGTCTTCGCCGTTAGGGCCAACGTGGGAACCAATTGCAGGCTCGCGACCGTCGTTCGTAGCAGGCACCGCCACGATATTTCAGAATGCCGGGGGTCCCCTCTTTTTTATAAGCTCGACCTTGTGTCAAGAAGTGGGGTATTTGCGTCATGTGTACACCAGCGGACCGGTTGACCATGCGGTAGAAGGCGGCTGGAACGCGAGCCGAAATGAATGCCTACGGCAAGGGTCAGGAAACGAGCGTGAGAGCAAATCAATCATCTTGGTTTTAACAGTAGCCTATCTTACAAAACACATGAAAACCTATCGTAGCAAACGTCCGCCATCAAAAAAAACCTTACATCTTCCCCTTCGGTCCACCAATGAGATCACCAATGCTGGCAGCCTTCATCATGTTACCTTTAATCTTAATCTTTCCGCTCATGAACAACTTCTGCGCATTCGCCTTGCCGGTAGCGAGGTCAACCAAGGTCTTATCCGCGACGGAAATGGTCACGTCAGCCTTAGGAGCCTTCCCTGCAGCGACCTTTCCGGTTTCCTTGGCGTCAATGTACCACGACTGGATCTTGCCCTCGTCGTTCTTGATGTCGAATTGGAAAACAGCAGCGGCCTTCTTCAGCTTCGCATCCTTTTCCTTCTTGGAAGCGGAATCCAACTGCTTCTTCGCGGTGCTGAAAACCTTGCTGGCCATGAATCCAGGAACTTCGACTTCGCCCTCCTTGACCTCGGCTTGCTTGGTCTCCTTCTTGACCTCGGAGGGATCAAACAACTCAACGGCAGCGGACGAGATACAGACAGTGTTCCTCTCGACAACCTTGGTCGTGAAGATGACCTTGTTTCCTTCCTTCCACATCTCGGTACGGAGAGTCTCGCCAGGGTAGACAACACCAGCGAAACGAACCTTGATGTTCTTGTACGGACCGAACTTCTGGTAGATGTGCTTTCCAGAGAACCCAAAGAAACAAAGGCCGTGCAAGATAGGATCCTTGAACCCACCTACAGAAGCGAAGCTAGGATCGATGTGGAGTGGGTTGAAATCACCCGACAAACGATAAACCGCAGCCTGATCCGGACTGGTCTTCTCCTCAACCACGGCATCAGGCGCACGACCCGGCGGCTTGTTCTCCGCCGTCGCAGCACCACGGTTTGCACCCTTACTCTTCCCACCGAACCCACCCGAGCCACGGATGAAAGTCGTACTCTGATTCTCGAACACAACCTCACCCGTCTTCGCGTCCTTGGTGGTCGTAGCGACAACAACCGTCGCAGCCTTACCCTTGTCGACAACCTCCAAGATACGGGGCTCAGTGACGAGCTCGCCACTTGTCGGGATAGGGAACTTCTTGATCTCCAAGAATTGCTCACCGTGAAGCAACATCCTCGGGTCGAACTTGGGCAAAAAGTCACCGGGGCTGAGACCAGCACCGAATTGAGGGATGACACCAAAGGTGGGCAAGACCTCGAAATCATCAGAACCTTCGAAAGTCCACTTGAGGTCAGTGCGCTTAGCCCCGATACCGAGGTTGTACAAAATGAGCGTCTTCTCATCAAACTTGTAATGATGCGGCTGCCCCTTCAAGGCCAGCGCCTTCTTCGTAACCTCATCCTGCGCATCCCCACCCGTACTTGCACCTACTCCACTCGCGCCACCCTTTCCACCCGTGTTCGACATATTCTCCAAAATAGCCCTTACACCCTCATCCGGCGCATCAGGCCACGTCGCCTTCTCATCAAACACGCAAATCCTCTCCCACGCCTCCGCGACCATCTCCGGCGTCAACCCCCCATCAACAGGGAACGCAACGCCTCCCGTACGCTGCCAACGAACCCTACCCATCCATCCGCTTCCGACTTCAAAGTGATACCCGGTACAAGGGACAGAAGCGTGGGAGAGCGCGGCAACGAAGGGGGCGACGTATTCGGGTTTGAACGCCTCTACAAGCTCGAGTGGGAGGATGGTTTTGGTCATTGCGGTACCAGCGTTGGGCGCGATACAGTTCACCAAGATGTTGTTCTTCTTGCCCTCACGAGCAAGGGCTTTGGAGAACCCGAGGATAGCGGCCTTTGCGGTAGAGTAGTTCGCCTGTCCGAAGTTTCCGTAAAGTCCAACAGCGGAAGCAGTGTTCACGATACGTCCATACTTCTGCTTCAACATATGGGGCCAAGCAGCTTTAGTGACCTTGTACGTTCCACGGAGATGGACTGCCTGTACTTCATCCCACTGCTTATCCGTCAGCGAGGCAAAAGATTTGTCGCGGAGGATTCCGGCGTTGTTGATTACGACGTGAATCGCACCAAAGTTATCCAGACAAGTCTTGATGACGGCTTCGCCGTCTTCGACGGAGTGCTTGTCACCGGCGGCTTGGCCGCCCTTTGCCTGGATTTCAGAAACGGTCTTGGAGGGGTCCATGACGTCGTTTACCACGACCTTGGCGCCGAGTTTGGCGAACTGGACAGCGTACGCACGACCAAGTCCACCCCCTGCGCCGGTGACAAGGACAACCTTGTCTTTGAAGTCGACAGGCTCCTTGCTTTGTGCGTTCGGAGGAAGTTTCTGAGCGGATTCGAGCATGCCGACGTAGTCGATGTCGGTGATGGAATCGGGGTATGTTGGGTTTTTAAAGTCGGTGACTTGGTCCCACTTGGCCAAGACGGCGCTCGGGGTGAGAGTCTCGTCTGTCTTGAGAAGAGCTCCAGAAGCGCGTTCCCAACGAAGTTTGGACAAGAATCCAGCACCACCCTCGAAGACCTGTCCAGACTCGGAGCAGGAGTCATGAACGAGGTACGCAACAAGCGGAACAATCCAGTCAGGCTTAAGGTTTGCAAGGACCTCAGGCGGCATGACAGTCTCCGTCATCCTCGACGCAGCAATCGGCGCAATCGCATTACAATTGATGTTATACTTGGCCCCCTCCTTCGCCAACGTCTTCGAAAACGCAACTAACCCCAACTTCGCCGCCGAATAATTCGTCTGCCCAAAACTCCCATACAACCCCGCCGCACTCGTCGTGTTGATAATGCGTCCGTATTTCTGTTTACGGAAGATTGGCCACGCGGCTTTTGCGCATTTGTAGGAGCCGCGGACGTGGACGGTTTGGATGAGGTCCCAGTCTGCGTCCTTCATGTTGCGGAAGGAGACGTCGCGGAGGATGCCGGCGTTGTTGATGAGGATGTGGATGGAGCCGTAGGTGTCGAGGGCGGTTTGGATGATGCGGTCGCCGTTGTCGACTGAGTCGTAGTTGGCTACTGCCTTACCTCCTGCCTTGACAATCTCTGTATATCCAATTAGCGACATTCATGAGATGTCAATCCGAGTTCGATATACCTTCGACAACGACATCAGCGGCCTTCGCATTCCTCCCCTCCCCCTTCGCCGTGACACCAAGATCATTCACAACGACATTCGCTCCTCTACTCCCGAAAAACTTGGCATAAGCACGACCGAGGCCACCTCCCTACACGCATTCATTAGCATACATCCCGGGATAACGACATTCTCAGGGTCGATTGGCACGTACGGCACCGGTAACGACGACGGTCTTGCCGTCAAAGCGTAGTTCTGACATGGTTGACTGTATGGAGATGGAGGTTAGGGGGTGAGATGAGAGGAGAGGGGACCCCTTATAGCATTGCTGAAGTCACATGCATGCGTCGGTCTGGGAGCGGCTGCGGGGTTTCGGCATCGACGGAGGCATGTGAAAGAGGCAGCCTGGACGAGCTCATTCTCAAGATACCAGCTACATTACCAGGCTTGGTTTGTTTTTGCATAACGTTTTTAAAAATCATAATCAAAACAGGTGTACTCAACTGGTTAATTTTCGATCAACCCCACGAATCTGTGGTCCTGCACGGTACCTCTCGTCCAACCGATATATCGGAACATCACCAAGAACCACCTCCATACACAAACTCAGAATGTACTCATCTGTCTCCGTACGTCTCTCCCCCATTATTTCCTACCTGCACCCCCCCAGCGCTGCTCCCCCGGGATCCCCGTCTTGAACGTTTTTGCTGACGATGTGTTCATAGCCCATCCCCTCCGGGTACGGACCCCGTTACGGAGCTCAGCCGCATTTCTTGAAGATGACCCCCGAGAAGTTCGGCCGATGGGCTCCTTCCTTGGTCGCATGGGGTGCTACTGCTGGTGTTGCTGCTATCTTCCTTTTGTCTGGTCTTCCTAGGATGAAGAGGGATGTTTTGCAGAAGGTTCCCTGTAAGTGTCCTGCGTGCCGTGATGGAATGAATGCTAATGGGCTGGAATAGTCGTCGGTGGTTACTTCATCAACGAGATCCCTGCTTCTGACTCTCCTTTCTAAGCGAGTTGTTCGGGGATGAGAAAATGGACGATACTACGATTGGATGGGGAGTGTTGATATACTATAATAAACAAAGCGCCGAAGCGACCTTTCAAACGCCTTTTGAACCGATCATTGTGATTGCTTTGGGGCTGTGAACGACGTCGGTGGCAAGAACCCGGCGATCCGGAACACTTGTTACGAAGAAACACTGACACCGACTCAGCCAAAAACTACGGTCGGGACTGGTTGCTGCGATGTACTATCACTTCCTGTCGATGCTCTGGACTTCTTGATCGGGGACCACGTTTCGTGATATGCTGTGTCCACTGACCATCTGCGAATTTCGACAGCTCATACGGATGTCAATGCACACATAACGCCTTTCACGAGGCTCCACTGCCCTTCTCATCAGCTTTGCCGATGCTTACGGCTATGAAACCCTTAAAAATTGAGCGGCTCGTCAAGGTTTCTTACTGATGCGACCCATGCGTGGCAAAATCCATCAGAGCCACTCATGGCCGCCAACCCCGACTGCAAAGTATTAATTGTATAACCATAATCATCCTGACTTCGTATCACAGTCCATTGATCATCCACCTTGTCCGTGTCCTGACGTCCTTGGCCCCTTTCTATGCCGGCCCTGGCGCACGCCACACTCTATCCAGGATGTACGTGAGTCCGTATGGAACACAGCCAAGCAGAACCTCCCAGATCAAGCACGACATCACCAGCACCTTTCCATATCTACCTAACGACGAGACAATCATCATCAATAGCATTTATCACCAACAAACTCCACGTTGACGGACTCAAAGGCATACAAACATAACCGCCTCACCTGGGCCACAACCTCCTCCTTCACCCTCCGCTCCTCCACAACCACCGCCAGCGGTTCCGGCTCCGCAGTACGAGGGCATATGCCATTCTTCAGCTCCCTTCGTCGGTCGGCTAACTCGTCTTGCGACTCCCACTCATCCTCTTGCAGTGAAGAAAAATCGAGACGGATCGATGAACAACTTCGACAACTTCAGCGAGAGATACCAGATGCGGATCCGGAGTATTTGAGGTGGTCCTTGAGCTTTTATGATGGGAAGCTTGAGGGGGATGCGGATGTTGTGGAGAGGGTCAGGGAGAAGATTATGGTGCATAATCGGGGGGAGTATACGAAGGTCCTTCCATACCTCCTCGTGATTTATAAAAGCACAAGCTGATGGGAGTACAGGAATCGAACGCAACCATCGATTTACGGAAAAACACGTTGATGGATACCCTGAACGAGCTCTTCCCGGATACGCCTGTGCAAGCGTTGCGGGATGTAATCAATGCAGCTCCGGCATACACTATGGCACACGCCCTCGTCGAAGAACTGCTCCGCCCAACCTCTTCCTCTATGACCACTGAGAACGGCAAGAAACCCGCGATCATCCGACGTAGGGGTCATATCCCTCCCACTGCTCGCTTCCGAAGCGAGAACTACCTCAAAGCATGTGAAGCAGAGTTACGGCGTGAGTTTCCTGATATCCACGTCACGAGTATCCGTGCTGTCATGGCCGAATGCAATGGATCGTGGACGTTGAGTCGGGAACGATTGAGCGTTTTGGACAAGACTCGGAGTGGAATTTGGAGGAGCTTGGTCAACGTTTTCACCCGTAAGAGGGCACGATCGAGATCGAACTCTGCTGCGGCGGGTGCGTTGACGTGTCCGGAACTGGAGGCGGAGATGTGGGATGCGAGGAAGGATGAGCGTGAAGCACTTGTCGTGACAGATGAACAACTGGCACGGACGTTGAATGAGGAAGAGTATGAGAAGAAAGGCGAGCTGGTTGAATGTGGATGCTGTTTCGGGGATTATGCATGGGAAGACCTGGCAAGCTGCAGTGACGGCCATCTGTTCTGCCATGACTGTTTGAAGAATACATTCAAGGAGGGCATTCTGGGGCAGGGAAGTCTACGAGGATCTCCGACAGTGCCGTGTATTTCCCTTTCCGGCGGAGACGTCTGCAATGCCTATATTCCTTGGGACACAATCGACAGAGTGGTGGATCCCGAGTTGCGGCGTATGCATGCAGAGAGTGTCGTGAGGGAGCAACTGGAGAGAAGTGGTGTTAGGGTAGTGCGGTGTTCGTTTTGTCCTTACGCGGAGGTTGAGGAGGTATGGTGGAGTGTTGTTGCGGCATGGAACGGAATGCAAGGCAGTGAGCTGTTGGCCGCATTGGCTCTGTTGCCGATCCTGGTTCTGGGACTCGCGGTGGTTCTGTTGTATGCAACGGCGAGTGTGTTGATACAGTGCAAGAACCCAGCAGTCTACGTGCGTGATGCGAGAAGGAAAGTCCATGCAAAATGCCTGGATATCGGCATCCAAATCCGCCGCAAACGAAACGGAAGCCGGTTCAGATGCCAAAATAGCGATTGCAGCCGAGACTCGTGTCTTGAGTGCGGTCGGGAATGGTTCCCCTTCCACCGCTGTTTTGAAGAAGAAGGCGACGGTCTCCGTCTCTACGTCGAGAAAGCCATGGCAGACGCCGTGAAGCGCACCTGCCCAATCTGCCAAGTCTCGTTCGTCAAGTCTGATGGATGCAATAAACTCGTGTGCCCATGTGGATATGCGATGTGTTATGTGTGTCGACAGGATATTAGAGAAGAGAGCTACGCTCATTTCTGTGATCATTTCCGACCGGTGCCGGGGATGCCGTGTGAGGAGTGCCAAAAATGCAATTTATACGTTGTGGAGGATGAGGGAATCGCTGTCAAGGAAGCGGCGGAGAGAGCGAGAAAGGAGTGGTTGGTGCAACATCAGAATTTCCGAGAAGAGATATACAAGGGAGCCGTCAAGGGCGATATTGGCCCCCCCGGCTTGTTGGATAATCGTTCGGATGGATGGGATATGGATCAGATTCTGGAGGATATATTGGGTTATTTCTTGGTGTATTGATATTGCGGCGTCTTGTTTCTCATGTTTCGGAGTTTATGAGCACACTCATTTGGATACGGTTTAGTTAGGTTCTGGGTCGTTCTTTCTCAAGTTAAAGCATTCTAAATTATATCATCGTCTTTCTGCTGGTCGTTTTGCAGCACTTTCACACATCCTTGACATTCACTACCCTAAACGTAACAAAAAAGTGCAGTACTCCACACCGATCCCAACCACAAAACCCAATAAATACTACACAAAGCAATCGCAACATTGTCCACTTGCAAAGCAAAAAAGAGTCTAGAACACACCCCACCTCCATGCTCCATGCCATCTCCTACCTACTTGGCATACAAAACGACCTTCGGTCCACTTTGTCTCAGTGCAAAACCCAGATCCTCATCGTCCCTCAACTCCAACAGCTCACCCGCGTTCTCATCCTTCCACCGCACGCTTTGTACACCGCCTAATCTATCACGCAGCTTATCGCTCAGCGCCTGGAAAGTAACGTCCCTGGGTACTCTAATCGCAATCAAATCATCGTTGAAGAACACCTTGATCTTGATATACGGCGGTGGTGCACCACTACTTCCAGCAATCGATGTCGTCGATGCCGACGCAGGCGTCTGTAACCGTGATGGATTCGACGAGTCACCGCTCACTGTCGTAGCAGTCGTCATCGCGCTCCAATTTCTCGCCATGGGTGCAGGTGGTGGTGGCATCATGTTCTTATCCGCCGCTGCTGCAGGAGCAACAGGCGGTAATGCCTCCTGCACGCTCGCCATATTCATCGAATTCGAAGGACTTCGCGATGGTTGTGGAGGGACAGGTGGTAGTGCACCCGTAGACGACGGCAAAGGTGTTTCAGCATTCGATGTTCGGGAGTAATGTGATCGATCACTGCTGCGGTGCGAGGTCTTGCTTGTCCGGTTACCTTGTGCGTTCGGGACCGCAAGCTGTCGATATGCCGGTTGGGGGATGAGGTTTGTTGCATGTGTGCTTTCCACGTCACCTTCGCGTGCCTCGAAGAATGTCTTGATGATGTCGCCTTGTAGGATATATCGTGGTAGTCTGCAGAGCTCCTGCACGTAGACGTCAAGATCCGCTTGTCGCTGGGAGGAAATGGAGTCGTCAACAAACGACAGTGGTCCAGGCATGAACGGCAGAATTCTCTCATCGCCGTTCTTGCCTGCTTCCGTGGGGAAGCCCTCAAGCAATGATAACTGGAAGTCGTGGAAGTCCTCGTAGTATCTGCACAGGTTCCTGTGTCGACCATCCTCCATTTCTGCCTTGATAAGGAACCAATACCGTGATCCATCAAACATATATCTCTCCACTTTCGCCCCAACGACCGGCAAACTCGCCACCTCCGCCTTCGCGCTCGTCGGTCTACTATCCTGCGCCGAATTCTGCGAACCCTGAATAGATGACCCCGTCGGTGGTCGATTCTGGTTCTGATTGGAAAAGTTGAACGATCCAAGAGGGATACTCTTCTCCTTATATTCTGCCGTCATCTTCTTCCACTCTTCCACTCGTGGTACACCTGCTCGGCTAACCAATTCCTCCACGTTCTCGATTGGCTGACCCGTGGTGACATCCCGAATTTCGATGAAACTGACTGGAATCAATCCTGGTCCACCTAATCGTCCGATTGGCTTCGCGACGAACCACTCGTGATTAGACTGTGCAATGACAATGATTGCTTCACCCGCCTTTGCATCCAGTTCGTCGGGTCGCTCGGCCGCAAAGTCGTACTGCACGATACCATACAACGGCGCCATCTTGGTGGTTGACGATGTCGAGGAATATCTCTGTTTCGCAGCATTCCCATCTTCCCTGAACCCCGAATCGCTATCCCTCGCTCCAGGAGGCGCCTGCAACGGTCCACTCCTTCTCCCATCCGTCTTCCCAAGCACTTCAAAGTATGGTACCGGCACAAATCCTCTCGTATCCGTTGCCGGGTTGCATGCCTCATACCAATCCGCGTCGTTTTCATTGCCAATTACATGAAAGAAATCGCCCTTCTTGAAACCGAGCTCCTGGGTGGATTGGGGAGTGTAGTCATAGAGCGCGCGAATGACCTTCTTCGGGATGAGGAGTTTCTTCGAGGTAGAGCTGGTATTATTGGAGTCGCGTTTATCTCCGCCGTTTGATGAGGAGGTGGACCCGGTCTTGAGTGATCTTCGAATATTCTGCGGAGCGAAAGGTCAGCACGAGGAACCACAAGCAATGATGCCGAATGTATGCGCACCTTAATCATTTTGCTAGGTTATGGCGAAATGCGAACTTCACAGCGTATCTGAAAGACCCTGAACTCCGGGGACAACGTTGATTGAAGCGGGGAACGCGAGGCGTATCTGCCAAATGAAAGGCCAGAAACCAGCAAAGGAATGTCACGACAATCGAAGGCTCTAAGGTCCAAACAGCCAAGGCGAAATTGCGTATGGAATCTCTTGGTGTTTATGCTGATCGTTCGCGGGTCTGCCAGGGGCCTGCGGGCTTGGAATTGGCTGCAGCTCCGCTATATAACAATGGGCGTACAACCGAAAAATGTTCTACGAGGTTGACGCCGTGGAATTCGATGAGTTCGAATGAAACAAATACCGTCGAGCAGTTCTCGGGATTGCTCGTATTGCAGCTGGTTACGGGCCGCAATGGGAGCGCTCAGCCAGGGAGCCGGGGTGCAAATTGAGACAATGGAGTCTTTCCGCGCCACGTTCGTTCTGCCGCGATACCGACGATCGTTACGAGAAGTCAAAAAGCTTATTCCTGATCATGTCTTCTGACCTCAGGAATTTAATCGCTGCTCAATGTCAGCGTTTGGCGGCATTTTCTTGTGATGAATGCGTTGTGTTTGCAACCTTAGCGGCCGGTCACCGCTATATATCTCCGTTCGCACGACATCTGACGCACAGACAGCGTTGGCAATGTCATCTACGGATTTGTCATCAATGCTGACAATATCAACCCTAGTCTCTTGTGTGTCTAGGTGCTTTGGGCTATGGTAGACGAGGGTCATCGGGTGTAGAGGTCATATGGCCTTGGCAGTATACTGTATGATGCTTTCGGGACAGTATGATCTGGGATGATTGGTAACGTAATTCCAATACATAACCTAACAATACGCCATTCATGCCTTCCCAATTACCCTACAACATGCACAACGAAAAACAAACAAATCACAACTTACGTGCTTCACTTTTACACCTTCACCTCAAATTTGACCCTTAATGTCGACAACCTTGAACGCCCGCGCCCTCGCATTCTCCAGCGGCTGCATACTCTCCCTCATCTGCACCCTCCACTTCCCAGCATTGGCACCTTCCCGAAGGATTTGTTGTTGAACGCCTTGCGCCTCCAAAAACTGTACAGTCTCGACATCATTCTCGAACCCAAGTTCTTCCGTAATGAACCTCACATCAAGCGTAGGGCGATATCTGTCACAAATACTCCCGATTAGTCCATGTCATCATGAGAAGGGGTAAGATGGCAACTCACGATTTAGCCATAACACACAATGCTCGTACTCGTTCCCGCTCAACAAAGTTATCCATAAGGTATGCGCCCATGTTCGGAACATCCATATACAATCTGAACAATTTGCGATAATTCCCACTCGTCAACGCTTTCCTAACACCAAGTGCATGTCGCACGTTCGGATCCTTCTTATCCTCCTCCGTGAGCCGTGTGAGGACATCATTGACCTCCGTCCGGCTGCGGGCATACAAAAAGTACAAGATCCGGTACGCCAAAAACTCTGTCGGGTGCCCGTCGATACCAAGTGCGTACAATTGCTGAAGCTGCGTCTGACACTGATTATACTCCCCCAGATCCCCCTTCTCAAGCGCAATCCTCGCATGCGTCTCATACACACTCACGCTAAACCCATTCCGAATCCGCTGCACAGTCAAATCTTGTCGCATACTCTTAAACTGATCGCATACATATGAGTAGTTATTGTCTTTGCGCCACTTTGCTTTTACCAATTCGAGCGCGTCTTTCAGGATGTGGAGGGGGCGGACGGTGGAAGGGTCCGGTGCGGAGGTAAGGCGGAGATACTTCTTTTCGAGGGTGGTGGAGTAGCCGATGATGGTGTGCTGGTCCCAGTCGATGCCATCGGCTTCGTAGTCTGTGGCGGTGGGAGGAGGAGGGACTGCAGCGGCGGTTTTTGCGCGTTCGGCGGCGGCTTCTTCTTCGAATCTCCGAGCACGTTTTTCGCGTCTGTCGCGTTCGCCTGGATTCATTAGCCCGATACTCTTGTCGTTCATATTTTGTCCCTTCTTCCTCTTCTTGTCTGCATCTTTCTTTTTTCTCCCTTCCAAGCATGGAACAGTCTTCAAATCCCAATTTGTCGTCCAAACGATATTCTGTTCGAATGCTGAGGTAACAATATCCTTTACTTCGCGCTCGAGTACATGCTTCAAATCATCTGGGCATTCGGAAAAGGCGCGGTTGACGAAAGCTTTTAGGGATTCGGGCCATTCGGTTTTGCCTGCTGAAGGGGGCGAGGAGGCCTGGGTAGTAGGTAAGGAGACGACATTACCAGGCTTGGGTTTCGATATGGTCTTTTTGGCATTTACGGCCGTGAACGCCGGTTCTATCCCGAAGTTAGCGTGCATATACTTGATTCAGAAAGAGAGATCACGTACGGAAAGCAGGCATGACAACACCCCCGGCAGCTTGCGCGTAACACAAAGGCGGCGGCGGCGGCGGTAAGCTGGAACTATAAGGCACCGTAGCCGACACGAAACTCTGCTCCAAAGTCGGATATGTCCCCACACTAACCGGTGGAGGCGGCGGCGGCGGAAGGTGTGGATAATGCTGCGCGAACCAAGCAGGGAGTTGTTCCGGAGGGATGTGTAGAGGGATAACCGGTGGTGGCGGGACCGAGATTGAGGATGGGTTAGTAGTAGTAGTGGAGGGGTAGGAGGAAGAAGAGCCGGGGATGGGGGGGATGAGTTGTGGGACAGTGTGGGGCGGGAGGGGGAGGTTATTTCCTAGAGACCTTTAACAGGGTTAGCAGGATGAAATGGTACAAGAGACGGTAAGACGCATACCACGATGGAGGAGGGTTGGCCATATTTGAGTCGAGTTGGAAAGTTGGAAGTTGATTTCGCTGCAACGGCGCTGCAGCAAGACGTACAGTGCAATCCTGCATGGTCCCGTTCTACGGGACACCGCCGCCGAAGCGCTACACCTGGTTTCTAAGCCTAACGATTCCCGTGACCCGTTTGCTCTTCGTTCAACGTGCTAGAATTACACTTTATTCGGGCTCGTCTAAAAATCTCAATCTACCGTGATCGAACTTCTTCAGACGAGGCAGACGCTTGTCGTCGCTCAGCCTCAGTGCATTCAACATAGTATGCAAGATTATAATCATAGGACTGCGTGAGGTCCGTCCATCGCAACCGTTTTTCTTCCTCCCACAAACTTGTTATGTCCCCGTGCCACGCCCTGCTTACGCGACTGCATAGTACGAGGATGTACAAACCATCATCCAATCTGGCATCGTAGCTAGCTGCCCAGTCGTCGAAATCGCCGAAATCTTCGATGACTTCTTCGACTTCGGGGAAACTTGTGCTAGACGGCTACTTGGACCTAGCCGAAGATCTCGTTATGGATCTCGGGGATGGAGAGGGCGCGTTCGGTCGCGGTCATTGCTCGTTCTGTCTCCATAGCTACATCCAGGATTGTTTGATCCCAGTGGGTTCGGCTCAATCCTATAGCAAGACAGGTGTTCACGTCTTTTTCAATAAAACCATTTTTGTGACTCATGTCGACCTCGGAACTCATCCGACATTCATTTGCGAGGGAACTAGCGCATACACTCCACTCCTTTAGACCTGACTGAAATAGCCGAGTCGTAGGTCCCTAAGCCGAGCTGCTGCGTTCTACGGGCATCAGCGCTACAGCGGGCTACCGGCCTCCCGGCCGCGGGGTGGTAAGGGACCTCTACGATCTCCTCCTTGGACTCTCTAGATCTTAGAGGGATGATATAGCCGTAGAATCATGGCATCTTATTTTGGCTCGTCTGAGTCTACCACTTCTTCACAATCAACCTTCTTCAATCGAGGAAGCCATTCGGCCATACGATACAGCGCCTTCTTACTCAATACTGCTTCTCCAATACTTTTAAAACTCAACTCTTCCACATTGGGAAACAGAACCTAACGCACACAAATTAGCCATGCTCCACGTCTTACTCTGAGTGTGTCATTCATTGCAACTGACCGGAAGTTGCTCAAATATGTCGCTGTCATTGATATTGTTCTCTCTGAGTGGGTCTCTCCTCATCTTCCATCGGTTCCAATTACCCTTTAAGATTCATATGCACTTTAGGCTTCCCGATGATATCAAGCAAATCTTACATTAAGCAAACCCGCAAATGCATGTCTCACTCTAAAGCCGCGGCCGTATCCCAATTCAGGGAGATCCTCGATCGTAAGTGAAAAGCCAAGAGATTTGGAGGGAGTCTGTGCCCTGCAATGACGATTACATTTGCCGGGAAAGGGGGTGAGGGGAGGGTACAATTGCCTCCAGCTGACTCTGCTGCTCTTTTGCTCTTCCTTCGACAGCTGCTACGATAGCACAGCTAACCTCAATCGCAATTGCAACAGCTTCACAATGAATTTCCAGGTCAAATACCTTGCCTTGGCTTCAGCTATAATTGCCACGGCATTCATTGACCCAACTCACGCCGCGTTCGGCCAGGTCATCTCCAAAAACCCCGGTCTCGAAACAGGCGGTGAACGCGCTCACCAGGACGCGTACTATCGCCGCCTGATTATTGCTCATGCCGTTTTCGCCGTCCTTGCTTTCCTTGTGGTATGTTCGTTATCTTCGAACTCATCTGAAGGATTTTGCTGATAGTGAACAGACTGTTCCGTTGGCACTTATTGCGGCACGATACGGCAAACACGTCTTGAGGAATGGGAAGTGGTGGAAGGTGCATGCAGTGCTCCACACTTTCACCGTTGCTTTTGTGATTACCGTCTTCGTTCTCGGCTACTACGCCGTCGGCCCCAAAAACAACTTCGACAACGTACTACTACCCCCTTTCCCCTTCCCATCTCCTCCCACCTACTAACTCCTCGTTTCTACCATAGGTCCACCACCGCATCGGCTTAACCGTGGTAGTGGCAGTTTGCTTGCAATACCTCCTCGGCCTCACAAACACCTTCCTCCTCTCCCGCCCCCACGTCCGCACCCCCGTCCAAAACCGCCTACACATCCTCATCGGCTGGTTAACCTGGGGCCTCGCAATCGCGAACATGCCCGTCGGAATGGTCCTCTACGGCTCCCCGCAGTGGGCGTTTGGGTTGTGGGCTGCGGCAGCGTTCGTGGTGGTGGTGGTTGTCGTGGAATTTGAGGTCGGGGTTGGGAGGAGGGAAGATCATAATGTTAGGGTGGAGGAGTATGTGGGAGTTGGGAAAGAGGAAGAGGAAGGGCCGGTTTATGCGGATGGGGTGGGAGCGACGGATAAGGGAGTGCCGGCTGCTCCGGCGGTTAATTGGAATGGGGAGGTGAAGGGAGAGAAGAGGGCTTGGAGGAGATTGTTTGGGAGGGGGTGAATGCATCTGATTCAGCGAAGGGAGGAGCTGGCGGCGTGGGAGAAACTCACCTGGTTCGATACACGAGATACATGAAGTGAAGAAGAGAGACGTAGAGGGAAGAAAGAGAATATCATCAACTCGATATACCTAGCTATCGTACTAATATCACACCTTGCCCTTCTCACGACCTGGTTACCGTTCATGCAAGCCCCTGCTCCTCTGTTTGTTTACATGTCGCATTTCGCACCGAACCCTCCAACAATCTCGATCGGTATTCTTCACCGACAATTCTTCGACAAGATGGGCAAGCAGCAAAAAGGAAACCTTTCTTTGAGCGCATTGATTGACTCTGACGACAGCGACGTCGGTATGTATGCGCCTTTGCGAGTGCGGTGTGGGGAACAATGCTGATTTTGGATGGTCGCAGCACCAGCACCAGCACCTATGACTAAGGCTTCGGTGAAAGGAACGGCGACGAAGAAAGCGGGCGGGAAGGTTCAGAAAGGTGAGTAATGAGCGAAAGGAATGTGTGCGCAATTTTGCATACTGACCCGTCTTTTCTTACAGCCACTAGGAAACAAGCAGCGGACTCCGACGAAGACGAACTCGAATACTTACACGCCTCCGCACCAAGACCCAAGACCAAACTCCTAAAGCCCACGAACAAGCTTAACACCGTCGCAGAAGACGACTCCGAACCCGAAGCGCAGAAGGCGAAGATGAAGAAGGGAAAGAGCGCCAGCGCCAGCGCCGCGGACGCGACGGATTATTCTATTGCGCCCATGCCGACGAAGATAGTCGCGAAGAAGAAGGCGCAGGAGATTCCGGAGACGCAGGTTGTCAATGGAGATGATTCGATGATGGATATCGATGAGGATGAGGAAGAGGAGGAGCCGACACCCGCGAAACTGAAGGTACGGGGAGGCGCGAAGAGCACGGATTCGGCGGCGTTGCAGCGACAGTTGAATGAGATGACGAGGCGATTCGCAGCGATGGAGACAAAGTACAACAAAGTCAAAGAACAACGATCATCCGATGCACGAGATGCCGAATCGAACTTTGCTGCGTACAAGAAGTCTGCCGATGCAAGGTTTAAGGAAGCTGACAACCTGATTGCGATGCTGCAGGAGGAGGTTGCGGAGACTTCGAAGGTCGCGGAGGAGGCAAAGAAAGCACGGAAAGCATCGAAGAAGGAGCAGGAGGAGATCGAGGCGCTGCAGGAGCGTGTGGAGGAACTTGAGGAGGAACTGGAGAAGTCGCAGAATCAGATCGGGCTTCTGAATGCTAAGATCCTGGCGAGGTCGTCGTCTAGCGCTGGGCACTATGAGTTGAAGGAGGATATCTACGCTGATTTGTCTGGTGTCCTCATTCGCTCTATCGCGCCTTCACCTGATGGTTCTGGCTCCGTCTTTGATATCATTCAGACTGGGAGGAATGGTACCCTGCACTACAAGCTCGCGCTGGATCACATCGCCAACCCGAGCAATGCGCAGTTCACTTACACTCCTCTGCTGGATGCGGAGCGGGATAAGAAGTTGGTGGAGGTCTTGCCGGAGTACTTGACCGATACCATCATGTTCGCGAGGGAGCAGGCAAGCATGTTCTTCTGGCGATTGACGAATTTCATGCAGAAAAACGTGGACTAGGGGGGGAAGAGAAAGTGGAGTGGAGTGGGTAGTATAAGGTATTGGGTTTTTGGATAAGGTCTGGGCGTGTCTGGTTGTTTGTTCGTATATCTTAGTGTTCCTAATCTTATTAATCATATACCGTCAAGAACATCCATATGTCAAGGAGAAAGATTTCAACTGATATATTGGATATATAGGGTAACCAAGAAGATGCTAAACTGCAAAGTATGTCGATGTTGCCGTGTGTATATGTCACATAGTCTGCTTTGTGAACAAATCAATCCCCTTAATGCGGTTGATGGCTTCCGTAGCTACGATACGATTCGGGACTTTGGCCTGTGCTGGTTTGTACTTGGGGTTGGTACCATTCACCCATTTGAGGTGATTGGTCCATGCCGGTCATGCCTTGGTTGTAGGAGGGGTTGCTTACGGACATGGATCTCGGCTCTTGAATGGCGGGGACTCCGGGTAAACCAGGCTGGCCGTACATTGTACCTGTCAATGGTTGCGTTGTAAAGTACTCCGGTTGCGCCATATACTGCTGTTCCTGCGGAGACATGATGTACTGCCCTTGCTCGTACGCTGGCATAGGATCCGGGTTGAGCAAACCCTCCTGCCCCCGCTCCGGGTTCCAGCCTGCTTGACTCCAGGTTTGGCGGAGCATAGCAAACCCTTGTGGGGATTGTGAATTTGATTTGGCGACATCGAACTCTTGCGTTGGAGCGGCGTCGGGGAAGAGCTGTTGTTTTGGTTCAAACGATTCCCACAAGTCCTGGTGGATTGCCACGGGCTGGGTGACGAGGTAGAAGTCCATTGGGTTGAGTTTGAGGGTGTTAGGTGCATTGATTATTGGTGGTTCAGCGAATTGCGGCCCAGTAGCGAATGATGCAGGATCAATGGTTTGCTGCCGCTGTTGCTGCTGTTGCTGCTGCTGCTGCTGCACAGGAGACTGTTGGTGCTGAGCTGCCTGAGGACTGATGCCCCCGGGCCCTGCTCCCGGCGATGAAGTGAACGAGGCAAGGTAGCCTTCGCCGCTGCTGACAGAGTGAGAGTGAGGTCTAGACGAGGATTGCAGCGAATGCTGACGATGCGGCGAAATATGCCCAGTCGTATACTGCTGTTGTTGTGGATGCTGCTGCTGCTGCTGCTGCTGTTGAAATGCCAAAGGTGAAGTACCCGAACCTGACCCAGAAGCGTGCCTCCGCGGCTTTGGACGAGAGGTATGTTTGTGTGGCGGTTCAGCGGACAACATCTCTTGAGTATCCGCGGCAGAAGCCTGAGTAGTTTGAGATGTTGTCCTCTTCGGAGCCGGTTGGGCGGTTTCTGCCAGAGTTTGCGAAGCATTCTGGAACGGATCCGCCCGCAAAGCAATAGTCATCTTGCTTTCCAAATCCTGCGTGTCCTGAATCATTTCGAACAATCTGAAGATGATGGCGGCAATACCCCAAACCTTCGACAGCTCACGCAAAGACTTCATACAGATAGAGAACTTCTTCTTTGCACCCTCTGAGATACGCGTATCTGGCGCCCGAATCTCCATTGCATGAAAGATCATCGCTGAGAAGGTTGCGTAAACGATGAATGAATGACCGTACTTGATGCGTCCACATGACAACAAGTTCTCCATGATCCTCGTAATCATGTTGGCCGCGCTAAAAGCGACGTAGCGTGAGGAAGTGCTAGCGTGACTGGGCGGAGCGGTCTTCGTAACGTACGGCCTATGCAGCAGACAAAGAAGTCCGTAATAGGTACTATGAAGGCATGCCGCCCAAGGATTCTGCTCCGTTCCTTCCAGGGTGTATGGGTACTGCATCTCCTTGGGAAGGTTCATCAACCAAGTAGCCAATGCACGGTCCGAGATGGAGATGTCCGGCGGCAATCGCTTCTGGGAAGAACCAGCAGTGTACTGTTTTCTCATGACAACTTCCATGATTTCACACAATTTGACGTGTTGCATAAAAAAGTGCGTGTGCTGCGGATTGGGTGGGTACTCCAAGAATGGATCCTCGACTTCCTCTTCAAGGAAATCAGACTCCTGTAATGGTTCCACTTCGCAATCTTCCATGAGAATCGTCAAGGGACGACCGAGAGCAACACACAGAGTACGGTCGCGAGTGTACAATGTCCAGAATATCCTCTTCCACAGCCTCCGGTCCGTGAGAGACAGGTTTCGGGGCGGCTTTCGGTAGATGCCAAGGCCTTGTGCAAGTCTGATGGCCAACCCCAACGCGTGCCACAATGTTTCTGCACATTCATCATCTGTCTCCAAGCTTGGAAAACTCATGAGGATGAGTGCCTGCAGCACAACCATCTTGTCTTTCTCCGCACCAGCGTCATACAGAAGTTTCGCACGCTTCCAGAAGGTAAACGAAGAGGCGGTGTTAGTGCCAGTGCTTGCTTCGCGAAGCGCTGGATGGTCACTCATGCGTGAAGCAACGAAGAATATTGCCTGAAGAAGAAGAATAGGAGGCGGATGGGATGGGTCGTTGTACCGGCGCATGAACTCCGTTTTGTTGATGACGGGGATGGCCGCATGAACGTGTTCGAAGTATGTGGTGACGAGATCATCGCATACATCACGGGGAGGAATCAAGAACACACCTCGAGACTTGAGATGATTTAACTCCTCTTCGTCCAGGATCACGAGTTTCACGTTGCCTGGGGGTTTGTGCGCGCGGGGTGGAATGGGGAAGAAGTTGCCCTTCCCTGGGTGAATACCATCTGCACCCACGAAATTCTCTTCTACGAAGTGCAGATTGGATGACTCTCCCAAAAATGCCGCGTCGTTGATAGCGACACGATCAACGCCTTCTCGTATCTGCTCGAGGTAGATGTCGGACATGTCCTTCTTCGCCTGAAGATGCTCTGCTTTGTCCGTTGAGGTATTCGGTGAGATGGATGGCCTTGCAGAGCTCGCCATAGACGTACGCCGGGTCGATTGCCCCGACTGCTCTCCTAGCTGTCGATTCACCTCATCTACTGGAGATACGAGCGGACCCTCATTCTCTGACGACTTCGACTTCTGCAACTGCGCCTTTTTCCTGGTGACGGCGATCTTGCAGTCGATGCCAAATGCCGAGCAGTTCTTTGACTTTCATTAGCTTCCATCATCTCAGTCTCTTCGGCATGTAGCTTACTGTGCATGGTATACCAAGGGTGGCAGCATCACATCGTACTTTTCTTGCATGGCACGTCTGTATCGATGGGTTAGCGATGCGATTGAGAATCGTGCCGTCTTCGTACTTCGCATGCCCTCGAGGCTCGTTGTCTGCTGGTCATACGTGGTTAGTTCAAGAAGGTTCGGTCTTGCGATCGGGGCTCACCTTCGAACGTTCAGCAAGGGATTAGCGGACGGCCCACCACCCGTGAAACCCGACAGACTATCGAGAAGTTGGTCCATGACGGAATTCGTTTCCTTTAGTTATGTCCAAGCTTGTGCGATCTGCTGAGCTTGTTAATACTGGGCCTCGGTACCGCTGTTATAGCCGAGGTTATCGATCGTTGAAGTTGGGGAAAAGTACGGCGGGCCGCGAGAGGGGCGAGAGAAGCCCGCGGGGCTGTGCGACGCGGAGGCAGAAGGCAACTGACCGTCAATAGCCATTCTAATATGACAGGACGGCCCGGCGCACATGGTCAGTGTTTCTAATTCTGTTGCGCGGCTTACCCGGGCTTGCGTGCGACGGCGCCAACTTTTCCCTAACGCGGAAATCTCGCGAATTGGCACCACTTGGTGAACCCCTAGTCGCAACTTTAAGGGGACATGTGGAACACAAAGGAGCAGATAAGGAGATAAGTCATTGGAGAAATATATTTGAGGTAAATGTATCGAAGAGTCCTCTTTTCCCTTCTCAAAGCATCGTAAACGTCGGTCTAACCATAAGGCGTGTCTATTCGATCTTTTCGCTTGGCGTATGTGGCTTCCCCACCTCCACCTTCGCGACGATGATGTCGCTTAGACTTTCCAAGACGACCAAGAAGAGCACCAGTAGACTGCTGATGAAGAAATGGCTTATGCTCTGTCCGATATCCAACCAACTCCCTTCGTCCCGAACCAGGTAAAAGAAGTTCAATGTCAGAATGTCCGAAATAGCAAGGACAATCATGAACAAAGAGCTTGGTGGTACGCCAAGCTTCTTATTCAAGATACCCAGATTTGCAGAAATAACTGCGAACGGAATAAGCAGCTTGAATAGCAGCAAGGCTCCCATGCTGAACGGATTGAACACCGGGATCAACCGGTAAACCGAGTCCAGTGAGAACGACGAGATCGAAGCAATATTCCCCGTCCCAAAGAACGCAACCTGAATTAAGAAAAAGAAGAACAGCGCAATCCTCGTATCCCCAAGCGTGAGCTGTCTCGATCTTTTCGCCTTCGCACCGCTCTTGCTCACAACCCCCTTCTGCCCCGCCTTGAACACGGCCCCCTCCATCTCGACCCACAGTGACAACATCGCAAAGAATACCACATAGAAGATGCCTTCATATGAGATTGTCAGAATAATGAATGTGGGCGAGAACGCCAAGAAGATGATCACCAGGCGGTGGAGATAGTGGTGCTTGGGCCTCATCACATGCAAGAAAGGCACCATGAGCGAGGCAATCAAAGTGGCCCAGCCGACGATTTGGGTGCCGAATGGGAGACCTTGCTTGGCTTGGAGGGATTGAACGGAGGAGTGGGTGACAACCATGGCCAAGGCGACCAGACCGACCTGAACTCCGATGATCGCCCTCGTGAATGAATCTTCTTCCTGATCGTTCCTGACGGACGGCTCAGAGCTGGCCCGGAGAACACGGTTGCTGAAAAGCAGATAGATACATCCAATAGCAAGCATCAATACACCACCAACCATGATCTGACGTTCATCCTCCTGCTTGACCACATTCAACGTCGTAAACGTGCTCATGACAAGACACAACACAACCCACCCAAATGACAGAAGCTTATGCTGCTTAACAAAGGTGATACCCCTCGACAACGGCCATACCGACGCGAAGACGAAGCAGGCAGAGAACACCAGCCTCTGGAAGTACCCAAAGACCATAGCCTCCAGCAAACCAATGTATAAGATCGTCTTTGCCAAAACGCTGAGATATGACAAAGGCGAACTCACATTGCCCAATAATTGCTTCAACCCTAAGAAAAGAGCATCACGCGTAGCAATCGCTTCCTGCCAAAATAGCACCGGGAAGAATGCGTAAGCATAATACGACGCAGGCATCTGCTGAACCCAGATCAAAGCACACAACGCCGTGAAAGACGCCATCGAGAAGAGTTTCAAGGCAACTGGACGCTTAATCTGGTAGCGATCGTCCAAGACGTATTCGTTCATGACGTAAGTGAACGCAAAGACGATCCAACCGAGGTATCCGGCAGTCACCAATGACCGCAAGAAGAGCCAGTCGTATCTCTGAAGGTACTTCAATCCCGCCAGTGCCTTCTCAGCCAACTGTAAACACGCATCCGTCGCATGTTCATACTGCTCAGCGTCGATTAATCCCTGGATTCTCTCGATATCAGACTGACCCTCCTCCTCAAGTATGGGGAACGGCTTATACGCAAGCTCAGTCGCGGCCTTCGCCGTGTGTTTGACACGGTACTGCTCAACGATCTGCTTCGCATTTACGAATGCCATCTCAGCCTTCACTGCCGGCTCAGCATCAATGAACTGCAGTGGCAACTCGCCAACGGAGTTGACAGGGTAGTTAACGCCAATCAACGAAGCCATCAAGGGCGCGATGTCAGCCTGATTAATGTCGTTTCTTCGGACAGCTGACAAGCCCCAATCATCCGAGAAACCGTCGTCATGACCGATGGGGCTTGCTGTATCAGGCTTCGCGACACCAGCACCCCAAGCGACGATGGGTGTTCTGGTGTTATCGGGGTGTCCGTCTCCATGGCTTCCGAAATCACTCATTCCGTGGTCAGCGGTGAAGATCCATGCAGTCTTATCGTCGCCGTAGAAGTCGTTCACCAACTTAACCGTAGCCTCAACTCCTTCATCAACGACCTTGATGTTGCGAAGGTACTCTTTTGAGTAAGGGCGGTATGCGTGGCCGGTGGTATCGCATCCAAGGAGATGGAGGAAGAATACGTTTTGGTCCTGGCGGAGAGCGGCGTCCAGCGCGGGATTCGAGGAAGCGTTATGGAACAGATCAGACACGTGGTCAAAAACCCAGGTATCCAAAGCAGTAGCATCTGTGATCACTCGTTAGCAGACGTCTTGGTAGGACGTTGAGATAGCGAAAAGGACAGTCACCTTTAGAAAAGTCCTCCTCTTCCTCAGCATACATCCACGTCTCAACCCTATCCTTATCCGAAGCTCCATGCGCAAACATCGGCAAGATATCCGGACTCCCAAAACTCCATGTATGCCGACTCTGATTGAATACGGAGTCGAAATTCACGGGGTTCATCTTCCATCCTTTCGTTACCGCGCTCACGTCCTCGTAAAATCCCGCAATGATCGCGACGTGTCCGGGACGCGATTCAGTAGGTACGCGGGTATGGGATACACCAAATGTCCCTTCATTGAGGACTTTTGAGCGGATGAAGGGTGCGAGGTAACGGTGCTCGCCGGTGTCGGGGTCATCATGGGATTGGTAGAGTTTGTCGGCTCGGAGACCATCGCCTGTACATGAACGTCAGTCAGAGTGTTTCAACCGGGATGAATGCACAAACCGACTACCAAAAACAACCGCTTTGCCGGCGCCTCCGCCTCCACTCTATGCTGTTGCATCCCATGAACCAGCGGAGTAACGAAGTAAATATCGAAGATTGACCGCAGAAAACATATGTGGAAGATCGTGCCGATGAGCAGGACTGCTCTTCGCGAGAGTCCCATGTCGATTCACGGGGTATATGCTAAAGTCTTCTCGAGCGGTGCTGGCTGGCCGGTTACTTATACCGAGGACCCGTGCGGCTGAATTGCGTCGGCGGCCAGGGCCAACAGGGCCGACCCTGGTTACCGCATGGACACGCATCCCGTGGAGGACTGAGGTGGTTATTCGGGTCTAAACGACCATTGTCAGTCTGCAAATGCAGCTCAGCCCCTTTGCAGTCCGACGTAGTTCCTGGACCTGATCCGACCCCAACTGTCCGTGCCAGGTGCTGGACTTGCGTGGGAATCACTGGCTTTGAACCAGCAAGCATGGGTTCGTCATTAGTCAAAGCGTTTCACCCAGCAGTCCGAAGACTGACGGCGTTGACTTTGATGAGTTTCGCCGAGGACTGGTCGAGACAGCTGGGTCTGCTTTCTGCGGTCGCTTAAGCTTTCCGAAGCGTGGGGAGCCCCTGCATCGCACGTGGATCATGCCGGCAGCCGCTCCTGAACACCAAACGAACGAAATGCCAATTGACAAAAAGCATCCTGAGACGACTGTCATGGCAGCAGTCGATTACCGCATCTTGCCCGGGACCAAGTCAGAAGTTATCTCGTTGCCTGAACCAGTAATCCCGACGACAACGGATCATCTCGAGTTGCAGCAATACATCGACTCCTTATGCGTCCACACGGATACCCATAGCTTGACAAGAGAGAAAGCAATGGAACTCATTGAAGTACCAGAAGGCCTCGATGTCCATGAGGGCGTGTGGTGCTACGAATGGATGCGGAGGCTGTGTATGGACCTGAATGAATTGGTGATCGCATTGCTTGAAGATGGATGCGAGCCAACTAAATGCCACTGTACGTTCCTTATGTTGTATTTGTGAATTGAATCACTGACGACGTCGACGTACAGTAATGAATGCCGGCGAATACCAATTCCTCTGCGCCTCCCACCCCCGACCCCGCGAATGCTCCGCAATCGACTACATCCACCACACCCTAACCCAGTCCATCCTCCTCCTCCTCTCCCCCTGTTTCTTCGACCCCTCTAACCCACCCTCAACACATGCTTTCTCCTCAATCGCGCGGAGACTCTATAGGATCTTCGCGCATGCGTGGTTTGAGCATCATCATGTGTTTTGGACGGTGGAGAGTGAGACGGGAGTTTATAAGCTGTTTATGGCGGTTAGTGAGAAGTGGAGGTTGGTGCCGGTTGATTTGGTGATTTTGCCGAAGGAGGCGGGGGAGTGGACGGTTGAGGGGGATGGGGAGGAGGTTGATGAATTCGATCGGGGCGAGACGGTGAGTGGGAGATAACGAAACACGACGCAGGAATGTTTGAGGAGTGGAAGGAGATAGAGCATTGAAGTGGACGAAGACGTCGGCTGGCCGACCTCCCAAGATATCCATATACCCTAAATTATCTATCCCAATTAATTTTTAACCGATGACGTCGATTTGCAGTCTTCGTTACTGGTTCCCCGTAAATCGTGAGTGTACGGTACGAACCACACACCGGCTTCAATGAACAACTTTGACGACGAGCCTCCAGAATTGGTCGACGTGCACGATGTCGCACAGCAAAGGTTTGTCTAATACAACATCCAGCATCCAGCGCGGTGCAGGACTGATATTGGGTAAACAGCGTACCACCCCTTAATGCCGCCGCCGAACCACCAGCTTTCGTTAAGTACAAAACGCCTGAACGGATGATGTGAGAATATCTTCAATTTGACGCTTGACAGCGCTAACTCACGTATTCTCACAGCCCATCCACCGAACCATCCTCGTTGACCACCAAAGTACCGAAAGTCCCTATCACCATCGTCACCGGTTACCTCGGCTCAGGGAAAAGTACGCTGTTAAATCATATCTTGACGGACCAGCACAATAAGAAAATTGCGGTAATCTTAAATGGTGCGTTCCTTTGACGATTGAGCCGTCTTCTTGGGATATGAATGCTGACAGAAACGTACAGAATTCGGAGACTGTCAGTTGTTGGAACAAACTGCTAAAGAACGTTTGCTAATGCTCTCACAGCGGTCGATATCGAGAAATCCCTTTCTGTTTCCTCGCAGGGAGAACTCGTCGAGGAATGGCTGGAACTAAAAAACGGGTGCATGTGCTGCTCAGTCAAGTGTGTCACCGACCAGTGCAGTCTCATTTTGATCTTGTCTAACTTCTGTCACACAGAGATAATGGCGTAGCGGCAATTGAGAACCTCATGACTAAACGTGGAAAGTTCGACTACATTTTGTTGGAAACCACAGGTGTTGCTGATCCAGGTTTGCGGGCCTCAACTTGCGATCACGAAATTCAGCTAACGAGTTTCTGGCGAACAGGTCCGATTGCGAATATGTTTTGGCTCGACGATGCCCTCGGTTCTGAGATCCAGCTCGACGGCATCGTCACTGTCGTTGATGCATCGAATATTGTACGCTCACTCGACGATATCCCGCAAGGCGCCGACATGACGACTGCGCATCTTCAGATTTCACATGCGGATGTGATTGTGTTGAATAAGATCGACCTGGTGCCGGAGGAGAAGTTGGAGTCTGTGAGAGAAAGAGTTAAGGGCATTAATGCTATGGCAAAGGTACTGGAGACGAAGTACAGTAAGGTGGAGAATCTGGATGCGATCCTGGATTTAGGGAGTTTTGAGAAGGTTGGGGATTTGACAACAAAGAGACCAACGGGTGGGCGGAGTTTCCATGATCCGGTGCGAAAAATCAGATGAGCGTGTTTGTATGTCATGCTGACTATTCTCGCATAGGCAATCTCGACAGTTCTTCTACCCTTGCCAAAGTTGACCAGCGACGCTCAACTCGAGCACCTCGAGTCATTTATTCGCTCACTACTGTGGGAAGGCAGCATACCTACCTTGCCATCGTCGCAACAGCAGGATGGAACAGTCGAGATCCACAGACTAAAGGGAAGAATAGTTATGAAGGAAGGACGAAGATGGATTTTGCAGGGCGTACGGGAGGTGTACGAAAGTTTCCCTCAAGAGGAGGGGCAGGATGTCGGGGATGGAAAGATTGTGCTTATCGGGAAAGGACTTGATGAAAACCTGTTGAAGGAAGCATTGAGCGCATGGTTGGTAGAGGTTGATTAGCATTCTAGAGAATGACGTTTGCACCGTATGAGCAGATCGGGCAGGGTGTCAAGCTCAACGAACATTTCTGCGTTGTTCAAGACGAAGAAGGAGGACCGGAAGCGGTAGGACGCTGGAACATACCATGAGACGTCGAATTTTACCAGATAGACATTGCGACCCTTCTGTGCTTGCGTTTCCCCGACTTCAATTACGCCGAGGTTTTACCTCCCAAGCCGTCGACAGATTCGCCTTCCGTTCATACCTCTTGGTCTTCCTTCTCTAGTTTCTCCTTCCACTCTTTGTATAGGTCATTCATGGCCTTGTGAACAAGGTTTCCTTCCTCCTCGTCATACTCTTCCACCTCCTGTCGCACAATTCTTTCATTTCCCCACCTATCAGTTCCGCTTCCAAACTTCTTGCTCATCTCATCATCGATCACAGCACAGTACAAAGATGAGAGAGCACCCTTGTGCGCCGTGCACGTATGCCAAATTGAACCAAAAAGACGAGCGACATAGAAGCATGCAAACATACCCCAGAAGAAGGGTTTGATAAGGTGATCCGCCATGATATTGGTACCACAAATACCTGGGTGAGTGAGGTATTGTCTGACTTTGTATGACTCAAAAATAGACTTGTATGATGCAACATGAAGAATGTCGGTCAGGCGTTTTGAGCCTTCATAGGAGTGAGTGTTGATCAGGAGCTGCAGAGTATCTGAGGGAGTCGAGGCGCTTGAATCAGCGACATCTGAGAGCGTTTTGGTTGGGTCAGGGTAGGAGAACGCCCAAGGGAATGCCTCAAGAGATGAGGTCCAGATAACTTTCCCGCCGTCCTTCATAACCGGGAGTACTTCATTCATGAGGTAGTAATGTCCAAAGACGTTACACTGGAAGACCCATCCCAGTCCATCACCCGACTTGCGACCTATTCTTTGCAACTTGTAGGTTGGTGCGGTGAGTGCAGCGATGAACCCATTCCAGAAATCCAATGCCAGTTGTTTCCAATCAAGACCGATGAAGTCTCCTGCACCAGCATTGAGGTATAGATAGTCGATCCTTCCAAACCTCTCCTTCAACTCCTTTGCGGTGTCATGAACACTACGCATCGATGCAAGGTCAAGCAGTGCATAGTCAAGCTTGAGAGTCTTTGCAGGATATCTGTGTTCAAGACGTCGGAGGGTATCCTCAGCTTTGGCGGTGGACCGGCATGTCACGACGATCGTGATTCCTTCGACAGCTTCAATCAGTCGACATGCAATTGCAAATCCAAGACCGCTGCAGTTACTCGTCAGTGGGCACTACTGCAATGCTGAATGGACACTGACCTATTTGCTCCAGTGATAACGGCAATGGGCATCTTTTTACTTATAGAAAGCAGGCGAATCACGAACGACACAGAATCTTAACGGTAGAAAAGTTCCCCGACATCGCGACTTCATTTCTGCCGAGGTCGTTGCCGTTGCGTCCTGTACCTGGTAGCGCGCCTATCACCCAAACACTTACGCCCCAGCCAAACAAAGACGTTCATCCACGCTCGTAAAATGCCTTTGGCAGACGAAGGTATTCTTTTGACGAAGCCGGTCTCCGGAGAGGCGACGCCTGTTTTTAACGGTGATGCCTCGGATGATGAGCTTGCTCAGCAGCGGGTTGCGAAGAAGCTGAAGGAGACCAGGATTGAGGGCGAGAAGACCGAGGACGCTGAGGAGGCTAAGGAATCGGCAAAGAAAGACATCAACGAGGAAGCACCAGAAGAGTCTGAGAAGGGCCAAGAGAAGACCACGGACGACAAGAGGGATGAGCCTAAGAGAATCAAGAGAACGCATACAGCTGTCGAAGAGGAAGATAAGGACGTCGAGAGCAAGTCAAGCGACGAGAAGACCGAGGCTCCCAAATCACCATCAGTCGCACCACCGGAGCCTAAGAAGAAGATCTTTGGAAGCGGCAGTGCGTTCGGTGGCGGTGCTTCCGCTGCCTCACCTTTCGGTGCCCTTACGTCAAATGCTTCACCCTTCGGTGCTCTTTCTTCGAGTGCTTCGCCATTCGCATCACTGGCCTCGGGAAAGTCGCCGTTCGCTTCAGGTGCGTCTTCATCAAATGCATCGCCATTCGGCTCATCGACTGCGTTGTCTGGGTTTGGAGCATATGCTGGTCAATCTGCCTTCGGTAAGGTCACGACGTCTGTCAGTCCTTCGAAGAAACCTAAGACTGCCGATGGCGAAGACGAAAACGACGACAACAAGAGTGGTGAGGAAGAGGATAAGGAGCAGGGCGAGAAGAAGGACGGCGGTTTCTCGAGCATGTTGGAAAATGTTAAGGATGAGGAGAAGTCGGGTGGCGATGACGAGAAATATGTCCAAGTTAAGGGCTTGTCAGAACAAGAAGGCTCGTTGGTTTCCCGGTTGGATTTTATGCATTGTGCTAACGTTGTTTCCAGTGAAAACCGGCGAGGAGGAAGAGACTACCGTTTACAACTCCAAAGCGAAACTGTTTTCCTTCGATACGAAGGAGCAGGCGTGGAAGGAGCGAGGTGTCGGTACTCTGAGAGTAAACCTCTACCAAGATAAGAAGCTAGGTGGCCGGATAGGTACAAGTACTGTCCTGGTTTTCTTGATTAACTACTGACGGCGAACATACAGTCATGCGTGCCGATGCCGTTTACCGAGTAATCTTAAACGTCAAGCTGTTCAAGAACATGAAGATCGAGACTTCCAAAGATGCTGTGATGAATGAGAAGTCTATTCGCTTCAGTGCGTTAGAGGAGGGCAAGCTAGTTATGTTCACTGTTAGGGTCGGCAACGCAAATACCGCGTTGGACCTGGCCAAGGCAATTACTGATTCTCTGCCAGAGGAGGCTAAGGAGGGTGATGAGGAGAAAGAAAATGAGGAGGAAAGCGAAGTGTAGCTTGGGGTGCGTGGGATACCAAGGAGAACGATTGATCCACCCACTCATATATTGTGACGGGTGCGCCGGTAACAACCGTACAGGCCATAATGCCGTGCAAGAAAGAAGAATGTGGAGAGTATCTACCAGCATAACATCCACACAAGAAGTGAACATACGACTTGATAATACCTATGATTTTGTCTTGGCCAAGCTTTCGAGTGTTTGCGTTTCAAAATTAAGAGCTGCCCCCTGCGCCCACTGAACGCCAATGCGTATAGAACATCAACTTTACTACGACGCAGCGCGAAACTCAACACTCGGCCCAGTACCGTTTCGAAGAATTTCACCACCGATTCTCGTCCTTAAGTCACTTCAGCGTTGCGATAAGACCTCTCGCGAACGTTTAAACACCTCTCTTACGCCGTTGGTCAACCTTTTCGCGCATACACCTCCGAAAACCACATAAACAACATGGTTGCTGCTCAGATCGTCGCGACGCTGGCGTCGCTCTTGACTCTGTCACTATCGCCAGTAGCGCTTGCTGACAATGTCACATCCCTCGCCGGCACATGGACGTCGAAATCCGCCAAGGTCTTCACCGGACCAGTACGTCAACCACCTTCTCCCTACCTGCGCATTCATACTAACATGCTGTCTACAGGGCTTCTACGACCCCGTCGGAGAACAGTTCTTCGAGCCCAACACCACCGGAATGTCCTACTCCTTCACCGACGACGGATTCTTCGAGTCCGCCCTCTACACCGTCGTCTCGAACGCCACGAACCCCAAGTGTCCACAGGCGTTCTTGCAGTGGCAGCACGGAACGTATGTGTTGCAGGATGATGGAAAGATGATTTTGAACCCTATTGCGGTCGATGGGAGGCAGTTGCAGAGTGACCCGTGTACGTACTCGAAGAGCCTTTACACGAGGTGGAATGAGACTGTGACCATGAAGGTAAGCACACCCCGTCTATGTGGATGAGGTGGAGGATAGAGTTTGACTTTTGATGTAGTCATGGGAAATCCTTATCGACGCCATGCACGAAAATTATCGCCTCAACCTCTACGAATTCGACGGTTCCCCGATGAACCCGATGTACCTCGCCTACCGCCCCGCAATGATGTTGCCAACTGCGACGCTCAACCCCACGGCTACCGCCACCGCTTCCACTGCTTCTAAGAAGCGGAAGAGGAGTTTGGGTGTTGCGCAGGCGCAGGGCAAGTTGGGTGGGATGGAAGCTGATACGTGGTGGTGGATTGGAGCTGGTATGACTGTTTTGGGTGGTGTCGGGTTTTTGGCCGTGTAAGAACGAGAGTCAAAGGGAAGGGAGGGTGATGGAAGATCAAGACTGTCGCAGGACGTTTGGTAACGCGTGACGGTTTGACTTATTGGGCAAGAACCTACGGGACTTTTTATTTTAGATTGAGCGAATGTTGATCATTTCAGTGCTTCTGTCGGTTCTCTTTATCATCGCAGTGAATGTGTGTTATGTCGAAGTTGTCGTTCGCTACCTTTCAACGTACTGGTATCGATGAGGTGAGTGTCTACCAGTACAGAAACGCATAACGAACCTGCATGCTCCGATCGCGAAGTCAAACACGCCGCACCCGCAGCCGGCGCATGCCCTGCTATTCTCGCTTCCCTTCAAGTACTCGCCAAGCATCTTGGCAATCTGCCTCCTCAACAACAGCATGTCCATTCCATCGAGATTTAGCCAACACCTTCCTCATCCGTCACTCCAGTCACTCCTCCCTCCACCTCACTTGTCTGTAAGCACCAGTCATGGCGCCGGCTATCATGACCATGGCGTTGAACTTAGCCCCCGACGGCGCCCCGGCGGCCGTGCGTAAGCGAACCCGCATCTCGGAGACTTTGCGAAGTCGGAATAGAGATGCCGAGGTAATGCATTTTTGAACTTCGCAGATTCGATGTAGACGCGCCAGCGGCATTTATGTCACTTTTTGACGAGCCAAGAGTTTGTGTGCGAGGCAGGAAGGAAGGGAGGACCCAAACATGCCGACTGTCGACATTTGCAACCGACGGACCGGAGCAAGAGAACGGCATGTACCCTGGCGTGAGATGGCCATAGCGGGTACGGCTCGCTCGGCAGCTGCACCACTGCCTTGGCTAGTCATGAGGCCGACAGGTCACCGGCGAAAGTGATTCAGCGTCTCCCCGCTGGTGCCAAGCTTACCCGACAGCTAAGCGAGAAGGTTAAGCGACGCCTGCAATGACTAGCGCGCAACCTGGTTTATCCGCGGGTCCAAGACAACCGCCCGGTCGAGATCGCCTAATCTTGCCTGGGAGATGTCATCATAAGACCCGTTGACCTCCTCCCGCTCATCCAGAGGCCTAGGAGCGTGCGAGGGCAATGGATCACTCCAGCTCGCGTTCACACCGCAAAGGACGCCGTCATCATCAACGGTGCGCCGAGCACTGCATCACCTGCTCAAACGACTTCTCCCGCGAAGAAGCCTCTATCAGACACTTTTACGCCAGGTATAGGGAGGTGACGGGACAAGAGTACGTTCCGCATATACCCGCTGGGACGGGGACGGGAGCGGTGGAGGCTGCTGTTAGGGCTTTGACGGATGATGCCGCCCTCTCTGGAGGTACAATATTAGAGCCTGTGGGTGGGGGAGGAGAGAAAGGTCAACCGGCCTCGGGGAGGGAGGGTGTGGATGAGATGGACGAGTACGCGACCTACCTCAAAGAATTGGAGCAGGAGGGCTACCAGTATCTGTTGCCGTCCTCTTGTGGTGGAAGTGAGAAGCAATCACCAACAGAACACGAGCAAGGAAAGGACAAGAAACGACCAACCCTCGAAAAAGGCGACTCAATGTTCGAATACATGAATCACCTTCAAGACATGGAAGATGAGGGCGCGAAACAGCTTGCTGCGAGACTGCCTCCTTCTATATTACCCGGGCGTGGGACTGAGATGCGAAGACGGGTGAACATGAGTCAGATCCGAGGAAGACGGAGTCTGAGCATGGATGAGGATATCTAGGAGGGGATGGAAATGGATGGGGTACGGGATGACTGCCGCCAAAACATGGCCACGACGATATTTAAGGGATGTATGCTGGATGAATGCTATCGAAGTATACGTACTGGATTGGTATACCACCGCACCACCAAGCCTGGAGCTCAAACTCGATCTTGAACGCAAATTGAAAGCGGAATTAAGTGAGGCGTAATTCCATTTGTTATGATGCTATTAGGTTTATTACGATATCTTTATCAAGTCTCTCACAGAAAAATCATTACGCCAAGAAACAGATTCAAATGCCAAAAATTATGGGTACATTTTGTCACATCGTCCCCACATCCGTTGTTCGCACGCTGGCTCAAATGCTGCTCAGTTGCTCGCTCGAAAGATCTTGCTCTGCTTCGCCATCGCATTCGCTCCGACTCGCTCCCTCACTTGCTTGTATACTTCCTCCCCTTAACAACCCCCTGCGCAGCGTTAATCATCAAATAAGTCGTACTCCCAACAACCCTAAACCCAGCCAAAATCGCAACCGTCCACAAAATAAACTTCAGATACCCATTCGTCCCACTCACTCCCGAATCAAAGCTATCGACCACGGCCATCGCCAAAAAGGCGTTTGCGATGAGCCAGACCAGGACGAGGCGGGTGCGGATTTCGCGGTAGTAATCGTCTTGGGCGGTTGTGGCAGAGGCGGGGGGTTCGATGAGGGGCTTACGTTCCCGGAGGTTGGCGAGGGCTTCGGAGTACATGGAGTCGATGTCCAATTGCTCGGTTGGGACTTCGACTTCAACGACCTCTTCCTTGCCCTTACCCGTACTGACAGCAGCTCCGAGTTCCGTGTGGATCGTATTGTCACCTTTTGTACCCCATGAGATATCGTGCGTGTTGCAGAATGCGTAGATGCCGAGGGTACAGATGTAGGACGGGAGTAGGATCATGTATTGTGGGAAGGAGTTGATCATGTGCCATGGATCTGCGTAGATGATTGACGCAAACCAGTAGAGACCGTTGGTGGATGCGAGCGCGACGACGAGGGAGGTGAAGATGTTATTTCCGAAGACTGCTTCGCCGTTCGTGATTGCTTGTTTGATCGAGTAGACTGTCATGTACAGACCGGCGAAGATTGTGTATGTCATGATGAAGGATAGACCACCCATTACACCCATGAACATTCCGCGAGCACCTTGGGGTCTGTTACCCAACGCCAGAATGAACTGAGATGCGATGAGGAGGAAACAGAGGTAACGCATGAACACAAAGATCCTGTTTCCCCATCCGTTGCCGAAGGGGTCGATAGCGTCGTCGGCGAGCGATTTGCAGACAAAGTAGAACGTCAAGTAGAAGTTGGCCAAAGAGAAGAAACTGAATATCAGGTTGATCAACTGGTACAGGAACTCGATGTGGAGTGCAATCTTGCGACCAATCGTGTGATTCGTCTTCCAGATTTGACGGAAATTCCACTGAGCGTAAACAGCAGCAAAGAATGCACCGTTCAACCATCGACGACGCTGAGACACAAACTCCGGCACACCATCGGGGACATCAGTCTCTCCCGTCGCCGCACGAACATACTTCAACACCCACTGCTCATCCCTCTTAGCGACAAGCTCCCAACAAAGAATACGATCCTCAGCAAGATACATATTCGCCGTAAACACATCCGCATCCCCACCATGCAACTTCTCTCCCTTAAAGTACTGCGTCAAGGGTCCATTGCCCGTCTTGTCGTTCTGCAACGCAATATACCTATAGGCGGAAAACGCACCCGGCAAGACGGAGATGTAGCCGAAGACTGACTCGAGAGGTTTATCGAGGATATTGGAGATCTTGTATTCGAAGTTTTGGGCAGCGACGAGGGGGTTGAGGAGGGCGCGCCAGTATTTGCCTTTCAGGGCTTTGATTTCTCCACAGGCACCTGCGACATTGGAGTTCTCGTCGAAGGCTTTCCAGAGGTGGTAAATGGAGTTATGCCCAGGTCGCGTACCGACATCGAGAAGGACACATACGTTGGGGTTGAGCTGGGGTGCGAAAGCGTTGAAGAACCAGCGGTGGGAGTTAAGCTTCTTTGCGTTCTTCTCTTTCAAGCAGAAGAGGATCTGGACGGGTACCATTCCACTCTCCGCACCAGCGAACTTCATGTTAGGATCCACTGAGACCTGGGTAGTGTACTCGTAGATATGCGCCTTGACTTCGCGGCCATTGACCAAGTTCTTGGCGATACCATCTTGGTAGACACCCATAGCGGCCAGCGTATCCAAAACACGCGGGTTGACCTTGCGACGTCCGTCTGCAACGATACAGACTGTGACCTTTTTCCATCCATCCTTACCCCAGACACGAGATTTGTTCCTAGAAACGAGGTGTGCAATGTTCTTCATAACACCGTGCATAGTCCTTGTGAAGAGGACTTCGTCTTCGTTGTACATCGTAACAACAATAAACAACTCCGTCTCGCGGTGGTAAAGCTGTTGACGGAGAACATAACCACCCGTCGTGAAATCATCTGGGTCGCAAGTCGCGGCTGTGTAGCGCATGTGGGTAAACTCCTCCGAGTCCTTGCGGGGAAGGAATGATGCGAGTTTAGATGGGATGGGACAGTCGATGACGAGGTTACCTTGGGTGAGCTTGACCTTTTGTGGGGAGAAGGCTTTGTTACGGCGAACTTGGGCTTGAACGGGAGCGGGGCCGTAGTGCTGGGTTTCAAAAAGGGACTTTTCGTCGACTGGGGAGCCGAGGGTGCTGGGGCTGTGAAGCGTAGGAGAGCGGGAGTCCATGCTTGCGGAGCTGGTGAAGATATAGTCATCCTTCTCGTCTTCGTCGGCGGCCGGGGTTGGGGTGATGTCAATTGTGGTCTCCTCGATAAGCTTCGACGGTGAGAGATCGAAGACCGGTGGTGGAGGCAGTGCTCGTGCTCCGAGCAAACGGGACGGCAAGGCAGGTGTACCATGACCAGGCGTGTTGCGGATCGGCGAAAGCGCACGCGTAGGCGACGCAACACGAGCAGGCGAGCGCGTCGGGGACATACTCCTGTCGTAGTATTGTGGGCTGTAAGGCATAGTACCAACATACGATCCACATACTTCCGTCGGCGCATAGTTCGATCTGGGTGTATTCGGTGCTGATTCGTATGACGGCGCCGGAGACACCGCTCGTCTCTCATCATAAGACATGTACACGCGCCTCGGCGTAGTCGGTACAGGCGGCCTGAAGACCGAGGAAGTAGTATCATCATTCACGAGACCCAGCCCAACAGACGCGGAGGGTCTCCTCTCGTCCTCTGATCCGCGGCCCCGGCGGTTATCCATGACTGACGGAGTTGTTCGTAGGAGGTTCGTACACCTGTTTCCTTTGCGGTTGCGGGGTTTGAAGGTGTGTGCATCTTGGCGGTTTGTTTGTTTACTTCGTAGTATGTGCAGCGACCATCGGTTGTGTTGGAGCCTAAAAATAGAAGGTGCGCGTCATGGTGGCTATGAAACGTACTGAGGCGAGACGATCCCTGATCCCTGAAGTTCTAGAGCGTTAAGAAGTTATTGGACAATTCGATATGGCGAAGGTAACAGAGACTGTTGCGCCTTTACCCACACAGCTGCCCCGGTTGGGACCAGTCCAGCCCGCGAAGTCCCACGGTTCCTATCAACCTCATCCGCGTGAGGGAGGGAAAATCACCGCAATTTCTCTTACCAATTGTAATTGCGACAACGAAGCTCCCGTCCCATCCGTCGACCAAGCCTTATTTCTGCAGCAGCTATGGCTTCACGCTCGTACCGGTGCCCGGGCTCAGCGGCTCCATGCACCCCGCTTTCACGTGTCAAACCGACCTGATGTCCAACTCACCACCCAAAAAATCCTTAAGTACAACGACCTGGGCAGCATACATCCCGTCTCTCTACAATCCAACATTTACCAAACGATTGAATGGCCAGCTATATCGGCATATGCCCTCCACAATGAACATCGAAGAAATCCAAGCCCATCTCTGCACTATCCAATACGAATCCACTGTCTGGGAGATTTTGGGCTCTGTCGCCGCTATCATTACTTCAATCACCTACCCACCACTCCGGCTAGTCTATCTGTATGGCGTGTTTGATTGTCGAACGTGGTTGTGTTTCTGGTTGACGTGTTGTGGGTACTTTCCTGGGTACGTCACCTCCCTTCCCATCGCTCCTCACTCGTCTTCTCCACCCCCGTCACACTCTTGTTCCGCACAGTAAATACTAAACCTAGATAACAGGCTTTTATACGTGACCTGGCTATCAGCCCACCGCCACCGCACCCGCACCCTCCGCGAATCCCGCCTCCTAGCCTCCCACCCGCTCCTCCGCCCCCCTCTGACCCCACCCCACCTCTGGTCCATCGACGCCTCCGGTCTCCGCTCCGCGCACCCCAACGCCGTCCCACTCATACCACACACTCCCGGCTCCTCCCCTCCCCGCCCGCTACAACGCAGCAACCTGAATCCCAGTCTCCCGGGGTACGAGCAAGCTGCACGGGATCGGGTCCCGGAGTATTGTGTCTATGGACCGGGGAGGGAGTGTCCGCCCAGGTATTTGACGCATGCGAATGGGGGGTTGACGGAGGGGATGGCGCCTGGGACCAGGGCGGTGGTTGTGCAGAGGCTTAGGGCTGCTGGATACGAGGTTGATGATCCTGGACGTGGGGAGACGCCGAAGGTTCATCGAAGAAGGACGTCTGGGGGTGCAGCTGTGGCGGTTGGGGCGGTTGGGGCGGCGGCTGGAACGGGTGCTGGTGGGGTAGAGCGGGAAGGGGGGGGAGGGACAGGGGAGGTGAGGAGTGCGTTGAGACGGAGTCCGAGTGGGCACGTGTCGAGTCGTGCACCGAGTCGCAGACCGAGCGTTACGTTCCAAGAACCTGTCGCGACTGCGATCGATGACACTCAAACTCAAACTCATTCTCCTTCCCAGGGCGCACGACAGTACAAAACTGAAGCACCCAGGTCTGGTCCGCCGGGTCCGAATGGGTATCACGAGAGTGGAAGTAGTACAAATGGGCAGAGACGGAGGACGCCGAGTTTGAGTGAGCAGGGGTGCTTTTGGAGTGAAAGTGGGCATGATTAGTTCTCAAGACGAAATGGATTCTGGGGTTGGATTTGGGATCAGGATCAGCAAATTATATGGCGCTTTTCTTTCTTTCGCTCTTCTTGCTACAAGGTATTTTAGACAGCTATGATGGGTATGCGTGGCTCTTCTATGCCTCCTTACCAATAAAATCAAACATCGCTATGCCTCACTTCACCTTCTCCTTCACACTCACAATGCCCTTCTCATCAGCAGGAACGAGCAAAGGAAGGTACCCACCCCACCACCTTACCCGCACCCCCTCACCCCTCGCCCCGGCATCCTCAATCCCACAAATCAAATTCAAAACATAGAATCCCGCCGAAACACAGGCATGCCATACCGCGTGTCCTTGGGGGTTTGGCCATGATCCGAGGGGGGAGAGGTGGGAGCAGAGGTGAAGGTCGAACATCCAAAATGCGACACCGAGGGCGTAGAGGGAGGTGCCGAGGCGGAAGAGGGAGCGCATCTCTTGGGCAGAGGGTATGGTGGTGGTGGTGGTGGTGGTGGAGGATGGGGTGTTGGGGGAGAAGGAGGAGGAGGAGGGAACGGCGAGGTAGGTTAGCGCAAGGCCGGAGAACTCGATAATCCCGAAGAGAATGTGGAATGTCGTAAACTGCACCGGACCGCGTAAGATGGTGATGAGGGCCGTACACACAACACCATACCCCACTGCAAACGATTTAAACCATTGCACCTTCTTCCTGTGTTCTTTTTGGTATCTCGCCCGCACGAAGATGTATATGACAACCAAACATGTCCACACCATCGGGCCCTCATCCATCCACTGTCCCTCCTTCTTCAATGTGGCATGGAAAGCAATGCTCCCCCACCCCACAACTTGTAATCCTATCCATGTCCACCACCAAGCGGTCCATCGTCTAGACAAAGGTGAGGCGAGGCCGAGGAGGGAGAAGAGGATGATGAGGAGGGAGGAGATGGAGTTGTGAAGTTCGGCGAGGTAGGGCGTTGAGAGGTAATCTTGTTCGCACCAGTTTATTGAGGAGGTTGGAGGGCCCCAGAATGGTTCATACATGAGTGCTTATACTGTAGGAACAATTGGTCGAGGTATGGACGGTGCCTGTAACGTGGATCGCTGGATTGAGTGAATGAGGTGCGTCGGCTAATTGTGCCGCTCAGATTTCGATTGTGGATCGGTGGCGTCGTTGGATGCGCAATTCGTGGAATCACGGTTACTCGGCACAACAGTACGGGAGGCGGGGAAGAAAAAGTTACAGAGTTCAACACCAACGACAACGACAACGACGACCATCGTAAGGGAAGTCTGAGAGTTGAGAGATGTCAGCATTGGGGTCACGATCACGGAATCCATCTGCGTTGACTATGGTCTCTTCCGCGTCCGGCGATACGCAGGTCGAGCGTGATACAGAAGCCGAGCATGACCTCGAAGCTGCTCGTGTTCGTTCTCGAGGAGAAAATGTTACTGATTCGGCGTATGGGAGTCAAGTACCTGTACCGGTGCAGGATACACAATATGCAGAAGATGAAGGCGTAGTGGAGAAAACGGATCCTAATTTGGTTACGTTCGATGGACCGCATGACCCGGACAATCCGAAGAATTGGAGGACGGCGAAGAAGATGTATGTCACGTTCTATGTCGTGTTGCTGACACTATGCTGGTATGTCCTCTTGCGCCCCCTCCTTCGTTCGCAGAAAAGCAGAACTGACCGTCGATAGTTCCCTCGCCTCATCCTCCTTCTCCCCAACCTTCGGCGCCCTCTCCGAAACCTTCGGCAACTCCCTCGAAGTGTCCTACCTAACCCTCTCCCTCTTCGTCCTCGGCTTCGCTTTCGGTCCCGTCATCTTCGGACCCCTCTCCGAACTCTACGGCCGCAACCTCGGACTCTTCCCCGCCTTCCTTCTCTTCATCATCTTCAACATCCCCCAAGGCGCAGGCCAAAACATTCAAACTGTCATTATCGCACGGTTTATTGGTGGTGTATTTGCGAGTGCACCGTTTAGTGTTTGTGCAGGGAGTTTGGCGGATTTGTGGGAGAGTGGGGAGAGGGGGTATGCGTTTGCTGCTTTTACGGCGGGAACGTATTTGGGGCCTTTGATTGGGCCGATTATTGGGGGGTTTATTGTGGAGAGTTATCTGGGGTGGAGGTGGACGGTGTGGGTTATCATGATTCTTTCGGGTGCGGTGCTGATTTTGGGACTTCTCACGCTGCCTGAGACATTCGCGCCGAGGATTCTGGTGTTAAAAGCCAAGCGACTACGACGTCAAACCGGGAACAACGAGTGGTACGCAGACTACGAGAGGAACAAACCTCCGGTGAGCCAGATCGTTCAGAAGGTGTTAATCCGCCCCATCAAAATGCTCTGCACAGAACTCATCCTCCTCCTCCTCTCAATCTACGTCGCATTCGTCTACTCCATCCAATACCTTATCCTCGAAGCTTTCCCCGCCGTCTACCACGATAAACACGGATGGAACCTCGGTGTTGCTTCTCTTCCCTTCTTGGCGGTTGCGGTGGGGGTGTTTGTTGGGTGTGCGGTTGTTGCGGGATTTAATCCGTATTATGAGAGGAAGAGAGCGGAGAATGGGGGGCGGCCGGTTCCGGAGGCGAGGTTGCCGCCGATGATGATTGGGGCTGTTGCGTTTCCTATTGGGTTATTTTGGTTTGGGTGGAGTGGGCAGTACGCTACGTCATGGGTTCCCTCGACCCTCGCCGGCATTCCCATCGGTGTTTCCCTCTCCATTATCTTTATGCAAGCACTCTCCTACCTCGGTGATGCGTTCACAGCACATGCTGCATCAGCTGTTGCGGCGAATGCGTTTTTGAGAGCGATATTGGCGGGTGCGTTCCCGCTGTTTTCGTCGCAGATGTATGACAAGTTGGGGATTGGGTGGGCGAGTAGTTTGCTGGGGTTTTTGGCGCTGGGGTTCATGCCGATTCCGTTTTTGTTCTTCAAATTTGGTGGGGCGATTAGGAGGAAGAGCAAGTATGCTGCGTCGCCGTGAGAATGTCGTGGCATGAAGGGGTGACTGCAAGGACGATTCCATGACGGTCTGACAGTTAGCACACAAATTCGACATTATCTATAGACTAGCATATCAAGAAAAACATATCAAATTATTTCAGGTTCTGTCGAGGATGACATGGCCCATTCAAGTTCGCACGGTGTCCAACTTCACGTGATGCTGACATCAGCAAGCAGCGTCGCGAATCTCCCCCGCATGCGCACATCGATCCGGCCAACCTCGAAACCCTGCATACCCTATAAACCCCACCGAAGCTTTACTATCATGTTTACCGGCATTGTCGAAGTCGTAGGAGGTTCGCTGTGTACTCGCATAGCCCTCCGTCATGTGCTAATATCGAACAGTTGTCTCATCCCTGATCGAGCACGACACCTCATCCACCGGCGGGAACGGATGCTCGCTCACGATCTCCGGCGCGGTGTCAATCCTGGGAGATTGCAATTTGGGAGATAGTATCGCTGTTAATGGTACGCTGAAGTTAACTGCCGATATCGTCCAGCACATGCCGCTAACCCGAGTGTACAGGAACATGCTTAACCGTCACCGAATTCGATGAAGATAGCTTCAAAGTCGGCATCTCTCCAGAAACACTACGAAGAACATCATTGGGTGATCTGAAAGAGGGAAGCCCAGTGAATTTGGAGAGAGCGATGGCTGCGCATGTGCGATTCGGTGGTCATTTCGTACAGGGACATGTCGACACTACTGCTGAGATCCTCTCAATAACCCCCGATGGCAACGCACTTACCTTCCGCTTCCGCCCACATGATGATTCTTTGATGAAGTACATCATTGAGAAGGGGTATGTTACGCTTGATGGAACTTCCTTAACGGTCGTCGAGGTGAATGATGAGGAGAAGTGGTTCTCGATCATGATGGTTGCATATACACAAGAGAAAGTCATCATGCCTACAAAGAAGGTTGGGCAGAAGGTCAATGTTGAGGTTGACATGATTGGAAAGTTAGTTGAGAAGCAGGTTGCGGCTGCGGTTGGAAACTTGGAGAACAATGGCGTGTTGGAGACGATGATTAAGAGGGTTTTGGCGAAGCAGCAAGCATGAGGAGGCATCGGGTTTACAGTGGGAAGGGAGAAGGGAGACAAGCATAAGTAATCAGAACATTTCTGGTGGTAATATTATGAAAATCGAGAGACCCCGCTAGAATGCAAACCAGAACTCCAAGCAACCATATACCAAGAACTTTTCGCCCACAGCGCTAACGCTCCTCCTGATCCATATCATCCCTCTTTCTCTTTCCACCCTTCGGACCAGCCTTGCCCCTGTTAATCCCCTCACCCTTTCCTCTCTTCGCATGCAAATCCTTCATGTCGATAATTGCCTGTCTCTGTGCCTCTCCCACACGCTCAGACAAAATCATGACAGCCTCCTTGTCAGCCTTGTACTCATCCATCTTGGAGCCGAGTGCAGCCTCGATACGAAGGAAGAGTTCGAGGTCGTATTGAGTGACGAGGGACATGGACTTTCCTGCACGTCCAGCACGGGCTGTACGTCCGACACGGTGAATATACGCTTTCGAGTCCGTCGGAATATCAAAGTTCATAACACAGTCGACTGCTGGGATATCCAATCCACGCGCCGCAACATCCGTAGCCACCAAGATATTCCTCGCCCCAGACTTGAATTTGTTCAGGGCACCGAGACGCGAAGTTTGTGACATTTGTCCATGGAGCGGGACGGCTGCGAACCCGAGATGACGGAGGAGGATGGCGATACGTTGAGTGTCGTTACATGTTCTCGCGAAAATGATGACTGAGTTTCCGGCGAGTTCGTTAACGAGGTAGACGAGGTACGTATCTTTGTGCTTGAAGGGGAAGAAGAGGTAGTTTTGCGTAAGCTTGTCGGCGGTGGAGTATTTCGTGTCAACGGCGACGCGGACAGGGTTTGAAAGAGATGCACGCTGTAACTTTTCGACTTTTGAGGTCATTGTTGCGGAGTAGAGGTAGGTGTTGCGTTCCTTCGGGATGACCTTCAAAATCTTGTCAATCATGGGTCCGAAGTCCATGTCGAGCAATCTGTCGGCTTCGTCGAGGACGAGATATTTTATGGATCGGAGGGAGAATCCTTTGGTATTTTCGAGGTGATCTTGGAGACGACCGGGGGTTGCGACGATGACGTGGGGTTTCTTGGAGAGTGCGACGGATTGGGACATCATGTCCATTCCACCAACGACGACTGCACAACGGACACCGATCCCACCTCCCAAAGCCTCGAATTGTTCACCGATTTGGTAAGCCAATTCACGAGTGGGTGCAAGAACACATGCGAACAGCCCTTGCGGCTTCTCCCAGAGAGCTTGGAGAATGGGAAGAGCGAATGCGGCGGTCTTTCCGGAACCGGTCTGTGCGAGACCGATGATATCGCGGCCTTCGAGTGAGTGAGGAAGGGATTCAGCTTGGATTGGCGAGGGTATGGTGTACTTGAGCTTCTCGCAGGCTTCGCAAAGCTCCGGCATGAGACCAAGTTCGGCGAACGACTTGACCTCCTTCTTCTCTTCCTCCGCCACTTGAGGCTCGGGCGACACTGATGCTTCCTTCTTAGATCCAGGCATGATATTGATCACGTATAGTCTTGATTTTTGTTTGCCTCCAAGCTGCCGGTGTCGTACTCTATTTCGAAATTTCGGAGAGTGGCTGGTGTGGCGCACCTTATCGATTTCGCAGCAAAAGTTCGAGATACGCATGGGAACACACAAAATACACCTGTAGGCCTCCCCAAACACCAATTCACAATGGCAAAGCGAAGACAAAAGCAGAGAACGCATGTCAAGAAGGATGCGGATGCTACTGCCGCCGGCCAAAAAATCCCAAAGTCGATGGTGATCAGGACTGGTGCGAATGAGATCGGTGCCTCGCTCTCGCAGCTTGTCAGGGATTTTAGGAGGGTTATGGAGCCGCATACTGCGTCACGGTTGAAGGAGAGAAAGGCGAACAGGCTGAAGGATTTCGTGACGATGGCGGGGCCGTTGGGGGTTACGCATCTCATGCTCTTCTCCCGATCCGAGAACGGGGTTAACCTCCGTATTGCGCGCACACCCCGAGGACCGACTCTTCATTTCAAGGTCTCGTCGTATTCTTTGGCACGGGATATCCAGAAGACACAGCGGAATCCGAAGAGTCCGGGCGCGGAGTACCTCACCCCTCCACTTTTGGTGTTGAACAACTTCAAGGCATCGGGTGGGAAGGATGCGCCGTACGAGACGCTCTTGACCTCCACCTTCCAGAATTTGTTCCCGCCGATTAGCGCGCAACACACCTCCCTCGCCTCCATCCGCCGTGTACTCCTATTGCACCGTGACCCCAACGACCCTGAGGGCGCAATCGATTTGAGACATTACGCCATCACGACAAAGGCTGTGGGTGTCGGACGTGGTGTTAGGAAGTTGGTCAATGGAGATGGTGTCGCGGATTTGGGACGGGTAAAGGATATCGCGGATTATGTCTTGCAACAGGATGCTGGGTATAATTCTGAGAGTGAGGTTGAGGATGATGCGAAGGTTGAGGTTAAGCGCGAGGACGGAGGCGCGAGGAGGAGGGGGCAGGGGGAGGGAACCCAGCAACGCGCTATCAAATTGGTCGAACTCGGACCTAGGATGAGGTTGCATTTGACGAAGGTTGTGGAGGGTGTGTGTGACGGAAAGGTCCTCCACCACGCTCACATCAAAAAGACAGCCGCCGAAGAACGCGAACAGGAACGGAAACACAAGGAGAAGATCAAGCTTAAGGAAGCCCGCAGAAAGGAGCAGGCTGATAATGTTGCACGCAAGAAGGCGGAGAAGGACGCGATGAAGGTGAAGAGAGACGAGGCCAGGGGGAGGGGTGAGGAGGTTGAGAGTGAGGAAGAGGATGAGGAGATGGAGGATGCGATCGCGGAGGCGGAGGGGTGGAGTGATGATGATGGTGAGGGGAGCTATGATGAGATGGAGGGGATTGATGAGATGGAGGAGGCGGCGGGTGCGGAGGAGGAGGAGGATGGGGAGGAATCGGAGTAGACTAAAGCATATACCACATTATATTGACGGTGTGTTTCCCCTCCATCTTCTAATGTCATTGTATCCACCACCTCGAAGCCCATTTTCTCGTCTGTCTATCTGCGCTTTGGGGTCTTTTTGGAATTCGCACGGTGGAATTGGCTGGGCGGTCGAGTTCAGGGGTAGCCATGACCCAAAGGGGAAAGCCTGGTGATGATCAGTGGGCATACGTAACGCGCACTGCAACGGCGACTTCGACATCAACGAAGGAGAACAGCAACGAATAGACAATCACTGCAAAGATGTCGACTTTAGAAGGTGAAAATATCACGAAATCTTGTCTTTTTGTGTAGCGCTGACGCAGTTGTTTGCAGAACTCGCCGCAATGGAGAACGAGAATGCTCCTCTCCTCAATGACAACGAGGAGAAGATGGGGGATGCCGAGGATGAGATCGATGCTGAAATCTTGAGGTCGAGCAGTGAGGAGATTGTTAACCGAACGAGACTGCTGGAGAACGACATCAAGGTACAATGGGCAATTCCTCACCACCTGGCTACCTGCTGACAGAAGGGATGACAGGTCATGCGTTCCGAATACCAGCGTCTAACCCATGAATCAAACACAATGAAAGAGAAGATCAAGGACAACACAGAGAAAATCGAAAATAACCGTCAATTACCCTACCTTGTCGGCAACATCGTCGAAATTCTTGACATGGACCCCGAAACCGCCGAAGAAGAGGATGGCGCAAACACCGACTCAGACGCAGTCCGCAAAGGAAAGTCTGCGGTGATCAAGACCTCGACGCGCCAGACTGTCTTTTTGCCGTTGATTGGATTGGTGGATGAGGAGAAGTTGAAGCCGGGGGATTTGATCGGTGTCAACAAGGACTCGTATCTCGTCCTCGATACGCTTCCAGCAGAGTACGATAACCGTGTCAAAGCAATGGAGGTAGACGAGAAGCCTACGGAGTCATACACGGATATCGGTGGTTTGGACAAGCAAATTGAAGAGTTGGTCGAGGCTGTTGTGTTGCCCTTGCAGCAGGCGGATAAGTTCAAGAAACTTGGTGTTAAGCCCCCGAAGGGAGCATTGATGTATGGACCCCCCGGAACTGGAAAGACGCTTTTGGCGCGTGCTTGTGCTGCGCAGACGAATGCTACATACCTCAAGATCGCTGCGCCGCAGTTGGTTCAGATGTTCATTGGTGATGGTGCCAAGCTCGTCCGTGACGCATTCGCATTGGCGAAAGAAAAGGCTCCCGCAATCATCTTCATCGACGAGTTGGACGCGATTGGTACGAAGCGTTTCGACAGTGATAAGAGCGGTGACCGCGAAGTTCAACGAACAATGCTCGAACTCCTCAACCAACTCGATGGTTTCTCATCCGACGACCGCGTCAAAGTCCTCGCCGCCACAAACCGCGTCGACACCCTCGACCCAGCCCTCCTCCGTTCCGGCCGTCTCGACCGCAAAATCGAGTTTCCCCTTCCCAACGAAGAAGCACGTGCCCGAATCCTCCAGATTCATTCACGTAAGATGACGGTCGACGACAAGGTCAATTGGGATGAGTTGGCGAGGAGTACGGATGAGTATAATGGAGCGATGTTGAAGCAGGTATGTGTGGAGGCGGGTATGATTGCGTTGAGGAGTGGGGAGACGAAGATTGAGCATGAGCATTACATGGAGGGTGTGCAGGAGGTGCAGATGAGGAAGAATAAGCCTAGTTCGATTTACGCTTAAAGAACTTGGGAAGTGGGAGTTTGATACCTTCGAGAATACAATTCATTGCTATGTCAGATCCCTTTGTACACGACTTGTAGAGAGACTTTAAACTTGGGTCACACCCTTGCGGAAACGGGCTTGCGGTGCTTACACGCGATCACAACAGAGCTTCAATTGCGGTAGAGCAGAGAGCGGCATGAAGGATGCAAAATGAAATACACTCATCAATCTACGGTAATTTGACCTTACCAGGTTTCCGATTGCGGGCCACAGAGATGAACGGCGCCACACCTTGTCTGACAGCCGCCAAATCGATAACCATCCATCGGCAACATCCGCCGGCAGCTAACCCTAGCTCATATCCGCACCACGAAATCCCAACACCAGCACACCACCACCTCTCAACATCGTCAGCAATCCATTCGCTTTTCTCCTGCTTTTCATTTGAACCTCTGTCACAATGGGTCGTTTACGTTCTCGTTCCAGAGTCCCTTCTGCGGCTTCGTGGTGGCCGCATATACTTAACATCGGCAAAGCCAGTGTGTTCCGCCGTGTTTGGATGAATGTGTTGTTGCAGAGTGTTTTTGCATTCACCGTCGCTTATGGTGCATTTACCGAGAAGAATTGTTGCAGGTTTTACTGACTGGAGGTGTAGTTGACATCGTCGTTGACTATAACTTGGGTGCACCTAACGCCATTGTTCCCCTTTTGTCGGCCGTTGTGGGCCTGTTGCTGGTTTTTCGTAATGGTATAGTACGCAAAAAGCAGCTCAGTTTTACTAGACTGGCTAACTGAAGTTGCGGCTATACAGGGTCCTCTTTTGAGAGTAAGTTTAGCTCTCTCGGGTGTAGGTTGATGGCTAATGGTGTATACTAGGTTTCCGCGAAGGTTTCCCGGCATATGTGCATGATTTATCTCGAATATTTCTGACGAACTTACTGTAGGACGTGCACTCTTTCAAAATCTGACATCCGCTGTACGGTAAGCGTCGTTACATTGATGTACTGCGCATTCAGCTGACAAGCTTACAGCAATTGCGCCCGTATGGTTCACATTTCCATTCCAGAATCATCCGCCGAAGACCGTCTCGAGAAACAACGCGCCATTAAGCTTATGATATCTTTCGCATATAGTGTGAAGCATCATTTACGCCGTCAGTTCGGTGTCAGGAAGGACTTTGCACATCTCCGTAAAACTTTCAGTTTCGCAAGACGATAGTATGCTTATTGATAATATAGTACCTCCCGGTTACAACCCAAGCGAACGCTACTCCACCGCTCGATACACGGCTGACATGCAGTGGAACGAGGAAAGTCGGTGGGCTGAAGGTGGACAGGGCTATCTCCCCAACGGAGTCGCTTTGTCCATGGGACTACCGCTGGAGATCACCTTTGTTTTGGCGACATACAATCAAGAGGTGAAACTACCGTGCGGCCGGACGTAGTAAATCGCTCAACTGGATTTGTACAGTGCAAAACGCGCGGACTAATCGATTCTCCCACGACTATAACCATGAAAGGCTACATTGCGGGGATGACCGCGGTAAGTATTGCTTGCATGTCAGCTTAGCGTGATGCTCATTCTACTACAGAGCTTTGGTAGTTTGGAGAGGGTCAAGGTAGCTTGTCCTGTTCGAAAACCTCCAACGTTACTCATGAACCTCAACTACAGGCTACTCCTATCCCGCTTTGCCACCACATCCACGAGAAGCAAACCCTCCTCCTCTACTGCTGCAGTCTTCCGTTCACGCTTGTGAACGACATGGGATGGTCAGGAAACTAGCCCTTCCGTCACCGCCCCTCTAACATGTTGTGTCAGGTACATGATCCTTGTCGTCGCAATGGTTTCGTTTACCCTGTACGGCATCGAAGGAATTGGGCAAGAGATGGAGGACCCGTTCGGCGATGACTACAACGACATCAACATGGACGAGCTCATCTCCAACATGGCATGCCCATGCTCACATTTCTTAAGCAATTTGTCTGACTTCGGTTTAGCACCGCGAACTCATGTACTGCATCGAAAATATTCCCACAGCTGCCGACGGACGTATCCTCCTCAACGGCGTCAGGACACGCTCTTCGTCCAACGCTACGATCAGATCTTCTCAGTTACAGATGCCTAGTGCCAGTGGACTGCTCAGTGGGAGTGCGAGTGAGAGGCGGCATGCGAATGACAGCAGTGGGAGGGAGGAGGGAGAGGAGCAGGAGCCCCTTATCCCGGTTTAAGTCAGAAGTCCATATAAAGCGAAGAAGAGGGGACAATCACACAAGCATTGATAGCCACCATTCAGAACAAGTTGGAGGAATAAATATATGGTGTTATTATCTGCTGCTCATATGCGTGTGAACCCTCTCATGCAAACTTCACCTTCGGCGCTCAGAACCTCTTCCTCAGCGGACTAGCAGGAAACCCCGCACTCCCTCCCTGATCCCTCTCCAACCACGGCTGCTTCGCAAACAACCCCTGCCCGCTACTCCCTGGTCTTTGCGGCGTCCCACTCCCCGGCCTTTGTGGTCGCATCGGACTGGCTTGGTATCCAGCTGGACGTAGCGAGCCCATCGATTTAGAGGGAGAGACCGGGCGACGTGGGGATCCCATTGCATCGGGGCCGGCGTAGGAGTTGGGTGCGGGCATTGACATGCGGGGGGCGAGTTTCACTGGTGATGGACCGACAGCTTGGCCGGGGAGTGAGTGTCTGATGGAGCCTGGCAGTACCGGTCCGGTATGGGCTTGCGTGCTCATCGCTGTAGTCATCTTGATAAGTTGAGGAGTGTGCACCTCAACCTCCACCGTACTCGTCTCCGCATCAACCCCACTGGCCTGCGTCGCAACATCCCTCTTCACAACCGACAACCTCGGCTGCACGAACTTAACCTCATACTCATTCATCACCTCCCCAAACACTACCTGCTTATCCCTCCCCTGTCTCTCATGCCACCCCATAAGCACCCACAACTGCGCACCAACGCCCGCAGAAACCACCAGTGTCCAAAAAAAGTTCGCAGGTGTAAGGTTGAAGAGCATTACTGCCGAGGCAGGGGAGAAGGTACAGAAGAAGCGGAGTGAGAATGTGGTGGGGTTCCAGATTGATAGTTGCCAGACATCGCGGTCGGAGTCGGGGTGGATGGAGGGTTGGGGGTTGAGGTAGGAGGCTATGAGGGAGTGGAGGCGGGAGGGGGAGGTTTCGATGCGGACGCGGCGGGCGGAGGGTGTTGATGGTCCAGTCTGTAGCTCCACGTGTTAGCTGTGAGATAGTAGCATACAGTTTGAAATTACCTCTGATTCTGCGTCTTTTTGGAAGAGGCGGTATTCGCGCGTGCGAAAGAAGCAGTAGAGAGTGTTCAGGATGCTGAGGGCGACGAGCATAACAGCAATAAGCGAAAGCTACAGTGGTTGTCAGTAAACCGAGCAACAGGCTGCGAGAATTGAAGCATACCGTCGACCCAAACAACCCTTTCGCCGTCTCATTCGTAAACACTCCTCCTTTGGCACCTCCATAACCCCTCGAACCCGGCCTCGCAAACACATCACCGTTCCCATCCCACTTCGACTGAAGCGCCTTCCATAACCGGCATCCAGCCAACACGACATTCGCCGCGATCCCCGCCGGCAATGACGTCGATTTCTCGAATGCTTCCCATTCGATCGTATCCCACTCCTCACCAAAACTCAGAACCCAGTCTTTCGGCGCGGAGAGAACGCGCTTGTACAGCGGAGCCCTTCTCACCAATCGCCTGGTCGGAGGCATCTTGAATCTACTGAACAGTATCGACAATTGTTGGAGGTGTGCTCAATGTTTTGGTTGTGGCTCACCAGGCACGGGCCATCTCGGCTCCAAACCCACGACAAATACTTCCTCGGTTGAAGAGACAGAGAAGAGATATTTGCACAGAGATACGATGCCGCCTGTCCGATCACGAGTTACTATTCCGGGGAATGGAGGGAGGGATAATTCCGTTCAGAAAGACGCGACGGAAGAACGGGGTTCGGCAACGACGCAGCCGACTTCCTCGAAAGAGGTGCCTCCGGTACGTGTTTCTATCCCCGAACCTCTGCCATGTCCTTCACAGAGGGCTATGAAACGTCGAAATATGCCGGATCACGTTTACTAACCCCTCTATCACCACCAGCTCGACTTCACCTCCCTCCCCCTCTCCACGCTCCGCAAATACCGTCATACCTACAATCTCGCCTTCACCCCCACAACCTATCCCAGCGCCCTGTACGGCCCCCTCCTCAACCCATCTCAAAATCTAAACAATGCGCGCGAGTACACGATGGTCAAACGGAGTACTACGTATCATGGGAGCGTGAAGGATGAGTTGGCGGGGGTAGTGAGGAAGCATTTCGTCGCGATGCCGATCAAGGATAATGATGTTATCGTGAATTTTCTGTACAGTGTTAAGAATCGGGGTATGTCTAATTTCCAAATCTGCGTGTTGAAGAGTGCTAATCTGGGTTTTGGGGGAACAGACAAAACGTTCAAGATGAAGTTTCCACCGGAGACGCGTTGATCCACAGAGGACAACACTCAAAACTCTCGACATGGTTCGGGCGATATGGTTTATTGGGATTAATCGGCACATCGGCGTTTTGGAGGGTTCGGTTTCAATTCTTACGGGGTTTCTTTCTTATTGTTGTTATTCGCGTCGCGTCATACTCGCAGCTAATACAGCTTGACGCATTTCCACTACCACTGAAAAGAGGACATGATTGAGAAGAGTATATTGTACACGTATATGAGTGAAGTAAACCATCCATGCACCGGTATACCCATGATGATCCCTAAAACGAACGAACGCTCGATGCAACACGACAAGCTCCATGACCAAACACCCCTATCATAACACTTGTATATCTCAAGTTTTTTTGGTGACCAACCGTCCTTGTTGACGTCGTTTCTTTCGTCCTCGCTCTCGCCTTCGACTTCTTCATGATGCATAGGCTCGGCGTCGGACGGCTTGCCCTTGAGCGTGTCCTTCTCTTCCTTCGCTCCTCTTCCTTCTTAGGCAGGTCCAGAACCCTTCTTCGTCTCTTCCCCGCCCTCTTTTCCGTCCTTCTGGGTAAACTTGCTAAACGCCTTCTTGAAAAACCCTCCAGACCCATCCTTCTCCGTAGTCGCAGTCTCATTAGCCTGCCCAGCTGCCCCACTCGAGTTCGAGCTCGTCGAAGAAGAAAAGTCAGTGGTGACCTTTGCGTTCTTATCCCCAAATGCAACCGCGAGCTGCTCAAACAACTGTCTCTGGTGCGGACTCAACGATTTCGGCGTCTTCACACTAAACTCGACCCTGAAATCACCCTTTGCCCGGCCTCCATTGACATCGGGCATACCGCGTCCCCCGATGACGACGCCCTCCCCTGTACTGACTCCAGCGGGGATTTTGAGATCGACTTCACCCTCAATCGTCGGGATGCGGATTTTGCCGCCGAGGACGGCGGTGGTGAGGGGTACGGTGGCGGAATAGAGGATGTTGCGGCCTTGGCGGCGGAATGTGGGATGAGGCGCGACGCGGACGTGGACGTACATATCTCCACGACGTGCTTTCGCACCTGGTGTCGTCGTGGCTTGTGTCGGGTAATCACCCTCCCCAGCCAGTTTGATCGTCATACCGTCCTCGATACCGGCCGGGATGTCGACTTTGATGGTTTTGCGGGCACGGATCGCACCGTCGCCGCGGCACGGTTTACATTCGGAGCCGGCGGGGACGTGGACGCCGGCACCACCACATGATGTACACGTCGTTTGCATGTGGAATCCGCCTTGGAGGACGTGCATGATTTGCCCGCTTCCACCACAGCGTCCACATGTGCTCCTTTTCGCGCCGCTCTTTAGACCTGAGCCGGAACAGGTGTTGCATGGGTCGTGGGTGGAGACGGTAAGAGGGACTGTTGTGCCTTTTGCGGAGTCGAGGAAGGAGATGGAGGCTTCGGTTTCGATGTTGGCGCCGACGATTGGGCCGGGGTTTCTGCGGGAGCCGCCCATGCCGCCGTTTGCGAATGCGCCGAATAGGTCTTCGAAGTTGAACCCTCCTGCTCCTCCGAATCCGCCTTGTCCGCCAAACCCATCGAAACCACCGAAACCTCCACCTGGGCCTCCACCCATGCCACCTCCCTGTTCGAACGCTGCAGCACCAAATTGGTCATACTGCTCCCTCTTCTTCGCATCACTCAAAATCTCGTACGAACTCTGAATTTCCTGGAATTTCGCGGCAGCATCGGGTTCTTTCGAGGTATCCGGGTGGTATTTCTTGGCGGCTGCGTAGTATGCTTTCTTGATGTCGCCGGATTTTGCGGCCTTATCTACGCCCAACACCTTGTACGGATCCTTCATGGCCTGAGCAGGTGCTGTAGCGTGGAACGACCGTCTCTGTTTGGAGAGGCATTCGAGGTTGTGTGAGCGTGGTCTCGCCTTGTTCGAGGAGGTCGAGTAGAATGCCGCCGCCCTCGGAGCGTCCCCTCCCACCACGCCCGTCACGGTGGGGCGAACGGGGACTGATCCCGGGGTCGCGACTCTTCGCCGGGCAACGCCGTTCAACACGGGAGCGATCTTTATGTTCATAGCTGGTCAATCAACAGTCGAGGAGAGGAAGGCGTGCTTTTATGTTTTCGCGTTTCCCGAAATTTCGATTGGCCTCCCCGGAGTACCTGACGTGCCTGACGTGCCTGGCGTGCCTGACGTGCCTGACGTGCCTCAGGTACAATACACACACACACACACCCACACACCCACACACCCGCACCCCAACGATGGACGACGCAACGGCCTTGCTGGTCATCATCGCGGCGGCTTTCATCTTCTTCAAATGGCTCACCTCCACTTCGCCCTCGCCGCGATCCCAACTGCTCCTCACCCAGGGAATGGTTGACGTATGCCCTCCTCCCTCCCTCCCTCCCCTCCCAGCTAATAAATATACCGCCGTGACAGATCGTCCAGGCAATGTTCCCACACGTCGACCCCCTCTCAATCCGCTACGACCTCGAACGTACCCTCTCCGTCGAAGCAACAACAGACAAGATACTCTCTACTGGTTCCCTCCCTACTCCTCCGCCAACATGGACGCCGCCCGTTACCTCCTCCTCGTCGAGCTCCGCGGCCGGAGGTGATAACCTGTATGCACCGCCTCCCCGCACAGCACGAGTGCCGACGGCAAGGATGGATACCGAGACACGCCATAACGCACCGACCCCGCCTCAACCCGACCTCATCACAAAATACAACCTCCGCTCAAAACTCGCCTCTCCTCCCTCCTTGTCCAAAGATGGTCCACGTGGTTCCGCGGGCAAGTCTTGGAGCACGAGTAAAGATGAACGCCAAACCGCCTTGCGCAGGAGACAAGAGGAGATGATCATCAAAGCGCGGAAAGCGTTGGAGGAGAAGATCAAGAAGGGGGATTTGGGGGACGAATAAACGTCATCATCATACACAATGCTTTAGCACAATCTGATTGCATGCGATAAACATTACAACGGCTTCATACCCACACATAACTCCACACTAACTATGAACCCAAACGCCATGCCAGTCTATCACCTCCCTCAAGGGCTTGAATGCTACGCCCCCGAACTCGCCTGCACAACACTCGTCCCATCCAAAAACCTCGTCCGAAACAACCGATTCGCATTCGAGAACATGCCCTCCTTCAAACTCACAACCACAAACTGCGCACCCTTGAACCGCGTCTTGATCAACCTCCCGATATTCTGCGTGTGTGACAGATCGAGAGCGGCGTCGACTTCGTCCAAGATGTACATTGGTGCGGGCTTGAATTGGAGGAGAGACATGATGAGGGAGAGCGCGATGAGGGAGCGTTGGCCGCCCGAGAGTTCGGTCAGGGATTGCTTCCAGACTTTGCCGAGGCAGACTTTTACTTCCAGGCCTTCGGTAACGTCCTTTCCCTCCGGTGGCTCCAGTTTGGCGGTGTTACCCGGCAACAGCTCACCAAAGATGTTACCAAAGTCAACAGAGACCTTGGTCCAAGTCTTGTCCAAAGCCTCCTTCTTGTATTCATCCAAACTTGCGATGGTTTCCTCGATCTTCCTTTTATCCCTGATGATGGTGCGGATGTTGTTTTTGAGTGCAGCTTCCTTCTTCTCGACAGAGTCAATCATGTTCATGACCTTCGCGTTAACTTTCTTCTTCATGCCTTGGTAACGCTCAGACAGGACCTTGTGCTGCGCTTTGCACTCGGAGATGTTGTAAGCGGAGAAGTGATAGGGAGTACCGGGCTTGTTGAAGTGCTCCTTCTCGTCATCGATCCAGTCATGCTCCTTCTCCAGCTTAGTCAAACTCTGCTGGGCATCTTGAACGACTTTGTGAAACTGCTCAACGTCATGTTTCAGAGTCTTGACTTCCAATGCCTCGTCAGCGATTTGCTGGTTCTTGCTCTTGGCAGCCTGCTCAAGACTAGCCAGTTCCTCATTAAACCCGGTCAACTTGGCCTTCTCGTCCTCCAACTCCGCGCTCAGGAGGTCATGCTTGTCTTTCACAGCCGCATGCGCTTTCCTCAACTCACTGACTTCGGCTTCCTGAGCTTCAACACCAGCAGCGGCATCCTTGAACGCTTCCTGCGCAGCTTCAAGGTCACCACCAAGCTGCTCAGTCTCAAGCTGCAGAGTCTGGTATTCCTTCTGCTGCGCCTTGACTGTAGCAGATTGCTTAGCGACCTTCTCCTTCAGTTCATCAACGGTCTTCTGCAACTCGGCCAACTTTGAGTCCTTGTTATTATTGAACTCCTCCATCTCCTTCTCGATGGCCTTGGCATCCTTCTTCGCCTGACTTTCCCTAGCCTTAGCTTCCGTGATGAGAGTCGAGAGCGTCTCGACCTCCTGCTTCATATTCTCAATCTCATTGATGATACGGGAATCAGAGTTCGAGGTGATCTGCCCTTCCATCAAAGTCGCCTCATGCTTCTTCAAATCAAGCGCTTGCTTCAACTTCTTCGCTTGCTGCATCATCTGTTGCTCCTGAGCCATGACCCTGTTGAGCTCATCCAATCTCGCTCTGGCCGCATCCAACTCCCTCGTGATCTCGTTCAACTTTTGCAGCTGCACGAGCACGCCGGATGAGTTTGGAGATGAACCACCTGAAAGAGTGCCAGACGGGTCATACACATCTCCATCGAGCGTGACAGACTTCAACCTCACATTCGGGTCGAAAGTAACACGCTTCGCAGTCTCCGCATCAGCACAAATAAGCGTAGAACCAAATACGTACTCCATCGCCTTGGACACTTCCTCATCATACCCAACCAAGCTCAACGCCAAATCGACCTTGTTAGGAGCAATCTTGTGCGCAGCGGCGATCTTCTCGGCGGAAGCCCTGAAGGCGGAGATCTTGTTCAAGGGAATGATAGTAACCCTCTTCCTCAGCTTTCCTTTCTGCAATAACTGCGTACCAACGACCTCGTTATCCACAACGACGTTGTACAGCCTTCCACCCGCACAGATCTCCAACGCAGTAGACTTGTTGAAATTCTTCTCATCAAGGGTGAACAACTGCGCAACCAACCCCTTCACCTGTCTGCGGTCAAAGTTGGGCGTCGGGTTTGAATACGTAAAGTCGATGTTGGCCACCTTCCTCTTCAACACATCACTCTTCTCCGTCAACTCGCGAACCTGATTTTGTAGCTGAGTCCTGGCCTTCATCATCTCCGCCTCTCTTCCCTCCTGGAACCCCATACTTCCAAGTTGAGCTTCCAACTGCTGAGCTTGCGCTCTCAGCTGTTCCAGGTTCTTCGACAAACCCTTATTCTGCTCACGAGCCTTCTTTGCTCGAGGCTCGTCCTTCCCGATACGCTCCTGGAAATGTGCGATCTTGAGCTTCGCTTGTTCCTGCTCAGTCGCAGCCTGGCTTGCACGATTCCTGGCATCCTGTAGTTGGTCCATGTAACCGTTGTCCTGTCCTTCCCTCGCAGCAACACCCGTACTAAGCGTCTGGAGCAATTCTTCCTTCTTCAAGGCCTCTTGCTGCTGCGCATCGTACTCGGACTTCATCTTCTCGTACGAAGCCGACATAGCCGTGAATGAAGCCTGCTTCTCCCGAAGCGCACGTTCAACCTCCGCCACCATGTTCTGCGATTCCACGAGTTGCTTCTTATCCTCCGTCACGCTGCCGTTCTTCAACTCAATTTGTGCATTCAGACGGACAACCTCATGCGAAGTCTCCTTAACCTCATTCTCCAACTTCTGAAACCGACCACCCTTCCTCAGCTCCTTTTCCCGCTTTGACTTCAACTGCTCAATATCCTCCTCGATATTCGCAATCTCGGTCTTCGCACGCTTCGCGTTGGCCTCCAAGTCGTCGATCCTCCGCTTCTTCGCTTCGAGGTCAGCTCCAGACCGTGACAGGCGCTCTTGGTACTTGGTGTAGTCATGTGCCACGACGACCTTGGTCATGCGTTCCAAGTCGCTTCGCGTCTGCTGGAACTCGAGGAAAGCACGCTTCTCTCCCCTCAGCTTTTCCAGCTTCGGCTCAATTTCATCACGTAACAGCTCCTCAATCTCCTTCACCTTCAAATCTTTCTTCGACATGGTCTTGAACGCCTTATCCTTCCTCTCCTCAAACATCCTGGTTCCGGCAGCTTCTTCGATCATCGCAAGAATCTCCGTAGCCTTCATGTTAAGAACTTTCGTGATCCTTCCTTGCATAATCAAGAAATTCGGGTTGTTGATATTCAACTGCACAGACTGGAACAAATTCTGCACAGTTTGTTGTTGCGCTCTATGTCCATTAATCAAGTACTTGCTCGTTCCACCCATAACAATCTGCCTCGTTACGGATATTTGGGCATACTCCTCGAACCCGATGGGTGATGACTTCGTATTCCGGTTATCGAAGACGATGGTGACGGAGGCTTTTGTGACACCGGCTTGACCGCGCTTGTAAATGAGATCTTGAAGGTTTTGGGCACGGACTGTGGACATGTTTGTGATACCGAGGACGAAACAAATCGCGTCGAGGATGTTGGACTTTCCGGAACCGTTGAGACCCTGTACGACGATTTAACAAAGCCTTCGAAAGCAATGGCGTTCTACATACCGTAATGGCATTGAAGGAGGAGTCCCAGCCGCTGATAACCGTGCGGACGGCATAGGACTTGAATCCATCGAGAATAAGTTCCTCGATCTTCATCGCGACTGAACCCTAACGAAATAACCGAACAAGGAATGTATGGTGTGCAAAACTGGCGCAAATGAATGAAGGACGACACCGAGTCGTTGGCGGTCGTTCAAGAGATTTCGTCGAGGATGCCGAGTTGATGATGGAGGACTGTTTACGTCGCGCTCGTACCAAAACACCGACCGTGGAGTGCATGCAGGGTGCAGAGCAACGGTTGTCATGCAAAGCAAGAAGCATGAAATTGACTTAGAAACCACAGACCTTCCTTATAAAAAGCCTTCATGTTCTTTGGGGATCTGGCTTCTTGCTTGAGACTCCGGGAGCAGCCGGTCACCTGTCATCCACTTTCCGATCCTCTCCGACGCTGGGAGCGGCCACGGCGTCGATATTACCGCGGGTTATCGATTACGGTATCCCCCGCCTTATGCGTATGGGAAACTTCCAAGGTCGCCCAACAACGGCAGACAACCTTAACCTTAACCACCACGTCAACGGACATTCGCAACACAGGAAACAGCGGCCCCGTTTCCGTCTTTTCCATTCGCCATTTCTCCGGTCTTGCCCCAACATCATTCTTCTCCCCCCATCCAGGCCCTAGGTCTCAATAAAAAGCCAACCGAGGTAATCAGATCCATCACACCAAGGATTTGGTATTCGAGAATGTCAACTACCAACAGACCCTTCCTCTCAACAATGCTCACAAACATCTGGGCCTTCCGCTCAAGGCAGCAACTCCTGCGAACACTAGCTAAATCACCGTCACCACCCCCACAAGCACTCACCCCGCAACGGCAACGGCGGGGTTCGTCTACCTCTTTATCTTCACTGCACAGTCTCGAGAAGGGGCGGAAGAGTGTTGAGGCACCAGCAACAAACACAGGAACGGGGACGAGTGCGGGAGGAGGAGGTGGAGCTGGAGGTGGTGGAGGGCACCAGTGGGAGAGGGACGGTGGGAAGTTGTGGATTGGCGGGCGGACTGCGGACGGGAAGGAACAATATTACAGTCTGGGAGTCATCAGGTGCGTAAGATATCCCTGCCTATTAACGCAGGCCGCTAACGTCAATTTACAGGAGAAAATCATTCGACCGTATGTCGGTCTAATTACACCATGAAACGAAGAAAAATTTGAGAGGAGAGCATCAAAGTCGATAAGAGCATTACAAAGTTGACGAGGGTTGAACGAAGGAAGCGGTTTTATGTCTACGGGTTCTTAATTTATGTCACAGGGAAACGGAGAAAAAGAGCATTCACCGCGAAGAAGCTGGTGTTGCTAAACAGAAAACGCGTATTCATTTCACTCCACTCGATTCAAAGAAGAGAAGTCGTAATTCACTGTCCCCTTCAACTTGGCATATTATCTTCGTCATTCCCACGTTGGTATCGCGCAATCCCTACATGCACCAACTTGCAGCCAGGCACGGATCCAGCAGCAGAGGCGAAGACGGCCAAACCTTAATTCAAGACCATCTCGCCTCAACCTCCATACCTTGACCTCCACCCATTCGATCTGCCTTTCAGTGCACGGATCGCCCAATCACCAATGGACAACCTCGCAAAAACAGTTGCCTCCCGTCTCGGCCTCGAAGAAAACATGCCTCCAACCCCCCTCGACTCTCCCAAACGCGAAGCTTCCCCGCAAGTCAAAAAGCCCTTGTCCATGGCCACTGAACTCGTCTACATCGACTCCGCAACCGGTGTCCGGGATCCGTACAATGCTGCTTCCGTCCCAATTTACCAGACTGCGACGTTCAAGCAGAATTCTGCGACGCAGATGGGGGAGTATGACTACACTCGTTCTGGGAACCCGACGAGGAGTCAGTTGGAGAGGCATTTGGCGAAGATTATGAAGGCGAAGAGAGCGTTGGTTGTTACGTCGGGTATGGGTGCTATGGATGTGATCACTCGTCTCCTCAAGGCTGGAGACGAAGTCATCGCTGGAGATGACTTGTACGGCGGTACCAACAGATTGCTCAAGTATTTGAGCACACACGGTGGAATTACAGTCCACCACGTCGACACCACAAAGACCGAAAGTGTCATCCCCTTCCTCAACGAGAAAACCGCCCTCGTCCTCCTCGAAACCCCCACAAACCCTCTCATCAAAATCTGTGACATCACCGCAATCTCCTCCCTCGTCCACCAAAAGTGCCCCAACGGAGTCGTGGTTGTCGACAACACAATGATGTCCCCCATGCTCATGAACCCTCTCGACCTCGGCGCCGACATCGTCTACGAATCCGGCACCAAATACCTCTCGGGCCACCACGACCTCATGGCCGGAGTCCTCGCCGTCAATTCGGAAGATCTTGGTGAGAAGCTGTTTTTCACGATTAATGCTACGGGGTGTGGATTGAGTCCGTTTGATTCATGGTTGTTGTTGAGGGGTGTCAAGACCCTGGGTATCAGGATGGAGAAACAACAAGCAAATGCCGAGCGTATCGCAGCATACCTCGAGGACCGCGGGTTTAAGGTTCATTACCCAGGTCTCCGCTCCCACCCGCAATACGACCTCCACGCCCGTCTCGCACGCGGTCCAGGCGCAGTGTTGTCTTTCGAAACTGGATCAACCACCATCTCCGAGAAAATCGTCGAAGGTACCAAAATCCATGGTATCTCTGTGAGTTTCGGATGTATTAACTCTTTGATCTCGATGCCGTGTCGGATGAGTCATGCGAGTATCAATGAGCAGACGAGGAAGGAGAGAGGGTTGCCGGAGGATTTGATTCGCTTGGCCGTTGGGATTGAGGATGTGGAGGATTTGATTGAGGATTTGGAGGGGGCTATTGGGGGGGCTTATGAGGGGAGTGGGTTGGTGCCGGGACAGCAGGAGGCTTAGGTGTTTGTGTGTACGATATCAAAGGACTGAGTGAGGATTCACGAAAAAGGTTCTTGGGTTTTGTCGTGCAATTTTGGAAAAGGGTGTTGTAGCTCGTATTGATATACAGTTTTTCCTATTGAGTTGTGATCGCACTGTCAATCCAGTTGACGTCGAAACATGATCCTGACTCCTCACCGCCGCCCAACCTCCCCCTTCATCTCCTCCCTCGATTCCCACTCTGCATCCCTTTCCAAAAATGCATAAAACGCCCTGACCAACACCACCGTACTCGCATGCCACAATGCATGCGCATCCAACAAATCCCACACAGGCGGGAAATCAAACAACTCCAAACTCATGGCGCACCCAACCGCCACCACGATTGCCGCGGGCCATAGAGCCCATGCGGGGCGGGAAGAGTAGTGGGTGAGGGAGTAGTAGATCCAGAGGAGGTTGGAGGCGAAGCCAACTAGGACATTTGCGAGCATGTTGTAGCTGTAGTCGAAGGTCACAAAAGATAGGTAGGAGACGTGGGCGAGGTATGCAGTGAGGCAAATCAGGCCCCAGGATGTTACGATAGTTTTTGACTTGGGGTGTCGGTAGAGGTGGAAGATCCGGATAGGTACGTAGAAGAGGGTGTACATCATTGTCAACCCCGCCGCAAAGTAGTCTGCGCGTTCGGTGATGATGTAGTCCCGGGTATGGAAGATGGACGAGCAGAGCCAGGCCCACATCCCGACGATGGAGGAGATGAGGTAGAATGGTTTCATCACATAGCGATCGGGTATCCGCGCCCTCAGTCTCCTAAAACCGCGCCAGTGTTCGTATCCATTCAGGACGGAGAAAAGTACGGATAGTGGTTCTTGCATGCCAAAAATTCGAAGAAACGGCCATTTACCGTGGTATTGCTCGATGACATGGTTGGAAGCGACGTGTTCTGCCGTGAGTGCGCGTTGGCAGAGGTAGTCGCAGTTCGACTCGCAGGTCCAGCCTAGGAGGCGGAGGTGGATGGGGAGGTAGGTGGTGCCTGAAGATGGGTTGCAGAGGTTATCGGTGCATTTTTGGAGACAGTATTGGAATGCGGGAAGTCTGTCGCCTCGGGAGGCATATACAACTGTTGCTGCACAGCTGACAACTGCAGCCGTTGCGAGGAGAGCGTTTCGTCGTGTTACCGACATTTTATTTTTGGTGGTTTCCCAGGGTCCGCTTTGCGGTGGTAGTAGTCGAGGTCCAAGCGTAGCCGAATCACGTGAAGTCGCCCGCCGCCAGATATTTTCGAAACTGACTCCAACGTCCGTTCAACGAGAAGGAATATCCCATTCAGTAACCCCTTCAAATGACCCAGCAAGACGTTCAGATGACTGGTGCTACCTCTGCGCCTGCCCAGCCCGAGGGCATGACCTCCAAGGACTACTACTTTGACTCGTATGCCCACTTTGGTATTCACGAGGAAATGCTGAAGGATGAGGTCCGAACGAGGTCGTACCGCGACTCTGTGTTGAACAACAAGCACTTGTTCAAGGATAAGGTTGTTCTTGATGTTGGGTGCGGTACTGGTATTTTGTCCATGTTCTGCGCAAAGGCTGGAGCGAAGCACGTTTATGGTATCGATATGTCCAACATCATCAAGCAGGCACGGAAAATTGTCGATGTCAACGGATTGTCGGATAAGGTTACCCTGATCCAGGGTAAGATGGAGGAGATCGAGTTGCCGGTGCAGAAGGTCGACATTATCATCTCCGAGTGGATGGGATACTTCTTGTTGTATGAATCTATGTTGGACACCGTGTTGTTGGCTCGTGACAAGTACTTGGCGCCCGGTGGTATGATGTTCCCCGACAAGGCTACCATGTTCGTCGCTGGTATCGAGGATGGAGACTACAAGGAGGAGAAGATCGGTTACTGGGATGATGTGTACGGCTTTGACTACTCCCCCATCAAGGAGATCGCGCTCAAGGAGCCCCTGGTCGACATCGTCGACATCAAGAACGTCGTCACCGACCCTTGCTGTATCGCCTCCTTCGACCTCCTTACTGTCACCGTAGAAGACCTCGCCTTCTCCCGTGACTTCAGAATCATGGCCAGAAGAGACGACTACGTCCACGCCCTTATTTTCTGGTTCGACATCTCCTTCGACGCATGCCACAAGCCCGTCAAGTTCAGTACCGGACCCCACGCAAAGTACACTCATTGGAAGCAGACCGTGATGTACCTTCCCAACGACGGATTGGCCATGAAGGAGGGCGAGAGCATCGAGGGACACGTGAGCAGCAAGCCTAACGCGGAGAACCCCAGAGATTTGGATATCGTTATTTCTTACAAGTTTGAAGGAGAGCACGCCAAGGATGAGGGAAACTGCGAGTACAGAATGTGTTAAAGAAGTTGAATCTTGATCTTGAGATCGGTACGACAGAATGCAGTATGAGACGCCGAGACAGAGATGAAAGTGGAAAGCGGGAAGGTCGCGATCATTGATCGTTGGGGGAACGTTGGGAGGCGATAAGCTTATTGAGCGGCAAATGAAAGCATGTGAAGATCTAGCCAAGGAATTTGTTTTGTGAACAGCAGCGAATCGCATTAGAATTGATACCTTTTTACTCAATCTTTTTGATGGGACGGGAGGTTCTCGGTTTTTCCCTTAGTCCATATCATCTTGTGCAACGGCTCGGACTTGACGGCAGCTGACACTCGATCTCGGGCAGTGACGTCTGTGCCTATGAAAATAGACTATCGAAGGGCTGCGTAGGTAGACCCTTGAACTCCCCCAACCAACCAGACATTCGATACACGTCGGAATAAACTAAACGCTTCAGCTTTCCATTTGATTTAACAAACGACCTCCCTTCCGTTCTTGCTTGCTGCTTAACGATTACCTCATAGGCTTGGTTTTGTGAGAAGGCACTTCCGTGCACCGTGCACCGTGCACGATGGCGATGGACGGCTAACCTCGAACAATAGACTTTTACATTCGACTTATACATCTGTCGATTTACAGCTCCCATGTCCGATATCGCAAACGCCGCAAAGAGACTCTTCTCAAAGACAGGTTCGCAGGGCACCGTCCCAAAGGTCGCACAACACCGGCCAGATTCGCTAGTATCAGAATTCCACGATGAACAGCACTTGAACTCGGGACAGACGACACCGCAGCCATCGTTGTTTGATAAGAGATACCCTGAGATGAGTCACGACGACCGTGCGTCTCGAAATACGGTTACGAGCGATAATGATGGGTCGGTTACGAGCATTGAGAGCGTGCCTGTTGGGCCGCCGCGGGGACGATTGACGCTTACCATCGTGCAGGCGAGAAACCTGAAGATCTCGAACCCGAATGCGAGCCCGTATGTTGTGTGTACCTTCGAGGGTAACGAGTTCATCACCAGAGAGCCCGTACCCGAGAACGACGACATGGCACGCGGAGTCGTTATTCCCAAGTCTCGTCAGTCATCATTCACAGAGCTCACAGAGCTCAACGGCGGAAGGCCTACGATGAGCCGTGCGGGAACCAGCAGGCCTGGATCTGGCATGAACACGCCCTCGCTGAGCCCGAACCCGCACAAGAACTACCAGAAGGCTTCGAGCCCGTTTTGGAGGCACGAGGCTGCGTTCGACGTTTGTGGTGAGCACAGCGTCCTCGACGTATCCGTCTACGACAAATCCGACTCTGAGCTCTTCTTGGGTCACGTCCGTATCCACCCGATCCTGAAGCACGAACACGTTTCGGACGAGTGGTATAAGCTCCAGGTCCGTGACTCGAAGGAAGGTAACGAGAATGATGACCACGTCGGTGGTGAGATCAAGATTTCGATGGTTTATGAGAACGTCGAGAAACGCCACTACGGACCGGACGATTTTGAGGTTCTGAGGTTGATTGGAAAGGGAACGTTCGGTCAGGTGTACCAGGTCCGCAAGAAGGACACGCAGCGCATTTACGCCATGAAAGTCCTTTCCAAGAAGGTCATCGTGCAGAAGAAAGAAGTCGCTCACACCATCGGCGAGAGAAACATCTTGGTCCGTACCGCCATGGCCGACTCGCCATTCATCGTCGGACTCAAGTTCTCGTTCCAGACGCCTACTGACTTGTATTTGGTCACTGACTACATGTCTGGTGGAGAATTGTTCTGGCATTTGCAGCAGGAAGGAAAGTTCTCGGAGGCGAGGGCTAGGTTTTACATTGCGGAGCTTGTGTTGGCGTTGGAGCACTTGCACGACTATGATATCGTTTACCGTGATTTGAAACCGGAGAATATCCTGCTTGATGCGAATGGTCACATCGCGCTTTGTGACTTTGGTCTTTCCAAGGCCAACCTTTCGGCTGATGCTACGACCAACACATTCTGCGGCACGACTGAATACCTTGCTCCCGAGGTCCTCCTCGACGATGCTGGTTACACTAAGCTCGTTGACTTCTGGTCCCTTGGTGTCCTTGTCTTCGAGATGTGCTGTGGATGGTCTCCATTCTACGCCGAGGACACGCAGCAGATGTACAAGAACATCGCGTTCGGAAAGGTCAGGTTCCCCAAGGACGTTCTCTCTCAGGAGGGAAGGAACTTTGTCAAGGGCCTGTTGAACCGTAACCCGAAGAACCGATTGGGTGCCACGAGGGATGCGGCAGAATTGAAGGAGCACCCCTTCTTTGCTAACGTCGACTGGAACGCGATGTTGAGAAAGGAGGTTCCGCCTCCCTTCAAGCCGACATTGACGAGCGAGCTTGACACCTCGAACTTTGATCCCGAGTTCACTAATGCGCCCGCGACTGTCAGACCTGGGAACGAGATTACCGCGTCTACGCCTTTGTCGCCTGGTATGCAGGAGAAGTTCAAGGGTTTCACGTTTGTGGATGAGAACCTCGATGAGGACTTTGGTGGCCGAAAGAAGTTCCAGGAGGACTTGATGGATGAGGATGCCCTGGAGGGTACCGGCGTGACTGACGACGAGGACGAGGATGATGACGATATCGATACCGGCCACCATGACGATAGGATGGAGGAGGATGTGTTCAACTTCAAGGTATAATGGGTTGGCCATGGTTTGGGGTCTACAGGATTTGGGGAAATGTAAGTGTACGATGAGCAAAGAAGCAGAAGCATGAAAAAAAGGAAGAGCGTGGTTTCCTTACTTTTGCTTTTCCGTGTTAATTACTGGTTTTTGAGTGTACGCTTGCAAATGAGTGGAGTGTAACAGTTCAGCACAAAAATGCTAATGCCAATGGACGTTGCTTTCGATTATTTTGATTTGTTCATAATCCATCCTTCGGATTCTGATACCGTATGTGTATCTTCGACCTTCTACAAATACTACTACTACTATATACCTTCTCTCACAGCCCGGCCGAAGCTTCTGGGGCACATTGCCACGCCTTAGCTGCAGGCTGGGATAACCGCGCGTAAGTACAAAACCTATAAACCGCCACTTGTGACATCTCCATCAAACGGATCAGTTATCTCAAGATGCCCTCAAACAAATCTTATCAAGCTGTTCCTCAGACGGAAGATACCTTTTCGTCTCCTGCTGGTGCTCCTCCTCCGCCAGCCTACGGCGCTGCCCCACTCCACCCGCAACCTCGCTCCGATGATGTCGCCAGCAATGACTTCAAGATGGGTCTCGTTTCCCAAGTTGACATTGTGATTCGCATGGCATTCGTCCGCAAAGTCTACTCCATTCTCTTTGCTCAACTCGCCTTGACTTCTGCCGTCGGTGCCTTCTTCATGTTCTGCAAGCCTGTCCAGGCATGGATCCACCAGAACCAGTGGATGATGTTTTTGTCGTTATTTGGTACGATTGGGATGATGCTCGCGTTGTTTTGGAAGAGGCATTCGTACCCGGCGAACTTTTATTTGTTGGGCGGGTTTACGTTGTTGGAGGCGTATGCGGTCGGTAATATCGTTACATATTACGATACGATTATCGTGCTTGAGGCGACCATCATTACGGCTGGTTTATTCCTTGGGTTGACGTTGTTTACAATGCAGTCCAAATGGGATTTCAGTGGTATGGGCCCATACTTGTTCACTGGTTTGTGGATGTTGATTATCTCGGGATTCGTGGGGATGTTCTTCCCTCACAACGGCGTTTTCGAGATTGTATACGCTGTCGTTGGAGCTTTGATCTTCAGTGCTTACATCATCTACGACACCTACTTGATCATGAACAAGCTGTCCGTGGAGGAGTATATCGTTGCTGCGATCTCTCTCTACCTCGACATCATTAACTTGTTCTTGAACATCCTCCGTATCTTGAACTCGCAGAATGACAACTAAGTTGAGGACAATGGGTTACTACTGTTAAGTGATGATTAGGACGGTCTTTCTTTGGAAGGAATGAACGGCAGCAACAGGGAGTTAGTATCGTAATTTCAATATACCCTCACTCATTAAGCCCATTTTCAAATTATCGTAATATAACCCATCGTACAATACCCTGTATACTATATCTTAAAGGTCCTTAGTAGTCCGTCAACAACCCAGCAACCTTGCACGCAAACTCATCGGCCTCACTCCTCGTTCCAGCCTCAGCATATACACGAACCGCGTCCTCCGTACCAGATGCGCGGACGAACGCACGACCACCCTTGTACTTGGCAACAAGAGCATTGATACGATCTTGGATACCGGCGGGGGAGACGAGTCTTCGCTCAGCGTCAGTGGTGGAGAAGGCATGTCTATCCTTGACGACAACACGAACCAGTCGGTTAGGGAGGTCAGTGTAGGCATCATCCCACTCCATGGGTCCCCAGCCCTTGTGCGCAAGGATTGCCTCGACCATGAGGAGGTCAGAGAGAGCATCACCGACAGTCTGGTTAATCAACTCAGATAACGCACGCAAGCTCTGCAATGCGGTGTGCTGAGCAGGGCTCTGAGGCTTAGCAGCCTCAATGATACTGAGAGTAGCGGGGGAGAAAAGAACGGTACCGTGTCCATTCGCTTCAAAGTAGACACCAACATCATAGCGCTGCGCAGTGTGGTGGAGGTGCTTGACACCAGTATGCGTGAAAGTGACAGGGACACCGAAGACCTTCTGCAAGTAAACCGTAGACGCACCATTTGCGTACGCGGTCTGCACGACACCGACCTTGATCTCCTCTTCCAGACCTGCGGACTTGACGAGATCCTGGATGAACATGGTAGCGAGGGAAGCAATCTTGTCACCGTCGAGGAGGTGGAAGGTGGAGTCTTGGTCAAGGTAGTAGTAGACAACTCGATCGGTGTCACCATCGAAGGAGGCACAGCGGTCCTGAGGGGAAGCTTTTGGTTGGTCTTGACGAAGTCAGCACCGCACTGGGAGTTGAGCTTTGAGGGGTTTTCAATGTCGCTGTTGACGATTTGCACGTCCAAGATGTCCTTACCGACGACCCTGCTCAACTCTCTCAATTTTGGTGCACCCACACCGTTGGCGCAGTCCACAAACACAGGGCTGAGACGAGTCTTCCCGTCCATCAGTGTCCTGAAGGCCTTACCCAACTTCTTGTAGTAACCAGGCTCAGTAGGAGCACCGTACTCGGCCGGAGTACCAGCGGTGTTGATGCAGCGGACGAGGTAGTGAAGATGAGAAGTAGTCAAAATGTCGTAGTCCTTGTACTCGGAGCTCATGGCGGTAAGACCAGCCTGGAGCGCAGCGACGAAACTAGGACCAGAGGAACGCGTGTCCTTAGCAAAGATCACATTGGCCTTGACGCCCATGTCGGTCTTGGTGGTCGTGACGACCTTCTTCAAGGCTTAGGCTTCAACAAGCTCATTGTCAGTCTGAGCGTTGGCGAGGAGAGTAGCATACGCTTCCCAGCTTCCCTCCAACATCTCACCCTGGGGATCAACAAGCTTGACACCATTGTCCTCTGCAGGGTTGTGAGAAGCAGTGATCATGACACCAATAGTCTGGCCATTCAGCTTCTTCAAGCGGACGGCAGCGAGCAATCCAACGCGGAAAACGACTGAGGTGAGAAGGTGGGCCTTGAGGCGGAAACCAGCAGTACCGTAGCCGTAAAGAAGGCCCTGGAGCTTGGCGAAGCCGCTGGATGCCTCAGCGACCGCAGCGTAGATGTTGTCAAAGTTGGCATGGGTGATCTGTCGGATCTGATCCGTTGTCCTTGTTGGTGTGTCGAGGGAGTCCCGTATACATGACGTGAATCGCACATGTCAGTTGTTCTGACCTCCCGAACGGCGCGGACCGAGCTAAATACAGGTATGCTAGCCACACTTTAAAGGGTCTTGATCATTCCACACCCCATTTTCTTCATTTCACACCCCAGCGCCAACAAAAAACTCAGGATATCTCGCCAACCGCAAATCGGATCTCGGAGGGTAGAGAGTGTATAGACTGATAAAAGTCCCCTGAATCCGTTCCCACCTTCAAATTCGGATTTGAAGGTTCCTGGGAGAAGATACCAACTGTTTCTCACCTCTCAGCCCGGCGCTGCGGCTGGTGTGGCACAGCGCATATATGCATAAATCTGCACATCACATCTCAGCAGTATTTGGCAGAGTACAGCAGCTGGTGGAGTGAAATCTGCGAGTTAAAGGTATCAGGATATTCACAAAGTTACTCTCTATCTCTCTACGCTCTTACCGTATTCCCAAGTTCAATGGCTGTTGAGATATCTTTGAAATTGTGAGTGCGCCGGGGTGTGAAATGAAGATTTAGGGGTGTGGAATGATCAGGACCCACTTTAAAAATGGGGAATATGTACGAATGCGCCCGGAAAAAATAACGATAACAGACAAGATAATGAACAAATCTCACATTCCATATCGCGTCCCTAAATAGACGAAGGAAGGTATAAAAGCAAATCAAGCCCGCTCTAGCAAGGGTATCTTATCTCTCAAATCCGGGAAAATGTTCCACATATCCCATACGCATATAACCAAAATGCACTTTCGCCCGCAAATGCTAACTGACCAAAATAACCATCTGTAATTTCCTTCTCTGTTCAGAGTCCGAGGGTGGTGGGGTAGACTGATGCCTGGACTTGCATCGGTCGTCCGATGTCCTGGCCTGTCAAGGGCCCACCGCTGCGTCTGGAGCCTTTCGAGTTCTTGGAGGAAGTGGTGCTAGAGCGCTTTTCCTGCATGCCTCCGCCCGCAATGTCGCCAGTGACGGAGCTCGTACGGCTGTGTCCGCGCTTGGACTTGGCAATCTTCTTGCGACGGTAACGTCTGGCTCCGAGGAACATCAACGCACCGTACGCAGATGCAGCACCGATAGAACCAATAGCGATCCCAGCAGACTTGCCAGCAGATGCGGTACCCTCGGAGCTGTCAGATCCAGTGTCGGCAAGGGACCCAGAGTTCACGAGGCTACTGGATGTACCAATGCCGGTGGAGGAGTCAGAAGTCGAGTCGTCGGAGCTGATACCAGCAGCTTGAAGGTACGACTGACTCGACATCGATCCGCCAAGGACCGTCACTCCGGCAATACCAGAGATGGAGGGGTCGATCAACGACACAAGCTGCTGCACAATGTCCGAGGAGCTTCCCTGGTTGTACAACTCAGAGTTGGCGGTTCTCAAGGAGTCGACCAACAAACTCAACTGATCATCAGGGATGTACGCCAATGCCAAAGTCGCGATGTATCCGTCGAGCTGTCCACTGTATGGCTGAATAGATTGCATCGTGATATCACTGCTCGACAAGCTAAGACCAGTTGCGACACCAGCAGGCAAATACTCAAATATCTGAGCGACGGCCAACGGGTGTCCCGCAATAAACGGGTAGTTCAACGGCGAGAGGAAACCGAATTGGAAGAGGGTGGTGTTGTCGGGCTGCGCAGAGATACCGCCAGCGGGTGTGATGATCCTCGGAAGGGAAGAAGCGAGAACCACAGCGACAGTAGCAACGGAGGCGGTTGCGGATTCCGTAGGAGTAGAACCCGTCTCAGTAACAGCAGTTGCTGTCTCGGTCTCCGACTGGAAGATGAGACCAGCAGGGAGCCAGTCGGTAGAGGTCGCGGCGTCGGACGTGGGAACGGCTGAAGAGACGACGGATACTGCGCTCACAGGGACGGTGGCAACGGCACTCGTCACCGCACTGGTCACAGCACTCGTTAAACTCGTCACAGCGGAGATGGCAGGGACAGAAGAAACGGCTACACTGCTAACAGCAGAAGCAACCTGAGTCTGCACACTGGACATCACATCGGAAGCTTCACTCAAGACACTGGTCTCCAGGGGCGGAATGACAGGCGTCGAGATAGTGGGCGAAACCTGCGACCACACGCTCGTGACCTCACTCTCAACAGCACTGCTAACGTCCGACAGAGCACTCGTGAGCTGGCTCGCACCGGTCGGGATAGGAACCTGACTGACGACAGAGGTAACCTCCGAAGCAACCTGGCTGAGAACGGAGGCAACCGGAGCGGTCAAATCCGACGCAACAGATGTAATAGGAGCAAAGACGTCAGAAAGAACTGAGGTCAACGGTGAAGAGACGTCAGAGAGGACAGAAGTGAGAGGTGCAGAGACATCGGAAGCGATGGAACTGGCATCGGACACAACTGAGGCCAAGGGCGTCGACACTTCACTCAAGATTGAAGTGACAGGACTGGAAACGTCAGAGACCACGGACCCAACAAGAGACGTAATTCCGGAAACGACAGTCTGCACCGGGCTGATGACCTGGGACGCCACAGAGGTAAGGTCACCTACGACACTGGTGACAGCTGACCCGAGATCAGAAAGAACTCCGCCAACGACGCTCGTTACACCCGTCACCGGGCTAGAAACGGACGTAATGGCCGAGTCGACGTCGGACAGGATAGAACTGACAGGAGTCGAAACATCAGACAAAATCTTCGGAACGGAGGAAGTACCAACGGAGCTGACATCCGAAACGACAGAAGCGAGACCGTTCACCGTACCACTCGCGACACTGACAATACCGGACTCAATGGGAGACGCAATGGAGCTCACATCGGAGATGACACCTCTGACGATAGACGCAGCAGAGGACTCCACAGAACCAACAACGGAAGTAACGCCGCTCGCGACGCTTCCAACGACACTCGTAACCTCGCTGGTCAACCCACTGACAGCACTTGCAGCACCACCGAGAACACCAACCACGACGCTGGAAGCCCCAGATTCGATGGGGCTCACAATGGAACTGACACCACTGGCGATAGAACCGACGACACTCGTGGCATCGCTCACGACTCCGCTGACACCGCTGGAGACACCGAACTCGATAGGGGTGGCGATGGAGCTGACACCGCTCGCGATATCGCCGGCCACGCTGGTAGCGGCACTCACTGTTCCACCAACAACACTGGTAGCACCGCTGACAACATCACCGACCACGCTCGTAGCATCGCCAACGACACTTGTGGCAGCACTGACAACTCCATCAACCACACTCGTGGCATCACTAATCACACTCCCAGCCCCACTCACGACATCACCAGCAACGCTCGTGACATGACTAATTACACTCTCCGCCGCCGCCAACACATTCGGTCTCCTGAAACTGGAGGGGATGGCGGTGGGTGAGGTGACAGAGGAGATCGTCTCGGAGGAGAGGATGGAGATGACGCTGATTGTAGCTGATGAGGAGGTGAGGGGGAGTGCGGTAACGACCGGCGTTGCGGCGGAGGAGATGATGGAGGAGACGTCAGAGGCGATTGGGTCGATAATTGAGGAGGTGGCGCTGGAGACATCGGCGAGGACGGAAGATGCAGTGTCCACGATGGAAGTCGCAGCAGTGTCGAGAACGGACGAAACATCCGACGCAATGGGGTCCACGACGGAAGAAGCTGCACTTACAGCCGGCTCAACCACACTCGATGCAACACTCACCGCATCACCAACAACCGACCCAACAGCAGACGTGACAGGCGCGACGTCACTCGTAACGTCCCCAATAACGCTTGTACCAGTCTCCACAGCCTCCGACACGGCCGCAGCAGCAATATTCGTCGCGGTATCTACCACGCTGCTGGCGTCGCTCACCACCTCACCAACCGCAGACGTGACCGTATCAGCAACCTCTGAGACAACCGAGACAGCCGCCGAAGTAGCTGTGTCAACCACGCTCGTGACATCGCTGACAACTGGATCGACGACACTCGACGCAATCGCCGCAGCTGTATCAACCGCACTCGATAACCCCGCCAAGATCGGCTCCACCGATCTCGAACTCAACACCGAACTCGTCTCCGTATCCGAACTCGTAGCCCCCGCCACGTCCGTCGACGAAAACCGAACAGCAGGTGACCGCCCCTGTGACGGATATGGCACAAACGCCGAACTCACATCCGTAGCATCGTCGGTCGTAGAGGCTCCGGCTTCGGGAGTTGCGGAGGGAATGAGTGAGGTCAATGCCTCGTCCACCGTCGATAAGATGCTGTCACCGGGTGGGGAGGAAGTGGTGGCGTTGAGGGGTTCATCGATGAGCTGTCGTCGGCGGAGGGAGGGGTGGTGGGAGGTGTGGCGGCCTCGGGGGGTTGCTGCTTCGGTGGTGAGGGAGAGGAGGGTGAGGGTGAAGATGTAGGACGCGAAAGTCGTCTTCATTATTATGATTCTGTATGTTTTGGTGGGTGACTGCACGATAGGGGTTTAGCATTGGTTCATAGGAAGAGGATGTACGAGGGCACGAACCTATCAAAGCCGAAGACCCGGGTTGTTGTAGGTCGATGAAAGAAAGAAAAACGAGATGTAAAGATTGTCGAATAAGGCGTACGGACCCGGTTTCCCTCGATCAAAAAGGGTAACCTCCTTCCACTTTACTTAAACTTTATCGAAAAAAGAAAAAGGCAGCGTTCGCGTCAACCGACGCGTACTGAATGCTGTCTCAGAACGTAAGCCGTAAGAGAATGTCGGTTGGAGCTCGAGGTGTATGCTCCTTGTCGAAGTCGTTGGTTGTCGAAGTACTGATACAACTGTTGAAAAGGTCAACCCCCTACCCGCAGCCGCATACATCGCAGGGCCTCCTGCACCGTCTGATGTTCATTGCTTCCTTCGCGCATTCCTAATTTCCCCCTGACCTCGATTAGCGGGCACAAAGTACAGTGAGGCGCGTGCCAAGTCAGAGAGAGCTGCTTCTAAGAATAGAACGTGCGAGTGGACCCTGTGAGGTCATTCTCGTTCCTGTCGGGAGGGGCTTCGAGGGAGAGGATGGCGGTTGGGCGGTGCGGGAATGGAGAGGCGAGAGGGGAGAGGGGATGGACCCTTGCATAACCACTCGCTCATCTAAACTACCCGCCTGCGATTCCCGGCCCCGCTCTTGCCGCAAGATGCTTCTCCTTCCATTTCTGCTGCTTGAGCTACTCGTGCCCGTTGTGTTGGGATGGCAGGTTCCATTCCTCCATTCCTCGCGGCAGTCGGAGCTGCTCCGTGTAGCAATCATCGGTTCGTTCCGCCCTTCCCCAGCTGCATTCATTCCCTCTGACTGGTTGCATACATAGGCGCCGGAGCAGCCGGCTCTTCATCCGCCTACCACCTCCGTAAATTCCACAAAGAATCAGGTCTCTCCCCCGACTCCCTCGCGATCACAATCTATGAGAAATCCGACCATGTCGGCGGCCGCAGCACAACCGTAAACGTCCTCGATGACCCCAATGAGCCCGTCGAGTTAGGTCCGTGCACTTGGTGGTTGCATCCCTTATTGTATGCTGACGTGAGTCTACGGGTAGGCGCCTCGATCTTCGTACGGTTGAATGAGATATTGTATAATGCTACTCGCGAGTTTAAACTCCGCACTACAGACAGCGAACCGGTCCTCGCAACTCTGCCCGACACCCTCGCAATCTGGGATGGTGCCAGCTTCGTGTATATGCAGTCTGATGCGGATTCGGAGAAATGGACATGGGCGAAGCTGGTGTGGAAGTATGGTGTCCGTGCCTTATGGAACACGAAAAAGGCTCGGGATAATGTCGTAAAGGGTTTCCAGGGGATGTATGCCCCCCCGTATTTCCCTTTCTCCAACCTCACCTCCACCGTCCACGCTCTCGAACTCGACGAAGCCACCGGGACTACGGGTGCAGAGTTTCTGAGAAACCACGGAATTGAACCAGAGAAGACGGGGAGTTTCGGACATGATCTGATTCAGGCTTCGACAAGGGTTAATTATGCGCAGAATTTGGGTGAGCTACATGGGCTCGCTACGATGGTTTGTATGGCGACGGAGGGGGCGATGAGTGTCGTTGGTGGGAATTGGCGAATATTCGATGAGATGGTACGAGCCTCTCGAGCAGACCTTAAGCTGGGAGTGGAAGTGGAGAGGGTGCAGAGGAGGAAGGATTGGTTAGGGGGAGGAGCAAAGTGGATTGTTACGGATCAACAAGGCGGAGAAGGCATTTATGACCACGTCATCCTCGCCGCGCCCTACGCACAATCCAACATCTCCATCCTCCCCCCACCACCCGAGGGTGCGATTCCCGAGATCGAGTATGTCAGGTTACACGTCACACTGGTCGCCACGACCGCCTCAGCCCTTGATCCCGCCTTTTTCGGGATGGATGAGAAAGCGGAGATGCCGACGATGTTACTCACCACCACCGGAGAAAATGGGTCGGAGCCGGGATTTAACTCCATCTCTGTAGTCCGCTCCCTGCTCTCCCGCAATCTCCACGTTTGGAAAATCTTCTCGCCCTCCCCTCCCTCCCACGACTTCCTCTCCTCCATCTTCGGCACGTCCGCCCAATTTCCCTGGATTTACCGGAAAGAGTTCGACGCGTACCCTAAGTTACGCCCGAGGGTGGAGTTTGCGAGGATCGAGTTGGTGGAGGGGGAGGGGATGTGGTTTACGAATGGGATGGAGGGATTTGTTAGTACGATGGAGACAGAGGCTTTGATGGGGATGAATGTGGCGGGGTTGGTTATGCGGAGGGAGGAGAATATGAGGAAGGGGAAGGAGGTGTAATGATACCCATAGCCAGAGACTTAGGGATACATGTATGGATAGTGGATGGGAATACGACTGTTCCCCACGAGCTTGGTGTTGAGAATGTCGATCCGGACGTCATGACAACTTCGAATTTCCCACGCCGGGCTGGAGCGATTTACGTCAATGACGTTAGCGCGCAACCTTAAAGTGCCCCACCTTAAATACCTCCCAGCTCAGCTCTGCAATTGCACTTGATCCTCAACTCCAATTCACCAAGATGCACTTCTCAATCGATAAAATCAAAGATAAAGTCAAGGATAAGCTCGGGCGCAATGATGCCCCTGTTGTGAATGACTACGAGAACTGGATGGGTGGGATCATGGAGAAGATCGGTAGCAAGAGGATCATTGACATCGCAATGGTAAAGCTGTTGTTATCGTGGCTGAGTCAATTGCTAACGGCGGTTTTACAGCCGGGTACGCATGATAGTGCAATGCATGGGGATAACATGGGTCATTCGCTTGGTTTGGACGCCGAGAAGCCAGGTACGTCCCTATTTGATCTCCCACTCTCTACCTCACAAAACGAGATATTCTGACATGGGCGTGCTTGTAGTGATTGATATCTGGACCCGCCTAACCTCCGTCCCCCTCGCTGGCCAAATTGCCGGTAACGTCACAACCGACATCATCAAACGCTGGTCCCAAACCCAATCCCATTCCCTCCCAAACCAACTCAGCCTCGGAATGAGATACCTGGATTTGAGGGTGTGTTGGCATGCCGTGGATCAGAGCTTTCGGTTAACGCATACGGTTATGACGAAGACGAGGGTGGAGGAGGAGTTGGCAGAGGTTAGGGCGTGGGTTGAGGCACACCCAAGCGAGGTTGTCATCATTGATTTTCAGCACTTCTACGGTAGTGTCCTCGCCTACTTCACCGACGCGTACATCGGTTTGAGTGCTGACTCGAGAACGCTACAGGACTCGGCGAACCCGAACACCAAGCCTTCCACACTATGCTAACCCAAACCCTGGGTCCCCATCTCGCCCCCCGCTCCCTCATCTCCTCCCCAATCCGCGACTACATCGCCGCTAACACTCGTATCATCGTTCTCTACGGCGACGACCCGCCCATTCCCTCAACCGGCGAACGTCCTCAAGGCGCGGACGCGATTAAGGCTCAGTATGAGGATGTCTGGCCGCGTGAGGGGAGGATCGATAGTTTGTGGGTGAATGAAAGGACGAGTGAGGGGTTGGTTACGGCGTTGGATGGAGTTGTCAATAGAAGGCCGGCTGCGGCTGATGATCCGGCGAATAACGATAGGTTTTGGGTGTTGCAGGGGTATGATCAGAGTATGACGTTTCGCACAAACTGTGACGGCTAATACGTGAACATAGTGTGATGACTGCCTCCGCGGACGATATCAAAGCCCGTCCTGACCATACGCTGAAGGAGTTTGGTGCTGAGAGCTGTAATGCAGCGGTTCATGCCAAGTTCAGACAACTCCTTAATGATGATTCCGGGGACGACCGCAGGAGGGCCTGGGTGAGTTGAACTTCTCATGGGAAAGTATTGGGAGATCCAAATGTTAACGCGTGTGAACAGATTATGATCGTGGACTTTCCTGACATCCCGAACTTGGATTGGGTGAAGGACATCATTGCGTGGAATGAGAGGAACAGTTTCTAAACGGTGATCGCTGAGAGATTATGGCCGGGTGCACAGTTATGGATGATGCATATGGCAAGAGAGGTACAATTATGAGGCGAAGTAAATGACTTTCTTGGACGGACAACATACGTTTATACCATATAGCCACAGTCAATACTACATTTCAAGGGCTCTCTTCATCCCAAACAAAAAAGTACTCTCGGATATCCTTACGGTAATAGCAACCGCTGAAAGGTCGGATGCTGCTGCCAAGAGATTTTGAAAGTTTGTAGTTTATATTCCTAGGAAATCGGTAGCCAGCGTAGAATATTGTACGATGGACGTAAAGTCGGCGGAATAGTATGTACGGGAGAATGCATGCTTCCATGGCCGTTTTGGTGAGGGACTCCGATTGGCGCAACCCCGCACCCCACACAAATGCAACGACGACGACGGCGAGCATGGAGGAGGCAGTGAAGACAATTCCATCAAACTATCAACCAGGAAGATAGCGAAATGTCTACTGGTATGTTCAGCATTTTGTTCTGTATCTGATCAAGCTGACCCAGCTGTACAGATCAGCTTATCCTCTACCATTATCCCCCCTCCCCATGGGCCCAAAAGATCACCAATTTCCTTGCTGTTTCTGGCACCTCGTACACAGAATGTAAGCAACCTATGGTCATGCCACGTTCGGACCTATCGTTGCTTGGGATCAGTTATCGCCGGATCCCGTTGATTGCGGTCGGGAAAGATGTGTACTGCGATACGAGGTTGATCCTGGATCGGTTGGTTGGGGGGATGGGACAAGTCCCTGTCGAGGGTGTTAAGGACTTGGACAGGTGGAGGGCTAATGCCGGCTTGGCTCGCGGCTTGGAGTTTTGGAGTGGGGTGCGTTTCTGAACGAGCCATTCATGTCACTGCAATCGTTGGCTAATTCTAAGAGGTGTACAGACCAAGATTTTCCCGATCGCACCGCTGACTTTTCCTCCCTCCTTCCCTATCTTCAAGAACAAGCAGTTCTTGAAAGATCGGGAGGCCTTTTCAGGGCGCTCGTGGCAGCCGGAGCATTTGGCCAAGGTTCGTCCGGGTGCGCTGGCGGAGTTTAAGGCGTATGTGGACATTATCGAAAATGAGGTGCTTGCAGATGGACGTGACTGGGTGCTGGGAACAGAGAACTGCGGGATGGGTGATGTTCAGTTGAGCTGGGTGGTTGATTGGGTAATCAATGGGTTGGGCGCGACGAAGGGGTTGATCGACCAGGATACGCACCCGAAGACTTGTGCGTGGTTGTCGCGATTCAGGAAGGCCGTTACGGACGGTACTGCGACTATCAAGCGCACCTCGATTAAAGGCGAGGAAGCTAAAGCCAAGATTTTGGCGTCCAACACATTCGCGGATGTTCAACACGACAAAAATGATCCGCAGCTTGGCGATTGCGTTGGACAGGACGTCAGTGTCGTGCCAGAGGATACTGGAAGGTCTCATCCTCAGGTTGGAAAGTTGGTTGCTGCTAACTCAGGAGAGGTTGTGGTAGAGGTGCAGGTCCCTAGTGGTGAGGGGGCAATCAGGGTGCACTTTCCGAGGATTGGGTTTAGGGTTGTGAAGGGTGGAAAGGACGCCAAGTTGTGAGGTTCCTGTGGCTATGTTTTGACAACCTGAGGCAGGATAGGACAATATCGCTAGTGTATGAATATTACCTGTCGTTTATTTCTTGACAGTGTGCATCCGCGTCAACGGATCGGTGTCCCGCCATGAATGCAGTGGTTTATTAGGAATGTGGACTGCAGGCATCGTTCAAACCACAGCTTCACTCAGCTGCTAGGCGTCTCTCACAGTCCAGAAACTTACGCTGGGTGAGTTATATTACTGATTTCTGTGAGAAAAGCGTTCCGACTCCCACGGTATACTCCGGCCGCGCCTGCATTTTTGACTGAGTCACGCAAGACGGAGCCGTGGTTCAGTTGGCAGCGCGCCGGTGGGGGACATAGAGCCGCAAGTTCGAGTCGCGCACACAACCGCAAATTTACCTCCTCTTCGCCACCAAATCCAACGACACCACAACGACGAAGGGCTCGGAAATCGACACGTCTCCAGGACGCGAATAATCAGTGAACACGTCTGATTGCTTGCACAGTTGACATTGTTGAGTAGCGGTGTCTACGTTACAGCACGCGCTAAGCCCAAAACGCGAAAACCATTGCCTTGAGCGCGAACAGAAGGGAGGACTTTCGTCAGGGCATTCGATATCTGTTTCGGCCAGCATATACCCCATCAAAACGTTGATTCTTAGTGTCAGCAATCATGGTCACCAAGGCCTGTAAGTGTGGGTCGACCGATTTCGAGGATGATCAACAACAGGGTACCAGCTATTGTAACAAGTGTGGTACCGTCATCTCTGAGAATGCGATCGTTGCGGAGGTTATGTTCGGAGAGTCGTCCTCTGGTGCGGCTATGGTTCAGGGTTCGTTTTTGGGTGCCAATGACACGCATTTCCGTGGGAGTGGTCGTTTCAGGAATAACAACAAAGAGCAGAACTTGGCAGCTCTGTTTGATCGGGTGCATCACAGGATGAGCGCTGTCGCATCTGCTATGGGTATCAGAGAAGGTGTCGTGATTGAGGCGATGAGGATCTACAAGGTTGCACATGCGCAGCAGTTTACGAAGGGTCGTCGATCGCAGTTAGTTGTTTCGGCATGTCTTTACCTTGCTTGTCGTATGGTAAACTCCGACAAGATGCTTATCGACTTCTCTGATCTGCTTCGCCTCAACGTTTTCGTTCTTGGTTCGGTCTTTTTGAAGCTTCTGAAGACGCTGCATTGGGACAAGAACCAGGTTGATGCGGCGAACCCGAACGGGAAGCAGTCTAACTTCTCCCTCAACGTCATCGACCCGTCCATCTACATCCACCGTTTCGTTTCCCAACTTGAATTTGGCACTGACACAACTAAGGTTGCCACTGATGCCACTCGACTGGTCAAGCGTATGGGGCGAGACTGGATTCACCAAGGTCGTCGTCCGGCGGGTATCTGTGGTGCGTGTATTTTCATGGCGGCAAAGATGAACAACTACCGACGTTCCATTCGTGAAATCGTCCACATCGTTAAAGTTGCAGACGTCACCATCGAGCAACGTCTTCGCGAATTCAAGGAGACCGCTTCAGCAAACTTGACGGTCGAAGAGTTCAGGAACGTTGATATTGAAAGTCAGCATGACCCTCCAAGTTTCCTGAAGGACAAAAAGAAGAAGAGAAAGCGTTCACAGAAAATGGGAGACGAAGAAGGGCTGAGGGAGAGAGGTAGCGAGGAGAGGAGCATATCCCCGGAGACCGAGCGCGAGCGCGGAGTTTCTGAGACGCCGGTGCCTGTCGCGAAGAAGGTTCGTCGTGGACGCAAGGGATCCGCTTCTGCTGCGGAACTTGCTTCGCTCATTGAGAGGAATTTGCCGAGCCCGCCTGTGACGCAGAAGGCGACTCCTGCTGCTGCGGCTGTGACCCCGCCCTCGACTGCGGAGGCAGAGAAGACTGGGGAAGGAGGGAAACCTGCCGAAGGCGGCGAGTCCAGTGAAAATGCCACTGGAGAGGAAAACGAGAACGCGCTTACCAAGGAGCTTGTTGGGTTGTTGGGTGGTAAGGATATGGAAGATGCCATCCGTGGTCTCAACGCAGAGGAAGCGCCGGCTCAAGATGAGAACCTTTCGGACCTCGAAGGCCTTGACGACGATGATGAGATTGCCGGCAACGTCCTTGATGAGAATAACCCTGCCCACAAGCAACTCATCGATTATAAGACCCAAGTTTGGACGGCGAATAACTTGGACTGGCTCAAAGCCCAGAAGGAGAAGCAGTTGCGTCGTGAAGCCGACGAAAAAGCCGGTGTTAAGAAGGCAAAAAGGAAGCCGAGGAAGAAGGAGCCACCTCGGGATTCGAGCAATGCTATGGGAGCGAGTCCGGCGGAGAGTATCATCGAGATGGCGAAGCAGAAGCCGGCCATGAGTAAGAACATTAATTACAACGCGCTTCAGTCGTTGTTTTCGGTCGGCGAAGACGATGATTACGGCATGTAATAATGTTGTTGAAAAGAGTTGTAGCGAGAAGATGAGAAACGTGAGAAGGGTTATTGTGAAGATTATACATGTTTAGGGTCGCTGCTGTCTACTGTAACAAGGAAGCAGGCCTCCCTTGTGAAAAGACGGGCGTGGTACGGCTGAGACAAGGCGTTATATTGTTATTCCTCGATTATTGGATATCGTGCTCGGAATATCACCTTCAACGAAATTCTTTGCTTAACGTCACCGCACGGCAATTGATTGTCGAATTCGTTTTAGCGCGTGTAACGTAGACACATTCATTTGGGAGTCATTCGAAGCGAAATCTTTACGACAACAACATTGCAAGAAATCTTCCGCGGTTTATTATACGCTCAAACCTAGGCTCGTGCTTTCGCCTTTACAGTAACGTCAGCTATGCGACGGACACTTGCGCTCTTCCAGCAAGCACTCAAATCCTCGTCTTCCCTTCCAGAACGAACCCGGCCATTACTCGAGCACTTAACACCCCCTCGACGGCCACTGAAAGGAACAGGGACAAACACTGTATCGCAGGCCCTAAAATGGGCTACTCCTCCGCGGAACGTCCTTTTGGTTAACAAAGATGATGACAGAGTACGGAATTCATTAGTGACACTTGCACAGTACGTGTAACATCTGAAGGTGGTCTGGTGCATTGTTAACAGTGCGAATAGACACCTACATGATACATATCCAGGCGTCAACATCCTCCTAGAACCTTCAGCTTCAGAAACATTACGACAAGCACTACCATATGCCTACACATTCGAGAATATCAGTGACCTACATCGAACTTGCGATGCCGTGATCACGCTGGGAGGTGATGGTACGATTTTACATGCTGCCTCACTCTTCAGCACAACGAAGGTTCCGCCAATATTGTCGTTCAGCCTGGGAACACTCGGATTCTTGCTTCCGTTCAACTTCCGTGATTTCAGAGAAGCGTGGGAGGATATGTACCATGGTCGAGCACGAGTGCTCCGACGAATGAGAATTGGATGCCGGGCCTTTACGTCCACTGGCATTCCTATTACTCGAGGTGTGTTTGGCGAAGGAGGGGCGGGCATGATTCAGCAAGCTATGAACGAGGTCAATCTACATCGTGGTAGAGAGCCTCATCTAACACTGCTGGAGATCTATGCGGACAACAAATTTGTCACAGAGGCCGTCGCAGACGGACTTATCGTGGCAACACCAACCGGAAGCACGGCATATAACCTGTCAGCTGGTGGACCAATTGTGCATCCAGGTGTGGACGCCCTCATGCTGACCCCGATCTGCCCGCGGAGTTTATCTTTCCGACCCATGATCTTTCCGACATCAACACGTCTACAACTACGGCTTTCTGAAAAATCAAGGGGTGCAGCGGAAGTAAGCATGGATGGTCGGATGGCATGTGTTCTCAACCAAGGAGAATATCTGGAGATTGGTGTGGGTGACGGCTTAGGCATTGCACACAAGGAGGGTGAAGAAAGTGAGGACCGTGGTGGGATTCTGTGTGTGGGTAGAGGAGAAGACGATGGATGGGTGCAGGACGTGAACGAGCTGTTACGATGGAACCAGAGTTTCCAAGGGAGAACTTTGGCACATGGAAACGGAGAGTAGATTGTCATCAAGAATAAAGTAATGATGCCTCAAGCAATGCGATCAACACCAGACCGGTCATTCAGTTTTTCACTCCTATCTTACATTCACATCATCGAACATAGCGACCCACCACATATCCTGATCGGATCCACTGATGATCTCTTTGATGAGTTCAGAACAGCCTGGACAGTCATGATCACGACCTTGAAGTCACCTTCCTGCTCGGCGAAAAATGACCTGCACATGAACGACCACCTCTTGATCGCCTTCAAGTCCAACTCAGCCGCATCGTTCTTCGGCTTACCCCTGTAATAAGGCTTGAAAGCATCCCAAGGAATGAAAATCACTTGCTCCTCCTTAGAGTCATGTGCCAGGAAAGTATACTCGTACGACACTGTGCTTTCGTCGCGTCCATCTGGCCTCTTAGCAGGCAGATCTGTCTTGATAACCAGCGTGTACCGCTTTCCATCACCTCTTGCAAGGATTAATTCAATCCCGTCATATGGCGAGACGTCCCAAGTCTTGTCTGTAGAAGTCGTGCGCTGGGACGCAAAGCCAGCACCTCCAAGAGTTTGCGTATCCAGGTGACCGCGGAAAGTGGCTTTGATCAGGTCGCTCGATGGCTCAAGGTAAGACTGTACAAACGTGTCAGTACACAAACCAATTAAGATCGAAGGAATTTACCTGGGAGCTACCTCCGCGCACCCGATCATCGGACGCAGTCCATTCCTCGGTCCTCCAAGCCCTCGGCGGGCCAAACAAAGGCAGGCGTTTTGGTGCTGATGACTGCATGGCAAAAGTTCTAGTGGTACGGATGACCTGCTCGCGAATCGTATTGGTTGATCGGCCCAGGGTTGCACTTATCATGTCAAGGTCAAAATATTAGGTTATCGCCGTGCAGCTGGAACTTGAGGTCACCGCGCAGGTTTGAGTTTAAGAATATATTTGAATCCTAATGTATCTACTCGTACCTTCACCTAAAGGATGACTGGTATCTTCTTTGCCTCATTATTGTGGTGGTGGAGGTCCCTGATTGCCTTGGCTAGGCATGAAATATTGTGCAATGCCAGGGTATTGCGGTGGTGCCTCCCGTACTGGAGTCGAAGAACCTGAGTGCTGACCAGGTCCATACGAATATGGTATCGAGAAGTGTGGTGTTTGTTCCACGACTGGCGACTGGAGGACGGTAGGAATTGGCGAGCTCTCCGGTATTTGGGCAACTTTCTCCACCTTTCGAGATTTTGGTTTACCTAACGATGCTGCCTTTTGGAGGATCATGGCTCTGGTCACCTTGTTACTCTTGACTGGGGTCTTCACATCTGCCGCTTCAGGAGCGGGAGCCGACTGCGGCACAGACGGAGTCGCCGGCATGCTTGGTGAATTCGTTTGAGCTTGCATGCCCACAGTAACCTGGAAAGGCATACCCATCGTAGCTACGGGCGGGAACGCGGGGGAAGGCCTTGGTGTCATGATACTTGACAATGACATAGCATTAGCATGGCCAGGTGTAGGTGCGCTGGGCTGCTGCAATGGCAAGAAACGATGGATGAGTTGACTGTAAATGTCGATGATTCGGTCATCGAAGACATCAACGTCCTCATAGAAACCAGCGTTGAGCTTTTTGAGTTCAATGATGTCCTTCATGGCATCAAATTCCAACGACATGACCCCTGGGGTTGAATAGGCATTTTCAAGGGCCTGCGCAGCTTGATTGAAGATCTCAACCGTGCATGAATCTTGCAAGAGGGACGAGGGGACCGAGAAGTGGCATCGATGACGCAGGGCTTCGAGGTACTTCTCGCACAAGTAGTCCCAAACCTCCTTATGGTTTGTCATTGTTGCGGACCCTTTCCTGAGCTTCTTTGCAATGGCTCTCAGTGTATCAACATCGCCTGATTGACTTGCGTACTTGATGAGCAAAGCCGTATATCTTTGGTTGTAGACGTAATGTCGACCAGGTCTCTCAAACTCTGTGCGCCAAATTTTGCACACGGAACCCTTCTCGAACAAATGCTGAAGCTCAGTCTTGGCACCGATGGGGTTTTCCCCATACTCGCCATTAAGCTTCGCCCAAAGATAGACGGGACGGTGATGCCAATGCTTTTTATCAGCGTCCTTTATCGTCAACAAGCTTGCATACACTTGCTTGAAGAAAAGTCTGTAGGAGTTCACTTCGCCTTCGCCTGCAGTGATGGCGCCACGGTAACGTGTGTAGTCAAGATACTTCCAGCCGTCTTCGACCGATACGGTTTTCTTGATCCACACGTACTTAAATACCTGCGATATGAATTTGTAATGCGGATCGATAACGAGCTCCTGTGTGACCGGGCTTTTCTCCGGAGCTACCTGACACGCAATGACATATTGCTCCAGTACCAGCTCAGGTTGTTTACCCAAACGTGCAAGACACTTGCCAAGCATATAGGGCGCTCGCCAGTCCTGCGGGTTCAACTGTTTTGCAATGGAGAAACAATCCGCTGCAAGGCGTATGGGTGCCCTTTTACACATCTTCTTCTCAATGCGATTGATAGACCTGATGTCCGGAGCGCCCTGATTGACACTCGCTTCCTCAGAGTCGGCGACGGTGGGAGAGGGGTCCTGCCAATCCACGATGTCCACAATAAAAGCGGACATCCTGGTCGGTTCACGACTCGCGATGTAAAGCTGCTGGCCGAAATCCAGCATAAATTGCTGGAAATATCCCGGATCAACCGTCTGGCATCTCATTGAAGTGCTTCTAGCCATCATGTAACAGAGAATTGCTTTCTTCTGTAACTCCACGATCTCATCATATTTCTTCAGAATGTTATCGGCGGAGGTGGCCAGTTCATTGTCGCTGACGCCGGAATAGGTTTGTGCCAGTCCATACCACGAATCAAAACGGTCGGGATTGATTGACAAATCCAGCATGAAATAGCCTCGCGCCGCGATAAGGTCATCTGTAGGCTTCACCTGCGTCTGCTTGGCGCGCAAACGATGTTGCGTCATCAGCACTCGAGCTTGAAGTAGATAAAGTTCACGGACAGCTTCTTCATGTCGCATCGATACGACGGGCATGGTCGATAAAGCCAACGTTCCCTTCCTGCAGTCGGAGAACCACAGGGGATCGATTTTGCTTTCCAAATACCCACCGATGATTTGGTTGTTCACAGTGACAGCCGTGACTGCTGGAGGGAACGCCAACGCCTGGCAAATCTGTTCCAGAGCGGCCTTGATATCGTTTCGAACAATATATTCTCTCGTGCTAGTCGGCCTGATCGAGCTCATGATGAAGGGTGCAATTCGCAAGGCATCATTCCTTTCCAGCTTGCTGGGCTTCGCATGATGCTCGAACGCGTGAAAGTTGTCCATGCTCATGGTCATTTCATAACGACAATGCAGACACTGAAGGAACTCAAACCTGTCATCCGGCCTATCGAGCCGCAGAAGCTCCTGTTCGAGAAGTTGTAGAAACATGCCACCGGCCAATGAACAATAACTTCGGCTCCCCAACTCATCATGTAGAACCCGCAAAAGCGTGCTCAAAACGGGGTAAGCCTCAGCGTGAGCGAGTTCCAAATCCGGAATCGTGTTACTTGGCGACACCTTGCAGTTCAAAGCACGGTGAAGGAGGAAGTAGAGAAGGTTACATGATCTGACCAGCAGATCCCTCAAGCTGTCTCTGAACCTTCCAAATATTGCATCTCCGTGTTTTGGCAAAGCGCCACCATCCACAGCATCCTCGTATAATGCAAAGTGTAGCAACAACCGAAGCACGCATAACAAGGACCCAATGAACGCCGCCGTCTTCTCACCATCAAAATCCGCGACAATAGGGTTGTTATGTACGGTGTTAGACGCACGAGTGATAACATCCTGCACAACCCGCCAATTTCTCAAAAGCAAGAACCGCCTCTCAGTCTCAGCAGCCTTCTTAGCCGAATCCTTCTGCATCTCCTGCACCATCAACCCCAAACTCTCAAACATACATTCAAGTGCCTTCTCAGCCTGCAAATTCACCGAGTACGCCTCCTCCAACACCTTCCATAGATACAACCGAAACTCCAGGGAACTCGACTCCAAGAACTGGAAAATGAGCTGCATCTGATGATCCCCATCCGACGCTGCAGACGGCAACAATATCGCCTCTAATTCGCGGATGGACTCGGTAGAGTTCTTATCCCTCGACGTCTGGAAAATCCCAACGAAATAATCCATCGTTTCAAACTTCTGAATCTCAAGATTCGCTTTCGCAGCCGAAACTTTCGGTAACGAATGACAATTCGGCAGGACAACCTCGAACCCCTGTCCTTCAGCCTCGAGTGTAACTATGATATCCTCGTACCGTTTCAGGATATCACCATGCGGCGCACCCGCGACCTGCGCGAAAATGGTGCTAGCCCAGATGTATCGTAATTCAACCTCACGCCCAAGTCCAACCTCTGCTCGATCCGCTATCTCGACCTCCTCCAATAGATCCTGTACGAGACCACCCCACCTCACCAATGTATCCCTGCTAGTGAAGTCTGTGATAGGATTCTCCTTCTTCCTTCCTCTTTCCTCCTCCATAACCGCATCCAAATAAATCTCATACAACGTCTGTGCCCACGAGAGGGTCAATACATCCCTCCTCGACCCCTTCAGGAAATCTAAACAGTGTGTCTCGAGCGCGATGGCGACTTTTGTGACGACGTTCTTTAAACCGTGATCCCATCCATCGCGTTCGTAGGCACTTCGGACGCCTGCGTCGTGTTGGCGGGTGAGGGCACATAGCCAGGCAAGACAACACTCCACGACGGCCATCCCCTTCTCTTTGGCTTGCTCCATGAACCTCAACAAACCCTCCATATCCTCCGCACCGATCGCAGACCGTGGGGGATCAGCGGCAGCGAGGTCGAAAAGCGAAGTGTCGGATGCGGTCACGTCGGGTTTTTTGGCGGCGCCGGTCGCGGACCAAGCTCGTGCATCAGCTTCTGTCCATCCCTTCAATAGCTCACGGAACTCGTTGAGTGTCTTATCCGACGACGCGCCTGCCTGAACACCGATCTGCTCAGGCTCGCCCAAACTCATATCGATCCGCCCCAAAATCATATTCAACGAAATTACGAATTGGAGATCCTGTTCATACAGCGTCTGCATCCCCCCCGTCTCTTCCGCAGGTATGACAACACCCGTCCCACGCGCACGTTTACTCGCTCGTGTCGCAGCTGTAGCATCGACACTGGATCTCCTCTTCCGATCCGAGGAGCCTGGTTCATTCATGGTCGCTTCAGGGGATTCGTCTTTCGGTCGGACAACATCCGTATACGTCTCCATCGGCACCAACGACCGCCGCCTCGGCTGCTCAGGCGATCGCGACACAACGACATCCTCAACCTCCGTACTCAATATCGACGGCGCCATCTCGATCGAGACGCTCGGTGCTGGGATCGCGGAGTGGTAGGCCTCGAGGAGACGTTTACCCAGTTCCGCCCAAGTCTGCTTTTGTAGACGGACTTTGAGGGGGAAGGATTGTGTTGCGTGAAGGGTTTCGGCAAGGGGAGGTGGTGGGAGGGCTAGTTCTGTTGCTAGCCATGGGTGGGATTTGAAGACTTTGGTTGGTGGGGGTTTGATTTTGTTTGCTTTGAGGATGGAGAGGAGGGCGTCTCGCATATCGGCTGATCCGTCCTCTAAGGGATCGATTGCGCCGAGGAGGTCTAGAGCGGCGCTGATTCCTCCTGGACCGACTTTGAGGTCTTTGATTTCTTCCGCGTCTTGGTTGAGGTCCACACTGAATGCGAAATTGCTTTCCTGCGCGAATCTCTCCAATTTCGTCGAGCCCAGTGCAGCTGCCAATTCTGCGACACTTCTCCACACGCTTGGGTCTGTATCTTCGCATGACAACGCCGAGGTGAAATCCTCCAATGCTGATCGTAAGGTCTCCGCCCGCGTCTGATTTGGTAGAAAACTTGGATCTTTGGAGAGTCGCTCAAGCCGAAACGTCGCATAATTTTTCAACGCCAAAAATCGAAGAAGTAGCAGCGGCGGCAATGGCGGATCAACCTTTTTCTGCACCGGCAACGGTACCCCCGCATCCCTCCCCTCCTCCACATCACTTTCCTCCTCATCGTTCAACTCATGAACAACCTCCTCCTCTTCCCAAACGTCAATCAACTCCTCCTGAACGAGATCACTCTGGATAACCTGCGCATACAGCCTCTCCGCCAACGCAAAATTCCCAGCTTGTTGGGCTGCGAGGGCGGATTGGTATGTCTTGAGCGCATTCTCGATGAGGACTTCGTGTGTGGACTTTTCAGCCTCGATTTGTGGTTCCTCGTTGATGGCAGTGAATCTGACCATCGTCCATTCACGGTGACGATCACGAAGCCGTTCGACCTTCGATCAGCTGCTGGGTTGATTTCGACGCGTCGTATGTATGGGGAAGCACTGGGTATACGTGGATGTACGTGCCCTGCCTAATGCGATACCTGAATGAAGCTGTGGTTGGGAAATCCGAGAGAGGGAAAGTCAACGTTACACACCTCGACCCGCCCCCCCTCTATCAGAAATGTCGATCCGCACTCAATCACCCTTGCGTGTGCTCCGCAACTTCGAGATCGCTCAAGCTAGTTCTGTCAGATCATATGCAACACTCGGCAAGATCGACCCAGTGAAGATCCCCGCCTCGGAAGTCGCAGGATCCGGAAGACGATCCAAAGCAATTGTATTCCAAGACGACGGCCGAAAGAAATGGTCAGAACTCGGCTCCGGCCAAAAACTCACCCGCGCAACCCTAACAACCGGATCCCTCGGCATCATCGTCTTTGGCGCAGTCCTCCTTGGAACCATCACCTACTTTTTCGCGGAACATGTGTTGATGCCGACCTCTGAGACCAGAATATTCGGGAGGGCGTTTGATAGGGTTAGAGAGGATGAGGAAGTTAAGAGGGCTGTTGGGGAGGGGATGAGTGCGTATGGGGAGAGTCAGGGAACGAGATTGAGGCGGAATGCGCCGGTTGCATCGAAGAGATATACTGACGATAAGGGACTTGACCATATGATCATGAGGTTTTATGTCCAGGGTGAGTTGGGACAGGGTGAGGTGAATCTCGCGATGACGAAGGTAAGATTGGCTCAGTCTTGAAATTCTTGTGAGAGGAAACTGATGCTTGGCGGTCTTACAGAAAACTGAGGAGGATGAGTTTGTGTATAAGTATCTGTTTGTTGATACCCCGGGAGATGGGTTGCCGTCGAAGAGGATTTGGTTGGAGAGGGACCAGCAGAAGAAGGCTTCGACGAAGAGGAGTTGGCTTGGGTTCTCCCGGGCGTGAAGCACTCGGTAGATGGCGTATGATGGGCTACGTTAAAGGCGTATTGGTTCTGCATGTTCGTATGGGATGTGAAAAGATAGGGAAAGGGTAGGAAAGGGTCATCGAACGTGAGAAGCTTAAGCTCGGGGAACCTGGAAAAGGTGACCTGATGCAGGCCACAGCTGCCGCGGCAGAAAACGAGCTCGAGGATACGAAGAGGTTCAGAAGCAAAAAGACATGAGGAGGTCGAGCATAGCATAGCCTGAATTGATATTTCCAAGCGTGAGGCTCCCAAAGCTACCGTTTCCCCGGGTATGCACGCCGGCGCACTCCGCACTCCCCCGCTTTCAACTCCACCAAGACAATCCCCAAAACCGCTGGGTCCAAATCCAGACAAATGTAGCGATCCGTCATTCACCTGACCATACCGTTGATCCAAGAGTCTACACCACAACTTGAAGCGCAATGTTGAGAAGAGTAGCATCCTCGACAACCAAGCTTCTACAGCAACTGTCTCTACGGTCAACAGCCATGCCAATCCCCCGACCCTTCTCATCCTCTTCCACCTCGAAAGCTCCAGTCGGGCTAAACCTCCCCTTCCCAACCCCCACCGACAACAAAGTCCGAATCGTCGAGGTCTCTCCCCGCGACGGCCTCCAAAACGAGAAATCCCTCGTCCCAACCGACATCAAATGCGAACTCATCGACCGGCTCCGCGAAACCGGCGTGAAAAATATCGAAGTGACTTCGTTTGTGTCCCCGAAGTGGGTCCCGCAGATGTCCGATGCCGGCGCAATTATGTCACATGTTCGTGGGTTCCAGAGTGGCAGTGAGGATAGGGGGATAGAGTATTCTGTGCTGGCGCCGAATCAGAAGGGGTTGGATGCGGCGCTCGCGTCGGGTGTGAAGGAGATTGCTATTTTTGGGAGTGCGTCTGAAGGGTTTTCGAAGCAGAATATCAACTGCACCATCGATGAGAGTTTACAGAGGTTCAGGGGGATGTGCGAAAAGGCGTTGAAGCAGGGTGTTAGGGTGAGGGGGTATATCAGTAACATGTGTGCGTGTCCGATCGATGGATTGGTGGATCCGAAGAGTGTGGTGAGGATGACGAAGGAGATGTTGGAGATGGGGTGTTATGAAGTCAGTGTTGCTGATACGACAGGTGTGGCCTCGTGACTCTGCCAGTTGAAACATTTCTGACATCACGACCCATACAGGCGTTGCGACTCCGGATCAAGTTCATCGTACGCTTTCGGCTATCTTGGATGCAGGCGTCCCGGCAAACAAGCTCGCAGCACACTTCCACGACACATACGGCACCGCGGTCCCAAACGTCCTTGTCGCCCTGTCCCTCGGTATCCGAACCTTCGATTCTTCCGTTTCCGGTCTCGGTGGGTGTCCCTACGCCAAGGGCGCAAAAGGGAATGTCGCGACTGAAGACGTTCTATACCTTCTGCACGGCATGGGTTGGGAAACGGGGATTGATTTGCAGAAGATGAGTGAGATTGGGACGTGGGTTAGTGAGAAGTTGGGGAGGGAAAATGGAAGTCGGGCTGGGAAGGCTATTGCGAGTATGTTGGCGCAGAAGAAGGCGAAGGGGGAGGTTAAGGCTGAGGGGATTAGGGAGGCCTTGAAGGAGAAGAGGGAAGCCAAGTTGTGATTTTTTAACAAATATTTGATCGCTGAACTTACCTTAACGAAAATGACATTCAAGAGAAAAGTCGAGAATCTTGCTCTCCAGGGTATCGCGCTGCGAGTTGACGTGCCCAAGGATGCGGGCGGCTTCATTTGGCCGGCACCACTGCAACCAGAGCTGCAGATCGTGAACCGCACGAGTCAAAGAAAGTCTGACCGCACTCTAAAGAACCCAACCTCCCTTATCGCCAGCAGGACTCGGCGACAACAATCCACCAGCATACACCCCAGCTTCTCCCTCTACCTTTGACGTTCAGAGGAGTCCGGTTATTCGGTGGCAAAGGTCACGTCATTGTTCCTCTCGGTTCCAGGAAGAGGCGGCCCGTCTGCTTTGTCAGCACCTACGGTTCAGGCAACAATAGTTATTGATACACGACAGTACAACGACAGTAAAGGAGTTAGTTTACAGCATACATGGGCCAAGCTTCGAGCTCCCAGAACGCACAGCGCAGCGGACGCGATGCAGCATCGCGACAACAACAGGATACGAACACAACAGGCGGCGCGTCAGATATGACGCCACGAAACAGTTTACGGAGGAGTAACTCTGGCTCACTATCTTCGGAACAAACACCGAGGCAGAGAAGACGGTTGGATGAGGTTGCGGATGCGTTGATGAGGGAAGTTGGTGCGGAAGCATCGGCGGAGTTGAATGCTGCGCATGCACAAAGGAGAAGGTCGTTAAGGTCGAGTTTAATTAATTTGTCGCCGTTTAGGAGGAATTCTGGGTCGCCGAATGCATCACGGGGACCGTCGAGGACCTCGAGTTCGTCGTCGTTGTCGTTATCTGGGTCTGGGAATGGTGGTTCGAGTCTGCGGACTTCATTGCCGCAGAACCAAAGACGTCCGCGTCCGCGATCGATGTTTTCGCTTAGTCGTCGTTCGTCGATGAGTCCCTCCGTCACCCTCGATTCCTTCTCGGATCGTAGTACGATCTCATCCGATCCAGAGGCATTGGAATCCAGTTATTTCGGGTCTATGGCGGACGAGGGAAGTCCCTTGGTGCAAACGCCGTTGTCTGAGAGTGGACCATCTGCTGCGTCCTCGACACATGACCTCGGGTTGAGGCCACCGAGGTCGCTTATGAGGCATTCAATGTCTTCGGGGAATATATTGCCGATGATCTCGGAAGGGAACAGTGGACAGGGTACGACTACGCAATCTCGTCCAGCTACAGGTGATAGGTCGACGCCTCCTACGCCTACGACACCCTCGAGGCGTTTGTCTCGGTTCATGCCTAGGTCTATCTCATTGGGCTCGCTGGGTGGTTCGTCGAATGCGAATTCGGAGGCTGTTGCTCCTGAGGCGGTACAGACGGCTGAAGATGTTGCACAGCGCCTGAGTAGGACGACGAGGAATGCACTTGCTCTCTTCCGTCGCAGTGAGTCTTCGAACTCTTTGAGTAGGCCGGGGACTGGTGATAGCCAGGACACCGTCAACGGTAATCCGAACGCAGTCCCCTCCCTTGCCGACCTCGAGCGCAACTTCACCGGCCCACGGCCCGGCGAGGATCAGGCAGCTATGTTGTCCCGTCTTTTGTCCGTCGCGGCAGCGGCCACTGCAGCATCTTTGGTGGGTAACAATGACCAGGCATGGGCTGGTGGTCATGATGTTGCGGGTAATAACTCTACGGCTGAGGATGGGAGTTTCCAGGGATTTTTGCAGGCTTTGAGGGGTGGACGGTTGGCTGCGGCGTTGAGGAATGGAGGGAGTGAGTTGGGTTCTACTCCTTCAGCCGGAGCTGAAGCAGCGGGCAATGCCGGCGGTGAAGATGCGCAGGCGGGTGCGGGTGCTGCGGCCGGTGCGGCACCTACTGCGAATGGGGATCTTCCACCGTTGAACTTCTTCCGCATGTTCAGGTTCAACAACGCAAACAACGCCGAGCGAGCGCCTGATCAACCGCGTACAGTCCCAGTCATCATCGTCGGCATCCGCTCCGTGCCGCCTCGTGACGCGAACGGGAATATTCAGGAACAAGGACAGCAAGTACCCATGCCATTCTTCGACGCTTTGGCAAACCTGGCACCAACGCACCAACATCATCCTCATCTTCACCCGACAGCACAACAGCCGCAGGGTCCAGTGCCGTTTGACCCGGCGAATGCGGATTCGGCAGAAACGGCGAGCTTGATGGAGCCTACGCCTATCAATCCTGCTGAACAGACACTGCCGCAGCCGGCTGCTCCGGAGGGTATGGAGACTACTGCACCTTTGCATCCTGGGCGTAGACCATTGCCGCAAGAGCCGCTTCCAGGAGGTATCGAGCCCACTGCACCCTTGAGCCCGAGACGCAGGATGTCGGCGCCGCAGCTGGGCGCAGGTGTAGCTCCTCCTATTATGAGGCCTTTGGATCCTGGGGCTTTGCGCGGTACTCGCGACGGTGATCGGAACGCTCATGTGCCGCCGGTTGACGGAGCAGCTCCTCCAAATGCAACAAGATCCTGGATTATCTATGTTCTCGGTGGTGCGTACCCGGACAACCACCCAATCCTCACCACGCCTAGTTTGTTTACGGAGAACCCCACGTATGAGGACATGATGCTTCTGTCGTCCATGATTGGCCCGGCTAAGCCGCCGACTGCCACTACGGAAGACATCGCGGACGCTGGCGGTATCTGTGTCATTGGTGATGATGCGATTGTGGCAGATGGAGACAGGTGTTTGGTGTGCTTGTCGGACTTCGCGCCGAATGAGGTGTGTAGGAAGTTGACCAAGTGCGGGCATTTGTTCCATAAGGAGTGTATTGATCAATGGCTTACTACTGGACGGAACTCGTGTCCGCTGTGCAGAGAGCAGGGTGTCAAGGAGAAGCATGCCGAAGCCCCTGCTCCTGCTCCGGAAGCGGGTGCAGCCGAAGCACCATCGGTGCCAGATGCGGTGGCTCAGGAATAAGTTATTTGTTGAAACGGGAAGGGAAATACAGGGCTGGGATTCGAAGATGGATATCGACGGAAGGGAAGGTTGTACGTTATTGCATGGTTACGGGGATAATAGCACACATTGTCATTGGTTTTTTGGACTTACTTTTGTTGAGGTATATTAGCGTTGTTTGGCATGGATATCGTTATGTGATAGCTATAGACGAGGATCGGAACAGAGCTTTTCTTTTTTCCAGATTTATGGATCTGTCGTTGTTCTCGAATTATTCGTTAACATAGTCCTGATTAAATTTGCAGCTGCACGGCCCCTGACTGAAGTCCGGAGTTCGAGATTTTGAAAAGTCGACTGTGTACGGTATCAACAGCACCCATATATCGCCTGTCATGTCGTTGCGGTCGTCGGTAAAATGCCTGATTAGGTCATCACGACCATTCTCTACCTCCGCCATCTCCCAGATGCCGCGTCGCATTGACCCCGATTCCCATGAGGGCAGAATTCTCCCCAAGCCTTTAGAGAGGATCCCAGAGCCTGAGACGGACCCAAATCACCCTCTTTGGGGATTCTTTAGGGATAAGAAGGCGTTGCCGTATCCCGAAGATGAGAAGCTTGCAGGTACGCCAGACATGGTTGATTACGGAAGACTGTGTTAACCGTGATGCGCACAGGACGAGGATGGACGATTTTCGAGCTGCGAAGCAAGTCGTTCGAGGATCTGCATACGTTGTGGTACGTTTGCTTGAAGGAGCTTAACATCATGGCAACACAGATGGCCGAAAGGAGGAGACTTATGGTTGCCCACCAAGTGTCAGCGCACAAGGAGAGACGGAATGCTGTCAGGAAGACTATGCAAGGTATCAAGTTTACCCTGTCGGAGCGTGTTATCGCGTATGAGCACGCAAGGGAGTTGGCAATCGCGGAGGGTACAATCACGGCTGAGGATTTGGCTGCTATCGAGGCGCAGAAGAAGAAGGAGGAGGATGAGAAGAACGCGCAATTGGCTGCGGCTAAGGAGGAGCACAAGGAGCCGAAGAACAGGAGACTTGAGCGGAAGAAGAGAAGAATCATGCGTGCTTTGGAGTTGACGGAGTTCCGAGCGGAGAGGGAGGCGGCGGAGGCCCAGGCCAAGGCTCTTGCGGCATGAAGGATCGAAGCATAAAATTGCACCCTGTACACGTAAGGGAGTTTAGGAGCAGATATTTGAAATCAAAAGGGCTCTCATTCTACAACATTCTCATGATAACGGAGGTAGTCGTCTCGAATATTTCCCTGTAATCAAGGTAACCGTGCGTACGGGTATGCAATACGTCGCCAGGCACGAATTACGCGGGCGGGTTTGTTCCGAGGCCCATTTAGAAAAGTATCGCAACCCGGCGATTGACAGGACAGGTATCTTCAAGAACCGTTACCGGGCTTATGGCTACCACTTCTGCATTTGATCCGAGCAAAATCGGGGCTGTGTGCCATACATGCGGTCGTTCAGGTATGGTTGTAGGCGTGGGAGTCATCTCGGATCACTTGCTAACGAAACCGTTGTTAGACTTCCTGCCTTTTACTTGCAATTACTGCGGCCTCAAGTACTGCCAAGACCATCGACATCCACAGTCACATACATGCGGTCCATACTCCGCACTACAGAAAGAGCAAGCCCTGAAGACCGGATCCTCCACTCCACCTCCTGCTATCGGAAGCATTAAGACAACATGTTCGCATACCCAGTGCTCGACAGCTCTTGACGGTATCATGTCCCCAGGCACCGTCTGCAAGTGTCGAGGAATATTCTGTCTGAAGCACCGACATCCTCTGGATCACGCATGCAAATACACTTCGCCACCGCCAACATCAGCTGCCCGTGCCAGAGAAGCGTTGGAGAAATTGCGTCACTGGGCTTCGTCGTATGGGAGTACACGGACGGATGCGGGTAAGAAGACGAGTACGAAGACTAGTCGGGTGCTGGTCGTTGCCAAGATGAAGAAGACGTCGAAGGGAGATCAGAGGGTGCCGCAGGAAAAGCGGATATATATCCATGCCGAAGGACCTCCGGATGAGCCTAATCAACCCAAGGCCGATATTTACGTGTCGAGGGAGTGGTCTACTGGCAAGGCGTTGGATTCTATTGCGTCGTTGTTGGGGGTGCGGAATAATAATAATGCGGCAATGGAAGATGATGATAAGCTGAGGTTGATTAACGTGGACTTGGGGGCGTTGTTGGAGCATGCGCCGAAGTTTGGTGATGTCGCGAAGGATGGGGATACGATTATGCTTGTCAGAGGGCTACGCTTGCCTACAACTGCGTGAGCCAGGTTCCTATCACTATACCCACATATACCGGAATTTCAGCATAACATAGCATAGAATGAGGTTTGAGATGCAACGAGTGATTGGTATTGTATCTGGCTTAGATGTTGTGCGGCCATGTGCCGTAATTGCTTTTTGCTCCTCCCCTTGCTGGACTCAGAAGTTCTTCTCCGTAGTCAGAATAATCAACCTCCAAATCTTCTTGACAAACACCTCCGCATCCTCATCCAACGCCATCTCCAACTCCTTCTCCAAATCCTCGGCAGACCCCTTCTTTCTCAAATGATCAATCGTGAACTTGATCAAATCATCATCCTGGACACCCAAGTACTCGATGATCTTTTTGGTGGTGAAGGGTTTTATGTCCTCTTCGATGAGTGCGTCGGTGAGTTTGTCCCATTTGACGGGCCAGGACCAGAGGCCTTCCTTGTCAGAGGGGATGGAGGAGACGAGTTGTCTTAGGCGGCGGGCTTTAGTTTCTTCGTCCTCGACGTTGGTGCCTTCATAGGTAAGCGGTACGAGAACACGTTTCTGCTTGTCCTTGTCTTCCTCCTCGTCGTCTTCCAGCAACGCCTCCGCTTGACCCATCGTCCTGGAGGTCGTCTCAGGTGCCTTCTTAACCCCGAACTGAAGACGAATCGGGCCAGGACCCGCACTCGCCGTCGCAGGCTGTTGCTGCTGAGGTGCCGCTTTCCCAACCTCCGCCGCAATGTTATTGAGGAATGCCTCAGCCTGATTAGATGCATCCGCACCCCTCGCCCCCTCCATCTCCAACTCCCTACGCTCCGCCTCCCGATCCTGGGCGTCCATCTCCCCCTCCCTCGCCCTAAACACCGCCCGATTCGCCAACCAATTACTCTTATCCCGATAATACTCCTCAGCACCCATCTCCCTCTCCTTATCATCATCCCACTCCGCCAACCTCTGTCGAATTGCATCCTTGTCTTGGAGTTCACGGGCTTCGAGGTCGCGCTCACGAGCGAGTTCACGTTCGAGGGCGAGGGTGCGGGTACGTTCGCGGTTTAACCAGCGGCGTTCGCGGTCGACGTATTGAATTTCGAGATCTCTGTCTTTTTTCTCCTTTCTTCTACGCTCCAACTCGTCGTCGGAGAGGGCAGCTTCTTCTTCGGTCGCGGGGATGTTGACCTTGGACACATACAGTTCCTCCTTCACCTTAGGTCCAGTGGGAGCAGAGATTCCGCGCGGGCCTACAGGAATGGCGTTGGAGCTCATGCTTCCATTCCTGCCAAAGTTTGCACGACGTCGCTCAGCGTCTTCGACGGCTTGTGCACGTTCTTTGTCACGACGACTGGCACGTTCACGGAAAGCCGTAATTTCCCTTGCAACGGCCTCGCGCTGCTCCTGAGGGATGTCTCCGAGTTCCTCGTCGCCTCCCAAAGGGATAGTGACGACCTCTTCCGCGGGGGTATTCGAGTCTTCGGTCTTGACCTCGGCAGTTGGCGCAGCAGGCTGACGCTTGCTGGGGTCAGCAAAGTCCTCGAGGACCTTGGCGAGATTGTTTCTTGACGTGATAATCATGTTTTTATCCTTCTGAGGATTCTTGTTCGTACGGCTTTGGTCGTACGACTCCAAGAAAACCCGCGTCTGCTCGTCCGTAGTAATGATAAGCTTGGTCGGCTTCCCATCCTCCGTCGCAGGCGGAATCTCGAGGTTCTCGAGAACGGTGATAGCGCGCTGAGTGTGTTCCGGATCATCATACTCCGCAAAGCCAAACGACCTCAAACTTCCATCCGCAGCACGAGCACGGCGCCATTCCTTGAGCTTCGCGACAGCTCTCAGGATCTTCTCGACCCACTCATCCTCCAACTCGCTGGGGATCGCTCCGACGAACAAAGTATTGAGCGCTTCTTCAACAGTGGGTGGTCGAGCAGGCTGCACGATCTCCTTTGCCTTGACCATGTTACTGAGATGTGTGTGTCCATTGTTGTTGTTGTGTTGAGGCATATTCGGCGTCGCACCGAGTCCAAGCCTGCCTCCACCGCCTGTGCCGAGATGGATGACGGGTGCGTTGAGGTTGATGTTTGGCATGTTGGCAGGTGGCACGAACGGACGCTGAGGACCTCGCGCATCGTTGTGGCTATTGTTCATCATCCCTGGGGGACCGAAACCTGGTGCGCCCATGCCAGGAGGAGCCATTCCTGGTGCTGGCATTCCTGGGACAGGGACTGGCATGCCGGGAACAATTGGTGGTGCGCCGTATGGGTTTGGGTATTGAGGCGGGTAGCCAGCTGTAAGAAGGACATTAGCAAGCAGCCGTGATTGTTGTGTCAATTTTCTTACGCATTCCGCCATATGGTGGTCCGTACATCTTCACGGATTGATCCGGGGTGTGTGCTGAACGTCCCGAGGTCTGCTGTTCGCGATGCTGAGCGCGCTTCGCCTGTGCTGCGACTTTCTGCACGACGGTGTACGGTAAGGTTCGCATCTACCGCGGGAAGGACGAAACCTCACGACATCGCTTCAAATTTATGTTTGCTTGAGGTCCTTTTCGATGCTACGGGTGTATTCTAACTGCGAGAGTGTGATTAGCCTTCGACTGTGGGGTCTGACCAAGACAAATGTCATTTGAGTTGCAATTCACTGCATTCATCAAGTGTCCTGGTGCGGTTGCTTAACTTTAACGTCGCAAACCCCGTCACTATTACCATACCATCCCGCTCGTAACGTCTAGCGAGAGAGAAACTCGTGGGTGCATCTGAAGCATAAGACCTATTTCTGGGCTCTGATGTCGTGAAGGTGATCTGATGGACCGTGGGAATTCCAGCTCACAGTCCACCGTTATTACAGAATTCACAAGGGTAGGCGAAGAGAAAATAAGCATCATTTGGCGTCCTATCTCACCAGAACGAATACTATAACTCAGTTGGAACCTTACCGATCGTCCGCTGTCAACAAGTGAGTACATGTACCCCACACAATGGGACACCCGGGGGAGATACCGTAGGCGACCTCGAGCCGATCCGCCCTGCTGCGCAAAGACAAAACAGCAACGATGAGCCAGAAGCATCCAATTACCTGGTATGATTTCTGTACACTTCAGGAGATCATGTTGACGGTATGCTAACAGATCTGATCATAGCCACGTCCTCGACACCACGCTCGGCAAACCAGCGGCAGGAGTTCAGGTTTCTCTGTACGCGGTCGATCCTGCGGACAACAAGTTCACAAAAACTGGCTACGCCGAAACGGATTCTGACGGACGGATCCTAAAGTGGACACTGACCCAGGGAGCTTTCCATGCATCCAGCACGGACGTATACAGACTCGTATTTGAAGTTGAACAATATTACAAAAAATTGGGCATGGAGACGTTCTTCCCCTGGGTGGAGATCTTCGTCAATGCCAAGGATCTGCTGCAGGAGCACTATCATGTTCCACTTTTGTTGAGTCCATACAGCTATTCGACCTACAGGGGATCGTGAGGAAGGACGCACGAGGATATACCACGAGATACCAAATATAGCCGCAAACTCAAATTCCATGGGTATACATCCTAATCTTCTATGCAACTCGTATGCCTCAATTCCTTACTGCATCCTTCCGACCACAACACCCATCTCCTCATCCGTGTAAATCCTGAATCCCTTCTCCTTGGTGACACTCGCCAACTGTACGTTCTTCGCATCCAACTTCTCCTCCATGACTTGCTTCAGCACCTTGAGGATAAGGTCTTCGGCTTCCTCAAGGGTCATGGATTTGTGGTATTCGTTCTGGAGTTCGGTTTGTGCGCCTTCGGAGCCGGAACCGATGGCTTTGGCATCGTAGCGGTAGAAGGTACCTGAGGGTTCGGCGTGATATCTGTGAGCATCAGGTCAGTACTCATTCATTCCAGAGCTCGCACAAGCTGTTCTTACAATTGAGGTCCATTCTCGTCAACACCGGCAACCAACAGTGCAACACCAAACGGTCTCGACATAATCGCATCCTCACCCTCCGCTCCCTCTCCGAACCTCAACGCCAAATCACACACACTCTGCGTACAGCTCTCAACCCTCAACGGCTCATCATACGTAAACGCATGGTTCTGTGCCTCAACCCGTGCGTGCTCAACCATCGTTCTAGCATCCGCCGTAAGACCGGACATAGCAACACCGATATGACGGTCGATTTCGACAATTTTCTCGATGGATGAGGATTCGAGGAGGGTTGAGGTTACGCGCTTTTCGACGCCGAGGAGGACGCCGGAGGAGGTTGCTATGCCGATTGCGGTGGAGCCGAGTTTGATTGCTTCCGTTGCGTATTCGACTTGGAAGAGGCGGCCTTCGGGGGAGAAGGTGTTGACACCACGGTCGTATTCTGATCTTGTGAGGAACATCGTAGGGTTGTAGGGGGTTCAATTGGTCGAGGTGTATCTCCTGGTTGTCGAGGTCAACGTACGTATACCGGGAGCCGCGTAACGACGGTGACGTTGAATATCGTGACCGAAAAACGCCAGCATATGCAACTTAGATTCTCAAAGTAAGTATAAAAGAGTAAAGGAGCTGTTTCTGAATCTGACTTTGATACTCTCACAACACCCTTGCAGCGTGAACCGTGTCTACGTTACAGTCTAATACGACCTGTCGAGGAAACACCCATACGAGATCGCAAATCGCGGTACACCTTTAACCACCAGAGCACCTCCTCGCAGACTCTTGAACCGTTGCGGATCAGAGCGCAATGTTCCTCTTCACGCCGCTCGCCAACTCAACCCAGCAATCAGCACAGCTGGTCGAGATTGACGATGTACGAATCCTCATTGACTGTGGATGGACCGAATCCATGCCTTTTGAGCAAATGGAGCAAATCCTCGCGTACGTATTCCCTTCTTCTCCCTCAATGCCAAGTGCATCGCTAACTGTGTACCTCCAGCAACGCTCCAAAAATCGATGCTATTCTACTGTCTCATGCCTCAGTGAAGCATTTAGGCGCCTACCCCTACCTCTTCTCCCACCTCCAAAAGAACCTCGCGACACCCACCGCCTCTCTCCCACCCGTCTACGCAACCCTCCCCGTAACAGCAATCGGCCGGACATCCTCGCACGAGACATACGCATCCTCCTCACTCTCCCCACCCTTCCCACCAAACGTTATCGACGCAGCCTTCGACCACATCCAGAGTCTCCGGTTCTCGCAGCCGACACGTATTATGGGCGGTGTCAGTATAACGGCATTCAATGCTGGGCATACACTCGGAGGCACGATTTGGAAGTTGGAGAGGGGGGGTGAGACGGTCGTTGTTGCTGGTGACTGGAATCATGCGCGTGAACGTGTTTTTGCGTCTAGTGTTTTGTTCAATGAGGGTCAAGTCCTCGGGGAACTTCGAAAACCTGGGGCGTTGGTTTTGGGGGTGGGGAAGGGGAGTAATATCGTTCTTCCCCGGAAACGCCGGGAAGAAGCGCTGTTGTCGCATATCACCACCACTCTCTCGCATACCCCATCCTCCACGATTCTCATCCCACTTCCGCCCTCCCCGCGCCTCCTCGAACTCGCGTACCTCCTCGAACAACATTGGCGAACACTCCCCGCGCCTCAGCCGCCGTTGTATTTGTTGTCGAGTAGTGCGGGGAAGACGATACAGTACGCGAAGAGTATGTTGGAGTGGATGAGTGAGGAGATCGGGAGGGAGTTTGGGGCTGTGCAGAGTGGAGGGCCGTTTGAGTTTAAGCATCTCAAAGTTGTGGGGAGGTGGGAGCAGTGTAAGAGTGGGTCAGATGGAAAGGAGGGCATGGTGGTGATGGTTACGGGGGAGGGATTGGAAGGTGGGTTGGGACGGAGGGTTTTCGTGGAGGATGTCGCCACGAACCCACAGAATTTACTCTTGTTGACGCAGGAAACGACGATGGAGCCTGATAGCCTCGCAGGGAAGATGTGGAGCGTGTGGGACACCCATGCGCCCTCTGCGCCGGAGGGTGTCATTCGGGATGCCATCTCCGCTGGGGGTGTGCAGTTGAGGTTGAAGATCCGGGAAAAGGCGTTGTTGGAAGGGGATGAGTTGACGGCGTATCAGGAGGAAGAAGCGAGTCGGCAGGCACGTCTTACCGCCGATACCGCGCTTGAGATGCGGAATCGATCTATCCTCGAAGCGGATTTGGAGAGTGAGGAGGAGAGTGAGGACGATGAAGATGACCATCACTTGACCACTGGGGTTGGGGGGGTGAAGAGGGAGGCGGTGGGGTTCGGGAGCGAGGGGTTGTTTGATTTGTATGTGAGGGGTCATCACGCGAACGCAAGTAAGTCTCGACCATTGATGTTTCCGTTCGTGGAGAGGAGGAGGAGGTTTGATGATTTTGGGGAGGTGTTGAGGGCGGAGGATTTTGCGGGGGTGAAGGAGGATGAGCAAGTTGATATCCAGCAAGCTGTGGTTTCGGTTGCGGCAAAGGGGAAGAAGAGGAAGTGGGATGAGGTTGCGAAGGGGAAGAAGAAGGGGGAGGAGCATAATGCCACCGGAGGGGGAGGTGAAGATGGCTTGGATGAGCGGCCGAGTAAGATTGTGGATGTTGAGAAGGATGTCGTGGTACACTGCAAAATCGCATTTGTCGATATGGAAGGTCTCCGCGACGGCCGTGCCATGGAACGCATTTTGCCGATGATTGGAGCACGGAAGCTCATCCTCGTCGGCGGGGATGAAGCCGATACCCAGGATTTGAGATTATCATTCTCGACTACCCAGGGAATCACGCAGGATATCTTTAGCCCGGAGGTCGGGGAGACAGTGAATGCGAGTATGGACGTGAATGCGTATGACTTGAAGTTGAGTGATGCGTTGCTCAAGACGCTCAAGTGGCAGAAACTGGGAACCCACGAAGTCGCGCACGTCACCGGAAAAATCAGCATACCCACCAACGACGACGACGCACCAACCGCAACCGCACTCCCAGTCCTCGAACCACTCTCCACCCCCGCCGATTTCGCCAATGCACCACGTGCTGCGCCCCTCCACGTCGGAGACATCAAACTCGCGGATTTGAGAGCGGGGTTGAGGAGCCAGGGGATTACGGCGGAGTTTATGGGTGAGGGGACGTTGTTGTGTGATGGGGTTGTTGCGGTGAGGAAGGTTGGGGCTGGGAGGGTTGTTGTTGAGGGGGGGGTTGGGGAGGTGTTTTGGAGGGTTAGGGGGGTTGTTTATGGGATGGTTGCTACTGTGTGAGGATATCGATCGTCGTGCATGTAGGAGATCAAGGCATGTTTAGTAGGAGTATCTATAGATGCCCTCAGGGCTCTTCGGTGGAATGATCACACGCGTTAAGGAGGGACTCTGGATACCTTAGACTTCTTGGAGCAAGAGCGAGGAATGGGGGAAGTGTACGATATAGCATACCACTATTACCTAACCCAATAACAATGCGCCAACGAACTTGTACCAAATCGATATCCAATAAGTTATAAACGCCGAACACTTGCAAAAAGAAATCTCATCTCATCTCAACTCTCCCGTTTCTCTCCATGTGATTCAAATCGAAATCAACGGCTCCCCACCTAACCCCTCAATCCCCGAATCACTCTTAGCCACGGTTCCATCAATCTCCGGCGCACTCCCACTTTCAACCCCCAACCCCATCACCGGCACACTCCCAATATCACTCACCCTTACCCTCCTCGCCCCCCCTCCTAAACCCATCCCTGCTCCCTCAGCAGCAGTCCGTCTGATAAAAGGACTCGGCATATCCCCTCCCTCCTCACCCCAATTCGGCGCTTCCATCCCCACCGGCGTCGGCTTCCCCGGTTTCGCCTTGCCGTTCAACGCCATACGCCGAAGATCATTCGCAAGACCGGGAATGGTGGGTTTGGAATTGAGACGGGCAGGAGATCCAGTTAGACCGCTTTCGCGGCGACGCGTGGGGGATGAGGCGCGAGAGGTGTAGGCTGATATCAAGCCCACTCTGCTCGGGGTACTCGGTGCCTGCCCCGTAGCTGCTACTGCTGGTGGTGCAAGGACTTCAGGGGGTGCGGACAGTGTGGTCGCGGTGGTGGTTGGTACAGATAGCGGTTTATTGAGTGTTGACAAGGTCGGTATCGCGACGTCGGAGGTGAGTGGAGTCGTTGATTCGATGCATCGGTTGGATGTGGCGGGGAGGAGCGTCAATGGCGGTCTCTTCGGTTCTTCAACTCTCTGCGCGGGTGCGGATGATGGTCTGCTGCTGTCGTTGACCACCGTGGATGTAGTTGTAGCTTGTCTAAGCTGTGAAGTCTCCTGCTGTGCAGCTACCAACGCCGCCCGCAACTCATGACACACCCTCTCACTCTCATGGAACTTCCTTTGCATCTCCGCATACGCTTCCGTCAACCTCTTCTCCTTGACCCCAATTTGTACTTCTCTGTGTAATAGGGCTTGTTCTTTTTCCAGGATGGCGAGTTCGCGGGTTTTCATTGCTCTTGAAGATAAGCCCGACCGGACCATGGGGTGGGTCAATAAATCCTGTGTAGTGGGTCTTGCCAAGGGGTTTAGTTGGAGACAGGCGGCGATGACTTCGGTGATTGCAGTGCCGTAGCCAGATAGGCTGTCCACATCGAATCTTCCGCTTTCGATTGCTATACCGAGTTCGCGGTGGTTCTTTCCATTGAAGGGGGGTTTGAGGGCGCAAATTTCGTAGAGGACACAGCCTAAGGCCCAGATATCGGATTTGGCGGAGTATGGTTGCGAGTTAATGAGTTCGGGAGACATGTAGTAAGGGGTGCCGACATATGTGCGAGCCAAAGCATGTGCGTCGTCAAGAGATTTGGACAACCCGAAATCACCGAGTTTAGGTGTTGGCGCGATTGCTGCAGAACCCAGAGAAGCGACCGGCGTTGATGAGGATGTAGGAGTTGAAAGGAAGATGTTCTCGGGTTTCAAGTCGCGGTGTAGAATTGTTTTCCGTGCTTCTCTCCCTCTTGTTGCTGCTGTGATTGATGGTGGGTTATGACATTCATGTAATGCACTGACCAACTGCCCAAAGAGCTCCCACACATCCTCTTCTCCTACTCTCTCCCCTCTTCTTCTATACTCCTCCAACCATCGTCCCAAGTCACCGCCTCCACAGTACTCCATGTACAGGTAGATGAGACATGCATCCCTCTTAACTTCACGAGAATAATATCGCACGATATTCGGGTGCCGAATCTGATCAAGAATATTCACCTCAGCGACGAGCTGGTGCTTCTCCGCATCAGACATGAGTCTCCAATCGATCTCCTTCCTCGCAAAGATCCTTCCATCACTTCTTCTCCTCACCTGTACAACGACCAGTCAGTCCACACCCTTATCAAATAGCGCACGGGCCACATTGACTCACCTTCCGGATAAGCCCAAACGAACCACGACCGATGAGCTCGAGTTCCTCGTAGTCCTCTGCTTTGAATGTCGTGGGGTTTGCTATGGCTGATGCTGAAGTGAACATCTTGCCATGAATGTTCGGTGCAAGGGATGAATGCTGGTCTGTTGGAGAGCGAACGCGTATGTTGGCCGCGGTGTTGACAATTAAGGCACTTTCTTTCCGAATCGAGGTGTGGGTGCGTTGCTCGGGCGACAAGCTGCTGTAACGCAACGGGCAAGACGTGGAATATTGTGAAGGGTTACCGAAGGAAGTCAGCATGCTCGCTTTTCTCAAATAAGTATCAAAGAATAATGGCAAGGTCTCCGACAATAGTGATGCGTTGACCTGCAAGGCCTGTCGCTCTCCCGCAGGTCGCGAAATCAAAGTAAACAGATCATCAGAACAGCAATTGTGACCGACCATAGGCTCCTGTATACCGTCGATACCCCGAAGCATATTGCGCATGCCATCGTGATAGATGTCGACCCGCTACAATGACCTAAGATCGTCTTCCCCGCTCCATTCCACCGCGTCTACCTCGTCTCGCGTGTCAACCGCACGGCCAAGTAGTCGTTCTGCGACTGACTACAGCAATTTGGGGAGTCTTGCGACAGAGTTTAGGCCGCCGAGTACGACTGGGGAGGATGTAGTCAGGTTGAAGAGGGCGCCGTCTACGGCTACGAGGAGGAGTGGGAGTCCGTTGGTTAGTGAAAGGGAGAGGGAGAGGGAGAGGAGGACGGAGACAATTACGTCAACAACCATCACAAGTTCGAGACATGAGAGAAAACCATCTAGAGCACAGACGCCATTGGATAGAGAACGCGACAGCGGTGCGACATACACAACCGCGTCATCAACTCCGGTCCTCCCACCCTTCGTATCCTCGGCATCGGTAATCCCACATACAGCCGCACCACTGGCCTCAAGAATATCAATCCCACCAGCAATATCGATGACAAGACCATTACACGTCATAGACTCCCTATCATCACTCCCGCTAGACCTCCAAGAAGCGTCTATCATCGAAGACCTTCTGTACGTCTTCATGGGCCACGAGGGAAACTACATCCACTACGCCGGAACATACGACCCGAAAAGCGAGCAAGACACACTGAAGGGACCGCAATGGGTGATTGCCGATGGACTGGATCCAAGTTTACGGGATTTGTGTATGGGATTGTGTAGGATGAGTACGTGGTACGTGAGCGTCAGTGCTTTTGTCGAGATCCACAGTCGTGCGGAGTTCGGAGTGGTGAATCACGCGTTGTGTGCGGCGATACGGAAGTTGTTGAAGGAGTATCTGGTGCTCGTTGCGCAGCTTGAGCATCAATTTCTGACGAATCCGGCGTTTACGTTGCATACACTACACTTGCACGCGTTACCGACGTCGCATACACTGTTTCATATGTACTCGCTTGCACACGAGGTTATGAAGCGGAATGCGACGATTGAGGAGGAGAAGGACATGATGGACGATATGGACAACATCGAGGGTATCCTGGAGGCGCTCAAGGAAGGGAACGATATCACTTCTGGCGTACTTGGGAAGCCGACGATCTGTAAGGGTGGTGCGGTGTTGGGATTGCTCAGTACGCGACTGTCAAGTTTGGCTGGTGACCCGGCTGCGAGGAAGCTGTTGAGTCATTTGCTGAAGGAGGCGAGTAAACCGTACATGAAGATGCTTAATGAGTGGCTGCATCATGGTGAGATTCGGGATCCGCATCAAGAGTTCTTGGTCAAGGAGCAGAAGAGCATCAAGCGTGAGAGGTTGGATGAGGATTACACCGACGAGTACTGGGAGAAGCGCTATACACTGCGCGAAGGTGAGGTTCCGCCACAGTTGGAGAGTGTGAAGGAAAAGGTACTGCTGGCAGGCAAATATCTCAATGTGGTTCGGGAGTGTGGAGGTGTCGACGTCAGCAAGACCGATGAGCGAGATAAGTGGCCGATGAGCTTCGAGCATACGAACTTCCTGGATAACGTCAACTCGGCGTATGCGCATGCTAATTCATCGCTTCTTGAGTTGTTGCTGACGACGCATGAACTTCCTGCGCGCCTACGAAGTCTGAAACACTACTTCTTCCTTGATCAAAGTGATTTCTTCACGCATTTTCTTGCGTTGGCGAGTCATGAACTCAAGAAACCTGCGAAGAATGCCAATCTCGTCAAACTGCAGAGCTTACTGGATATTACACTACACTCACCAGGTACCATTGCCGCCAGTGATCCATTCAAGGAGGACGTCAAAGTGCAGATGAACAAGGTTTGGCTGACGGACTGGTTGATGAGAGTCCTGTCGGTGAAGGGTCTTGGTGAAGATGGTTTGCCTACATCGAGTTTCGGTCAGTCAACCTCGGACAAAAAGGACCAGAAGGAGCTGGCAGGATTTGATGCATTGCAACTCGACTATACTGTTCCGTTTCCGTTGAGTTTAGTCATCTCGAGACAAGCCGTGACAAAGTACCAGCTCCTCTTCCGACATCTTCTCAGTCTCAAAAATGTTGAGCAACTCCTTGGTGACACTTGGATGGCTCACATGAAGGATGCGCAGTGGAGTCGTTTCTCGAAGCACCGTCGTCTCGAGATCTGGAAAAAACGCGCATGGGCCCTGCGGTCCCGAATGATGAGTTTCATTCAGCAATTGGCGTATTTCTGTACCAGCGAGGTTATTGAGCCGAACTGGCAGGGTATGAGGGTCAAATTGGAGAAGGTTACTACGGTGGATGAGTTGATGAAGGATCATGTTGATTTCTTGGATACTTGTTTGAAGGAGTGTATGTTGACGAATCATCGTCTTCTCAAGGTTTGTTCTGATAACTATCTTCCCGTGCAGAGCATGTCTGCTAACTAAAACGAACAGATTCAAGGAAAACTCATCTACGGATGTACCATGTTCGGCCAAATGACGACATATCTCGCCCGCTCTCTTGCTACGGCTGACCCAATGCTCGACCCTACACAATTTATTCCGAAGGATGGACCGTTCCCCGAGCCTAATGCCGCAAAGATGAACAGTCTGGAAGAGCTTCTGCAGAAGCATGAGGAGCACTTTGCAAGGAATACCAAGATTATGATGGATGCAGTGAGCTACTACGCCGGGACGGAGAGTGCACGTTTGTTGAGTCTGGTGGTGAGGCTGGACTGGGAGCAGGCGAGGTATTGAAGAGATGTTATTTCGATGGATTTTGTGCGGGGGCTTGAGCGTCTGGTCTGGAGTTTTGCGATTGGATTTCTTTCGGTTTGGGCGTGGGGTACAGCAGGTCCCCTGATAGACGAGTGCACCTTGGAGGTGACACGTCCTGCAATGTATGAATTTTATAATAACGTCAACCAGCATTTCTTTTCCCCTTGTTTGTAAGTTTTCGTGTTTTTTGCTCCCCAACTGGCCACTTTGCGCAGGTGTTGCAGCGACCTCGCAGGTGTGTAGGACGCCTCAAGCGACGCTCGAGAAAGACAATTCGACAACAACCCCTGTACGTACCCATTGCCGTCTGAGTCTTTGAAGGAACGGTCGCTTACATCTCGTCAGTCGTATCGTCCGAGCGCTACCAGCGATGATGAATCGTGAGTGCCAAGCGGCGCCTTGTGAAGGTTCGACGAAGCGATGCTGACAGCAATTGCGCAGGCCCAGGACAACCAGCAAGAGGAGCGGTACCTTTGGGCTACGGTCCAGCAATAAGCAACCGACTGGCTCAACCGAGCAGCATGGTCGGAAGGCTGCCGAACGGCAGGGTTGGAGGTCCGGAGCCGATATATCCGCGCTCGTCCCAATGCTAAGAGTTTACCGCAGGAAACCCACCAGGGTGGAATACCTCGCCATTTCCCCAAATGCAACAACCCGAACGACCGCCATCAACAACCTTTCCCGGCACGAACACGCAAGCAATCCACGCGCAGCCGGGTTCATCGCAACAACTCGACCCATCAGAATTTCCAGCATTAGGCGGTACAGGTCCAGGATCTATGCAGAGCCCAGGTCCATCGCAGAGTTATGCTTTCACAGCAGGTACGGGAACCCCCGATCAGCGACAGCAACAAGTTATGCCGGCACAAGACGACTTTCCTGCGCTTCCGACGGGGCTGACCTCAGGCTCGGCAGTGCAACCGCAACGGCATGCGAACGGAGCCGGTTTTGCGGATACTTCACCTCCGCCGGGTCTTCCTGGGCAGCTGAGGCAGCCCGGGATGCCGACGCATGTGGACCGGGATCAGCACCGAAACGCGCTCCTCGGCGCGATGACGGGTGCAGCGAATCTGAAGGGTATGTGGGATGCCGTCTCAAGTTGAGCATTTGCTGACCATATTATGCACAGGCGAGTCGAATACTGCCTTCACTCAGGAAGATGCGAAGCAGTTGCCGATTGACACTCCAGCGAACGCGCAAATGTCGCATCAAACACCGCCAATGGCACACGTCCCGATCGGCTTCGAGTCGTCGCCAAGCGCGAAGTCATCACAACTGGGCCCTATCGGTGCGCCTCCAATGATGGATGGTGATCAATATGGGTTGAAGGGGCTTCTTGGTGTAATCAGAATGGAGAACCAGGATCTGAGCATGCTCGCGCTTGGTAATGACCTTACCAGCTTGGGCTTGAACATGAACCAGTCAGAGTAAGTTTTATGTTGTGGGAACTATTCTGCTTATCCTAACACGCGCCCTACAGTGACCGACCGCTTTACGCTTCGTTCAACTCACCTTGGATGGAGACCAACAACAAAGACGTAGAACCAGTATATCACCTGCCTGCATGTTACAACGTCCAACCCCCACCACCGGCGCATACCAAAATCCAGAGCTTCTCCGACGAGACGCTGTTCTACATCTTCTACTCCATGCCACGAGACGTGATGCAAGAATATGCTGCGGCAGAACTGACAGCAAGAAATTGGCGATACCACAAGGAGCTCCGTATGTGGCTGACAAAGGACCCTAACGCTGAGCCGAACCTCAAGACGACCGCGTATGAGAGAGGAGAGTACGTGTTCTTCGACCACCTACACTGGGAAAAGATCAGGAAGGAGTTCGTGCTTGTCTACGAAGCCTTGGAGAACAGACCATTTAGCATCAACGGCGCGACTCCATCGATGGGGTCACCTTCTGCGGTCCAGGCACAGCTTGCGGGAACTCCGGCACCGGGTCATGCTGCTCCTAGCTTGCCGAACGGATTTTGAGAAGGCTATCTGTGTTATATTGTCGTTTGTCATAGGTGTTTCGTTTCTGTTCGTTCGTTATGCAGTATGGGTGGCATGCGGTGCTGGGAGATTCCTATCGTTACCAGAAAAATGCTCACGTTATGCTCGCTCTATTTACTTGTCCACCTCGTCTTCCCAAGTGATTGTACGCTTTTCAGGTGAATTCCAGCAGGTAGTGCAAGGCTTTTTTACCCTCGAGGAGTTCAGCGTGGGAAAACGAGAAAAACGATGGTATCAACGCCTGAGAAGCTATGCGTCCAATGTGAGGATATCCTCATTCACTTCGAAGCATCACAAAACAGTCAAGCTCCACATTCGAACAACCAAACATTTAAAGTTTCGCACGACGACGTCAACGTGAAACACTGGCTTGCATCTCGTACATGATCTCACTTTGGAGCGCAAGAAGAGAACTGCGAAGATCAAAGCGACAACCATAGCGTACAGATGACCAGGCAGACAGCCAATTGAGTGAGCAGTATGGATACAGATCATCCGCCTCATAGGAAGAGGCCGGAGCTGCTTGATCGGCTGCGAACGAAGAGCAAAGAAGCGCTGCGTCGACGACCAACGAAAAATCCGCATGGGTCGCCAGCGACGTTGAGGGGGATGCCGCACATGCCTGCTGCATTTCTTGCTATTACGAAGAAGCCAAAGCAGGAGGAGCCTGTGTTTGATCAGCGCCGAGCATCTGCATCTATGCCTGACCTCGGCCTTCTTCGCGAGGACTCACCACCTCCTCCGTCGCCAAAGTTGCCGGGATTACCCGCATCACCAAGATTAATGGTGCCAGTATCTCCGCAATTCAACAGATCGTATTCACCGGCGACAACTGGCAGTGCTAGGAGCAGTGTGGGAATCGAGTCGTCACCTGTATCGAGGAACGCGGGGTATTCAGAGGTGGACTTAAGTTCGGATGAGGAGGAGGAACCAAGGGATGACCGCGCCATGAACGACTTCTTACAACTATATGGCATAGAGGAGGATGAGGAAGGGAACGGAAATGCAATACCGGGAAGACTGGGGGAACCAGACATCCGGAAGTCGGAGGATTCATACGAAGCGGCAATCCGAATAGCAATGAGCGAATCACTAAAGGTGCCGGAACCAAAAGTAGCGGCAAACGTCAACAACGACCAAGATACCCCTTATCACCCACCAAAATCACCATGTCCAATATCAGATACTCGAGATCAGTACGGTTTCCGGAAGCAAACGCAGCATATATCCCAAGCACAGTTTGATGCTTGGAACGTGGACTACATGAAGCGCATTGCGCAGAGAAAGAAGAAGTGGGATGCATTGCTGGCAGAATCAGGATTGGGAAATCCAGGGAACGGTCAAGCACCAACGAAGTTTCCACCGAAGACCGATAAGGTTAAGCGGTATATACGGAAGGGCGTGCCGCCGGAGTATCGGGGTGCCTGCTGGTTCCACTACTCTGGAGCTGCTGCACGGATGAAGAAGAACCCAGGGTTATATCGGAGAATGTGGCAGGAGTCAAAACTGAAGAAGAGTAATGATGCCGAGATCATCGAACGCGACCTTCACCGAACATTTCCGGACAACATCTACTTCAAGCCTGAGAGCTTGGCGGATGGACCTGGACATAAACGAATGCCCTCCAAAGCCCCAGAAACACCAATCATCAAGGCTCTTCGTCGGGTTTTGTCCGCCTTTGCAAATTACGTGCCACGGATCGGATACTGCCAGAGTCTCAATTTCATTGCCGGGTTGTTCTTGCTGTTCATGGATGAGGAGAAGGCATTTTGGATGTTGGTCGTGACGTGTACAGAGCTGCTACCTGGCATGCACGACGTGAACCTCGAAGGATCAAACGTGGATCAGGCAGTCCTGATGTTGAGCATCAAGGAGGACTTACCCGCAATATGGACAAAGATCGGAGGCGGGCTTGACGGAGCTGAGGCGAGCGACATCGTGACGAAGCTACCACCAATCACACTGGTTACTGCTGCGTGGTTCATGAGTGCATTCATCGGTGTACTACCAATCGAATCCGTTCTTAGAGTCTGGGATTGCCTCTTCTACGAAGGCTCCAAGATCCTCTTCCGGATCGGCCTCACAGTCCTAAAAACAGGCGAAGCCGAGATTCTAGCAGTCGCAGACCCAATGGAGATATTCCAGGTCGTGCAGACATTGCCGAAGAGGATGATTGACGCAGGTGCGGTGATGGAGGCGTGCTTTAAGCGAAGGAATGGGTTTGGACATCTGAGTCAGCGAGATGTGGATCAGACGAGGGTGATGGTACGGTCGAAGAGGCAGGCAGCGGCAGTGACGAATAAGCCAGCTGCTTCGGATGATACTACGGTCGGTGCTGGTTACGGCGACCTCATGCCCATCAGGCCAAGGGGATCACGAGCAGGGAGTTCTTTGAGGAATGTTAGGAATAGGCTGGTCCAGAGGGTTGCAGAGCTTGGGTGAAGATGATGACGGCGGAAGGGGATTACCTGCTGGTTTCGGGCAGCATTGATTTGGGGGTTGGGGGAAGCATGATTGGCGTTGGTTTGATGATAAATGATCTCTTGATATCTTTCATAAGCCGAGATTGATTACATAATCTATGAGCATAACTCTATACCGTGCCTTCCCGAAACTTCCTTCCATACATCGCGATAAATATCCCAACCTAAACGCCGTTCCGAAGGGTATATAACCAAGCCTGTACTAAAATCATTCCCCAAAGTGATTAATCTGAGCCTCCATAGCCCTCTGAATGAAACTTGTGCTCGCTATATACGAGAAATCCTTGAACATCCCCGGACTGGAAGCCGCATGTCCGTCCATCCCATCCACCCCGGAAAAGGGCATTGGCATTCCCTCACCACCGGGTGTGACGGGCGGACTCCCAACAACAGCCAACGTCGTGAACTCATCCGCAAAGTTCTCCGCAAGCTCCGGGTCCGTGATCATAGGCACAATCGGCGGTGAAACCTCTCTCCTCTCCAACGCCTTCCAATCAATCTTTCGGAAGAGTCGGTGGGCTTTGATTTTGTTGACGTCGCCGGATTTGCTGCCGAGTCGTACACTCGGCGTCTTCTTGAGTAACTTGGTGAGGAGATCTTTCGCGTCTGGGCTGAGGTAGTACGGGAGGGAGAGCTTCGTCTTTGTGATTTTGTCCATGATTTTCTTTTTGTTGTTGCCGGTGAAGGGTGGCATTCCGGTTAAGAATTCGTATAGGAGGACGCCGAGGGACCACCAGTCCACCGCGGCGTCATGACCTTGCTCTTGGAGGATTTCAGGGGCCATGTATTCGCACGTTCCGACGAAGGAGGTGAGGCGGGGTTGTCCCTCGTCTGCACCATTTGCGTCAGACACCTTCGAGAGTCCGAAGTCCGTAAGCAGGACGTGTCCCTCTGCATCGAGGAGACAGTTCTCAGGCTTAAGGTCACGATAGACGACACCGAGTGAATGCAAATGGCTCAGAGCCAATACAATCTCTGCAGTATAAAACGCTGCGGTGGCCTCATCAAACATTTTCGCCGTCTCCAAATGCGTAAAGAGCTCACCACCCATGGCATACTCCAAAATCAAGTACAGTTTGGTGTGTGACTGAAAAGCGTAAAACAACTTGACGATGAACGGGTGCCGAACTTCCTCCAAAATCTGACGTTCGGCCTTGATTCCGTCAACAGTCTTCGCACGAACAACGATAGACGCCTTCTTCAACTGCTTCTGTGCGAAAAGGCGACCGGTGGAGTTTTGTTTGACGAGGTGAACAGTGCCGTAAGCGCCCTTGCCCAATACCTTCAACGGCGTAAAATCAGACGGAGCCATCTTGCGCGAAGGCGGAGCCGAGATTGAGGAAACGAAGTCCTCGTCAAGAGGAACCTCGTACTCCTTCGTCGACGGGCTGGCCGGCGTCGAGTTCGGTTGACGCGGAGCACGGGGTGTCTGAGCACCCGAAGGCATAGGCGTTTCATCATCATCCACCATCTTGAAGTTCGCATTCGCCGCTCCCTCATGCGTAATCGTCACATCTCCATCCTCCACTCCATCTTCAGCAGCCGCATTGTACTCAATAATTGTACTAGAGTCCGAAATCGTCACAGTGGATTCCCTCGAAAGAGTCGGCGTACGCGGTCCTGGTACTACACCAGCATGTCCCGGAACCCAGTGTTCGTCGTTTGAGTCAAGTGTATCCGCCCTGTCACGTCGGGGAGCCGCAAGGAAATCGTCCGAGTCGTCGAACGCGAAAACAGCCTATGTACATAAATCCTCGATCAGCAACTGCGCAAAAGGGAAGAAGATGATTGACGAACCGCCATAGTCGTTTGAATTCACTACCATATATGATCGAAGCGAGCGGGATTATGCGAAGGAGAGCGAGTCGACTGTGCGACGGTGTTGCTGTTACTTTGTTTTTGTGTGGTCCAGCTGCGGCTTTTTGCGAAGGCTTCGTGCAGCTGCTGCCGCGGCTCAAGTTAAAGTGCGCGAGTTAACTTAGACAGAAGGAAAATTACCGATTGGCTACGAAACATTGCGAAGTCGAAAGGACGATGTTAAGGAGAACTGTTACTCTGTATGGTTCTGTCACAGTACTCTCATTGGCGATGTCTGCGGTAGACTGATTCCGTCTCTTGTCCCGTATACATGTAGTCAGATATACCTCCTCCCGCATCCATGACGTATTTCATCACCGCACTCAAACTCTGTCGTAGATTCCTTTCATGACCCATCAACTCATACCTATCTTCCTTACCCCTTGCGATGATACTTCTTCATCTCCACGCCCGATCTGCGAGTTTGGATATCAGCAATCTTATTACGAAGACGTCGCTTCGCAGCTCACCTCGTAAAACCACACTTCTCGTAGAACCCTACATTCTTCTCAGCACAGTCCAGAATCGTCTTGTAGCAGCCCAGTTCACGGGCGAGGTGGTTGAGGGTGTCAATGACGCTGTAATTTCCTGTCAGCTATGTTGAAACAACTTCGTCAGAGAGGGGTACAACATCAAGCCGAGACCGCTGCCCCTCTGCGTGCTCGATACCACGATGTCCTCAATATGCGCCGCCTTTAGGAAGCAGATCAGCAAGGCCCACCTATGAGATTTTCAAGGTATTGCTCGGATCCCTACTTTGGCTGCATTCCGGATGAACTTTTGCTCAATAAGCACCGTACCCGTCGCAACAACATCTCCAGTTCCCTTGTCCTCCGCAATGACAACATATGTGACCCCACCTCTCTTCATATCATCGAAGTGTGCTTGGGCCTCTGCTTGAGATGGACGAGGACCGTTCGATGTTTCTGGCTGAGCGAGTTGATCGAGGAGGTCCATGTATTCTGTACGGAGCATCCATTAGCAACCGAGCCGGTGAACATGTCCCTCAACCGTACTTGCGAAATTCTCGTCACGGCTCAATGGCCTCATCGTAATATGCTTCGGCAGCTTCTTGTACGTGGACGGCAGCAATGCCGGATCAAAGAGAAAGTTGGTGGCTCCGTTCGTCGTCATGATTCCTATCCTCTCTCAGCTTCCGTATCGTCTCCAAAAGAAGGTGGCGAGTTGTCCAGGTGTGCTGTCTGATCCGGGCCGGACTTGAGGGTACGCACGGGTCGCTGGGGGGACACATGCATCAAAGCACAGGGTGGACCGCGCTTCGACGTCGCGGATTCGGCGACGCACGTTACCGCCGCTATACCATAACCTTATTACGCCATCCTAGATATCTTGGAATATGACTTGATGGCGTTTGATACGAAATCGACCTACATAATAACGCTCGTTTTCGGTATCAGCCGGGCTCCTTGGTTAATGAGCCTGGTCGAGACCTTTCCCACGAGTGCTGTGTGTTTAATCGAACGTGAAATGTTCGTATGCCTTCCTAAATATGCGAGCGATGTGTAGACCCACCGGTCCAGCCGAAGGGCCTCCGTAACAATATCCTGTCACACAATCAGATGCCTAATCCTCCGAACGCCGTTTGCCCTTCCCCTTCTCCGGAGTGTTCCCCTCACTGACACTAGTCTCCACCGAATGTCCACCAAGTCCACTATCCTCGCTACCCTTCCTGCTGCCTCCGCCTCCTTCTTCTCCTTCTTCGTAGGCTTTCCTCTGGCGCTCTTCCCTTGCCAAGCTCTCTCCTTTCATAATCTTATTATTCGGTCCCCTTGCGTATGTCTCAACAACATCCTCATTGATCTGCATAGACCACACGAAAACTGCGACCTGGCGAATCGACTCCATAACGTCCGGCTTTGGCTGTTCATGCTGTGACCTCGCAGCTTTCTTTAAAGTATCGCGAATGCGGTCCACACGTTCGGGGGTACGCGGGTGAGTAGCCCAAGGACTGGCATAAAGATCCGGCTCGGACGCACGAGGCGGTGCGGGGCGAGCACGGCGAAGGACGACAACGAGTCCATCCGATGTGCAGGATACGACGGCTTCTACTTCAAACGACTCGTCTTGTCCAGCAAGATGAGATTCTTCGTCACTGCCTGACCTCTCCAAAACAGAGCTGCGGTGCCCTCCAGCCCGTGGTCGTTCATCTTCGGGTGAGGTACTGTATGCCGATGTCTCCGGGCTCTCCTGCGTCTGTGGTCTAGGCGAATCCTCTTCTTCTTCCTCTGAAGACTCTGGTGTAGTGGATTCAGATGATAACCGCGGATCGCGCCAGGCGAAGCGGATATACGCAATCGAGTCATTCTCCTTGGCACGCTCCACGACATCGACAGCGCCTTCGAGGAACTGCTCCTGGATGCACGAGAAGAAACTCTTTCCGATGAGGTGATCGGGGTGGATTCCGAGGATTGACTCGGTTGCGTGTGTGGCGTACAGGACGCACAAGGTCCGGGTATAGCGATTCAAGATGAACGCAGCGCGGGGTTCGTGTTGGTATCCATCAGTTGTGAACTTGCCGGAGAGGTGGTGGAGCATGTCCCTGCGCGGGTCTGGTGGGGTTTCCGGGCCGAAGAGGCGGCGGATATGTGGTGCTATTTCTCGGCGATCTGGAGGGCTGTCAGCGATGCAACAACATGGGGAGCTGGGGGGAATTTACTCTGCCGCTTAGACGATCCATCTACGTATAGCGTAGTCGCAGCAACAAACACATCATATACCACTGTGAATACCATCTCGCATTGCACCCAGCTCCCATCTTTATGTCTCAATGAACAGTAGGCAAGGACGGCGGCCTTATCCAGCCCAACTCCCTTGCCGTGCACACCACGAGCAATTGGCTCTTCGTCTGGATGGAAAAAGTCGAAACACGATTTGTCGATGACGTCCTGGGAGCTGTAGCCCAACACATCGCTAATTGATTCGGAGGCGTAGAGGATTGTCGCCTCCTCATCCAGGTCATGGATGGTGATGAAGGTACTGTGAGTCTCATGTCAGCGCAGGTTCAAGTAAACCCTTCGATATCAGCAAACAGACTCACATGTCCATACTGGTTTAATCCTAAACAACTGAAGGCGCAAAAGAGCAGCAGACCACGGCCTTTTATCGCAAAGGGATCAACACCGGCAGCCGAGAAGACGAACGTGAAAACGCCAAGAACGGTGGGGTAAAAGGTCGCAATCGCAATCGCAAGAGCGTGACGACGGTACCAGCAATTGCAAGTCTTAATAAACGAGTGAAGCAACTGGCCTCGTGCGTCGGTCGTACTGATCGGAAAGTGGAGCGTGGAGTTGGAGTTCAACGAAAGAGAAGCTCGTACCACCGATCGTGAGGGTGTTGGTATACAAGCTTTTTCACCGCGGATCGAGAGAGTCGATATTGAACTCTATTCGCGGCCTAGATGGTTCTGCGGAATTGTTGACCGAGAATTCCAGCCGGGGTCTGCTGTCCTCGGCCGGGCAAGCTTCGGTGCGCAGTGATATGGGGCAGCAGCGCTGTGAAAGCAGTGGCGTGCTTCGGTCCTTCGGCATAACCCACGTAAAAACTCGCGATCGACTGGTGCGATGACTTAATTGCGTTCCTCGGCATCACGATGGTCATGGTACAGCCGTTACGGGCTATACGGTATGACCGGCGCCGTTGTCGCCGATGAAAGGCTACCTGGGTTATTTATAGAGCGTGAGACAATCGATTCGAGGTTTGGGACTTTTTTTTTGTTCTTTTGCCAGTAGACCTAACGCAAGAAATGTACACTCGAAAATAAAAAAAAAAACGCAATGTCTAACAGATTTATCAATCCACAGCTTTTGTGCGCAAACAGAAATCGCTGATGCTTCGCTGAGAGAAACCCCTCAGACAACTCACGCAACGCTCGCTGATCGCTTTGAAATAAACACCAGGAAAAGCAGAAACAAAAGACGCAACAGATTTTTTTGTGCTTTTTTGGTTTCACACAACCTTCATGCCCCTTTCCCGTTCATCTTTTCTTTTCTGTTCCTCTGAAACGAATGAGCGAGGAAACTCTCTCCAACTAGCACCATGTCCACAATCTTCCATCCGGCGAGGACCCCATTATCAAGACGGAGGGGAGATTAATGAAGGCGTTGTGTGTATAAATCGGAAGGCGAAAACAAGAAGAAGTAAATCGAACAACGAAGAATAGAGAGTGATTTGGTCGAACTGGCGCAAAGTAGAAGTGAATATCGGGAGAGCACCACGATAGTGTTGAGATATGCCGTCAAATGCTTATGCACCGACAGCGGCCCTCATGCCGTTGTTCCAGCCGAAGGGATTCTCGTAAAAAGAACCCTGGTTTCCGTAACCGTACTGACTGTAAAAGTGAGACGGGGGAGGAAGAGGCTGGTACGAAAGCTGAAAGGGCTGTTGATAGGCCGACCACTGAGTGGCATGTTGTTGCTGCATCTGCGCAGAGGGCCAACCTTGGCTTCTGTGCGAAAGAGGAGTGCTCGGAGCGGTAGACGCAGAGTCATCGAACCATGGGCTGGACGCCTGATAGGGAGACAACGCAGGAGGAGATTGTGCGGCGAACTGCTCCATCTTGCGCTGCCTCTCGGCCCTCTCGCGGGCAATCATGCGATCCTCACTCCACGAAATCCACGCGGCCATCCAGGCATCCCAACCTTTCTCGCCAGCACGGTCAAGGTGCAAGTTCCACTCAATAGCCTTAAGCCAGTCCTTCTCAAGCTTGTTGACATCCTCGATGGGAAGTCCGGAGACATCAGCCCAAGACCTGTTGGTAAAGGTGTTGTCATCCAAGAACTTGTTACCGAGCATCAAAGAGACCGTCAAGAGACGGTACAGGTCGCGAGAAGACGCAGGCAAGAACTCGTCCGCAGATGGCAAAGCCATGCGCGCGGAAAGGTAGGTCAAGGACAGGAGGATGGTCGCACTGGGCAACCTCGTCGCGGCCAAGACCTGGGAGGCGAACTTCTTGAACGCCGGCGAAGCCTGAGCAGGGTGCTGGGTAACAGCAACCGTCATCAAGGCAACGAATTCGGCCATATCCTCAACCTCATAATCAAGCTCAGCCGAGACACCACCAGTGACCTTCTCGGCCGGCTGCTCTTCAACCACCTCATGCTTCACCACCTTCTCCATTCCACCGTACTGCTCCTGTTGATACCCACCGTAGTACCCGCCACTTTGGTACTGAGAACCTGCCCCATACCTCTGGGCGTGAGCGTCATTCATGTAAGCTTGCTCACCCCAGGAGGCGTAACCACCAGCATAGTCGACCGAACCAACACCCTTCAACGGCGGCAACGCGTAGGTAAACGCGTTTGCCGGCTGCTGAGAGACCTCACCGTAGCGAGACGCGCCCGAAGGCTGCGCTCCCCAGGCGTAGTTGGCGAAAGGCATTCCAGAGTCACGCGAAGAAGGGCGCTGCTGCCAAGCTGTGGCGACTGTCAGCGACTGAGAATTCAAACAAGACGTATCAAAGAGCGTACCAGTTCCCCTGTTCCACGGACGCTGCGCCGATCGCTGCTGGTTCGTCTTCTTGATGCCGGCGTTTAGGCATTGGTTCCACCTCCGAGCATCCGCACGCCCTTGACTCGGTTGACTCGTCAAAAAGGTAATTGTGAGAGATGTAGTGTTGTCGGAAGACTGCAAAGGATTACCAAGTGAATGGCTCCTTCGATAGTACTTCCTAGGTTGTTGTGGGATGGGGAACCGGTCGGGGGGGGTCTGCCGCACTCCTTATTCAAACCGCGCAGACCCGCGCTAAGGACGGCACTGGGTGACTCGTAGAAAATTTGCTCGGCCTTGAGCAAGGTAATGCCAGCCTACTGCAACAGGTGACGTGAAGCCTTACTAATAATCTGAAATCCTTATCTCTATTCCCCTCATTCGTTGCCTGCCCTTTTCATAGCTTCAGCGTGCCTTTGAGCGACCGCGATGCGTCCCAGCTCTCCTCCCATGTCTTCTCCTCCTGCTGTTGCTTCAAGATAGCCTCCTTCACTGCTGGGTCACAATCCTCAAACACACTCGGATCCACATCTTTCAGCCCAGGTCCGCCCGTAGGTACTGTAAATGCCGGCGCACGAATGGACGTCGCCACCACCACCGTTCTATTCTGCCTCCGTGAGCTTTTGGGTGATGTTCGTACGTCCCCGTTCACCACTACACCCTCCTCTTGCGTCCAGACTGCCCTGGTAGGCTGTGTGCTTGCTGGGTAGAACATCAAGTTCGTATTGGGCTCATAGTGGCCCGTCTCCATCTTCTCTAGCCGTGCACGGGCAATCTCGGTGTTGTACCGTCTACAATCGAGTTAGCCGCGATGTTTCTCAGTTTCTTGTGATGATCGTACCTCGCCGCTCGTGCGTGCTCCAGCATCCAATTCTCATTCGTCATGACCACCTTCTTCTTCCTAAACGTCTCAGGCTGTAATACCACCGTCTGATGATACACTGAACTTGCTCCATGCCAAGCAACGTACTGATTCCGGTTGTACTCAATACCTGGTGGAGGAAGCCTGTCCTCCGGGTCTGCCAGGTCACCTTCCTTGACACCAGCCTCTCTTGTCGCCTGTACCCAGTAATCATCGATGATCCTCTTTCCGCCGACGACAATCCTCGCACCGAATTCTTTGAAAACAGAACGTGCCGTGACAACACCAATCGAACGTCCCTTGTATGAGTGGGGAATCAAGTCGCGGTCAATCATGCTCTGCTTCTCCGTGTCATCCATGATGACCTTGTACAGCGTCTTGTGCTTCAAGAAGAAGAGGTAGGAATCACGATATCCCATACATCGTGCAGGTTCTGTAGACAACATGTATAGTCTCTTTCCGCGTCCCAGCAGCGTGAAGGTACGGCATCGGTATTCACGGCCGCCTTGTAAGTAACCCAAATCATCGACCTTGGCTTCACCTTCAGGGTCACTGAGACCAAGATCAAGCTCATCGTTCACAACTTCGTACCTGTGTTTCTATTAGTCAGAGCTGAGCCACACAGAGCTATGCTCATGGACAAACTCACCTATTCCCATCGATGTCCTTCGGAAGAGGCACACCGGCAGATGGAGCACCCTTTGCCTTTGGCGGCCTTCCTCTTCGCTTCTTCGGTGCAGGCGTAGCTTCTACCTCATCTTCACCGTCCTCAGTCTTGGCCTTCCTCCCTCGCTTCCTCTTGATCGGTTCACCGTCCTCATCTTCCTCCTCCTCGTCGTCGTCACCCTTTACTGAAGTGGCAGGTTCCTCAGCATCATCAATATCTTCATCTTCGTCATCTGCACGACCATTGACCTTCCCTTCTTCCGCATCCGAGGGAGCAAAGTCGGACTCTGGCGCGTCGTTGGGGGCGTAATCGACTTCCTCTTCTTCAGCTATAATAGGCCTGTGAGTGACTGCGCAGTCGATGAGAAATACAATTGACTTACGGGTCTGCGCTCGATCAGGCATTTCGGGTAGACTGTTGTGAATTTGCGACTGTTCGCGTTTACTTGGGACGACGCGACCGACGTCGGTGATTCGAGTTCCAGTCAGTCACCTGCAGCACAGACCGAAGGCAGATCCGCTACACCAACCCACATGCACTCACACATATTCTCCATCAGCTGCCAGGTCGTCTGTTGAACTCCCTTCAACCCTCCGGGGTTTGGTTTACTTCAGCAATGGACGATATGGACTTTCTAGGCACGTCCGGCTCCTTCACGGCGCGTCTCCAACTGGACGACCTTGCCTGGGCACAACAGTGGGAGGGGGAGGACTACAATTCTCAAGACGACGCAGACTTTGTCGACGATGATGACGAAGAAGAGGAGGATGAGGATTCTGATGTGCCGAGTGACGACCTGGAACTGGAATCCGAGGGAGTGTTTGGCAACGATGATGATGGGTCATATGGGATTGATCGGGTCAATGCGACTTTCAGTGCTGAGCAGCTGAACGGAACGTCCGCTGGGTTTGCGGATGATCAATCTTTTCAGCAGTCTTTTCTGGCTCAACAAATAGCACAGTCCTCGCCTGCGTTTACTGAGATGTCACCGCGTACTTCCATTGTCACAGCAGCACCGCCGGATTTTCAGGCTCCAGAATTACCAATACGGCCTCGAATAGCCATGAAGGCGCCAGCGCATCTTGGAAACACATTTACACATGGGGCTTCCGCGATTGAGGACAACTCAGAACAGAGCATTATGCCGCAGCAACCGATAATCGCAACGCGGTTCACGGCACACGATGTCCTTAACAACAAGATACGACGATGTTCTCCATCCGCAATACAGAATCAGAACGCAATACAGAATCAGAGAACACCCTTCCCCCACGTTCCGCCTACGGATCGCCACCTCCCTGATTGCTCAAACCCGACACCGGAGAAGTTTACTCGTATGTATGTCGATTTCATTATCTACTGCAATCCGGCCGTTCCTCTGACGCACCGGACAACGCCTCTGGAAGAAGCCTTCAACAGTGTGCCGAAGTCGGATGATAAATCCTTTCCGATTTGGGATGTGTTTGAGTTACATAAGCGCCTTCAGTCGGGAGAGATCAAGAACTGGGCGTCACTTGCGGCGGAGCTTGGTGTTCGACGGCCAACGAAACAGAATAAGCAAAAGTTGACACAGTATGGGCATAAGTTGAAGAAGTGGTTGAAGCAGATGCATATTGATGCTTTTTTCGCTTATCTGGAAGGGAAGGAGTCCGAATATTTCACTTTGATCCCTGGCGTTCAGGCTGACGGCGAGTTCATCGATGAAAGGGATGGCGTTGCAAAGAAAGATGACTTGGCTCTCATCGCGCTCTATCGGGATATCAAATCAACCAAGCGTGGGAGGAAACCGAGGCCAGACAAAGAGGAGGATATGTCAGTTGCTGCCAGAGCCATCAAGCGGGCAAGAACGATGGACTACACGGATTCTGAAGCAGATTCGCCGATGACAGGTACACCCAGTATGGATCCGGCTGCGGCGCAATTGTCTGGCAATGTTGCAGCTCCATCGTGCAACGTTGGAGACGCACTGACAGGCCAATCGCCGTCTACATTTGGCATGCCTCCACCCGCGGTAACTACCGGGTTTCATCCAGCCAACCTCCGCATCCCTGTCGAAGGGCGGCATGCACTGGATCAGGATGCTCTTTTCCAAGCACGTCTTGCCCAGACAGGACAAGCAACTATGAATGCCTCAAAATCGGTCCTCCTCCAGTTGCTCAGTCGTCTCAGTCTGTCAAGTCCTGGTGCAGCGAGGATTATGGCCGAGCTGTCTCTAGTCACGAGGGACGGGGATGATGGGAAAGTCGGACTTCTTGCAGGGTTGGCTGCTGCTTTGGTCGAGAGAGGCAATATCGTGGATGTGAAACTGGACAAGAACGGATCTCGTGGTGTCGATGCGCTATTCACCGTTCAAATGGGCGATGTCAAAGCTTTGTATCGGGTTGGCGTCGAGGGGGGGACGGGTAACCTCATGGTAACACAGGCGGATATACTTGCTTCAGAAAGGGGTGAAGAAGACGGGCCGGAGGCAAGCGTCTCTGCTGGCGAAGAACTGTCCAAGGCGAAACAGAGAATCGAGGAGCTGGAGAAAATGCTGCGGCAGAAGGAGGACGACTTGGAGCAGCTCAAGATGCGGGTTCTTAGAGCTGTTATGTAGGTAGGGGCTTTGGTTTTTATGGCGTTTTTATGGCATTTATACTTATGGGCATGCATGGACACGGCAAAAGCAACGGTGAATGCCAAATCGAAAGAGGTATTCTTTTCATGAGCTGGTACGGCAACAGCTACTATACACAAAGCAGAAGAGAAGGCCGTACAAACAGAAACCAGTAATTATAAAAAAAAACCCAAGTGAATCAATCCCAAACACCACCATTTTACCCAACTTATCCTTGCATCTCAGCGTCATAGTTCATCAAGCTCTCAGCAGTCAGTTCTTCTGGTAGCGTCGGCGGCTCCTCGACCGAAGGGACTTCGGGTACAGCAGCAGCAGCGACAGGCTCCTCCGTCGCAGGAAGCGAGGCCTCGACCATGGCAGCATCCTCGGCAGGCTTCTCAGTTTCGGGGTTCACGCGGTGACTGAACACGTCAGTGCTGTCATCCACGAGAAGGTTCTCCTCGTCAGCAGGGATCTGAATACCCTCTCCAGGCTGAGGCGTAAAGTCCGGTGGGATCTCGGGAGCAGCAGGCTCTGCTGGCGCGTCAACAGTAACGGCAAGCGTTGCGGTATCATTGGTAGCAGCAGCCAGGTCTTCCTCTGTTGGGACATAATCGGGGTTGATCTTGTAGTAGTGACCAGCCTTTTCCAACCGACCCTTCTTGACGGCCTTCTGCAACACAAGCGCCGCGGTTTGTCGGAAGTTGGGCTCGAGAGGGTAGTTGGTCTCCATCCACTTGTAGATAACACGCGGTGGAGTTCCCTTGGGCTCATTGATCTCGGCCAAACCCCTCACGATCATCTGCTCGTAACTAGGAAGAGCGACGCCAGGCTGAGCACTCTGGGCAGGACCTTCCAAGTCTGCTGGGATCTCACCAATATTGCCGGGCAGTTCCGCTGCCCTGGCCGCTTCCTTCTCAGCTTGAAGCGCAGCCTCCTTGGCAGCTGCGATTTCAGCGAGAACGTCCTTGACATTTGGTGGGTAGATTGGCACATCGGGAAACGATCGTTCACTGAAGAGCACAAGCTCGACAAGGTGAGCCGTTGGTAGGGATGCCAAGTAGATCTTCTTCTCCTCGTCCGTGAGCTCCTTTCCAGACAAACCAGTGACCAGAGGATTTTCCGCTCTTCGAGCGTCACAGTCGGTACAGTACCACTCTGCATCAGCAACGTCGATAAGCAAACTGTCAATTTGAGGGACGTGACAAAGCTGGTGGTAAGGCGTGTTGCAACCATCACAGAAAACGATGCGGTTGGACTTGGGTGAATGACCACGCAGACAGAACGTGCAGAAAAGGGTGTCGAGGTAACGACGACCGGGTCCTCTTCGGCGCGTGGGAGTCTTGGTGGTGGGGTTGTACTGCGATGGCTTCTGCACCTTACGTCCGTACTTGGTCTTCATTCCGTCCATGTTGTACTCCAGATCGCTGTCGTCGCTGTCAAAGTCGGCCTTGATCTCACCATCCGAATCCTCATCCCGTCCACGCTTCATGCCCTTGCGCGCACCGGCGGGACGTCCGCGACGACCGTTCTTGTTCTTGCCTGTCGGGTCCCAGTCGAGGCCAGGTGAAGCGGCAGCAACTCCGGCGGCTTGCGCAAGGGCTTGGACCTCTGCGGCGGTAGGGATGCCTCCTGGAAGGCCCTGAGGGAAGCCCGGCGGAACTCCCGGAACGCCGGGGTGGTGGACCAGATGCCCGTTCGTCGCGTCATGATGCGCCTGCTGATGAACCTGGAGAACTCTTGTTAGCGAACGTTCCTCAACGCAACTTGCGTAAACACGAGAACGCGTACCAATTGAGGGTCGAACTGCTGTACCATGGGCGCGCCGTGCAAGCCCGGAAGGGTCACGTCCTGGACCTGGTCGGCCTGCTGCTGAGCATGCTGATGAACGGCGCGCGCAAGGGCTTGAGGATCCTGGCCGTGCTGAAGGACGTAGGTATGGTCCTGGGGGGTGTAGTAAGGGTTGCTCATCGTTGGGTCTCCGTCTGTCTACGCAGCTGGCGGCGGGTCCATGGGTGTGCTGCTGCCCGTCGCGGGGCTGGTGCGTCGCAGAGGGTGGCTGGTGGCAATCAATCAGGGCAAGTGTGACGATACCATATATATACATAGATGGAGTGGAAAAGGTAGTATTACCTACGTCCGTATCACGTAGTTATCAGGTATCACCGCATCTTCCACACCCCAAAACACCGCCTCGCGTCCCCGTCAACCCTCCAGCTCCACACACTCCCCTCCGTCGCCACCCACACACAACTACCCCCTGCCCCCCATCCCGCTCCACAGATCTCTTTACTCTCCCCGCGACTCCTTCTCGCCCAGAGACTTGTCGGTGGGCCGTCCCAGTCGTCGTGCTCGTGCATCGCTGGCGAGGGCGTCCCGGGGATGGAGAGCACTTGCGAGTGTCGCCACGTCCGTGTACACACCAAATGCACTTTATTCGTGCTCTCCGTCACAAGCAACAAATCGAGAGGTGCTGGCGCGAATGCGAGGTGCCGCGGTGATCCGTGCGGGAATGATCGTGTCATTGGTATCGTTGCCACCTTTGCAAATGGCGACGTAACGAGCTGTGGTGGTGGTGGGGAGGGTGAAGAGTCCACTTCGACGTCGGTGAGGGTTCGCGACTCGGGTTCGTAGACGATAAAGGTGGGCGAGGCGGAAGGGGTTGGGAGGCAGGTCGTCGTCCGGGAGTCGGGCTGGGCTTCCGCGTCCGTTGATTTCGTTTCGATGATGGAGAAGACGTGGACGGCTGCGGGGTTTTGTGCAGCCACGGCAAAGACTCTTGAGCACGGCGCGAAAGCCGTCGAGAAAGACGCGTCCGTAACGATATCGATAGCCGCCTTGAGCTTCATGTCGCCCACGCCCGGCTGACTACTCGATCCCTTGTATCGTTCAAAGAGGAATACATCCTTTGAATCCCCTACCGCAACCACATATCTCCCATCTAAACTCGCCACGGCGTGATTCATCGCGATTCCCAATCGTATCGTACATTCCGGCGTTCCCAATGATAGATTCCGGATCCGGATTGTGGTGTCGTTGTTACAGACGAGGGCTTTGACGTGGGAATTGTGTGCGTCTTGGAAAATTGTGACGCTGTTTGTGATTGTTCCACTCAACTCCAAGTTTCGCACTCCATTTGCCGTCATCGTCCCCGTCTCCGCAGGCGCCAACCGTACCACGGCGAATTGCCCACGCTGTGGACCACCTACACAGGCATATCCGTGGGCGACGGATAGACAGCGTGGTTTGAACGAAAACTGGGCGATTTCTGTGTTTTGCGGTTTGAGAGGTGAGACGGGTTGGATTCGGAGGGAGCGGTCTGAGATGTAGTAAAATGTGTGCGGGGAGGTTGGTGAGGGAGCGAGGAGAGAGCGGAGTTGCCAGTGTTGGGCGGTGCACTTATTTGGGAGGAGGCAGTGTTCTTGTGGATCTTCTTTCGTAAACGTTGTCTCCCTACAGGATTCAAAAGTCAGTTGATTCATGGGCGAGACACGGGCGTTGGAGAGGTGAGCCGGCGTAGTGTTTTGCCTGGATGGCCGGCCTCATTGCGGGGGCGCGTCGTGGTCGCAGAACTTACGCCTGATACCACCGGTACCGGTTGAAGCAGCCCGCTGTGTCCAAAGCGCATGGGGAATGTAAAGGTGGTGGACATCATGGACTGGATCGATGGCCTGTCGTGCAACTTGGAATGTCGTGTAGTGTACGACTCTTACGAGAACATCGGAGGTCCGTTCTTTACACGACACAAAAGTGCGATTACCGAGATGACAGCTGAAAAGATTCCGACACCAAATCCCGTAACCGGCCCCCCTTCGTAACGGAGATATTCATCCCGAATTTTGAGGTTTTTCTCGAGTCTTCTCGTGATTTCTGCGCGGCTTACGCGGCCGATGGCCCGGTCCAGTTACCCTGAGTTTGGCCCCGACAGGCACCGCAGATTTCGCCTTCGGAACTTTTTATAGAAGCAGCATCGCCCTTCCCCCACAACCTCCATCATCCATACACAGATCAAACGAAATGTTGAGATCACTTCGCCTCGCTAACAAGGCGCAGCCCTTGAGGGTTGCTCAGATCGCCAAGCGCTTCAACTCCGACCGTGTCCAGGGCGCTGTCGTCGGTATCGATTTGGGTACCACCAACTCCTGTGTTGCCGTCATGGAGGGTAAGGTCCCCCGTGTTATTGAGAACGCTGAGGGTGCCCGTACTACCCCTTCCATCGTCGCTTTCACCAAGGACGGTGAGCGTCTCGTTGGTGTTGCTGCTAAGCGTCAGGCTGTCGTCAACCCCGAGAACACCCTCTTCGCCACCAAGCGTTTGATCGGTCGTCGTTGGGAGGACCAGGAGGTCCAGAAGGACATTAACGAGGTGCCCTACAAGATCGTCAAGCACACCAACGGTGACGCCTGGGTTGAGGCCCGTGGCCAGAAGTACTCTCCTTCCCAGATCGGTGGTTTCGTCTTGACCAAGATGAAGGAGACCGCTGAGGCTGGTTTGGCTAAGACTATCAAGAACGCCGTCGTTACTGTCCCCGCTTACTTCAACGACTCCCAGCGTCAGGCTACCAAGGACGCCGGTGCCATCGCTGGTCTTAACGTCCTCCGTGTTATTAACGAGCCTACCGCTGCTGCTCTCGCCTACGGTCTCGACAAGGCCGATGCCGACAAGGTCGTCGCTGTCTACGATTTGGGAGGTGGTACTTTCGATGTTTCCATCCTCGAGATCGCCAACGGTGTCTTCGAGGTCAAGTCCACCAACGGTGACACTCACCTCGGTGGTGAGGACTTTGACATCGCTCTCGTCCGTCACTTGGTTGAGGAGTTCAAGAAGGAGCAGGGTCTCGACCTCTCCAAGGACCGCATGGCTATCCAGCGTATCCGTGAGGCCGCTGAGAAGGCCAAGATCGAGTTGTCTTCTACCGTTCAGACCGACATCAACCTTCCTTTCATCACTGCTGACGCATCCGGGCCTAAGCACATCAACACCAAGCTTACCCGTGCTCAGTTCGAGAAGCTCGTCGACCCTCTTATCAAGCGCACTGTCGAGCCCTGTAAGAAGGCCTTGAAGGATGCCCAGGTCGGTGCCAACCAGATCTCTGAGGTCATCATGGTAGGTGGTATGTCCCGTATGCCCAAGGTCCTCGAGTCCGTCAAGTCCATCTTCGGTAAGGACCCCTCCAAGTCCGTCAACCCCGATGAGGCTGTCGCCGTTGGTGCTGCTATCCAGGGTGCTGTCTTGGCTGGTGACGTTACCGACGTTCTCTTGTTGGATGTTACCCCCCTTTCCCTCGGTATCGAGACGCTCGGTGGTGTCATGACCAAGTTGATCATGCGCAACACTACCATCCCCACCAAGAAGTCACAGACTTTCTCTACCGCCCAGGATGGTCAGTCTGCTGTCGACATCCGTGTCTTCCAGGGTGAGCGTGAGCTCGTCCGTGACAACAAGCTCCTCGGTAACTTCCAGTTAACCGGTATCCCCCCTGCCCGCAAGGGTGAGCCCCAGATCGAGGTCACCTTCGACATTGACGCTGATGGTATTGTCAACGTTGCTGCCAAGGACAAGGCTACCAACAAGGACCAGTCCATCACCATTGCTGCTTCCTCCGGTCTTTCCGACGCTGAGATCCAGAAGATGGTTGACGACGCCGAGAAGTACGCTGAGACCGATAAGGAGCGAAAGGACTTGATCGAGCAGGCTAACCGTTCCGACTCTATCATCCACGACACCGAGAAGAACCTCAAGGAGTTCGAGGACCAGATCGACAAGGCTGGTGCCGAGAAGATCCGTGCTTCCCTCGCTGAGTTGAAGGAGGTCGTTGCTAAGGCCCAGGCTGGTGAGGGTGAGGTTACCGCTGAGCAGATGAAGACCAAGACCGACGAGGTTCAGAACGCCTCCCTCGACTTGTTCTCCGCTGTCTACAAGGCCCGTGCTGCCGCCCAGAACACCTCGGACGCCAAGCCTTCCGAGGGTGAGGGTGAGAAGAAGTCCGAGTAAGCGTAATGTTTGACTGAATGAAGTGTAACGAAAATATGGCGGGTTGTTGTTCACGATAGATGACTTTTTTGGGAAAGGAGAGGTTGCAAAAAGCGCATTCTACGGCGTTGTACGTTTAGGTTATTGGGTTTGATATCATTGTTTGTGCGGTTTTTCTCATTTTTTTGTGGGACGCAGATACGTCGATAATAGGCGTTCGGCGGGTTTGTATTCTTCTTTGTAATTAACAATACTCTCCTCTCTACATACATCTGGTCCCAGATTGCATATCCTTCCTTGTAATCGTGGACAGTGCTTGTTCACTTATGATCCTATTCGTGCATAAGGTATCCCGCTGTATATGTACAGTAAACGCACATTCCAAGATCAGTTCAGAATTGTTTCTGTCATTGCATTTCTTGTGATTTCCATGGCATTTAGATCTTTTGGTTCAACTCCGTTGATGATCCGGGCACAACCGGTGCCTCGGGCAAGCGTTCAACCGTTTCAATGCGAATAGGCAACTTCCTCCATTCGTCCTCGCTAACAGGCCTCCTCTTCTCCTCGTAATCCGCCCAGTACATACCGGCGACACTAAGGGCCAATCCGGCAAACCCCATGATCATGCGAGTCTGTGGTGGAATGGCTGATTGGACAAGGTATCAGTTACCATGAAACAGTGAAAACAAAGGACCACGTACACTTGTATGCTTGCCAGACGGTCTTTGATTCACCGGCCATCCTTGAACTTCGCTGATCTCTTTGTTGCTTTTGCGGGTGTATGCGTTTTGGCGCTGCAGGGACTTCAATTTGTGTGCAGGATGACGTTCCGAATCTCGACGGGGAAATCGGGAGATGCGACGGGGTAGGAAATGACCAGAACCACCGACGCGTACGATCAATGCCACCAAAGAGAAAGCGAGGAGGGAGTGTAGTCGCTCAGACGGATAAGCCTATCAAGAGACCGCGAAACGCCGTGAAGGGAGAGCATAGCGACTCTTCGCCTCTTTCTGATCCGCCAACCGACATCGCTGATCCTCGATTGAAGAAGGGCAAGAAGAATGCAATCACGCGGGTCAGAAAACCGAAGAAGAATGTATTTGCTGTTCTCGATGAGGACAAGCTCGGCGGTGAGAAGGCGACGTTAGAGGACAACGAAGCATTGCTCGACAAGTCCTTCGAGACCTCCTCCGGCGAGTCGGTCGGGGAGACCAGTGACGAGGAGAGTGACGACGATGCTGCATGGGAGACAGTTGATCTAGGAGGATCATCAGCTGCGACTCCTGTCACGGCGGTTACTCCGATCATGCCTCGGAAAGACTTAAATCTCACGCTCGAGAAACACCCAACAAGTATCATGGAAAGGAAGAAGTCGTCTATCACAGCTATGGACAGGACGATCAGGGCTCTCACACATTGTATGCACGTACAGTGTCTTCTTGCTCACGGCAGAATTCGAAATCAATGGATCAATGACGAGGAAGTGAAAGGCATTCTGCTGAGTATGGTACCGCAGTCCGTACTGAGTATCTGGAACCGCGAAGATCCAGATAAGCATTTTAGCCGCCTTCTTGATACCCTCCAGAAATGGTGGCGGATCAAGTTCAAGATCACGAAGCCCGGGCTTAGGAAAGTTGGGTACACCTCTATCGCTTCGAAGGATGAACCGTCTGCGAAGGAGGATCACGTGTACGATGAGGTGTTCAGGTCTATTCATGATTTCCGCGAGACGGCGGCCAAATTGGAGGGAAGTCGTGATCTGGGTGCGCAGCTATTTACTTCTTTGCTGCGGGCGATTGGGATCGATGCCAGGATGGTGTTTTCGCTACAGCCTCTTGGATATGGCTTTGGCAAATTCGAGGATGCGCCAAAACGGAAGAAGAGGAAGGCAAATTATGTGACTACTGTTAATGATTCCGATCTGTCCACTGTTGAATCATCGACGACCGCAAAATTTAAACCAGCTTCGAGGCTCAACGCATCCGAGTTAGATGACAGTCTCAGTGATGCGGACTCCGCCATAAGCGATAGTCTGAACACCTCTAAACGGAATGTCACGCCCAAGAAGAAACCTCCAATACCGGACGCAGACCTTCCCTATCCATTTTTCTGGACGGAAGTCTATTATGAAGGTAAGCGTCAGCAGTGGTTCCCTGTCGAGACGCTCGTCCTACGTAACTGCGATACTTCGAACCCTGATAACTACGAACCCCGTGGCAAGATCGCGGAGGAGAGGCGCATGGTAATGTGCTACGTCGTTGCGTTCGAAGAAGATGGGTGCGCTAAGGACGTCACCATGCGATATGTCAAGAACTTTCCGGGCAAGGCAAAGGCTTTCAGGGTTTGGCCAACGAGCAAAGCACGGGGGAATAAGGTCGAAACTCAGGATTGGTGGAGAGATGTGATTACACCGTTGATGAGGCCTGAGCGCACGGAGAGGGACGAGAAGGAGGATAAGACGTTGCAAAAAGTGACGGAGAAGAAGACAAAGGCGCCGACAACGATTGGAGCGTATAAGGATCATCCTGAGTTCGTGTTGGAGCGGCACTTGAAACGGGAGGAGGCGATGAAGCCAGATGCTAAGCCTGTGCGGGAATTGGCGGTCGGCAAGGGCGAAAAGGCGAAGACGGAGAAGATTTACAGACGAGCTGAGATTGAGCTGGTGTTTGGTGTCGAAGCATGGTACAAGGAGGGAAGGAAAGTCAAGGTTGGCGAGGAGCCATTGAAGAAGGTAAAAGCACGAGCCGTGACGCTTACCCGCAAACGTGAGCACGAGCAACAAATGGCGGAAAATGAGGGACCTGTATTGCAGGGCCTGTATGCAAAGTACCAAACGGAGCTATATCGGCCTCCTCCGGTTGTGAATGGTGCTATTCCAAAGAACTCGTATGGTAATGCAGATTGTTTCGTGCCGACGATGATCCCGGAGGGTGCGATACATTTGCCCCATCGTGGTATTGCGAAGGTTGCGAAGAAGCTTGGGATTGATTATGCGGAGGCAATCACGGGGTTCGAGTTTAAGTCCCAGCGTGCGATCCCTGTTGCCACGGGTGTTCTCGTGGCGACGGAGAACGCTGATATGCTCATGGAGGCGTTCAGGGAGGCTGAGCAGATTCGTCTCGAAAAGGAGAGTGGGAAGAGACAGGCGGAAGCATTGAAGAAGTGGCGGAAATTCATTGTGGGGATGAGGATCAGGGAGAGGTTGAGGGATGAGTATGGGAACGATCATGAGGGGTTAAAGAAGCATGAGGAAAGGCAGAGTGAGTTTGCGCATGTTGAGGAGGATGGAGGTCATGGTGAATTTGTTACTGATGCGCATGTCAAGGATGACGAGGAGAAGGTTGATGCGTTTGGTAGAGATTTTGGTGGAGGGTTTTTGCCCGAGGGCATGGATGTTGAATTATTGCCTGAGAAAAGGGGTGTGTTGGATGAAGGTGGGGGTTTCTTGCCTGAAGGAGATGGGGACGATGACGTTAAACCCGAACCCGAGTTTGAAATCAGTTATGGTGGGGGATTCGTTCCCGATCAAGAACCTACGAAGGCGAATTCACCTATTCGGGAGGAAAGCCCGTCCGCCGGAAGCGATGACACAGAGGTCAGCAAGTATTTCACTGACGTTAAAAGGGCAATGGAAGAGAAACCTAAGGCTCAGAAGAGAGGTACAATGCAGGTTAAAGCAGAGGCAAGTACCACACCGCCCCGGAGGAGTTCACGAGCAACGCGGAATACCAAAAGTATGGTTGAGGCTATGGTAGACGACGCTGTGGATGAAGTGGATGAATAATATCACGCAAAGACTGGCAATGGTAGAATGTGATGGCGTTTGTACTTTTTGTTATGGAGTACCTACCTAGTTGTAATAGCCTACTCCGAGTAAAGATAATGTTTCTTCCTGCACCTTCCTCTTGCAATTCTTTTCACCCAGATCACTCAGCTGTACCAGTCCAAGAACAATAGGATCAGACTTGCCATAATCAGGAACACCAAGATGAACTTGGTTGTACTTGAATTCCTTTCCCTTGCTTTCTTCAGTTGCATGTTTCCCCTCTGCACTTCCTCTGCCGTCATGATCGCCTCATCATACAGCTGATCTGTCAACTCCGTTTGTTGTACCAAATGCTGCACCAACACACTTTGTAGACTGGAAATCTCCATCAATGCTTTCTCCAGGCCTCGCACTTGGTCAAGGGTTGAAGAGAATTCCTCGAGCATAGACTTGTTTCGGATTCCAGAGCTTGGAGTTGTTGTGGTGTCAAGAAAGCCTCGAGCTCTTTTGCAGTAGCGTCGTCAGCTGGGGGAGATGTAGGCCGCAGAGGTTTGCGGTTCTGTGAAGTGGAGACGGGTGTTGCATGGAGCATACTGTAAATCCATCAGTACCGGGAAGCACATGCAGGCTTCGGGGATAAACCTTTTGCTCTTCTCCACCTGCCGCATTACTCGGATTTCCTGTTGCTCCTTCTGCATGCCACTGACTTCCGCTAACTTTTGATTGAGGAACCAGGTCACGCCAGACCGGTGCGCCGATAAGAGGCCGTTATCGTCCTCTTCTGTAGGGTCGCGCAGCCATCGAGACACAAAACCTAGTCTGTTCTCCAGTGCTGTCCTTCGTACTGTTTCATTGCCGTCAGACCGCTGATTTCAGCGGGATTTGTGCTGAGACTAACCTTGTTCTGCCTCCTCTAGCCGTCGTACTTGCTCCAATGACTGGGTCAAGATTATCTTTACCTCATGGTCAATCTCATCTCTCTGCTTGTCTGTGAGATGTCGGATCTCAGATGCCCCGGCGCCGGGTCTAAGTGCGGAGACTGATGTGCCATTTCCACGATGTGATCTTGAGGATGCAGTCGGAATGTTTAGATATGCCTGGCGAACAGAGAGAAGAAAGTTCCGAAGATCCGAAATGTATGCATACTATGAGAATGGTAAATAAGGGCGCACACAAAGGGTCGAGGTACGCACAATCCTCCTGGCTTCCTTCATGTACTCATCTTCAGTGAGAATAAGGCCTGGATGGCGCTTACGTTTGCGTAGGGACGGATCATAAGAGTTCGCTTGTTGATGCTTCTGGGTGAGTGATCGAAAATTGGCGGTTACGTCTGTCATTGTGTTTTAGTCCTGCCAGCTGCTGTGCTTCTCGGGAAATCAATTAGAGTTGCCACCCCACACCTAGCCTCGGGCCCCGCGTTCCGACCGCGACTCCGGACGATTGATGCTCCGAGCACTCCACAAACAATTCTCCTCGAAATCCCTCCACCGATCTCGATACCAAATCATGGACAAAGTGCAACATATCCTCCCCTTTATCTTCTCCAATTACCCAAAGCAGTCCGCTGCCGGATCAGCGGCTCCTCGACCTCCGCTTTTCGTCGGCGTGAGTGGACCGCAGGGGAGTGGGAAGACGACTTTGACAACTGCGTTGGTGGAGAGCTTGAGGGGTGCGCCGTATGGGTTGAGCGTGTGCGCGTTTAGTATTGATGATATCTATCTGTCGTATGAGGATCAACAGGCGTTGAAGAAGGCGCATCCGGAGAACAAGCTCGTCGCGCATCGAGGTACGTTACGAAAAGGATATTCGAATACCTGATCTGAGTTTTCAATTCACAGGAGAACCCGGAACACACGACATCAGCCTCGGCATCTCCACCTTCCGCTCCCTCCACGCCCAACAACCAACCCCAATCCCCTCCTACGACAAATCCGCTCACTCTGGCTCCGGCGACCGTCTCCCCATCACACAATGGGAAACAGCAACCCCACCATTCGATATCGTTATCTTCGAGGGTTGGTGTGTTGGGTTCCGCGCGATTTCGGCGGCGGTGTTGAAAGACAAGTACGAGGCGGCGTGTCGGTCGCGGACAGGGACGTTGCCGAATCACACGCTGGAGGATTTGGAGTTTGTGAATGATAAGCTGAAGGCATACGATGCGTTATGGGATCAACTTGACCTCCTCGTCCATGTCGACGCACAAGACATATCTTACGTCTACAACTGGCGTCTCCAACAAGAACACGCCATGATCGCAGCCCGAGGAAGTGGGATGTCGGATGAGAAGGTGAGGGAGTTCGTGGATGGTTACATGCCGGCGTATGAGCTGTTTGTGGAGACCGTGCGGGAAGGGATCATGGAGCCGAGGAAGCAATTGAGGATCAGGGTGGGCGAGGGGAGGGAGGTGGTGGAGGTCAAGGTGTTGTAGGGAGGTGGGGTGGGGTGGGATACCCGTGATATCTTTTCCTTGCTGGGTATAGAGCAAACCAAAACCATGTGAATTGTGCTCTTCCATTGTGGAATTCCTTCCAAATTGTCGGCCCGACCAGCTCTCCGCACGCCTTATCGCTGAAAAATTCACACCGGTAGGTCCGGATGGCCCGGGCCTCACTTGAAGTGGGGTAATTCAGATCCAAAGCATCACATGGATTGGTGCAAAGACCAGATGACCTTTTCCCATAATTCGGATCACTTGCTGCCCGACATGGAGAGGATATTGTTTCAGATTTTACCGAGAAGGAGGGCGACCTATGGAAGAGCATTGCAAATGAAACGGTCCTGGAGAACGGTTCTATAACCAGGCTCTATACAATATTCCCTGGATCGATGCAGTCGCTGCACACTGAGCAAATCCGATGCGCCATGCTCCCCCGCGATCTAGCCGTGCGCTGCCGACGTCGTGTACGAGTACGCGGCTCACCTCTAAACAGACAACAACACCATCAACCAACCTCCCCCCATTTACCTTCCAATCATCCGCATATACGACCTATCATCTCTCTAAAACTTCACCTAAACGCTCTTACAGCTACCGATAATGCGTATTTCTATCCTTGGCGCGGTTCTCGCGCTCTCTTCCGTCGTCACCTCCTTTCCGACCGGCTTCCAGGACCAGCGGGTGTTGGGCGAGTCTGATCATCTTCGTTTGATTTCCGTTGGTGAAGATCATGCGGAGTGGCTCCCCGAGTCCGCGAAGCTTGAATTGAGGCGTAGTGGTGTCAAGTTCATGGACATCACCGGGTACGAGGATCTAGGTGCATTGAATGCTGAGCGATTCGTCGCAGCTGCGGTCAAGTTCCCTAAGGAGCCTAAGTACCAGGAGGAAGTTGGGCCTGTGCTCAAGAACCTCACCACGAAGAACATGAAGGCGAACTTGGAGATCTTCACGCACTTCCACAACCGATACTACAAGTCGGAGAATGGTGCCGCATCCGGGAAGTGGCTCTACGAGATGGTCAACAAGACCGCTTCTGCTGATCCTAAGATCAAGGTCTCTCAGTTCCACCATCCATGGGGTCAGCACTCCGTCATTGCCCACATCCCCGGAAAGAAGAGCAACAAGACGGTCGTCATTGGTGCCCACCAGGATTCCGCCAACCTCTTCCTCCCTAGCATCCTCTCAGCACCCGGTGCCGACGACGACGGTTCCGGTACCGTCACTACTCTTGAAGCCTTCCGTGCTCTTATCGCCCAGGGCTTCAAGCCTGACAACAACGTCGAGTTCCACTGGTATTCTGCTGAGGAGGGTGGCTTGCTCGGATCTCAAGCCGTCTTTGCCGAGTACGAGAAGCAGCACCGCGATGTCATCGCCATGTTGCAGCAGGACATGACTGGCTACAACGCCAAGACGATCGCTAACGGTGGTCCTGATGCCGTGGGTGTCATTACTGACTTTGTTCACCCCGGCCTCACTGACTTCATCAAGACCATCATCACCGAGTACTGTGACATTGGCTTCACCGAGACCAAGTGTGGATACGCTTGCAGTGACCATGCCAGTGCTTCCAAAGCTGGTTACCCGAGTGCGTTTGTGATCGAGTCTACTTTCGATGACTCGAACAAGAACATTCACACTACGGAGGACACCATTGACAAACTCTCCTTCGAGCACATGTTCCAGCATGCCAAGCTTACTGCGGCTTTTGCTGTTGAGTTGAGTCATCTCTAGATGTTTCCTAACTGTTTACACAATTTCTAGCATGGAAGTGATCATGGGTCTTCGGCATGCAGGGTTTGTTATTTGCCTTCTTAAACCTCGTTAATACATGATGGTCATTTCACATTCGATCACGGTGCACTGACTTGCCAAGCAACGAAGATAATTGAGTAGCGAGTAAAGTGTTTTGCTAACGTGCTAGTAGTATACAAACTCGGTTTTGAAATTGCTCCCAAATGAAAAAAGAGACGCCTGCCTAACCCTCAACCATGAACCGATATTACGAGTAGAGACTGTTAACCCATATGATAGTCTAAGTAGAAATGAGTGTATGGTCGAGCCGCCTAAGCTGAGGGCTTAGTGGGATCGGCCGAATTGGAAGGCTGTGACAATGTCGAGACCTGAGCGGGAGGTTCCGCAGGGCTCGTCTTGTCAACAGCCGGTGCAGTGTTGACATCTGCGGAGGGAGCAGAAGCAGAAGTAGGAACAGGGACCAACTCCTTGGGGTCGGTGGTGCGCTCAGCCGCAGGACCTGTAGGGATGACTAGCGCTGGAGCAGCAGCAGGCTCCGTAGTTGCCGTCGGCACAGAAGAAACACCCGCAGCGGGCGTTTCAACCGAAGCAGACTTCTCCGATACCTCATCAGTAGCATCAGGCTTCTTGTCTCCTTCAGCCACTGCAGGTTGCTCCTCTTCCGACTTCTGCTTCAGCAGTGCAGCCTGTTCCTTCATCTTTCGGTAATCGCTGAGAGAAAACTTCTTGACTACACGCGGAGGTGAAACAGGCCTGGGAGGCTCAGGCGGAGGTGCAGGAGAGGGAGGCGGAACCTCAGCAGCAGGCTTAGGTGGTGGCTGAGCTTGCACCGGGGACAAGACTTCCGGCGAAGGCATAATGGGCGAAGGGACTGATTTCGGAAGAGAGTCTCTGCGAACAAGCATTTGGTAACCAGGCGCAGGCGTCCTCGGGGACATCGCAGCAGGTCCAGTCGGCGCACCCAAGATCGATGGTGTCCTGACAAGTGTAGACCCCGGCGTCTGCGAAGGCCCGGACTTGAGGTAAGGCATCGAAAAGTAGTCCATGGGGCCGGTCTTTGGCGTCTTCAAACCCGGTGTTGCAACCAGCGGGGTTCCGACACCATTCAGTTTCACCAAAGCTGGCTTCCCGAGCGGCGTAGACACAGCTGGTACCGGCTTCTTCGCCAATGCACCGCCAGACAAGTTCGCGAAGAACGACTTTCCCGCACTCAACAACTGTGCCTTAGCAGCCTCAACTTTGCGCTTCTCCTCTTCCTCCGCCTCGCGCTTCTTCCGCTCTTCAGCCTTAATTGCCTCCCGCTTCTTAAGCTCCGCCGCTTCGATGGCTTCACGTTTCTTCTGTTCTTCAGCTTCAGCCTGCTGACGACGCTCGTCTGCCACGGCCTTCTCAGCGAGGTAACGACGCAACCATATCTTCTTGCATGGCAACCTATCGTCGTCATCATCCTGCACAGCAGAAACCGGCTTCTTAAGATTAGCAGCCGCGGCTGCCGCCGCGGCGGCGTTATCTTTCTTCTTCTGTGTAGTACGAATGACACGAGCCGGAACACGGCTAGAAGACTTCGGCCTGTCGCCATCGGGTTCTTCACCCCTTTCCTTTGGCTTGGGCCCCCGTTTCTTGCCTGTATAGACCGTTGCACTCTCCTGACGTTCCAAACGAGCAAGCGCTTCCCGCATCTTCCGCTCCTCGCGTGCACTTAACCCAATGTCATCCACAGCAGGCGAAGAAGACGAGCCCTTGATGCGTTTACGAGAAGTTGTATCGTCGCCATCAAAGAGGGCAACCAGGGCTTCATCGGTACCACGTCGAGAACGCTTGTTCTTGTGCTTCGAGAGCTGAACGGCATCCGTACATACAGCACCCTTCTCACCACAAGAGGCACAGATCTCATCTCCAGGAGCACGTGGCATGACACTCATATCCACGTCCCAAGGAAGGACAAACTCCGCCCCACCCTTCACCTCCGCCGTGGTGACCACCAAGTACCTCACTTCATCAAGCGCTGCAACACGGACGGCTTGAAGGATGATATTCGGAGCACATCCTCTCCGCAAGAATCTCGCCTCATTACCGCATCTCCTGGCATCCACCAAAACGCCTTGCTCTCTCAACATAACAACATTGGGCTTCGGACGCCCAGTGACTTGATATTGGTTGATTGGGTCCGCGACGTAGTCGGCAATAGTAGTAACCTCGCCCCTCATCTCTGCGACGTACTTGCCAGATGCGAATGCACCAGGTGCAAAGACGCCGTAGACAGGTGCGCCGAGATACAAAGTTGGCGTAGATGACTTTCCACTACCGGTTGTTGGAGGCGTCGCCGTACTGAGATCGAGTACACGCACGATTAGCTTTGGGAAGGTGGGGAGTGTTGACAACTCTATCAACGCAGTCGACGAGTCAGCAAGCAGTGCGGCAGCACTGTCACGGACCATGCACTTCTCAATCGGAACAAATTCGGACATGTATGCTCCACCTAAACCGTTGCCGAGCAGTCCCACAACGTTGTCCCTGCTAGGTTCATCGATGTCGACATTTGCTGGCGAGTCTCCCCTGTTCGAGTGCTGCCCGCTACTGCTCGTCGTGGTTTTCTGCGGGTCGCTATGTTGCCGACTGGGTCCTCTTGGCCTCTTCCTCTCCCGCTCAGGTTCTTTCTCCTTCTCTTTCACCGAAGGCACGATATCCTTCGGACTACTGCCGCTGCCGATACTCTTGCCACGCCCATGACCCCGTTCACTCCCTCTCCGTCGCTTTCGCTCCTTCTCCTCCTGTTTGTTGACTCGTTCCAATCTTCTGCGCTGCTTCTCCCTGGCTCGTGCTGCATCGAGTGGGCGGGGCTGACAAAGGTCACATTTGTAATGCTCCGGAAGGTGATCCTTGTCTATTCTAACGCAAACCCAGTGCTGCCATACATAACAGCGTTCGCACTGAATCGTGAAACCATCATCGTCACTGATACTGCAGATGCATCGAATGAGGCCGGAATCCGGGTCGATCGGCTCAGGGAGGGATGCTGGTGCAGGCGCAGTCTTGGCATGTGTAAGTGGCGGGTGACCATTGTGTCTGTATGCAGCGGGTACCGCAGCCCGGGGGTCGGCCGTGGCTACTGGTAGCGGCTGCTGTTGTAATGGGTGATTGTAAGTATCGACTGACATATGCTGATGTGTGTTTATTGACTGATTTCTTAGTTGGGGATCTGTCCCGGTGGGTGTGACGAAGTTGATGGAGGCACGATTTGCTGACCACGACCTTCGTACATTGCCGACCTGGGACGTTGAAAACGCGTAGAACGAGTTGCCGAGTGTTCGGTAAGCTGTTATAGACGCTTGGTTGTCTATAACAGGCTCATAGAATTGCTGAGTGGAAGTGGCGATTCACCGCGTGGACCAGAGAACCGACGGTGAAAACTGTCGAAAAAGGGGTGTCTCCGGGAGTGAATGCGAGGGGACTGAACCTGGCTGAACTCCAAAAAGCTGAAAAGGGAAGCTGAGTCGGTCTGTATGGACGATACCTGTTGAACGGGTATGCGGGATCTGTTGGTCGAGTGGGAGCGGGATTGGTGTTGAGGGGATGCAGCAGCTGGGGCCTCTGCTCCTGTTAAAGTCGAAGTTGCGCACAAGTTCTGAGAGCTGAGCGAAAAATACGCTATTCCATTTTAGAAGTAAGCTGCATACGCCCAGATAAGAAAAAAAGAACGCAGTGAAAGAAGAGTTCGCTGATGAGAGAGTGGGCAGGAGCTGTCAGGCTGTAGTCGTTGTTCATCTGGGCAGTGATGTACCTCTGCATGCTTCACTCTGGCTTCCTGGAGGCATCTTCCGACTCGTAGTGTTTGTGCGGATTACGTTTTGAGCTCAACTGTGTTGCGAACAGCTGACCTGCTGTTGGTCTTTAGCCGCGATTGGCGTGGTTGCCCGGCGAACACCTTGCAGCACGTACAAGTAAACAAAGACCAGCATCCGAAGAAGACGAGAGGATCTACTTCCTCAGGCTCGTAGAGGGCCGTGACCGGTATTAAACCTATCAAGCTTGTCGATGAATGCCTGATTTTGATCGGAGGCTGGTCCGGCCGGATTTTTTTCATCAGCATACATTCCAATAACAATGCCTCAAGACCGCCTGAGGGCCCACCACCCCACTCCGCAGCTCTCAAGAGAGGATGCGAATGCCATCTACATGATTCCTTCTTGTTCTACGGGCTCAGAAATTCCTAAAGTCCAGTCCCCTCGGAAGTTCACCCGCAAATGGCTTAAGAACATGGCTGTCAAGGCCGGCTTTGCAAAGCGCAAGCCGGAGGTGTGGGATGATGATTACGTTCCGCCGACGATCGAAGAAGCAGAGAAGGAACTGAAGAAACGAATTTCCAAGTTTCATATCAGAGAAGAAAGGTTGTTGAAGTTTGGCAAGAAAAATGAGAGGCCAGCGGCACCACCCAAGAATGAGCAACAACCGGCATTGGCAGAGGAGGAAGAATCGTTGATGAGTATGATGGTGAAGCTGCTGCAGCCGAATGGAGTCGATATGGTGAAGACTCCTAAAAATAGCCCACCGGAACGGCGTCAACTGCATTCAACTCCTGCTCAGCCGTTTACGGTAGAGCGACTTTGGAATTGCCTGCCTCATATCCCAGCCTGGCTCACCTACGTCTGGAAATTGGCATTAGTCACATACGGACTTTATATTCTTTCCAGAATCGTCGCGCTCATTGAGGATGTGGTCGGCACATGGCGTGGGCTTGTGGGCATCTGGGGAAGCGTGCTGAAGTGGATTTTCTGGATCAAGTGAGAGCGAACCAAAAATAGAGCTTCGACATAAACTTGAGTAGGATGGACTGGCATTTGCAGCGTGTACGAGTTTCATGGGCTTTTTTCCTTTGGGCATTGGCGTTACTAAGGTGTACCAGTATTACTGCGTTGGGTATTCTATTCTTCCATGTAGTCCTCGTGGCTGACATCCTGCTCCGCCTTAATGACACTCATGCACTTCCACTCTCCGGTAAACGAGGCCTTCCACAAACGTATCCGTCCATCGTCTCCTGCACTGCTCAACACGGTGCCAGTGGCATTCCATGATACTCTCCACACCTCAGCGCCGTGGTCGTCGAGATCCGCAATGCATTCCACTACCCAACGCTTCTCGTCCTCCGCCCGTGCGTACAAGTCTTCTTTAGTCTCAGTGAGCTTGAATACACGAACATGTCCATCCTTGCATGCCGTGGCGATCAGATGGTAAGATCGACCTAGACTTGGACCCCAGCTGACGTCCCGTACAAGGCCCTTGTGGCCCTTCAACTCCAAGTCATCGACCGGCTTCCATTTGCCGGTGGTATTGTCTGTTGAGTAAATCTTGCATGTATCCTGTGCACCCACCGCAAGATAAGGGGATGCCGTCCATCGAGAAGGACACCAGGTCAGACAGAAGGACGATTCAAGTTCACGCGGTGGCCTTGTAGGCAAAGCAGCGAATTCGTCCATCAAAGTCCAGTGCTGGAGGTTATGAGGTTCAAGAGCTGTAACAAGTTCCGTGTCAGGCCTGCTTGATGAAGCGTAACAGCGGCTCTCTCTTACCTTCGTAAATTCTGATATTCGTGTCCGTACTGATTGCAGCGACCTTGAATCCCAGGTGCACAGGCGCAAACCAAACATCCTGTACCGCACCTCTCGCATCGACCAAGCGCGCCTTCTCTGCCCATCTTCGGCCACTGCCCTTCGTCTCATGCTCCTGCTCTTCGAAGATTCGCACTGAGCGGTCCGCACTGCATGTTGCGATAACTTGTCCGTGTTCGGGGTGTGCCCAATTGACGCGGAGGATAGACGCGTCATGAGCCTTGAAAGAGTCGTTGAGCTCCCATTCTCCAGATGTCTCATTCAGATCCCAGATCTTGAGATGGAGGTCCGAAGAACATGTAGCGAGCCTACGACCGTAGAAATCGTAGGAGATATCGTGTATGAGGTCTGCGAAAAACGCGTCAAACAAGAGTAAAATATGAACGGGGTGTAGGCCTACCTTCATGACCTGTGTTGGCGACGCCCTTTCCTTCCATTCTGCTCTTTCTATTGACTCGACTTTCCGTGACGTTTCGTGGTGCCTGCCTGAACCGCGAGCGAATTCGGAAGTCTTCGTTACAGGACACCCGCAATGTCACCTGAATCCAGACGACCAGATGAGAACGCAGAAGAGGATGAGTACGAGGAAGAAGTAAGTCTAGAGAGGTTGGCATTCCGCGCAGGTGTCCTGATAAGCTTTACAGGTTTCATACGTCACCCTGGACTTTGGGTCAAATCCATTGAGTATCGACCAGATTAAGGAGTACCAGCTCATTGTAAGGCATTCGTATCGTTCGGTATGAGTTCAGTACGCTGATTTTGTCGTAGGGTCTGGACTCCAAGACGCCTGTCATCCGCCTGGGACAGAATATCTACCGAGGGACTTGGAATGAGTTGCTCGGCACGGAAATCATATTGGAGAAGGCAGGAGACAGTACGTTCAGCCCTCTGTTGTTCTTCTTCGTAATACTGACATGCATCTTAGCTTCACGAGTTGTAGGACTTTCGAAAGATCGTCTTTTGATGGAACAAGTTCAGTTAAAGCCCAAGGAACAACCGATACCCGAGCAAGCCTCAGCACCACAACCTGTACCATCAACCTCGTCTGTACAGGAACATGCAATGGCTTCGACTGCAGTAGGATATTTACAAAATGCGGCGACGAACGGCGGTGGTACCTATGGTGGAGAGGGACAAGATGTGATGGACACCACCTAAGGCGCTGGGCAAGTGAACGAGACAGAATGTGTTGATACGTTTTCTAATTTGGCTTGGCATATGGCGTTTTTGAAATTCTTGGGAATAAGGTATAATCAATCAATGCATGGAGCTGTCTAATATGCCACGTATCGTGTGCGTAGGTCCTGCCTACGTTGGAAGCATGCAAATATGCAAAAGATCATCGTATACCAGATACCCGCTCCTATTCTCCAATTGCCCTGCGCTCGATACGCAGTGGGTGTGCTTCTATGTATCGTGTCAGTTTCGTCATTTCGCACTGTTGCGTAGCACGTACCCGTATTATATACCCACTCATCCAAGCTCCCTACTCGTGGGTCCGCAAAGATGAGATACAGATACTTTAGCGTCTCCGCCCCAAAATAACTCTCCTGATTGTTCAACCTTCTAGTTCCCTTGTATCCCGTAACGTCCTTGATATCCGAATATCCCCATTCACTCTCACAGTGCTCGCGGATGCTCTCGAAGACTTCCCAGGCCCAATCGGCGTACTTCACATCTCCGGTGATGCGGTAAGCGTAGAAGAGTGATTCCACGTATTCGGGTCTGAGGTGATAGCGAGTATTGGTGGCCCAGAAACCCCAAAGGCTGTACTGGTGTTTCGCGGCGTGCTTGTCCGGCTTCTTGGGGTTGTCATCGGTTGTAGCAATCCATCGCCACCCTTCGGGTCCAAGTTTTGTGCTTGTCTGTTCGTAGACCCACCTGCATCCCTCGATAAGCTCCAGGCCTGCGTCGATATACTCCTGATTACCCAACGCCTTGCCGCCGAGCATAAAGTTTCCACCGGCAAAGCAAGCAAGGTGCTCGCTAGTGGAGTCTCTGTTGCCGAAGCGCCATTCTCCGATGAACTTCTTCGGATTGGTCTTGTGGTTGGTTTGGGAGATGAGCATGACCTTGGCAGCATGTACGGCCTGAGTCCAAGCATGCCGGTATTGCTCAGTGGATGGCGTCTTGGGCGCCATCAGCCATGCTTTGATAAGGTACTGCGATGAGTTCGGGTTAGTGCTGGTAGAGACGAGGAACAGAGGGGACTACCTCGTAGTACGAGTCTGATTTTGCTCCCCATGACATGTGGTCTGACATCTGTCTACCGCTCATGATATCCACCGGGGTCGCGACAAGTCCTCCAGTACGCTCAAATCCGAACGAATGAGGGGGTGGGTTCACCAGTAATGACCACGCTCGGCTTGCCTATCGTCATCTGGTCAGTCGGCCGGATGTTGACACCAGCAAGGTTATAGACATACATTCCGTACGTAGACGTCGTCACCCGTGAGCACCGATAACTTGGCATACTCGAGCCAGTTTGTTCCAATATTGGCAATATCCCCGGCAACAGCTCCCGACCTGTAACGAGTCAGCCACGGAATTCAACTGCATGCCCACATCACCCACCTTGTCCCTCTATCCTCAATATGCCCCTTCTTCTGCGCAAAATCAACCCCAGGGTACAACATCCCCGTCGGCGAACCAAACCCCGGTCCAATCTGATCCGCTAAAATCTTTGCCTGCCTCAGCAACCCCTTCTGTAAGTCCTTCACCTTGCCCCGAGGTAGTGACGCTGTCGGGAGAAGATCGTGGGCGGAGAGGAGACCGCCAACGTAGCGTATGATGGTTTCGAAGGGGTCAACGCGGCCGTTTTCATGTGTTTTTGTGAAGTCAACTTTGAGGGTGTGTTCGATGGAGCGCAGGGCTTCTGGGATGAGGCCCATGAGGAGACAGGTCTGCACAGTCCAGTCAGTATCGTGACCAAAAAAGGTCTTCTTCAGCGTGCACGTACGTCAATTGAGTCCACGATAGTAGCGCCCCATCCATTCCTACACCTTCCAGTCAGTTGCGACTCCCCGTAAGTGACGAGATCCGACGCACCTCGAATTCGCAGGCTCACCAGTCTCCGGCAGCACTTCATCATGACCCCACGCTCGCTTGTTATACAGCTCCAGATGTCTCATATACATACCTTTCACTTCCATAGCTCGCGCCCTATCCCCTCCTTTACCAGGAGGAAAGTCATATTGGATCTTGCCGTAAGGATTTGACGGGGAAGGATATCCTGAGGAGCTCGGTGAAGAAAAGCTATAAAGAAGGCCAACGATGACCGCAAAGGAAAGAATGGCAAGTCGGGAGCGCCGTATTGGAATGCCGTTCATCCTGGGCGAATAACTGGTGGGAAGGCCGTTTAACGGGGTCGTTCGCATTCTCGAGAACTTCGAAATAAGGTTCGCTAGGTGCTGCATGGCGCCAAGCCCTGTGTAACGTAGATCGATGAATCCGGAAATTGCTTACGATAGAAAACTGTGAATTGATACATTGTTACCGTGTGGCTAACTTGTTTTGATTCGCATGGTTATTGGCGAGTGCGGCGCCACGAAGTTTGGAAGTAATGATTGATGAGTGACCATGCAAGTACGTACAGTACTGTATGGTACGGGTATATCATGTGCTGTCCTTATAACATCTAGCGATACTTCCATCCTCCTCGACATTCACATGCATATCAGTTCTCCTCTGTTTGTCCTTTTACTCTCTCTGCAACATCACCATACCTCCCAAACCAGCCAACAAAGCGTACTTCATCCACGGATAATCGTTCAGCCTAAGTCTCTGTAAGCAATGATTCAACCCCATACTTAGTTTCATTACTTACATGATTGTAACCATTCCAACGTACGGCACGAAGCCCCGGACCATGCCAACAACTTCGGACTCACGAGACAGGTGTGTCTGACCGCGTGCGTAGAGCTCGAGATCATCGGTAGGGTTGTTGTCACCCTTCGTAAGAAGCTTCTGATCCGCGAGGTCGGAAATCAGACTGCAAATCGCGTTAACTCTCCGCGCATAACGTATCAAGATTCTTCAGCTCACCTGTCGTGCGTCCTCATGACACGATGCACAATCGGAATTGGACGACCCTTGACTTCGTACACAACGATATCTCCAACCTGAGCCTTCTCGGCACGATTGCTCAAGAACAGAAGATCACCCCGCTGGAAAGCAGGTTCCATGGATCCACTCAACACCACCACGATGGGCGAGGAGGAATTGGTGTACAATGAGAGGCCCTTCCATAGCGCGAAGGCTGTCGTGAGGACCAGAAGGAAATTGAGGAATTGGCCTGCTTGTTGTCGAATGTTCATCCTGGTTGACTTTGGGACTTCCAATTGCTTTGGTGGTGAGTTTGAGTGTGGGAGTGTCTCAGGGAGCTGTCCGGGACGCGCGCCTGTACCGGTAGAGTTGGATATCATGATTGATGGTGACCCTTGCGGAATGTCTAGGCAAATTCTCCTTTCAATTACAAATGTTTCCGGTGCATTTTGTTCTCTTGCGGTCTCCGACATCTGCTACTATTTTTAGCGACTGTCAACTGAACTTTCGGCGTGAAATGAATCCTCGGTCGCAACTCGCGAAGTCGAATCCAAAGCGCGTGCGAACCGCAACCTCCTCGGTCCATACACCATGTCAATCCATGAGAAGCTCTTCCCATCCTCTCTCGATCTTATTCCCCTTGCCGATGCCGAATCCATCGAAGAAGACACCTCTACCCTCTTCGCTTCCTCCTCCTTCTCTTCCGAGAACTCTGGCCTCGGCATGCTCTCCTCCAATACCAACCTCCTTCATCTGACAGTCCATCTTCCTCCGCCGTATGGCGACAGAGGGTTAGAGATCGCGCAGAGCCCAAGCGGGTTGCGGGAGAAGGGGTCTACGACTGGAAATGCTGTGTGGAGGGTAACGCCGCCGCTGGTGGAGTGGGTTATGGAGAATGAGTGGTTCTCATCGTTGTTGAGCAGCGAGAGTACAACTGTGCTTGAGCTTGGAGCGGGTGTTGCCGGAATTTTGCCTGCGGTGCTGGCACATAGGGTCAAAACGTATGTTGCAACGGATCATTCACAGCAAATTCTAAAGATCCTGCGGCGTAACATTGAGGAAAACCTAGTTCTACTGAATGCGACCACGAGCGGCAAGAAAAAGAAGGCGTCTACGGAGAAGGCAGATATCATGGACCGTGTGATTATTGACGACCTGGAGTGGCTTCACCCACCAACAGCATACCTCCCTTCCCTTTCCTCCATGACCAAGGGCACAGGGTTTTCAATCATCTTTGCATGTGATACAATCTATAACGAAGCACTCATCACCCCTCACGTATCAACTCTGCACCACATCTGCTCAACCCGTCCCGCCGATCTACCACCAACCCTTGTCATGGTTGCTACCGAGCTGCGGTCATATGAAGTGCATACCGAATTCTTGCAAGAATGGACAGAGAGCGGGTTTGAGGTCTACCGTGTTAGCGAGGACGCCTTGAGTGATAACTTGAAGGAGGGATTTGCTGTGTATATCGGCGCTCTGAGGCGATGAGATGTCTCTCATTTAACCCCGAAGAGATGGAAATCGAGGTTTGATGGGCGAAAATGTCTCGTCGTCGTCGATGGACATGTCCAAGTCGGACAAGCCCTGCGGTGTCGTGCTTATTGGCGGCGTCATCGGGTTATTCTCAAAAGCGAGCGCCCGTGGAGGGTTCGAAAGCGATGGAGGAGCTGGCGTAGCGTGGAACGACGCAGGCGTCAACCCTGGACTGTCATCGATGACAAAGTCGACGATGTTGTCGCATATTTGGTCCAATTCGGTCCTTGGCCTTGGCTCTGGTTTGGAATCGAGCTTGGGCTTTCGCGGCGCTGTCTTGGTTGAAGCCTGTAGGATCGGTTTTGCCGTACGGCTCTTGGGCCTGGGTATAGCTGACGGCAGCGGTCTCCACTCGGTCTCGTGCTCCGAAGATGCGTGTGCATCCTGCATCTCCTCACCTATATCGGTTGACGGAAACGGGATTTGCGCCGGAGTTTTGGAATGGTTTCTCTTCTCCGTCAAGGCATTCAGATCGTTCTTGAGAGATGTCAGTATGGATAGATGGCGATCGTGCTGAACCTGAACGCGATCGAGGTTATCAGACTGCTGAATCACTTTATCCATGTTCACATCCAATCCTCCATTTGACTTGCCTGCCTTACTCGGCTGCTCCTTAGACTTCTCCTTTAGTCTTGCGCACTCCCTTTCCAGCGCCTTCTGAGTGGCCTTTCTCTTCCTCAATGCGTCTTGCAGATTCTGGTATGCATCAACTCGCGTTCCGCTTCCCCTGGACTCTTCGATATTGTACAACTCCTCGGGGCTCATTGCATCATAAGCCTCATTTGGGCGGACGAGATTGGGAATGGTACCGGTGTTTCGTAGCGAATTGACCCAACATGCATCGCCAGTCCATTGACTTGTGAACGTCTGGAGGAGATGCTCATGTTGTTGACGTAAGACTTGTAACTCTGCAGCAGACATGTCCGAGAGATTGCCCACGTCTTCAATACGTTGCTCGACGTCCTTTTCCTTTGCGTCGAGAGCTGCGGAGAACGTTGCTGCTGCTTCCTCTGCCTGCTCACGTACAGTCTGCAATGAATGCAGCCGTTGCGTTTGCTGACTGACGCTCTGTTGTAGTTCACTGGCACTCAGAGTGGGCGCCGCCTGACCAAGTTTGAGAATGTCGCATTGGCTTGGCAACCCACGCATCAATGATTCGCGTAAGACATAGGAAGAGAACGCTAGGATCAATTCCTCGTATCGTTCACCCTGACAATCCTCAAGTAGACTTCGTCGAACAATAGTCGGACCAAGTGCGCCGCTCTGTTTGAGGTCGGACAGCCACTTGAACGCAACATTGCGGAACTCTTTGCTCTGAATCGGCTGATATATCGGCCAACATTGGTCGAAGCGCTGTACAACGAGCAAATTAGCTTCGAATGAATGACGAGCAACGCATTGTGTGTACCTTTCTGCACTCGCCCAGACTCAACTCCTTGAATAAATGGTACACGATGACCTCCATCGCCTTTCCCTTGTTTTTCACGCTCGTAAAGGTCTCGGGCGCAATGTCCAGCTCATGTTCCTTCTGTGCTTTGTCCAACACACCCAACAACCTCAAATTGTCCAATATCAAGTGCCTCACTTCTCTCATAATTGTTGACGTCTTCGTTACAGGGGAGGATTTGTACGAGCCTGCGTGCCTGAGACTGGATTCGGCAAACCTGAACACCAACCAGAAAGAACAATACGATGTCTGGAGCAGCAAAGAGTCCGTTGGCTTACTTCCACTTGTTGACCAGGTTAAAGACCACCCCACGAACGGGCTGGGTCAACCACAATGTTCCTAATCCAGGTGTGTTGGTTCGCCACTTTGCACGTTTCTCGGTGTTTACTGACGCGTTACTCTGCTAGAATCCATTGCGTACGTGTTCTGATTGTAGGGCAGGGTTGAGAAGCCTTATTGACGCGTCGGGGATGATAGGGACCACATGTACCGCATGGGAATGATCACAATGCTCTGTCCCGACGCTACCATCAACAAAGACCGTTGTGTGAAGATTGCGCTGGTACACGACGTCGCTGAAGCCATCGTTGGAGATATCACACCTCTCGACGGTGTTTCGAAGGGTACGCCACATCTCTCGAGTCGCTGCTCATGACGTGAACACTGATTGGATGGACACAGAGGACAAACACCGCCTCGAACTAGAAGCCATGCACAAAATCACAAAGGAACTCCTCCCACCATCGATGTCCGTCCAATCCGACGAAATCATGTCCCTCTGGGAGGAATACGAGAACTGCAGTACGAAAGAAGCACGATTCGTCAAGGACGTCGATAAGTTTGAGCTTTTGTTACAGGCGGTGGAGTATGAGCGGGCGGGCAAGGGAGATATGGATTTGGAGCAGTTTTATGGGGTGTATAATGCAATCAAGTTGGATTTCATGAAGGAGTGGGCGGATGAGGTGTTGAAGGAGAAGGAGGAGATGTGGGAGGAGTTTAAGATGGCGAAGGCGAATGGGTCTGCATAAGCAAGTTGACCGTGTTGGGCGGGATAGATATTGGATGGGGGTAATGAAGGGGTATCATATGGTTTGCATTTTGCTCTAGATTTGCAATATAACACGGATGGTGATATAACCTCTATATGCGACTGTCTTTTGTCTTTCTCTTAGCAGATCTTCCTTCCATGATCCCATTCGTAGATGAGGTATGCAAAATTGTACCGGATCAGCAAACCCAACGAGCAACAAAGCACCTGTACACCCATGATTGTCAATGCCAAGATATCCTCACGCATAGGACCCAGTCGGACCAGGATGAGGTTGATGATTGTCAGGTTCGTCGCCTCCACAATCTCGCCTTTTTCGCCGTGAACAATGGTAACCATTCCCAGTTTCTGCAACAACTCCAACAGCAGAACCGTCATACCCTTCGGCGTCTTGGTGAACTTCACCCTCGACTGCTCCAATTTTCCCGTCTTCGGGTTCAACCGTGGGAGTCGATGTCTCGGGTTCTCCACGATACCGAAAAGTTGCGGCGAGGAGTAGAGAAAATTTAAGATCTGTGGGATGAAGAAGAGAAGCAAGGTCTTGCTAAAATGACCCAGGATACCGACGACGGCGAAGGTCATGCCTGCAAAGTAGCAGTAAGTGTCACCCACGAATACCCGGGCGGGGAACCAATTCCATTTCAGTAAGCCGAGGGTGACGCCGACGAATGGCGCCATGAAATAGAGTGAAAGGAGGTGAGAGTCGTGGGCGGGGTGGAGAGGTTTGACGAGGTACGGAATGTCGTTCCCGACGACGAACAGAGCGATGATGAGGGATTGCCCGGCTTCGATACCATTCACGCCAGCGAGAATATTGATGGAGTTTGTGCAGAAGATTGTTAGGGCGGCCATGTATGCGTAGTAAAGCCAACCTATATCATGACGTTAGCACCTGTGAAAGTAGGCGACGCGGATCACGACATACCGAGATCCACCAAGTCACCGAGCCATTGACGGAGTTGCATTGGGACTACGACGTGCGTGACACCGAAATCGACGTAGTAGACTGCGAGGATTGGGATTGCTGCGAGGAGAGGCATGAACAGTTTATGCCGCCAGCGGATGTCGAAGAGGTCATCGGCGACGCCAAGCATGATCATGCTTTGTAAACTCAAGATCGCGGAAAGGTACTCGCCGAGTTTGTTGTGCGGGAATGGGTGGAAAAAACCTTCGTCTGCGGGATGAATCTCAATTTCGACTTCCCTGTTCCCTCCTCCGGAGGTGAGTGCGGCAAAGTGGTGGTAGAACGCGAAGGGTATGAAGAGGAGCATACACGCCAGGTAAACGAATGCGGTGACTGCACCCATTGTTTCCGGAATGACTGGCGTACCAAGTTTGTTGAGGTCCTTCCCTTTGAAGCCAGCTTTGATGAATGCATCGCCGAGGAGAGGGATGAGTGTGTATGTCGAAATGAACGCAAGGATCGCGAAACCAAGGGAGGAGATGAGAGGACTCTTTTGAGGATTGAAGAGGAGAGCTGCACTCAATGCCGTCCCTGCTAGTAGTAATAGTCGCCTTGTCATGGCCATGGTAGCATTTATTCCGTGCCCTTTCTTCACGGGTGTTGAGGTCGCCCCTCGCACGGACTCACTGGGCAACGTGTCGCGACTCCAACGCGCTGCAACCGTGCCCTGTGGCTTCGTACGCACAGAAACTCTAAATGACCGAAAACATGCAATTGGCAAAAAGACAGTTGAGGAAGGCTGTTCAAAGGATCCTAGACAATGTGAACGATGAGACAATAGCCAAGCAATGTGAGCGAATCTCTCCTTGGTCACTTGGATCGATGTTGACGGCGAGATCAGCGAGAGCGGTGACGGCGGCGTTACTGGCATTACCGGCATTCCGGGATGCAAAACGGATAAGCGTCTTTCTATCTATGCCGAAGCATGAGATTCAGACGCTTGATATAGCATCTGCGGTGCTGCAGCAAGGTAGGCTGGGGTGCCGCCTGATAATCTCATCGCTCACCATGTCTACAGGCAAGTTCCTTTTCGTACCACGCATCAACGCCTCAACTATGTCAATGGTACCAATATCATCCGTATCATCCCTTACGGCGCTTCCCCGGAACAAATGGGGTATCCCTGAGCCCACAGAAGAGGATCCAGCAGAAGAAGCATTATCAACAGGCGGTTTGAATTTGATTGTAGTCCCGGCAGTCGCTTTCGATCGGGATATGGCAAGGCTGGGACACGGGAAAGGATACTATGATAAGTACATAAAAGCGTGCGAGGAGAAAATGGGACGGAGACCTTTGCTGGTGGGTTTGTGTTTGGAGGAGCAGGTGGTGGAGGTTGGAAAAATTCCTATGACGGATTGGGATGAGAGGGTTGATATGGTAGTGCTCGGTGATGGAAGTGTAATGAGACGATGAAGCGAGTACAGACTTCTGCTGTTGTATAAACATGTAGATCCAAGCGTCGTACTGCTGAAACGATTCCGGAACCGTAATCTTAGGGCTTGGTTATCCCTTGTCACCAATGCTCAGCCCAATCCGACCCTATCTGAGGGACTTGTTGTTGAGGCATCCGTGCGTACTCTGTGTTGCTCGCACTCCTCCGTTTCGCTCCGGATTTTCGCGTCGGGGTGCGTTAGCACGGAACCTTAATTTCGAGCAGGGTTCACTGGCACACTGTTTTGTCGCTCATCCTCAGCCATGTAATTATTTTTTTAATCGCGACACGTTCAAAGTTGAGTGGGCCTGTGATCCAGCAGGTAACTCCAGCCGATCTTCATTGTCGCTGAGCCGTTCGCGAACCTTGTAGGGTCCTGCACAACGGCTCTCCAGTTTCCCAACTTGTCCTGATTGCTTTTCAGAACCAAGACCCAGTCTCCTTTTTGGAAATCGGTAGGCACATATCGACGCCTGTCAGCATGATGTTTTTGTTTTATCTGGCTTCCATGGATTGTATCCTTCGCGGCAATGTGCATGTCGCTCAACTTATTGATAAGTTCTTCTGCTGATTCAACATTGCTGTCATTCGCTCGGTTTGGTTGAATAGGATGATAACCATACATCATATAGAACGGAGTTATACTCGCCGTACCACGTTTTGAGTTGTTATATACGAACTCCAATGATGGTAGAACCTCATCCCAATCATGGTCCTGAACATAAGGACGAGTCATATGTTCCAGCGTTTTGATGGTGCGTTCCGTTTGTCCATCAGTCTGTGGGTGCTCAGCAGTTGACATCAACAGTTCCACCCCAAGTGAGCCTTGCAATGCTCTCCAAAACTGACTGGTGAACCGGTCCACAAAAGCCATGCAGAAGCCATTGCCCTCCTTTGTTTACCGCATTGGTCCCACAAAATCCATTGAAATTGACGACCATGGCGAATGAGGGATTGGTAAAGGTTGCAACAACCCAGCTGGGTTTGTGTTTGAGTGTTTGTGCCGTTGACAGGCATCACAAGATCTCACATAACTCCTCACATGCCTCCCCATCTCAGGCCAATAATACGCACGTGCAATCAACGAATAAGTCCTGTTAATCCCAGGATGCCCAGCAAATGGTGCATCATGGCAATCACGTGAGACCGATTTTGTTCATGGGCCTTCCGGTTAACATAATCTCCAAGGGCTTATCTCATCAGTTCGGAGATAGAGCAAACCATCGTCAATCAACCATCGATCGGTTTTGCCACCCTTTTCCCCACGCTCTTGAAGATATCTTTAACAGTATCATTGCCTCTTGAAAGATAGTCCATGCGTGGTTTTGTCTTCAGTTCTTCTGTAGGTAGTGAGCATTGTGGATCGAAGTGTATCTGATCGATCTGAATTCTGGACAAAGCGTCGGCAACAACATTCATTTTGCCTGGTTTGTAAACGATCTTACAGTCGTAATCTGCCGCTTTTTCTTGCCACCTTCGTTGTCTTCGATTCAGGTGCTTTTGAGTTTTGAAGTATACCAATGACTGATGATTGGCGTATATCTTGAATGATTTTCTCAATAAAAAATGTCGTCACTTCGTAAAAGCATGCATTGTAGCACACATCTCTTTATTATTTACGAGATCATTCAACTCATGTGCATTGAGCTTGCTGGACTTATAGGCGACAGGCTGGCCATTTTGCATCAACACTGCTCCAATCGCTTTTGCATCTTCAGACGCATCTGCAGAAAATTCAAAGTCCTCATCAGGGTCTGGGGATTTTTAGAACTGGTCTGGTTGACGATGCAATCTTGACCTTCTCAAAGGCTCTCTGCATCTCCGTCATCCAGGTAAGAACCATAGTTCCAGGGAGACTGGATGTACAGTGTGCAGTCAATGATTCAACCATCCTGGAACATCCTTCAACAAAGATTCTGCAATAGTCTGCCAATCCAACAAACAACTGTAGTTGTTTCATCATCTTGGGTTACGGAAATTCCAGAATAGCGGGTACACCATGATATTATCCAAGTAGACTACGACGAACTTATCCAACACGTCTCGGAAAATGTCATTCAGGAGGGTCTGGAAAGTTGCCGGTGCATTTGTTGATCTAAATGGCATAACAATCCATTCATAATGACCATAGCATGTGTTGAATGCTTTCTTGTATCAATCTTTTTCTTCAGGTCAATCTTTGAAAACCAACAGGCACCATGAAATCTGTCTGTGATTTCATCAATCCGAGGAAGACTGTAACAATTCTGAATTGTCTGTGAGTTCAATGCTCGGAAGTCGACGCAAATTCTGAGTTTGCCATCCTTCTTCTTGACGAAAAGGACAGGCGCTCAGTATGGACTCACAGATGGTTGTATTTTGCTGTTTTTGGGCAGACCTTATATCTGGGCATATAGTTCATCCAACTCTGGTTTGGACAACCTGTATATGCCTCTGTAGTGTGGTGTAGCTCCCTGGACTTCGTCGATGTGAGGAACCACATGTCGATCCACTGGCTCTCCGGCTGGTAGATCTGAGAAAAAACATCACCGAAATCTCTCATGATGAAGTTGGGACTACCCTCTTTTGGTTTGGATTTTATTTTCTCTGAAGGAGTTTCCACCAGGAACATGACCATAACTTCTTCCGATGTCAAGCTCCAAACTGCCTTCTTGAATCCAGTACGTCCAATTATATCAATCTCAATTGGGTGTTCTGCTTCTGGGTCACTCTCCTCACCAAACAGTGGAAGAGTATCACTCCTTGATCCATCCGACAAAGTCACTGTTTGATTTGCCCGATCAAAAGTAGGATTGAATCGGGCAAAGAGGGTGCACCCAGCAACATATCATTATGTTCTGCATCTGCTACATAGAAAGCTTTTCGGATTCGTCTGTTACTGATCCGTAGCAGGACAGCTTTAGTAACTTCACTGGCAAACTGCTTCTCATCTTTTGCTGTTGTGGTTGCCGTCCTGACTCGCATAGGCTCAATCGCGCGAGTCTTGATCCTCACTTTCTCAGCATATGATCGACTATGGGGATATTCGGCGCAGTACCAGGCGCTGGGGTAACAATCTCGATATCTTCCGTATTTTCAATGGCACCTTCGGCCATGTCCTTTTGTTCCAATTCCACAGCACGCATCGCTAGCATGGGGCCCTCTTTCTAATCAATAGGTATACCCCACCCTACTGACCCTTACCTTTTCCCATCTGCCTTTTCGTGTCCTAACTCATGTTCCTGTTGGTGTTGCCACGCTTTTGCGTCTCACGGTCTCGAGCATAATGACCAAAGCGTCCACAGTTGTAACACTTCCTTGTGCTGATATCGAGCCTGAACTCACGGGCGCTTCCCCTAACAAACGTTTGGTGAAACGTACAGCATCAATCTCTATGGCGACGTTCCCTCCAGAGCGACCATCGCTCAAACCGTAACGAAGTGGAGCGTTTCTGTAGGACATGAAGTTGTGCTAGCCCGAATCAAGAATCCTGTTGCCGAACGTAATACTGTCGTATCGGTCCGCAATCATGATGACTTCGTCCAGAGTCTGCGGGTGGCAAAGTTTGAGTTCCAAACTGACCTTTGGCTTCAACCATGGATGAATTTGTTGAGAAATTTGATGTCGCTGAGTTCCAAGATGTGGATGCGTAGGTTGTGAGTTGAGTAACGTATTCACCAACCGACGTTGTCTGACGAGAGCTGTGCCCCTCATCTCTGAGTGATCTTGCAGCGTTCACAGGGGCGAAGTACTTCATGAGACCACGTTTGATGCTGTCCCAAGTCAATGCCGCAGGGTCCTTACCCTTGACCTCCCAAGCCCTGAGCTGCGCGCGATACCATGACAATGCATTACCCGTAAGCAATGTTCCGACAAACGCTGAATGTTTCCCGGCTCTGATATCCTCGGCGAGACTGAGGTACTGATCAACTGAGAAACACCAGTTCTCAATTACCATCAAGTCGCGTTTGCCGTTGTAGGACTCCGGAAGCTTGAGCTTCAATCCGCGAGGGGTTGCCATTGTAAAGTATCCGTTTTTGTTGTTTTGATCCGAAGAATAAGGATGTACTCCTATGCTACCAAATGTAACGGATGCACAATCACTTCTTATTCCATCCGTTACACGCAGCGCCCATCACGTGCAGGCGCAACCGAGGACGCCGTCAGACCAAACATTGCAACAACCACCACAGACATCGACAAACAGCAATGTCAGATCCAACATCAGATCCCAAATACCAGCAATTGTTCGCCGCACTCCAGACGCTGTACACCAACAGTGCACGAGCCGACAAGGAGCGCGCAAACACATACCTTGAGGAATTCCAGAAATCAGCGGAAGCATGGCAGGCGGTTCATGCGATCTTGAGTTCGAGTACGGCGGGGTTGGAGGCGAAGATGTTTGCGGCGCAGACGATGCGGACGAAGATTACATATGACTTTCACCAGTTACCGAAAGAGTCGCTTGCATCGCTGAGAGATTCGCTTTTGGGGTTGCTCGTGATGTATCGCGCCGGCCCTAAACCGCTTATGATTCAGCTTGCTGTCTCATTAGCTGGTCTTGCGCTTCAGATGACGGAGTGGAAGACTGTGTTGCAGGATGTTGTGCAGCACCTCGGAAACGACAAGGAGACTTGGCCGGCGATGTTGCAGTTTATTGCGGTTTTGCCGGAGGAGGTGAGTGATTCGAAGAGGGTGTCGTTGACGGAGGAGGAGTTGGATGCGAGGACAATGGAGCTTTTGACGGATAATGCGGATCAGGTGTTGCAGCTTTTGGTGCAGTATGCGCAGACTGCTGGGCCGGAAGGACCGAGTCCTGTGTTCTTTGCGTGCTTGACGAGTTGGTTGAAGGAGATTCCATTGCAGTCATTCATTGCGACATCGCTATTCGATTTGACGTTCTCGGCATTGGCGGTGGATTCTTGCTTCGATGCGGCGGTGGATTTGTTGTGTTCGATCTTCAAGGAAACCAGGGAGGTGGATGAATACATGATGGTCATTCAGGCCATTTACCCACGACTATTAGCGCTGCGACCAAGAATTGCCGAGTCAAGAGAGGACCCGGATGCGTTCAGGGGTTATGCGAGGTTGTTTGCGGATGCGGGAGAGAGTTGGGTGGTCCTCATTGCGCGCATGCCGAGGGAGTTCCGTGCGCTGGTGGAAGCTATTGCGGAGGTCTGTGCATATGATGAGGATCTCGAGGCTGTCAAGTTTACCTTCTACTTCTGGTACGACCTCAAGCAGATGCTCACCATCGAGCGATACGCTGAGGCTCGGGCGGAGCTCAGGGACATCTATGCCGGTTTAGTTGATATCATGATCAAGCACCTCCACTACCCCAATGGCGACAACCCTAACGATTTGTTTGACGGTGACCGTGAGGCTGAGGAGAAGTTCCGTTCGTTCAGACATGAGATGGGTGATGTCTTGAAGGATTGTTGTGTTGTGGTTGGTGGATCGGAGTGTCTGCACAAGGCGTGGGAGAAGGTGTATATGTGCTTGCAGAACGGTACAACAAAGTGGCAGGATATTGAGGCGCCTCTGTTCAGTATGCGAGCAATGGCAAGGGAAATCCCGTTCGAGGAGGACAGTGTGTTACCGCACATCATGGAGATGCTGGTCAAGCTGCCTGAGCACGAAAAGATCCGTTACGCGGCTACGCTGGTGTTGGGACGCTACACCCAATGGACATCAAGACATCCGCAGTTCCTGGAATACCAGCTTCAATATATCACCTCTGGTTTCAAGAACCCTTCGAAAGACGTCATGTCTGCTGCTGCTCAGGCGTTAAAGCACTTTTGTCAAGATTGCAACCAGTTGCTCATTGACTATGTGCCTCAGTTGCATCCGTTTTACCAGCAGGTTGCCCCGGCTTTGCATAGTGCTGATCTTTTCGAGGTCACTGAGGGGTTGTCGCATGTCGTCGCCGCTCAACCTCCTGCCCAGCTCTATGACACTATGAAGATGTTCTGCGCCCCCATCGCTCAGGGACTTATGGCTCATATCCCCAACGCCGCGACCGCTGATGAGGATCTGATGAAGAAGATTGCTGACGAGGTTGAGCTGTTGACTATCTTTATCCAGAACGTCGCTCCCTTCGTCGAGGCCAGCAAGCCCCATCCCTGTGTCACTTTGATGCAGGAGCTGTGGCCTGTACTCTCTGCTCTTCTCCAAGCTTACGGCAACGCGCCATTCGTTGCCGAGCGTATCAGCAAGTGTGTGAGAAGCATGATGAACGCTTACCGCATGCACATGTTGCCGCTCCTCCCGGCCATCGCTGAGATGTTGGTCGTCTACTTTGACAAACTTCAATACGGTTGCTTCTTGTGGGTGAGCGGAACTCTCGTGAGAAACTTTGGTGAGCTTGAGGTTGCGGCGGAGACTAAGGCTGCTGTCTGGTCGTTTGTCCAACAGCAGGCTATCAACATGTTCAAGATCCTGAACAAGACTCAACCAAAGGACATCCCTGATGTGATTGAGGATTTCTTCCGTTTCATGGGTGATGTAATCATGAACTTCCCTCAGCAGTTATGCACGTCAAATCTCCTTGACCCCGCCTTCCAGGCTGCACTCGTGTCGCTCAGCTTGGAACAACAAGACCCTCTCGTCTCCATTCTGCATTTCATGCGCGATATGCTTGCGTGGGCTTTGCCATCACCACCGACATCGATCATGCCCCATACTCCTCCGGAGGTCATGGACGCTGTCCGTGCCATCACCTCGCAGTACGGTCCGCAGTTGACTTCCATCATGTTCTCAGGAATGATCCACACCTTGCCCCGAGACTGTGTTCAAGATGCCAGCGGTGTCTTGCTGATGCTTTTGGAGATCTTCCCTCAGGAGGCGGTTGGATGGATTGCGGCGACCATTGCAGCCTTGCCCGAGGGTACCTCCAGTGCTGAAGAGCGCCAGAAGTTCATGGCCAGCTTGACTGGAGCCTTGCAGCAGAATGACATTAAGAAGGCACGGAGACTGGTGCAGGACTTTACTGCTCATTACAGAAGAAGAAACGTGACCCCCCGTAACGCGACGAGGGGTTTGGACTACACTTTTAGCTATTCAGGATAAGGTTGAGCAAAAGGTTTGGAAGACATATAGGGTGAGAATTTAGCGGAGTTGAAGTAGCATCATTAACGGTAGCATTAATCGCATGGAAGCGGTTGGAAGATAGGAATAAGGAAGACTAACAAACAAACATCGCCGTCATAACACATCAAACCCTCACAAAACGCCTCTTCACCTTAAACTCCTCTGAAGCCACCTGCAGCAAAGTATCGTGCGAGTACTATTCTACTCGTCGTCCTCGGTGACGTCTTCGTCATCCTTGGCAGCAGCCTTCTTGGCGAGCTTTCTTCCGCGGGTCTTCTTCGGTGCCTCGTCCTCCTCGACCTCGTCCTCTAAGTCGTCTTCCGCCAATGACTTCTTGGCTGCCGCGGCACGCCTGGGAGCTGCACGACGAGAAGGTGCAGCCTCCCTGGAAGCCTTCTTCGACTTCTTCTTTGGCTTTTCCTCCTCTTCCTCCTCCGTGAACTCAGCCTCTTCCTCATCTTCAGTCAGCTTCGCCTCCTCTTCATCTTCAGACGCCTCTTGCTTTGCCTTGCCTCTCTTTGTCGGTGCTTTCTTCTTGGGAGTTGCTTTCGGCTTCGACTCCTTCTTTGCCTTCTTGGCAGGCTTCTCGTCCACATCCGAAACCGAGGCCTCTCGCTTCGCCGCCTTCTCTGCTTCCTTCGCTGCTGTCTTCTCCTCTGCCTTCTGGACCTTCTCTTGTTCTTTGTTCTTGTGGCCCTCCGAGATGTCTTCCTCGGCGATATGTCCAACCTCAAAGGCAGCCTTGATCCTTTCCTGATCCTCCTCGCTGTCATTTTGGTTAGCGGCAGAACAGTCCTGTGGTTGGATGTAGAAACGTACTTCAAGTCTTCATAGCCGTCAACAGCTTCGGCATCCTCGTCCACGTCTGATTTGAGGTTCTCGATCTGCTTGTCTGTGACACAGCCCCATTCTCTCCATGACCAGGAGGAAAAGCTCGAACTTTGAACGAAAGATCCAAGCTTCAATAGGCCCTTTTCCATCTTCTGCTTGCAGGCATTGCAGCTGCCACGGGCGCTTTTAGTGTACTCTGTCCATGATCATCCATTAATCCCTGCTACGTAGTGCAATATGATGCGACGCTCACCAACTCTGTAAGGCATGGAGATTTGAACGACAATAAAGCTCGTCGGGTTCTTCTAGGTGGATCAGTCGGTTTCCCGTTGCGGTTCGCAATTACTTAAAGTGCGGAGACGATGGCGGACCCTCAGCGCGCTTTGCGTCATTGATCAGACGCGAACCCAGAGATCGAGAACTTTGTACGATGGAAAATCGAGTGGAACCGGGTCAATTGAGTTCCATTTACCGTCTGGAAGCTTCTCCTCTGCGCTTTTGCTCCTCCGTCTTTTGGCCAATAACATTGCCGAATTCGGCAACCTTCGCGGGTAACGTAGACCAAATCAACTGGAGCCTGGGAATTTCGATCAAACCTTCTTCCCTTGCCTGGTAGGCGGCCCTATAAGGAACCCAACTATGCCTATAGCAAAGCCCGTGAAACCTCGTAACCCGTAGTTGCAGTTTCAAGATTCGCTATTGCAAATCGAGTTTGACACATGTACGCGACATGAACCACCTACCGTGACGTCGACCACAAGTAAAGACTACGAACTCACGTTTTACACTTGCACTTATCATACGTAGACATCATTCCAATTGCAAGCTTCAACTAAGTGCAGACCAAAAAAAAAGGCGCCAGTTTCCTGTACCCAAAACTTTAAAACGTAGAAAAAATCAAGTACCTGGAATCAAAATCCAGGAAAATATCGTCCAGCCATATTGCAATTGCGTAAACACGATCAATGCCACTAGTGATTCACCTCACATCACCGCACCAAAAAGCGGCGACAACGTAGGTCCCATACCCAACCCACCATCAGCACCCGCATGATCACCAACACCCGTCATATTCATATCCATATCCATATCCATAACCTCCAACTCCCTCCTCTTCTTCTTCTGCGCAAGCTTCTTCATCCTCTTCTTATTCTTCCTCCTAACCGCTTCGGGATCCTCCAAAACTGCCATCCCAATCGCACCATGAACCTTCGCCGGGGTACCGTGGACCGATCGCGATCCCTTTTTCTTCTTGCCGGATGCGTTGGCGTCTTTGGAGGCCATCATCTCGTTGCGGCGGGAGGCGAGGACGTACCATTCTCGAGCGTGTTCTTCGCGGGCAGTGAGGTCTTTGCGGCGGGTTTGTGCGCGGCGGAAGGTGCCGATTGGGATGCGGTCCCATCTGCTAAGGTCTTTTGAGGCGGGAGGGCCCCCGGGGCCTGTGGGGAGTGTAGCGAGAGCGCCGACATCCAATATATCGTCGAGAGTAGTGAATGGCGGGGTAGGCAACGTGCTACTTCCGTCATCAGACGGACGGACGGTGGTGATACCATCGATGATACCGACAGACCCCTGACTCTCCTTCGCAGCAGACCACATCCCGAGGACCGGCTGTTTCTGCGCAGTCTTGGGCATACCTCCAGTCAAGGACGAGTGCACGATAGGTTTCTTGACAGGTCCTGGCGTCGAGGTCTTCTTCCCCTTAAAGTCCTCCTCATCTGTCGTTTCGCCCTCTGCTGCATCATCCGCCTGAGCCCACAGCATGTCGATTTCATCCTTCTGATCATCCTCATCGCCATCTTCTTCGAGAAACACATTCCACCCAATATCAGCATCGTCATCCGAAGACATATCCTCATCCTCGTCATCATCCTCGCCTGCATCGAGCACCTCGTCGTCTTCGTTGTCAGATAGCCATCCGAGGTATGTCTGCCCATTACTCCCTCTTCGCCCACCACTCGCTTCCTCGATGAAATCAAGTATGAACTGATCCGAATCGTAATCCGCATCCTCCGTCTTGACGGGTCTGGTATCGAAATTATTGGGAACGAGGGGACTTCCGAGGTCGAATTCGTAGATTTCGTCATCATGGTCGTGGTCATCTTCCTCCTGTTCACCAAATGGACCATCCAATCCGGTTTCGACTTCGAGAACGTCCTCTTCTGCGTGGTTGAGGAAATGGTCTTCCTCGTCACTGAGTCCCAGGCCGAGCATGACTTCCCTCTCCAAACGAGCGGCTTCGGCAGCCTTTTCCTCTTCGATGATTGCGCGCTCCTCCTCGTACTCTCCCTCGTTCTCATCAGGGTCGATAGGTGGCAACGAAGACAAAGAAGAATCAGATGATTCGCCATCTGAGTCGTCAATATTGTCGTCAAAGCTGAAATTGGTATTTCCGGATACGTTGCTAGTATTTGTATTTCTTCTCTTTTTGCCGGTGGTCGATGGAGTAGTCTCTGTATTTGGTGTTTTGCCAGCCTTCTTTGGCGTGGTTGTATTTCTTGACGGAGCCTTACCGACACCTTGTCCGGTTGGCTTAGGTGCCTTTGCTGCTTTCTTTCTCTCTTGAACGGCCTTGGATAAAGGTATGTCTTCATCGTCGCTGTCATCCGAGCTTAATGAGTCATCAGAAGAGCTGTCATCCAGCAAAACCAAACGACCGAATGGACGGTTTTGCTTCATGTAGTCGTTGAACTGCTTGACCGCCTTTTCGGGAGAAGAAGACTCTGCTTCCGATTCGGAATCAGGAACTGACGAAAGAGACGACGAGGAATTTGAAGAAGTCGACATCCGTCGCCCGCGATCCAAGAAAGCCTGCGGAGCCCGCACAAGGACCAGCTTGAGCGGTTTGCGTACCGGGGGTCGAACAACAGGTTGTTCCGTGATCGTCTTTGGTTGCCGAGGAAATGACATTGGCGTAGTACGGGCCGAAACCTCGACGTCCACAGTAATCGCACAAGTACATTTTCCGTCACACACCGGGCACAGATCATCATCCTCGTCTTCCTCGTCCTCGTCTTCGTCCTCTATTGCCTCTTCCTCCTGATCATTACCACCGTCACCACCATCATCATCACTCTCCTCTTCCGAACTCGAATCGTCGTCCTCCTCTGAACTCTCAAAAGCCTGCGCAGCGCGAGCCATAGCAGACTGGCGCTTCAACGCACCCAAATTCTTTCCCTTGCCTGCACCTTTTCCTCTACCCGGAGCATGATTGTATTTCCCTGAGAAGGCCGAGGCTCCTCGAGGATTTGAATGTAACGTCGTCTTTGCCATTTGATGGAAGTTACGGGGTGAACATTTTCGAGATTTGAATAATTACTCGTTCAGCTTCGACGTATTCTCGGCGGACGATTGCCTTTAGCTCAATCGGGTAACGCTTGGAGGCAAATTGTTATCAACCAATAATTACATGGATTTGGCTCTTTCTTGTTGAGATCATTTAGAATGAGTTATCCTTTCATCTCATCACCTTATCAGTCGATGTGACGTTGTTGCAGTTGAGCTCGAGCACGGAGACTCCTCCCCGACCTTTTACACCCAACAATGCCCACCTACGAAGAAACCCTCGCTCGTATGAAGCGTACCCTGGACAACGTCGACGGCGACGTCGACGACCAGCCAGATCAACTCGAAGAACCCGCGAAAAAGCGCGGTAGGCCGTCTGATCCCTCACGCGCGGCGACCTCTTCGCGTACCAAGAGCGCGACTTCCACCGGCGGTCGCAAGAAGAAGGCGACCCCTCCTCCGGTCGACAACCGTCCCATTCTCAAGCAGATCGATGAAATCCCCCTCGCGGGAATGTCACGGTCTACGACAACTGCGACGAAGTGCGCAAAAAGTTGACTGATTTCATCTACACCAAGCAATGCACCAAGAAGGCTCTCCTTTGAGCATCTCGGTGGTGCGGATGGACCGGTAAACTCAAACTCCCTTGGTACCCTCTTGGGATACAAGGGCAAGACGAAAGGAGCCGCGAACAAATGCTACTACGCCGGCTACGTGTTCTGTGAAAAGTTGCGCATTCTCCAGGGAAAAAAGAAGACCAAGAAGAGGTTGGATTGCGAACATGAATTGCCGACCGGTTACGACTACGGAGAGGGCTCTGGAAGGCAGTCTGCATACGTTTTTGCCGGTGACACCCTTGCACAGGACAAGTGGGGTCGCTTGGAAGCCGTACCAAAGCGTGGGTACGGGTGGTGAATCTAGTCGTTCGATGTAAGATGGGTTGTACGATAACGAGGTATCAAGTTTGTCATATTCGCTTCTTCTACTAATCAAACACTTTCTTCTTGTTGCACTCCTTACAAGTAAAGCCCACCCTCGATCTCCTCTTGCTTCGTCTTCAATATCTGCTCCCTCGCTTGTCTGAAATCTTCCGCAACGACCCTCATTCTGCGTTCTCTCAACGCGCGCAAACCAGCTTCCGTACACAACGCCTTGACATCCGCACCAGACATGTCGTCCTTGGCCGTGATGAATTCCTCCAAGTCGACATCATCGCCGAGTGTCATCTTTCCGGTGTGGATCTGGAAGATCTTGCGGCGAGTGGAGGTGTCGGGGGCTTCGAAGAGGATTTTACGGTCGATACGGCCAGGACGGATGAGAGCGGGGTCAAGATCGTTGATACGGTTAGTAGCCATGATGACCTTGACGTCTCCGCGCGAGTCGAAACCGTCCAATTGGTTGAGCAACTCCAACATTGTTCTCTGTATTTCACGTTCACCTCCACTGTTGGAATCGTAACGCTTCGCACCGATGGCGTCGACTTCGTCAATGAAAACGATGGAGGGGGCATGCTCTTCGGCGACTTGGAAGAGCTGACGAACCATCTTGGGACCGTCACCGAGGTATTTCTGGATCAATTCTGAACCGACGATACGCAAGAATGTCGCGGACGTTTGATTGGCGACGGCTTTTGCCAGCAGGGTCTTTCCGGTTCCGGGAACACCGTAGAGAATGACACCCTTTGGTGGCTTGATACCCATCTCTTCGTACAGTTCGGGGTGAGTGAGCGGTAGTTCGACAGACTCCTTAATTTCCTGGATTTGCGATTCGAGACCACCGATGTCTGCGTAGGACTCTGTCGGTGCCTTGTCGAGCTTCATGACGGAGACCATCGGGTCGACGTCGTCACCCAAAACACCGACGATGGCGACAGCCTTGTGGTGCAAGAGGACGGAACACCCAGGCTCGAGGAGGTCCTTGTCAACAAACGACATGATAGAGACGTAGTACTCCGGCCCACTCGAACTCGAAACAATCGCATGGTCATCATCGATAATCTCCTCAAGCGTACCAACGCCCATAGGCGACCCCCGCATATCATCAACCTTGTTACGCTCCTCCTGACTCTTGTCATCCTGCGGCTTCAAACGCTCCTGGTTGGTGACGAACTCTTCCTCGAGGAGGAGGTAGTCCTTGATACGCTCCATCTTGAGGAGCTTGAGTTTGCATCGGTTGTTGGGGAAGACGGCGGGGAGTTTGGTGGTGGGGTCGGGTCCACGCTTCTTCTTTTTGCCGACGCGAGTTGCTACGGGGGGTTCGTACTTGGGCTTTTGTTCCTTCTTCTGCGTGGGTTGTTAGCATTTATCCAGGCGGTCGTCGGTGAATTGACATACCTTGTCATCCTTGTCCTTGGGCGGACCGCCACCGGGCATTCCTGATTGTGCGTTACCCTGTACATCGCGTTAGCTGTCATCAACTTTCACAAATGGAACAGCGACGCACCATCCTATCGACTCCTTATGTCAATTGACTTGGTGTTGAGTTTGTGCTGGTTGCTCTCTCTACTGCCGCGCGTCTCCGAGCGTCGTCATTTCGTGCACGTGAGACGATCATCGTAAACCCAACGACGAAAGAAAAAACAGAGAGGAGAAAGACAAAGGCAAAATGGCATCAGGTAGCAAAAGAGATGTTGCAATGTGATATCATACGGACGGCTAACTTTGCTACAGGCAGCAGAACACGCCGTGTTATGAAGGAGATTGACGACTGTCTCAAGGACAAGACCTCCGGTGTCGAGGTCGAGACTGTCGGTTCAGATATTTCTCATCTCAAGGGACGCTTTAGGGGTCCTTCCGGCACTCCATACGAGGGCGGTACCTTCCAGGTCGACATCAAGATTCCTGTACGTCAGTCACGTTGTCACTAGGATGGGATACTGACAATCATGCAGACAGAATACCCCTTCCGCCCTCCTCGAATGAACTTTGATACCAAAGTCTACCATCCAAATGTCTCCTCGCAGACGGGAGCTATTTGTCTTGATATCTTGAAAGACCAATGGTCGCCAGTGCTTACTCTCAAGTCGGCACTTATCTCTTTACAGTCATTGCTGTGCTCGCCTGAGCCCAATGATCCTCAGGATGCTGAAGTGGTGAGTCCCTTATTCTTCTGAATTGCTAAATTTGACTGACAATCGATACAGGCCCGACACTACCTCAGCAACCGCGCTGGATTCGATGAGACTGCGAAATACTGGACCAAGACCTACGCCAGCGGGACTGGCGCGGTCGGCAAGGAAGACATGATTTCGATGTAATTGCAGCTACACGTAGGGTTGCTAGCTGGGTCGACACCGTTCTCTTCCCCATTTACCGTTACCGTCTCTCCCTACGGCATAGCCTCCTTCTGATCAGCACCCTCAACAGCCTGGATGGCGCCATACCTGTCCTTGGTGAACAACTCCATACCAACAGGGATACCCTTGGACTCGGCAAAGAGACCGCTCTTGACAACAAGCAATCCTCTCATAACCTCGGGAATACTGTGAGTGCCACAGCCCTGCAAACGTGTTAGCCGTGATGCTCGAGGATGAAAGAAACACAATCATACGCAGTTGGGGCAGAAGTAACGCTCTACGGCATTTCCAGAAGCTCCCTTTCCAGCCCACCTCTTGACCGGACCCTCAATGTGGACTTCATCCTTCTGAACGATGAAGTTGCCGGACATGGGCGCACCCGAAAAGCGCTGACAGTCCGTGCAATGGCACAAACAAGTCGAATCGGGCTTCTTGTCGAGCTTGACGGTGATCTGACCGCAATTACATGATCCAGAGATGGCATTCATTTCGCGTGTTTTTCGCTTGTTGAATGGCGAAGCGAGGCATCAAGACCCCAAAAACCCTTCCTCAGTGTTCGAGCGCGGCCCGCTGCGGGAGTTTCGCGCCCGGACCGTCCATCAGCTGACGTCATGTTCGCGCTCGTCAACTTTGTCAGAGGTGAAGGCTCGCGATGGTAATGTCTTTTGCAATGTCTTGTGGGAATCCACTTTGCTTTATAGTTTTTCGTATACTATGGTGTGTGGGCGACCTTGGTGGTGGGTACGATGCACGTGGGATACCTCCTTATGCATCGCACATGCAATCGCTAAACAAATCTCCTCCTGATCCCCTCTCGATGCTCTCTCTTCGACAGTGCTCACTTGAAAAGCTCATCGACAATCCTGGCCTCTTTCTGTCCAGCATCGCCCTTCAAGTCCTTGATGCCCAATCGTCTCATGACCTCGACAACCTTCTCCTCACTCAACCCCATCTCCGTGAACTTCTTTACTGTGCCCCTGTCCAAACCGAATCTAGGTCTACGCGAACTCACGCTCGGCTATTGTTGCCCCAAACCAAACCACCGTCCACCACGAATAATACATCTCCATGAATGAATAGGAACTCATCTAGAATAATGACTCGTCTTCTCTCCCTGTATCACTGCTTCACGTGACATTCTCGATCTGTAGACATCGACGTCGACGTCATTATGGCGGTCTCGATTTCGGCAGCACGGGAGCCCTCGGACTCTCAGTATGCCCGACTGCCAGCATATAACCTCCAGCGCTGTAGAGAGCATACAACCTCCAGCGCGGTAGAGAGCATACAGTCAAGGACATCCACGTACGATGGCCAGCTCCAATTCACCAGGCGCCTCGTCGTCCTCGACGGCTGCTCAGACAGACGAGGACTTCACACTGGCCGAGCCTCTGCAGCCTTACGGTTATGCAAACATACTTTGGACCGTGCCTGAAGGTTCATCCAGGGAACAAGATTTGCCATCTACTACCGAGCCTGTTGTTGCCCAGGCGGACGAAGCGAACGATCGGCCCGCTTTCCCAACTGCTACCCGCGGCTCGCGCCGTCAAGACTTGTTGAGACGAGTCACTACCGCCGATCTTTCCGACGGAGATGTGAATCATCTCGTCAAGGTATTCTCGAGTCGTTCGAGGAGGTCTAGGCAAGGACAGGAGGAGCAAGAGAAAGGTGACAATGATGACGAGGAAGAAGAAGATCCTCAGCAGAAGGAGTTGGAAAACCTCATGGGTGAGATTTTCAATCGTGGAGGAAACGAAGAAGGAAAGAAGCACGTTGGTGTTATCTTCAAGGACTTGACTGTCAAAGGTGAAGGTATCGGTGCCTCGACGGTCAGTACCTTTGGAGATGCCATGAAAGCTCCCTTCATGATTCCCAAGAAAATCGTCGGTCACACGCCTCAGACACCGGTACGTACTCTGCTTGACAGGTTCACTGGGTCTGTACGCGATGGTGAGATGCTTCTCGTCCTTGGTCGTCCCGGCTCAGGGTGCACCACCTTCTTGAAGACCATTGCAAATCTTCGGGAGGCGTATGCCGGCGTGGAAGGTGACACTACCTATGGTGGTGTCGATGCCGAGACTATGAAGAAGCGATACCGTGGTGAAGTCGTCTACAACCAGGAAGACGACCTTCATTACGCCACCCTCTCGGTTGCACAGACCCTCCGCTTCGCCCTTAAGACCCGCACTCCGTCCACAAGGGCCGAGGGTGAAACTCGTAGCCAATACATAGACAAGTTCCAGGACATGTTGCTCAAGATCTTTGGTTTGGAGCACGTGCAAAAGACAAAGGTCGGTAATGAGCTGATTCGTGGTGTCTCTGGTGGTGAGAAGAAACGTGTATCCATTGCTGAAGTCATGGTCAACCGTGCTGCTGTTGCTTGTTGGGATAACAGTACTCGTGGTCTCGATGCTTCGACTGCGGTTGAGTACGTCCGTTCTCTTCGCGTGTTGACAAACTTGGCCAAGGTCACTACGATCGTGACAATCTACCAGGCCAGTGAGTCGCTTTACGACATGTTCGACAAAGTCCTTCTCATCGACGAAGGTAAATGTGCGTACTTTGGTCCTACGGAGAATGCTCGCCAGTACTTCGAAGAGCTTGGATATGAACCACTTCCTCGACAGACTACCGCCGACTTTCTCACAGCTGTCACCGATCCGCGCTCACGCAAGATTAAGGACGATGCTGAGAACTGCCCCAAGGGTCCTGAAGCACTTGCCGAGGCTTATCGCAAGAGCAAATGGGCTCGTTTCGCGAAGGAGGACATTGAAGAATTTGAGAATGTCCTTCAGACGCATGAAAGCAGGCAGAATGGACAGGAGTTCCAGAAATCCGTACAGGCAGGAAAGGGTGAACACCTTACCGAGAAGAGTGCTAGGAAGAGCGTCTATACCGTCGGCTTTTGGGGTCAAGTTAAAGCCTGTACTGTCCGTCAGTACCAAGTTGCTTGGGGTGATAAACCATCTTTGATTGGCAAAAACTTCCTTGCCATCTTTCAGTCTATGATTATTGGATCCCTTTTCTACGACACGCCTCAGAACTCGACAGGTATCTTCCAACGTGGTGGTATCCTCTTCTTCGCCCTGCTCTTCAACGCGCTTCTCGCCTTGGCCGAATTGTCTAACGCTTTCTCGTCCAGACCTGTCCTGCTCAAGCACAAAAGTTTCACGTTTTACAGACCCGCCGCATATGCCTTGGCGCAAGTGTTGGCTGACCTTCCAGTCGTTTTCGTCCAGATCACTGTGTACGATATTACCCTGTACTTCTTGTCCGGATTACAGCGCAAGGCGGGTCAGTTCTTCTTCAACTTCATGGTTCTTTATTTCACTACTATGGCGATGTATTCACTCTTCCGTATGCTTGGAGCTATCACGCCAAGTTTGGATGTGGCGACCCGTATCAGTGGTGTCCTCATCCAAGCTCTCGTGGTGTACGCAGGTTATATCATCCCAAGACCTTCTATGAAAGGATGGTTCGTCTGGATCTTTTATCTGAACCCTGTGGGGTATGGCTTTGAGGCATTGATCACGAATGAGTTTCATAATCTTGAATTGCCTTGCATCACACCTCAGCTGGTACCGTACGGAGCAGGGTATGGAGGAGTTGCACTGGCAAACCAGGGATGTACGGTTGCTGGTTCGACTCCGGGAACGGGTGTGATCAACGGTGACGCATATCTTAGCCAGCAGTTCAGTTATACGTGGGGACATGCGTGGCGTAACTTGGGTTTCGTTATCATGTTTTGGATTGCGTTCGTTGTCATCACTATCATCGGATTGGAGTCTTCGTTGAAGCCTGGCAAGGCCGGACGTGGAGAAGTGACCGTGTACAAGAAGGGAGGAGCTCCGCAGGCCGTTGCAGCTGCCATGGAGAAAGGCGGTGATGCGCGTGATGAGGAAGAAGCCGGTGCGGGTCAAGAAGGAGCTCGTGCTCAGGGCCGCGATGAGAACTATTCCGAGAATCGTGATGAGGAGGATGAGAACATCCAGGCCATGGAGAGGAATGAAGCAATCTTCACCTGGCAACACCTCGATTACATCATCAAAGCGGATGGCAAGGACAGGAAGCTTCTTGATGATGTACAGGGCTGGGTTAAACCTGGACGCTTGACTGCCTTGATGGGCAGTTCCGGAGCTGGTAAGACGACTTTGCTCAATGCTCTCGCTCAAAGGCTTGGCGGTGGTCGGGTTACGGGGACAATGCTCGTTGACGGCCATCCTCTTCCAATCTCGTTCCAGCGATCGACTGGCTACGTTGAGCAGCAGGATGTGCATGAAAGTACGAGTACGGTCCGCGAGGCCATGAGGTTCAGTGCTCTTTTGCGTCAACCAAAAGATGTTCCGATTGAGGAGAAATACGACTACGTTGAGAAAATCATTAATCTTCTGGAACTTAACGATATCGCCGAAGCGGTTATTGGTACTATCGGTGCTGGTCTGTCTGTTGAACAGAGGAAGCGTGTGACCATTGGTGTCGAGCTTGCTGCAAAGCCCAAGTTGTTGCTTTTCTTGGATGAGCCGACCTCTGGACTCGACAGCCAGTCCTCCTTTGGAATCGTAAAGTTTCTCCAAAAGTTGGCTAGGGACGCTGGACAGGCCATTCTTTGTACGATTCACCAGCCGTCAGCCGTTCTTTTCGAGAATTTCGATGACCTGTTGCTTCTCGAAAAGGGCGGAAAGACGATTTACTTTGGAGAACTTGGCAAAGACTCGCAAACCCTATTGGGATACTTCGAAGAGAATGGCGCCAGAAAATGTCCGGACGACGCCAACCCAGCTGAATACATGCTCGACGTTATCGGTGCAGGTGCTACCGCGAAGGCTGACAAGGACTGGCATGAGGTTTGGGAACAATCGGAGAACAAGAAGCGCATCACCGAAGAAATTGAGAGTATCATCAGTAAGAGACGTGGCAACAAACTTGATGCAGCGGGCGATAGCGAATTTGCCATGCCTCTGTGGACGCAGATCAACGCGGTTACCAGACGCAGTTGGATCTCATACTGGCGCAGCCCAGAGTATCCAATCGGAAAGATCATGCTGCACGTTCTCACCGGTTTGTTCAATTGCTTCACTTTCTTCAAGTTGGGTCATTCCACTATCGACATGCAGAACCGTCTCTTCTCGATCTTCATTTTTCTCACAATTTCTCCGCCGCTCATCCAACAATTGCAGCCTCGGTTCTTGGGTTTCCGTGCCATTTACACGGCGCGAGAGCAGGGAAGCAAAATCTATTCGTGGACGGCATTTGTAACCGGTGCTTTCCTGGTGGAGTTGCCCTATTCGGTTGTTGCCGGAACCATATATTGGTGCTGCTGGTATTGGGGCGTGGGCTTCCCTCACGAAACGAGCCGTGCTGGTTTTGCATGGCTTTTGGTGTTCCTCTTTGAGATATACTATGTCTCCCTGGGACAGGCTATCGCAGCAATGGCGCCGAACGCCATGTTGGCTTCGCTTCTTGTGCCGCCGTTCTTCACATTCATCATCGCGTTCGCTGGTGTTGTCTCACCCCCAAGGGCGTTCCCCTATTTCTGGAGGAGCTGGATGTACTGGCTCACGCCATTCCATTATCTCTTGGAAGCCTTTTTGAGTACCGTTGTTCATGACGTGCCTGTGCGATGTTCGTCAGGTGAGTATGCTCAAATTACGCCGCCCACCGGACAATCCTGTCAGCAGTACCTGGGAACCTTCGTCACTCAAAACGGTGGTTATTTGAACAACCCTACCGCGATCGGAAGTACGTGTCAGTACTGTCAGTACGCGAATGGAGACGAGTACACAAACACTTTGAATGTGTATTACTACCACCGCGGCCGCAACGTCGGAATTTTCTGTGGTTATATCATCTTCAACATCGTCATGATCTACGTTATCACCTGGATTTACTTGGGAGGCATCACCCGCTTCATCAAAGGATTACGCCCCAAGGGCAAGACACAGGAGCAAGGAGGAGGCAAGATGGCGGAGACGAAGCCGCAAGCACAAGCGACAGCAGCTCGGGGCGAGGAGACGGAGCAGATGAATACGTAGTTTGTTTGTTTATTTTGGCAGGATTTAATATTTAACAGTCATCTTGTGTATGGTTAATTATGATGTAACGAACGAATGGCCGGCGGATGGGGCGCATCTGACGCAGGTGACCCTTCGTTGATCCGCGCCCCCGCTCGCCTGCTTGAGCTTCAACAGCATTTAACCACCAACAATCCAACAACGACCTGCCCGTAGCATTCAATCAGGCAGAATAACCATGGCTAAGAAGTTCAGTATCGAAGTGTCCCCGTCGGAGAAGCCCGGGCACGGTCCTATCCGTCGCTCTCCCCACTCTCCCAAGGAGCTTATCACCAGTCCGGACGATTCTATCAAGACCACCTACGACATCCTGCAATTTGCAGCAAGACATTACCCTAACAAGGATGCTGTTGGCTCGAGGAAGGTCTTGAGGGTGCATACAGAGGAGAAGAAGATCAAGAAGGTTGTCGATGGCAAGGAGACCGAAGTGCCCAAGAAGTGGAACTTCTTCGAACTGAGCCCTTTCAGTTTTATCACCTTCCAGGAATTGCGCGACAAAGCGGAAAGATTGGGTTGCGGTTTGAAGGCTTTGGGTATGGAGGAGGGTGACAAGGTGCAGATTTACGCGGCAACTTCTCAGATGTGGTTGACCATGTCGCAAGCTAGTTCTTCTCAGAGCTTTCCCATCGTCACTGCATACGACACTTTGGGTGAGGAGGGATTGACCCACTCTCTTGTGGAGACTAGCGCAAAGACCATTTTCTGTGACGGAAGCCTTCTTCCAACCTTGGTGAAACCTTTGGAGAAGGCCACTGAGGTCAGACATATCGTGTATCATGGCGACGTCAAGGAGAAGGACATTGAGGAATTGAAGCAGGCTTACGGTGACAGACTTACTATCCGTGACGACGAGGCTCTCGAGCAGCTCGGCAGGGAGAACCCAGTGGCACCCAACCCGCCTAAAGCCGAGGACTTGTGCTGTATCATGTACACCTCCGGTTCCACTGGCGCACCCAAGGGTGTTGTTCTTTCTCACGCCAACCTCGTTGCCGCGGTCGGTGGTATCACCCAAATTCTGTCCCACAACATCAACAAGGACGACAACTACATTGCTTTCCTCCCGTTGGCTCACGTTCTCGAGTTCATCGTGGAGCACTACATGCTCTTCTTGGGTGCTACCATGGGATACGGCAATGTCAAGACTTTGACCGATGCGAGCGTTCGTCACTGTGCTGGTGATATTAGAGAATTCCGTCCTACCGTTATGGTAGGTGTTCCTGCGGTCTTCGAAAGCGTTCGTAAGGGCATCTTGACTAAGGTTGCTGCCGGCGGCTTCGTCACTCAGAAGTTGTTCTCCGGTGCTCTGTCAGCCAAGTCGTTCCTGAACAGCTGGTCCCTTCCGGGATCGGGCGTCTTGGATGCCGCCGTATTCAAGAAGGTTCGTCAGGCTACTGGTGGCAGGCTCAGGTACACACTTTCCGGCGGTGCGCCCTTGTCGGCTGAGACGCAACGTTTCTTGAGTACCGCTTTGTGCCCGATGTTGATCGGTTACGGGTTGACCGAAACTTGTGCTATGTGCACAATCATGCCTCCTGAGGCGTTCTCCATCGGACCTGTCGGATGCCCCGTGCCTTGCTCTGAGATCAAGCTCGTCAGTGTCGAGGATGCCGGTTACAAGGCGGAAGAAAACAAGGGAGAAGTCTGGATTCGCGGTCCCTCCATTACCAAGGGCTACTTCAACCGCGATAAGGAGACTGCCGAGGCATTCACTGAGGATGGTTGGTTCATGACTGGTGACATCGGAACATGGCTTCCCAACGGTCAGCTTCAGATCATTGACCGTAAGAAGAACCTTGTCAAGACGGCACACGGCGAGTACATTGCCCTTGAGAAGTTGGAGTCCATCTACCGTACTACGCAGGTCGTTCAGAACATCTGTGTATACGCTGATCAGAGCAAGGTCAAGCCCATTGCAATCATAGTCCCAGTCGAGGCTGCGCTCAAGAAGATTGCTGAGGAGAAGGGTATCAAGGGTGAGGACCTGGAGGACCTTTGCAAGGATGACTACCTGAAGAAGGCCGTTCTTGACCACCTCTTGGACACTGGAAAGAAGGCTGGATTGAAGGGCATCGAGTTGTTGCAAGCTGCGGTTTTGGCACCGGAGGAGTGGACCCCTCAAAATGGCTTGGTTACTTCTGCTCAGAAGCTGCAGCGCAAGAAGATCTTGGAGCAGTACAAGGATGAAGTTGAGCACGCCTACAAGCACACTTCTCCATAGATGCGCCGATTGTGAAGACGAGTGTATGATGATTGACTGTGTACGATTCTGTCAGTGCGAGTGTTTTAAATCTGGTTGAGCAGCGTGTTGTAGTTCTCTCTTTTTGCTTAATGTGTAACTTGATTCCCTTATCAAACTCCTGTTATTCATTTAGTGCAAGAGCACTGGGTATCTTTGTGTATGTAAAACAACCCCTTCTCCTCGTGAGGGTCCTCCTCTATCATCTCATGAGTCACCAAACAGACGTTGCACGCGTTTCAACACCGAATCCTTCTCCGGATCGTATGGGTGGTCTTTACTGGGAATTTCGAGTAATGCCGGGAAAGCAGCTGTGTAGTTGTCCACCCGATAGCGGATCTTGTCGGCAACCTGACAAGAGATCGTTAGCTGTAGTATAGTAAATTCAATAGGAAAGTCAAACATGTTGGTTGATCAGGACAATGGCGATGTCCTTTCGTGAGGTGTATTCGTCAAAGGTCTTCTCGATTGCTGAAGTTTCGGTCCCTAACGTACGTCAACCGAACGTTCGCAAAAGCGCTTCCTCATGCACAAAACATACTGGCATCGACAACAAAGTAGTTTTTTTGTTGGTCCTCGTTTATGTGGCCGGTTCCCGCAAGAAGGAGGCCAGTGACGGAGTCCTACAGCCAAGGGTCAGTGGGATAGACGCAGAGCAGAATGCATTCAAAGCCTACTTCGTCTCCAATGACAGCTATAAAGTTTCTTCCCTTCTGAAGCTGAGCCATGGCCTGAACTGTTGGTGTTGTGTTTGTGTGCGGTTCCGCTGTCGTATCGACGACTGTCGCTGTGACGTCGGCCAGCGTACGGACAGACAGCAAGTTCACCACCAGCTCAGAAATGCACAGATGGAGTAAAATCAACTTGACCAGTGCGAGGAGACCAGAGCTGTCAGAGGACGAGACGACTCTTTTCGTCCAAATCCATGTCGGTCTCTACGATGGGTAGGTTGTCCTACTCCCGCTTCTGCCGAGGACTACGGCTGACCACTTCAGAAAGTACAAATCGGCTGATCATCAGAATGGTGCAATATACCTGACCTCAAAAAGAGTATGCTACGTTGACAGTGCCCAATCTGGGCAAAATTCGGTAGGATTAGAGCTGGCACTGATTGACAGTTACGACACCTATGTAAGTCTCGATGGGTTAGTATCATGGTGCCCGCTGACCTGATGCCAGGCTGGTTTTATGAGGTCTTCTCCGAAGATCACTCTTCATCTTCACGACAAGGCATCCGCGACAGCTTCGAACGTCAATTCTGGGATAGTGACGCCGGATTCATCAAACGTCACGGCGCAACCAACTACATTGCCACTCACACAATGGATATGTCCAATATGCTCCTTTTCTAACCCTTTACCTTCGCAGTACACGTCGAGCGCTTCTGCTCCTCCATGTTTAACGTGCGGGATCAAGCCTGCACCAGAGGTCTTGGCTAAAGCAGCAGCCCAGAGACCTGCGCCTGTGTCTTTGCCGAATCCTGCTGAGGTTTTCAGTTCTTCCGATGACGATCACACATTTGCATGCCCTGTATGCACCTTCCACAATCACCCGTCGTTAACCAGCTGCGAGATGTGCGGAAGTCCGTTGATGTCGTCAAACTTGCCTCCAGCTCTTCGAAATACAGCAGGCGCAGAATCGCCTGGACCAATGTCTTCGGGCATCGTGAGGGCACGGTATGTCAAGATAAGTTTCAGGCAAGGTGGGGAACGCCAATTTTTGGAACGACTGCGAGGTGCGCTACGGGAGCGGCGGTGGGAAGCTGCTCCGCCTATTGGAGATTTACAGATTACGCCCATACCGGAGCAACGAGGCTTTGGAATTGGCGGGCTGCAGAGGGCTGATGAAAGTGTGAGAAAAACTAATGAGGTTGCAATGGGTAACGCACTGGAGGACCTGGATGCTTTGATGAAGAGGGCGAAAGAGATGGTTGCGTTGGCGGAAGCCTTTGCTCACCGACTTGCTTCGGCCCCGTCTACAACCGGTAATACAGAGGCCAGAGCTGCATTGCTTGAAAGTACGCAGGCGCTGGGACTTTCGTCTCCGGTGGTGACGAGGGAGATTACTGGAGGGAACGATGTGTACCACGCTGAATTGGCGAAGCAAGTGGCCGAGTTTCTTGAGAGCGGTATCTTACAGAAGGAAGGTGGTACTGTCACCTTGATTGATCTCTTTGCACTCTACAATCGTGCAAGGGGTGTTGCGCTTGTGTCGCCCGCTGATCTTGCCAAAGCGTGCACGTTATTTGCTCAGTTGAAATTGCCGGTACGATTGCGTACATTCAAATCAGGCTTGGTGGTAGTACACGATGCGAGCAGAAAGGACGAGACTGTCATCCGACGACTGAAGGAATGGATTTCATCTTACGAGACGGGTGCAACTTGTCAAGAAACCGCGGAGCAGTTCAAGTGGAGTGTTGGCGTAGCCTTGGAGGAGCTGGAGCTTGCTGAGGCCAGTGGCACTCTTTGTCGAGATGAGAGCATCGAGGGGGTCAAGTTCTGGATCAATGAGTTTATCACCTTCACCTGGGACGTAGACAGCGTGAGAGGCGCTTGGGAAGCAGTAAACTCGTGAATATCCTTATTTGAGATATTATCTTATCTAATTTCTGCTGCCATTCAGTGTTCTCCACATAGGGTGTACTTACAGGCATCACCTGCTTTTCGTGCCAGGCGTACCTCAGTGCACCCTCGAATCCGGAATTTCATTGTTTCGTGCGAAGGCGACTGGACAAACGAATTACCACCGCATTTTACCCATCAGGAAGGAAGACTCGTTTCGATAAAGGAGTTGCTGGATGCTGAAGTGGACCAGATCTGAGTTGCATGCGAGCACTTCTTCTTACCCGCAGCGTCTGTAGGCTTTTACGACGAAGTGCGCCATCGCCACGGACATCATGTCACTTCATATCATATACCTCCTTGACGAGCTCCTCGATATCACGAAACCTCTCGTCTCAAGCACTTCTTGTCAGCGACTCTGCTCTTTCTACTGTCGTGGAGAACCATGAGCCACGCCCGGAGGAAGTTGCGCAGCCATCAGCAAGGTCTGAACCTCCTAGAAGAGAAAGCGGACCGAGCGGACCTGACGAGTTGCGTGCTGCTGTTGATAAATTGCGGCGCCTGTATTCGACTCAACACTCATCTCGGCAAGAATGTACCTTGAATCAATTTGTGACCACGGCTGACCGATTTCTTCACTTTGCCAAGGATGATACGTTGGATGGAGTTCTCCCCAAGGACCTTCGAGGGCTGGTCTTCGAGGTCGTTTGTCTGGGTTATCGCATTGTGGAGGAGAAAAACGGTCGACGATTCAACATCTTGGTCGAATACAGCAAAGCAGGTCGCAAGGACGAGGCGCTGCGTCTGGTCGGTTGGATGTTATCTGCATCCGTAGAGAACCCTTTTTCACAGAAAGAGAAAACCCTTTCGTTGGAGCTTGTTGCACCACTTGTCAAGAAATGGGTGTCATCTGGGTTACCTGATGATATCGCACGTCTCAAAAGTATTACGACTATGCTGATCAAGGGAGAGTTCATCGATGCCGATGTGTTTTACCAAGACGACGTTCGGCGAGAATTGGAGTTCCTTCGGCGGGTAGATCCTGAAAGCACTTCAGGCGTTGTCCGGATGCTTCTGCTCGTTCATTTGTACAGTTATTTTTCAAGCGGCTTGCACGGTCGGACCATCAGATTGATGCAGACCATGAGTGCTCTGAGGTTGGATCCACCTTCAGAGCTTCTCCAACGTACAATGCAACACTTTGCCGATCGGGCGGAAAACTCCCAGGATGACGATGCTTCCGGGCCTTTGCGGAGTGCGATACGGTTGCTGCAGCGTTACCAGCACATTCCAGTCAAGGACGAAGTCGTTTTGTCGGACCTGTTTTCTCGTTGCCTGCGTGTGTCAAAAAACCCTGCTTTGACTCATGACCTTTACAATATTATTTGCTCAAGAGGAGAGCATCTCCTTCCCGCACTTGTGTACAGCTACATATTGCTGAATGTGCGGACAATGAATGTTGCGCGGGCTGTTAGGGCATACCATCGCGTCAATGAAACCAAGGCAATACATCCTTCATGGCTTATCGCAACAATCTTGAGAGGCCTTCTTCTCAGCCGTGATACGTCGAAAGCAACGAGTTTTGTCGACTCGCTTCCAACAATCTACCTGAATGAACAAAGACAAGGACGAGGCCTCCAATGTGCGCTGATAGCATATGCTACGGCAACCAAGAACCGTGGGCTTTTTGAACGAATCCGGTCGGTCAATCGTGATTGCTCGCTCCCTGTACTGAGAAGCGTGTTGAGGTATCACACAGTGCTCGGCTCTCAAACAGCCGTCCGCGAGACTATTGAGGAGATGCTCAGATTGGGATATGTGGTTGACGATTCAAGCATATCGATCTTATTGCGAGCAAATCTTCAAGTGGATTTTGCAAATGTGCGTCGCTCTGTGCGGAGATATGAGACCCAGATGGGCCCGCGATCATGGTTCGAGGTGCTGAGAGCGGCGTACGGTAATGAGGATGAGAAGGTTATCCAATGGGCCAAGGGCAACCTTGATTTAGTGTTCAGGTCTCAGCGCTTACATCTGGAGAAAGAGCGTTTACAAGCAGAGAGGGATGAGATGTGTGCTGGGATCAAACTCCCACGTATCCAGAAACGTATTGAACGGCTTGAGGCATCCCGAACCACTGTCTTCAATCTGGATTTGAAGGATTACGTTCGACGGCAGGGAGTTGAAGCGGCTCTCAGCTTCTTCGAGCGCCATTGTTACTCGCCGGACACTCGGGAGGGCCGTGTGTCAATTATACCCAATCAGGTTTCGTTTCGTACCCTTTTGCACGCTGCTCGGCGCGTAAGAAATCAAGATGTTGAAGAGTGGGCGATGACTGAAATGAGAAAGAGAGGTTTTTGGACGGCTGGTAGGCCTGGATCGGTGCCGCAATATGATCCGGCACAAGCTGCAGAGGAGCAATGGCGTAGTAACCTGGATTTGGAAAATTGCGATGCAATCGCCGACATGGTCGACGCTCAGGCATCACCAAAACCGAAACCACAACGCACTGAATCGTCAAAGCGATCGGAAAACAAGATAAGAGAAATGCATGTTCATCGCTTACTGTCAAGATTGGAGGAGGACAAGATCCAGAGGCGGCAGTAGAGGAAGGTACACAATGGACAGACCACGGCAATCACATTGAATTTTATGGGTTTACGGCGTTTTGGGGTAGGCGTTCCACTTAGCATGTAGTCAGCACAATTATTTGGAATGGTACAATTCCTTCTCTCACTTATCTAGACATCCCTTGCTAGCTGCGCTATCGTAGGGCTATCATAAATGGCACTCTGATTTGCTCCGCTGATGCCTACTTTGACCATTGCCTTTGCTACATCGGTGACCGGATTACTCCATTTGAAGCCGACAGACTCGATTGTTGGGATGATAAACTTTCCAAAGAAGGCTTCCATAGTTCGCTGTTCCGGGCGAGGCTTGACAGTGCGCAAGTATGCTGGTCTGAAAATACTGGTTCTTCCGCCGGCCGCCTCAGCTAACTTTGTTAATTCTTCCTCCGTCTCCCCCTTCGAGCGTGGGTACAAGAACATGCTCGACTTGTTCGCTCCAGCTGACGAACAGTACAGCACATGTTGATTTTTGGAGGGCTCGAGGGCCAGTCTCACGCACTGCAAGGGAATTTCCTGGTCGACCTTCGTAAAGGCGGCTGCTGAACCTGCTTGCGCACGAGTTGTGCCAAGGGTAATGTATATCGAGCTATCTCCGGAATGAGTTACGGTGCCATATGACAGTGAGAACACTCACTCGTGTCCTTTTAAGACGTCTCGGTGCGGCTCCAGATTATCAAAATCAACGACCTGCTGGACCAACTTGTTCTTGCCCGGGCCATCGTAAACAGCTTCTCTGCGGCCGATAGATGTGACTCTTGACACGGCAGGACAAGCCAAAAGCTCCTTAAGTATTTGCTCGCCGACAGCTCCAGTCGCACCCAAGATCAAAGCCGATGACATTGTACGTGGGTGCAATTGCGAATGTAACGTAGACAAGGTTGCCGATATGTATGATGAAATGCACGTCTCGAATGACGCGTCCTTTGTACATAGCCCATATTCTCGAAGAAGTTCTTTATATAGGGCGATAATTCCGGTCTTCGCTGCGTATACCCTCCCTATTTGCCGAGTACGGTACGTCAGAGCTGCTCTCCACACTGCAAGTCCAGACGTACCCAGTTCACGGGCATACGCTTTGCAGTAGCAATTGAGCATCATGACGACCCTAAGAAGAATCCAGAAGGTATTCTTTACTGCCGGTTTCCTTCCTGACCATAGCTGATGTTGTTGGCTTCCAGGAACTTGCTGAAATTCATAGCAATCCCATCCCGAACATCACTGCTTCTCCGAAGAGCGACGACGACCTGTTGCACTGGCAAGCCAGGATTACCGGGCCCACTGGGACTCCTTATAAGGTCCGATATGCTCTGCTTTCATCTTCGGTCATACTAATCAGCGTACAGAACGGCAAATTCGAACTATCAATTGATTTCCCGTCCAATTATCCCTTCTCACCTCCCATCATCACATTCGTTACGCGTATATACCACCCTAATGTTTCCTCTGCGCCTGCACCGTCTTCTGGAAACACTGCCGGTGATTCCAATGTCTGCCACGCTTTGCTGAAGCCGTCCGAGTGGAAACCATCTACAAAGCTTACCACGGTATTGGAGGCTATGGTGGATCTCCTCATAAACCCTAGGGCGGATGATCCCCTTGAGCCTAATGTGGCCCAGGAGTATTTGACGGACCAGATTAAATTTGAGAAGACGGCAAAGGAATGGGTAAAGCGGTATGCTTTGGCATGATTGGCGTAATTGCGGCAAACCGGGGGTTCAAGGAGGACTGCAACACGAGCATCTGCATTTCGTCTTGATCAAGCAGCGTACGGAGTTTATTATGGTTTTCAAGTTGATTATATACCCTTTTTCTCTTCTTATCCCCCATCCCCCATACTACTGCACGGTTAGATACGTGCAAACGCGAGTCGTCATTGGGCGGCAACTGCTGGGCTGAGAGAGGCGCATTCATTCGAGTCACCGACAACAACAGTCGAATCGAACGACCAGCAATATCGCCTTTGCTAACTATGAAGCTCGCCGGTATTCTTTCTCTTGCATTCGCCTCTACTGCATTTGCGACGTCTCTCTTTCGAGTGAACGATGCCGATCGCGAGGTTCAGGATCTCTTCACTCTCGACGACAAGATTCCTGGCGACTCACCCATGTCTCTCTGCCCAAATCAAGACCATTCTCTTGATATTCTCAACGTCACCTTCATCAACACTTCGCCGAATCCTCCTGTTGCTGGTGAGGTAATGACCGTCGATGCTGCGGGCCTGGTCAAGCAGGAGATTCGCAACGGGAGTTATATCGACCTAGAAGTCAAGTACGGCTTGATAAGATTGATCAAACAGCAGTTCGATCTCTGCGAACAGTTGAGCGAGCACGTCGGCATACAGTGCCCGGTTGCTCCAGGTGAACTGCAAGCCACCAAGGAGGTTGAGTTGCCAAAGCAAATTCCCCCCGTGAGTCTATGCCCGTTTACCTGCTTCTAAGATCTTTGCAACTTACATGAGTATCCAGGGTCGTTACGCGGTCACCGCTCGTGTCCTTACTCCGGATGACATTCAGATTACTTGCATGACTGCCACTGTCGTGTTCAGACCCGGAAGACGTGCTGTACTTGAGTGGAATTAAGGCTAGCAGTAGCTGCTCATATCATTCAGGGTATCAAGTATAGTAGTGTTAATTGGACTTGTCCAAGGAACGTATCGCATTCTTCCTTCCCTCACACATACTTCTGCGTAACCACGGCTCCAACCAAGCCAGCTTCCTTCACAGTCTGACTCTTGTCCGTCAACTCCCTGTTGGGGAATGTAGTCTGCAACACAAAACTCCTTCCAGTCTCACCAGGCCTGCTGGCGTCGATAAACGAGTAAATATCACCGACAGTGTGTGTGTGATTGAACTTGGTCACAAGACGTGTACCATCCGCCAATCTGATCTGAACAGTGCCGTGCGGGGCGGAGGTATCAATCTGGAAGTTGGAAGCAGGAGTGGATCCTCGACTAGGTGCCTGGGTGGAACGAGCAGGCGTAGGAGCTACCACAGGAGCAGGGCTGCCGAGGCGATTGCCTGATCCCTCAAAGGGTTTGAACTTCTTCTTTGGCGGCTGATAGGATTCATCCATCTTCCTCTGAACGGTGACTTCGACAGGCTGGTCAAACTCGACATTAAGTACGGAAAGCGGCGCCCGCCCTGAGTTAATAGCACTGAGAATGCCTTGGTTCGCAGGGTCATCATATCTGTAGAGGGGCCCGTCATCGACGGAAAACCCTTCCTTCCAAAAGGTAAGAGTACGTGTCACCTTCTCACGACGAGCAGGTTGAGCCGGCGCCGCATGAGGATCAGGAATGACTTCCGATTCAACGTCATCTCCTCCGAGCTTGTACCCAGTCCCAGTGAAGAAGGACCTCTGAGCGGGAGCTTCCTCATCGCTGAGATCGTCGTCATCGAAGTTTCCTTGTCCACCTTTCTCGGCCTTCTTCAAGATATCATCGACAAGCTTGTTCCTGTCGCGGTTGGTAGGGTCCTGTACGGCCATGCCAGACTTCTCGCCACCGGTGTAAAAGTTTTGACGATCATCGTCGTCATCGTCATCTTGACGAGACATCAAGTCACGGAAGCTGGTCACACGGGGCCCGGATGCACTCTGACCAGTAGGCCTGCCGGATCCCGAGGCAGGCGTCGAAGACCTAGATACTGGGTTGCTGTTGCGGACGGGCTGCTGTTCTTCGGGGTCTGTCATTGGAGAATCGGTTTGGGTTTCTTCTTGCTCTTCAGCTGTCTCTGCAGCGTAATGATCGGGATTCTCGTAGAAAGAGCTTACTGCAACTTCAACGTCGTGGTTGGATGCGTCAAGGAAGAATTGAGCTTGTTCGAGGGATGCACCGGTGATTCCTACAAATCTGCTGGACTATCAGTACTGCTAAACTCGTAGCGGGCAGCAAGGTCACCGACTCGTTCAGTTTCTCCTCCTCCTTTGACATGGAATGAATGCTTGCTTCGCTGCAATTGCAAGGGATGTCCTCTCGTACTGGACGTAGTAGGCCAGACCTCAACGTGTACGCGTACGGCCAGTGACGTTGACGTGCTCGACAGCCGATTACCAAGGAGTAGAGCAAAGCAGCTTTCAAATTGATAAATAAATATAATTCATGTACTGCTTCACGAGTCGGAGTAGTTGATGTCTACGTTACCCTCTTGGATTGCCCCTTTCGGTGACGACGTGAAGCGACGCTCCCCGTAGCTTTACGCATCATGTCTCTCGCAACCCGCTTCGGCCCTCACTTGGTGACTTCTCAAGTGTTCTATCGGTTAGTCATTGCCTCATTACCTGGCAGTTTGACGGGGATCATTCGCGTTCTAACTCGCTCGAGAGATCCCCTTCCTCCCTTTCCTGTGCTCTCGTCAACCTGAAGCCTCTGAAACTATTACATGTTCTCATCATCCCACAGCGTGTCGTTCCACGCCTGAAAGACCTGACGAAAGAAGAGGTACCGTGTGAACGAAGCTGTGAATGTCGAGTGCTTTGGTTGACGTTGTGTCAAGGTTGCCGACTTGTTTCAAACAGCGCAGCTCATCGGATCAGTCGTTGAACAGGAAGCGAATGCAGATTCTCTCACGATTGCTTTACAGGTTGCGTGACAACGACCACGGGCAACTGTAATCCGAAGATTGCTGAACATGTATGCAGGATGGGGTGAATGCTGGTCAAACGGTACCGCATGTGCATATCCACGTTATCCCACGGAAGGCCCAGGACTACCCTGACAACGACATGATCTACGAGGCATTGGACTCGGACGAAGCGGACCTCGGGAAAGCACACGCTGCGCAAGGATCAGGCCGGCGAACGCAGTGGGAGAAGGTTGACGATGCGGACCGAGTTGCGCGGACAATCGAAGACATGGAAAGGGAAGCGAAATGGTTGAGTACACTTTTCTAGAATTTCCAGTGTAAAAGTAGAGCTGTCGTACAATTACAGCACACCTCATGTACGTGCAGCTTGCCGCGCCGAGATCGACGGAGTGCTCAGATCAGGCCTGTAACGAAGATACGAAAAAGAACCCGAGCAATTATAATAATGGGCAAACGGGATCCTAGACTCTACGTCCTCAGACACGGACAGACCGCATGGAGTGAAATTGGAAAGCATACTTCCTTTACCGACTTGTCCTTGACGGAGAAGGGTGCGGAACTCGTCAAGAAGTCGGCTGCGGCTATGGTTGGCGAGAACAGTACGTTTTCTGTTTGGATCTTGAACGAACTGATCTGACAGCTTGTATCAGAGCTCATCGACCCCTCGCGGATTGGCAAGGTCTTTGTGTCTCCTCGCGCTCGCGCACAAGAGACTCTTGCCTTGCTCGGCCTCCCCGAGTCCGTCCCCGTCGAGACCACGGAACTTCTCAAGGAATACGACTACGGAGAGTACGAGGGTCTTTTGACCAAGGAGATTCAGGAAAAGTCTGGCAAAGCCGATTGGGAAATTTGGCTCGATGGATGCCCCGGTGGAGAGATGCCCGAGCAGGTTGAGGCCCGTATCGACGTCTTGATTCAGAAGGCGAGGAAGGAGCTTCATGAGAAGGTTTACGATGGCACTGCGACCGAGGAGGAGCAGCAGAGGTGTGATGTGCTGTTTGTTGCGGTGGGTGCTCTGAGCTATTTCTATGAGAGATGTCACTAACAGGAATGTATACAGCATGGACACATTTTGAGAGGTACAGCGGCGAGATGGCTTAACTTGCCGTTGAACCGTGGACGTGATTTTCAGTTGGATGCTGGAGGTGTCGGTGTGTTGAGCTACGAGCACCATACGATCAATGAGGTGAGATCTGCTGCCCTTTGCTGACAATGTCACCGAGGCTAACCCTGTGAGCAGCCTGCCGTGAACAGGTGGAACTTGATCGCTTTTTGAATTAGCCAATGAGGAAGCAAGGAGCATTGCTGATCTTCCGGGCCGCATCGATGTTTGAGGCCGCGGAGTGCGGAGGAGAGATAGATCGACGAGTCGCTCTTGCTATGGGCAGGTCTACGAAGCAGCTAGGAAAAACGAAGCAAGATAGCCGACTTGCTCCTAGATAGAAGTTGAAATTGAACGGCTTTGTCTTATCTGTCGGCCGGGTAGCGCCTATCATCCATCACGGCACGCCCTTTCCGTTCATGTTTGCAGCAGCTGAGATTGCGCGCGGTGAATTCAACCACCTTCAATTTCACAGCACTGCAGTCAGTACACGTATGGCAAATGGAGATAGCATACACTCCCTATCTCCCTATCAAATGCGTTACATCCCCCGTCCGGGGTACTGTCCACTGAGATGCCTGGGAAATAAAATCTTCTTTTCTTCCTCTCACATCCTGCCAATTGCCCATCCACCCGTTTGCAAGTCGTAGACATCCTCGACTATGGGTTTCATCTCCAACCTCTACAAAGCGCCGGAAGTAAACCCACTCAACAACAAGGCCTTGTCTATTCCTATCCTCAATCCCGTCAACAAGTATGGACGTACATTTCACCTCGCCTGGTTCGGATTCTTCGTCGCTTTCCTCAGTTGGTTCGCCTTTGCTCCGTTGCTCACCGTCACCTTGAAAACCGACCTCCATCTTACTCAGGTGCGTTCTTGAAAGTCGTTGCCTGGTGTACTCCTCAACTGACCTCGTCCGACCCAGGCTGAAATCCAAAACTCCAACATTCTCGGGCTTACGTCGACGTTAGTGGTACGTGTGTTCATTGGACCTATCTGCGACCGTTTTGGGCCGCGAAAGGCAATGGCAGGGTGTCTTTTGGCCGGTGCCATTCCCACAGCCATGGCAGGTCTCGTGACAAACGCAAAGGGATTGATCGCCATCCGCTTCTTCATCGGTATCCTTGGAGGATCCTTCGTACCATGTCAGGTCTGGGTTACCGGTTGGTACGACAAGTCTGTGGTGGGTCGTGCAAATGCCTTGGCTGGTGGTTGGGGTAACTCGGGGGGTGGAGTAACATACTTCGTGATGCCGGCAGTCTTTGAGGCCCTTGTACGCGATGGGTACACTGCTCACAAGGCGTGGCGTATTTCATTTGCTGTTTGTCCTTTCGTCATCATCGTGGCCACTGCTATCATGATTATCACTCTCGGCCAAGACACGCCAACTGGAAATTGGAGTGAACGCTTCAACACTGTTGCGCCCGTTGATGGTCACAAGCCCAACGTGGGAACGGTCGTCGACGTCCCATCCGATGCATCATACGACATGACTCACTTTGCTGCTTCCTCGTCGACTGGAGCCAACTCTGGCACTGCCACCCCTACCAAGGAAGGCAAGCACGCCGGTATCGTGACTCCGCCAAAAGCCGAGCTGGCCCCGGTTGAAGAGCTTGCTCGGGAAGAAGTCATTGTGAAGCCAACCCTGTCGTCCACGCTTCGCACAATCGCATCGATGCAGACCATGTTGACCGCACTCTGCTACTTCACGACGTTTGGTGCAGAAACCACCATCGAAGGAAACCTCGGCTCCTTCTACAAGGCGGCAGCACCCAGCTGGTCCCAATCCATGGCGGGTAACTGGGCTGCAATGTTCATGCTTCTGAACATCGTCACTCGTCCTGTAAGTTTCCATTGTTCTTCCGGTTCTTCTGTTCGTGACTAACCCGTGGGATAGTGTGGTGGATACATCGCGGATGTCCTTTACCGTGTCAGTCGACATGACCCTGCCGTCAAGAAATATTTCATGGCAACGCTCGGACTTCTCGAAGGCGCTTTCCTCCTTTGGATCGGCCTGCAGCGCTCCATGTCTATTTCCACGCTGATTGGCGCCCATGCTGCCGCTGCCGTCTTCCTCGAAGCCGCGAACGGTGCCAACTATGCCCTTGTTCCCCACATTCACCCGTCGCATAATGGTGTCGTGTCGGGAATCACCGGTGCCATGGGTAACTTCGGAGGCGTCATGTTTTCGTTGATCCTGAGGTACCGCACGCACGTAGTTAACGGGGCCGTTGCGACGGATTATCACACCGGCTACTGGATCATTGCCATCATTGTCTTGATCATCAATGCCTGTGCTTTCTTTGTGCCCCTCAATAGCGGCGAGAGGAGATTGGAGGAGGAGGCGTTCAAGGAGAACGGATACCATGACCAGATTTCGAAAGTGTAAGCTATGATTGCGTGAGAAAAAGTGCGGTGTACGGTCTTCCTGTATCTGCGAAGTTTCGTTAGTCGTCGTTTTCTTCTTAATATACCCGGCATATCTATCCGACTTACATCCGTCGGGGTTCGTTAAATATTTGGCAACTCAATGTTGATCTTGAGCAGGGACTCACCCGCGGCGGGGTCGGCCGCGGGGCATCATCATCAGCGCGCAATCCATGGCCAGCGTCAGCTCAGTTGTCGATGAGCAACGTCCATTACAATGCTGTTCGTAATCCTTTTTCCGGCTCTGCTTCTCGCCATCTCCATGATCATGGCTGTCGGCGCAAGCGGATCTCAGTTGAAGCCGCCATCATTGCCCTTGTTCGTCAGAACTCCGTACTTCTCCGCTTGGCTACCGGATGCCCGTAACGAGCCATGGAAAAACTGGCCCCAATTCTATACAGGAGATGAAGTGAGTGGACAGCCTCAACCCTCGTTCAGGGCAGCTGATCCATTTTTAGCTTGGCCTCACCGTAATGGTTCGTCATGATGCAAGCGATACGGTCTACCCTCTTGTTGGCCGCGGTCATGAAGATCTGTTTAAAGAAGCTTCCGATAGCCTTCTGCGCCATCCTCATTACCGGGGTGCTTCGTACGATGCGTCCACCACAAACCTATCGTATACTCTCTCAATGGATAATGCAGCTGATCAGTGGTCGTCGGATACTCGTGTCACGTTAAGCTTTATTTCTCCAGTCACCCCTGATGATACATTTCGTCAGGCCGTTCCCGCTTGCTACCTTGCGGTGCATGTAGAGGGAACGGCTGAACTCTCCATCTACATTGAATTCAATGGCATGTGGGCCACTGGAGACCCTGGCGGTGTCCTGACATGGCAGGTTTCCAAACACGACAATACTCGCATAATCGATATTGGACGACAAGAAGAAAGGCTCTTCACAGAAACAAGAGATCGTGCCGAATGGGGAAGGTTTTACCTGATCGGCAACAAAACCGACAGTTATGAAATTGGTGACGCCAGGCTTCTCCGGCAACGGTTTGCTCAGAGAGGCACTCTGATTCAACGCACCACCACTAACTCGGGCACCATGGATGTACTTGGTACTGTTATGGCTGTTACGCATCACTTTGAACCGACCAGTGACGGGGTACCATTGCAGCGTACTGCACACTTCAGCGTGGCCCATGTGCAAATCCCCACAGTCCAGTTTGCCCGCGCGCGAGGTGTGCAAGCAATGAAGCCGTTATGGCAAAGCAACTTTACAGCTGGTGTCTTCCAAATGTTACACTTCCACTACAATGATTTCGCTTCCTCCGTGGGGCTGGCGAAGTCCTTTTCGAATACTATCAAAGAGCGTGCCGTTGAACTGGCATCGGACACATATGCAGACATACTTGCCTTATCTGCGCGACAAGTATTAGGTGCGACATCATTCGCTGGAACCCCGGTAAGTCTACCCAATATTTCCTTTTTCTGTCTCATATGATGTCCAGGAGGAACCGCTCTTATTTCTGAAAGAGATCTCGTCAAACGGCAATCATCAGACCGTCGACGTAATATATCCTGCCATGCCTTTCTTCCTGTATGCCAACCCTGCATGGCTCAGATACGCTCTGGTGCCATTGTTGGAGCATCAAGCTGCTGGTCTCTATCCGCGTGATGCCGCTATGCATGATCTCGGTTGGTTCCTCAGTTCTCATGGAAAATTAACGCATCATACTCACGAGTACCAGGGACCCATTTTCCTAATGCAACGGGCCATCCGGACGGGAATGACGAACAAATGCCTTTGGAGGTTTCCAGCACTGCAGTTGCCCACAAGGCTGATCTAACAAGAACAATAGGAATGCGGCAACATGTTGATCATGACACTGGCGATGCTTCAGTCCTTCCGACAACATCAAGGCGTCGAGGAGCTGCGATCATGGCTGGAGGGGAGCGAGGAGCAGTTCGGTGAACTAGGTGCGCCCATTGGCACGTCGGCTCAGCACAGAATGACCAGGTACGCTCTTCTTAACAGGTGGGCGGAGTATCTCGTGGACAATACTTTGTTTCCATCTCATCAGTGTACGTTACTGCTACTTAAGTGGTACCCTCAGTGCTCATAAAATCGTAGTGAGCACGGATGATTTTGCTGGGCCGCTTGAAAACCAGACAAATCTTGCCCTCAAGGTATTGCTTGCTCTGTATTTTCACCTTCATCTGAAAGAATGACTAATCATCTACAAGGGGATTATCGGTATTAACGCTATGTCCGAATTAGCTGCCATACTCGGACGCTCGGTTGATAGTCGCTACTATGCTATGATAGCAGAGCTCTATATCCATCGGTGGGAGAAATTAGCCATGACCGACCAGTGTGCCCATGCAAAGCTCGCCTACCACTGGCAGGGAAGTTGGTGCACGTTGTATAACCTCTTCGCTGATAGCTTGTTGTTTCCATCGGAACCGCTAGTTCCCGAACGAGTGTACCATGCGCAAAGCGATTGGTATGAACATGTACTGCAGACTTACGGGCTTCCTCTAGACAACAGACACCTGTATGCAAAGTCGGACTGGGAGTTCGTCGCACTTTCGACTGCAGGCAGGACTTTAAAACTAGATATTATCAACCGGATCGGACATTGGATAAATGAAACGTCTACAGATCGCCCTTTGACCGATCTATACGACACGGAACCACCTGGAGGATTTAGCGGCGCTATATTCTACGCAAGGCCCGTTGTCGGGGCTCACTTTGCCTTGCTGGCACTCGAGAAGGCTAAGTGCACTAGCCTAGCAAGCAGAATTCCCGCAGAAACCCGAGGTCATGCTCAGCTACCTTTTTTTGTCTCGCGTGGTAGATAGGCTTGTCATTAACACTGGTTTCATAGGAAGTATCTGGAGGCTGCACGTATGAAACACGCTTTGCTATTATACCATAAAAGATGAACGTACATACAGCGCATGGGAAAACCCTTGTAAGCTGGAGCCAGCGATCTGCTGCCAGATTGCTTATTGAGAGCACAACTGAGCCATTTGCGTTGCTAACTTAGCGACCGGTATGCGGCAGCTTCCACGGCAACACCAACGGTGTTGGCAAGGCCCAAGCTCAGAGAATACGTATTAATGTGTGTACAGCTGTTTGGCATTTTATCCATTCACTAAAACTTATAATGGGCCGACAAGAAAATACCTAAGCGTTGCTCTACAAATAGACTACTGATGGACATACAGGTGTGTCATTCGAAATGATATTGTAGCTATGAAGCCCGACCCTCCCTATGAAGTGAAAAATCATGGATTAAACACCATTTCTCATAGGCAAGCGCGTAATCTATGTCAAAATGGGGGATTAGTATGGGATTACACATGAATTATCCACATCATCATGGATCACCATCCTGACTGAAATCACAGACGAAATCGTGGATCACAATCCCAGATAATATCACGAATTATTGGCAGAGAAAAAGTTCCAGCAAAATACCTCGGAAATTGCAAAAATAACATTCATATGCCCTGAGATACTAAGTCTTCATGTATTAAACCCAGAGTGGCGTCCTGCTGTATATAGAAATGGTCAACAAAGTATATGACATACATGATGTCATTTGCTGTAATGTATGTGTCATGTTCGAGTACTGATGACATCATAATCTGACTGTTAAAGTTTAGTTCACGGCTGTTATGGCGGTGCAGCAAAGCCCTAGGAAGTGGCCCTATGTCAAACAAATCGTGGACAAAAAAGGTGGGATTAATCCTTGGTTTTTTGTCATGGATTATGCCTGATTTTCTCGGGCTTTCGCGCACCCAAACCCTGAAAAATCAGGAAATTGCTGCAAATTGGGGGCAAATGCGCAGCATTATGAGGGCAAAAGTTGAGAGAAAATGAAGTGTATTAAGAGTATCCTAATGGCCATGGTAGCAGTATGATAGGTCTATAACTCAACATCTTAGCATAAGCTCACTCAAAGAGAAGTATCAACAATCATACCTGACCTTGATTTTGATTGTGGTGACTTAGAAGATTTTCAAAAAATTTCCAAGTGGTGGGGGGGCTCTGATTTATATTTTCGCATTCCTGCACAGCTACACACAGCGTCACACAAAACCAAGTAGAAAAATCGTAATGTCATTATGATGTCATGTATGCTAATCATGTCTATATATGATGCCATAAACTGCGGAGTTTCTTTCCAGACCGTAATCCATGATAATGTCAAGGACTATGATCCATGTTTCCGTCGTGGTCTTAGCGTGCATTGTAAATCACGGTAACTTCCATAATTCATGTGTCATCAATCCTTGTCTAATCCATGAGTTTAACATAGATTACACATTTTCTTAGGACTGCATGGGTTTAATCCTTGACAACTCGCATCAAAGGGCGGCCGTTATGGAGTCACGGTGTGGAGATTCCATATCTGACGAGATATTGAACCTAGGAGTCCAATTCATACTCGTTTCCATACCGTTTCCGTAATGGGATTCGTTGTGGTCACGCATTATAAGACTTCCATACTCGATTCAATAATTGTTTCCATACCTGTCATTAGGGAAACACATTATGGAAAAGGGTCTTGATAACCCCACTGTGCGGTCTTATTAGGCCGACTGTCCATCCGGAATCATGCGCATGAGCTGCACATGTGTTCATGCAAGGTCTTCGTCTGACTCAGCTAAGTAGAGCCTACAGCCCAGACAAAAGAAGTTGTAGGGAGGTAATCTTGTACTGCAGACACCTTCCTATCATGCTTACGCTTCATAGGACCTACCAATCGTGGAGATATGCTGTGTTCTGTCTGACTTTTTGTTTGAGCATTTTCATGCAACTTGACGCACGAGCGGTGAGCTGCATGATCAGGAAGCATTAAGTTCGCAACTTGTGAGAATCATACACAGGAAAGATGCTAGAGTTTTCTTCAATGCCGCAACCCTTACGGAACCATTTCCCCCTAAACAATTTTGTGGCCTTTGCCGTGACTTTACAGTGGGGCTAACAAGACCTTAAGCTTATGAAAATTCCATACACTCGTTTCCCGTTTCCATAACGAACCCATACGGGAGTGTGGAATTTCCGTACCGGCACAAAAATAGTATGGAAATTCCACAACTAATGACACTGCACGGAAGTGTCTACGTATATAAACAAGAAGAGCCCCTCCTCTTTCTTTGAACATTTCCGAGAATCTCCAAGTCCCCACGCGTATCGCTGGCCATAAGCAGCAGATGTCAAACAAATACAGATATGACTGTGATCCCTTGCACGAAGACTGAGCTTATACTAACATTCTGAGTCATAGGGTCACTGTTTACCACTATTATAGCTGTTAGACACCAAAAGAAATCTCCTTTGCCTCAAAAGCTCGCTCCGAAAATCATGGATTAAACGAGATTTCGAAATCTATGATTCTCATAACTGTAGGGCCTGGGGATACCTATCAGCTGTATGTTAAAAATGCATAGAACTAGTCGACTTGTGCTGTGGCAGATTCATACGATGACTTAGCAAGTTTTCCTTGATTCCTGCGGAGTCATGATTTTTCTGGTATTATTTTTTCAAATCCAATACGAAAATAACACTGGAGATTATTTCTCAAAGCAGTGGGTTTTGGTCGAGCAGCATTGGGAGTAGTCAAACTTCTGCAAAAAATAATCGCTTAATTTTTAATCGCGCGGTTGCCTTAGGAACTATGCATGAACATGGATTATAACCCTTTTTCGAGATGCTCGAGCAGGGTCGTGAAAGTAATCGCTTAAAAAACAATCGCCTACGGGCCAGAGGCTGCGCCCAATTAGAAAATTTCTGCAGGTATGCCTCAGGGCTTGTGCATGATCTGCGTAGCCACGTCGCTCAACCCGTCTCGAGGCAAACTCACCACCTTGAATATCCACGTGCCCTACGCAGTGAATCGTCATGGGATTTGGAATCACGGGAATCCCACGAGGACTTCATGGGATTCCCGTGACGGATTTCATGGGAGTCAGGACTCTATTTCACGGGATTCCCATGACAAATCCCATGACAAACCCATGAACAAATCCCATGACAAACCCATGAACAAATCCCATGACAATATATGTACCACGCCGTGAAATCGAAAAAAGTAGATTATAACTAGAATTAGATATGTGTAGTAGTAATATTAGTCCTCCCCGAGATCTAGCTCCACCTCCGAGTCCTCCACAACAACCTGGCGAAGGTGGGATTGGCGTTTAACTTTCTTGGGTTTGCGATGGATGGATATTTGACTTGAGGTAATGACAGCTGAGACTGGCGGAGCTATACGCCCGACCACAGAGGTGCCAGAGGAGACTTGAGAAATAGGGCGCGAAGACACCCGGGATTCTTCATGAGCAAAGGGATCATCGTCATCTCCATCCTGCTGCTGATACTTAGCCCCCTCTTTCTCCAAGAACCTGGCTTTCGCATCGTTCTCGAAAGCCGTCACTGCTGCCATACGCGCCTGGGTGCTAGATGCTGTCATTGCCTGACGAGAAGGTAGAGGGAGGTGGGGCTTGGAAGAGTGGGGGGGCTTGGCACCAGGCCGTGCCAATCCAACAGGGCGTCGTGACACTGACAGACCAGAGTTGGACAAAGGTTTACCACCAAGAGACGCATAGTTGATAAGTGATTTGTCCGATTTGCTTGATGCGATGGAAGTGCTTGATGCGATGGAAGTGACTGAATGGGAGGAAGGGAGCCGATCACCGAGGATAATAGCATAGGTACGGTCTCGAGGCTGTGACTTGCGGCGTGCAGATTGCGGAGTGCCGGAAGGGTGCGCTGACTGAGGCCTTCGAAAGGGAAGGCGTTGGTGATTTGCTGAATGCGAGGGCTGTCCAGATCCATGTGGAGCAGGGACACCGGAACGACGTGGAGCAGAAGCAGACAGTTGTGGGCGGCGAGGCTCCAAAAGCTCATCCGAGGCCACGTCGAAACCTGAGGATCGAGATGTAGCAAACTCATCACTGGTTGTCGGCACCAACTTGAATGCTTTACGCTTTGCAGGCGGCTGGCTTGCCTTCTTTCCCAACCACGCTTCCTTCCTTTTGTGTCTGTCTTGATCTCTGTGCTCTTGTTCAGCAGCCTTCTTTGCCTGGATGCGAGCCATCTTCAGCTGTGCCTCAAGCTCTGCGTTCCTTCGACGCACATCCTCTCTTGCCTCCTCCTGCCTTGCACGTTGCTCGTCGGCGGCTTTTGAGATGCGATTGTCCTCCACCACTTGACGCTGACGGCGTTCTGCCTCTTCCTCCTCCTCACGGCGACGAGCTTCCTGCTCCAGTTGGAAGCGATGCTGTTCATCCTCAAATTCAGCTTGCTGTCGGTGTTCCATCTCTTCACGTTCACGAGCTTCCTCCTGCTCACGTCGATGGCGATGCATCTCCTTTCTGCGTTTGTCTTCCTCGAGACGTCTGCGCGTAACTTCACGATGGCGTTCCTCATAAGGCGAAGTTCGAAGACGCTGTTCCTCTGGATTTTCATGACAATTGTATCCATGCTCTTCTTCTTCCTCAACGTTTTCATCGGACTCAACATACTCAAACCTGGGGCGTGGCAAGACGGGTTCCTGATAAGAGGCCGACATGTCATATTCAAAGTCATGGTCTTGTAAGTCCGACGCTGAGATTGATGACCCTTATCGCATTTACTTATTCCCGTCTTGGCGGCTTGAGACGGCACTGCGGAGGGGAGTGTCGGCAATGTGTGAGGAGAGGGAGGAGAGGGAGGAGAGGGAGGAGCGGTCGCCATGCCCGGCCTGCTCAGGTGTGCGACGTGACTGTGGGCGACGTGACCGAGCTCTCCACTGTTCCTCATGACGTTCGCCTTGATATTGTGACGCACGTTGAGCCTGCTCCCGTGCCAGACGCAGGTGCTTCTGCTTCTCCTTCTGCATTTCCATCTTGTATTGTTTCGAACTGGCTGTTCTTCGCATTTCGGAATGCTTGGTATAGGAACGTCTGGCAAAGAACCACTCACATATCCAATTACTCACTGATCCGCGCAGGAATGGAAACTGCTTCTTGAGCTCTTGACAGGCCTTCTGCTTCCGCGTCTGGTTCTTAGACTCCCAGGTAATGAGCTTTGTCCGATCGTTGACCGTTACCTTGACTCCCAAGCCCAACGCGTCCATCTTCTCACGCACAAAATCCTACAAGCACGGCGTTTGTTAACAGACGAGGAGAGTGATATGGCTGAGGCGTGAAAGCATGGTTACCTTGATTGAGTTCCAGATTACCTTTTGCTCTGGTTTGTCCAACCCCACCAGCTGCATGATTGTCGTTGCTAAGACGTTTTGCCAGCGTTCAGGTTTGGGAAGGCGGGCATTTCTTGGTTGACGCGTGTTGGAAGGCATCGGAAGAGGAGTGTCAGAGCGGCTATCCCCTCTAGGACCTGATCACCAGGTTAATGGCAAGTCTCATGGCGCATATATCACCATTACTCGCCAGCAACAGCCTGGAATTGCCTCAGAATATTAATTGTGTCATTACCAACGCGCGCAGTAATGTTGTCTTCGTCTTCGTCGTTGTCCTCATCATGATATCTGTCATCTGTTTCATCATGAACAGATTCATCATCATCTGCACTATCGGACTCCAAAGCAACGTCAGACTCCCCCAAGCCCTCGGGCAAGGCATGTTCGAGGTTTCCACTTCCATCCGAAAAAGGGGTGGTCCCACGCTGAGGTCCTCGAGAGTGAGCCCCGCGGCCACGGGTGTTTGCTGGGTGATGAGCCATAGGTGATTCGCGCAAGCAAAGCACTGTTCTCTCACGACGACAGTGGTATCGAAACGATAGCAAGGTTCAGGTAGAATCTTAAGATATGCTTGCACGCGCCCAAGTCCTCCAAAGTTACACCCCCGCGTGTCTACGTTACAAGGGCGGGTGGGTTAGGGTTAGGGTTAGGGTTAGGGTTAGGGTTAGGGTTAGGGTTAGGGTTAGGGTTAGGGTTAGGGTTAGGGTTAGGGTTAGGGTTAGGGTTAGGGTTAGGGTTAGGGTTAGGGTTAGGGTTAGGGTT